GAGGAAAACGTATTGATAATAATAGAATGTTATGAAATTAGCATGAAACTCTACAAAATCGATAAGAGATGTGTTTACTTCCCGCTTTTCCTTGACTTTTGTACATATGTAAGTATATAGGTCTATGCACTATGCAGGTTATCGCTTGTAATAGCGTGGATAGAAGTGGTTTTAGATAGTATTAACCGACTTCAAAAAATAAAGGTACTCGATTAGGGTGTTTTTTTTAATATTTTTTAATTTCAACAAAAGAAAATACGACGAAGCCTTTGTATAATCATGATAGAACTTCACTTACACTTATTTCGTTTAATCATCAATCTATACTAATATTATAAAGAGGTAAAGTTTGTGAGTTTGTGACGTTGTAGGGGGTAATCTCTGGATCTACTGAACCGATTTAGATGAAATTTGATAAGAAAATAATTTGAGACCCTGGGAAGTACATAGGATGCTTTTTATCCCGGAAATCATCCCTTAAGGGGGTGAAAATGGGGATGACAGTTTGTATGGGGAATCAAAACTATACAAAACATGTAGACTTAGTTATTACTGTACAAGTCATATCCGCGTGGAATAGTGGCAAGAATGCTAGCCGGCTCTTTGAGTGAAATACGAGCCATCTCTCTTCTCACAAGTAGAGCAGAGAGAAGAGAGTAAAGAGAAACAAAGAAGAGAAGGAGAACAGTCTTTAGAAATATAATTCGTTGCCTTAGTTCTTATTTGTTCAAATGACCAACTTGTTTTTTTTGTGTTATTAAAGAGAATTTATTTTTACATCTATTTTACAAAGAGAACTTAATTTCTGAGATTTATGTAATATGATTGTAAATATGTATACAGATAAAATACATTTTTAGGCTTTTTTAAATTGAAATATAATCTATAAATATAATAAAATTGTAACTAAGTCGAATGTGTACATTAAATATTTTTATTTGGAAAATCTTATTGAAATAGACATTATTATCGATACAGAGGCCGAATCTGTAGTTTTTAGAATTTTTATCTCTTTGTCTGTCTGTCTGTTACCGCATCACAGAATAACCACTGGAGGGATTTTGATGAAATTTGGTATGATGATAGCTGGTTATCCGGGTCAACATATAGGATACTTTTTATCGCGGGAAATTATTTCAAAAAATACAAGAACTGCATTGTATACTAATATGTAAAACCTATGAATTTGGTTTTTGGTCATTTCAACGCGGGCAATGCTAGTTGACAAATAAAAGTCAATAATTCAGTTATAAAATTTAAAAACTCTTACATTAAATTGGTCGTTTGAACACCTTTGAATCTAACTGTCCAATTTGAAACAAATATTTTGTTTTTTGTAGGCTACTTACTCAACCTAAAATAATATAGAGGAAGTGTCATAGAACTAAACATGAAGTCAAACAAAAATGTTAATGTAATAGTAGATTCCATGAATTTATATAATGTTACGAAAAAATAATATTTTTAATGTTATTTTGTCTGACGAATGATATTTCCCTGAATGATCCATACTAATATTATAAATGTGAAAGTGTGTTTGTTTGTTTGTTTGTTTGTTTGTTTGTTTGTTTGTCTGTCTTTCTTTCATGTCGAAACGACTTGGCGGATTGGCGTGATTTTTGTGTAGATGATGTGAGAAATTTGGGGGGCTGGAGAGTGACATAGGCTACTTTTTACCGCGCAAAATTATCTCTTTCCCACGGGAAACCCCGTTATAATACAATCCAAAAAAATATTTACGATCAGAATTACTTGAAACTTGGTATAAACGCTCTTCAATACAATTAATTTACATATTGTTTAGCATTTTCCGAAATTCATCCCATAAGGGGGTAAAATAGCGGATGAAAGTTTGTACGAAACCTATCATTTTAGTCGTTTTTGTAGTTTCAGCGCGAGCGAAGCCGCGGATTCTGCTAGTATTCTATAAATATATGATAAATATGATAAATGAAAAATATGTTGGGACATTAACACACACCAGCATCTAGTTCCATGGTAAGCTACGAGGCTTGTGTTACGGGTACCAGATAGTTGATACATTACATATATATAATTTTAAATACATACATATTATAAATATAAACACCCATGACTGGATTACAAACATTCGTGCTCATCACACAAATGAATGCCCCCAGCGGGACTCGAACCCGCAACCGCTGGCACAGCAAGCAGGGTTACTACAAACTGAGCCAAACGTGTCGTCAAACAATATATGATTGTAATATCCCTAATATTTAATTATTTTATTTAAATTTATCATTACCTTTTACAAACAGAGAGTTGTGACATACGGTATGAAATCTTTAGCTATCAATTGTTAATCTCCCCAAAAAAAAAAAGATTACGATCCTTGGATAAATCTTACGTAAACAAACTACGCAGGTAGGTAGATTTTATTTATGTTATACATAATTAAATTCATCTCAGGTACGTCCGGACATCACTAAAATAGCCATTGCATTTTAATAAACAACAAGACAGATCGAATTTACAACCAATATGTGTCTTTTTAACAAAACAACGAGTGTGAGTAATATGGGTTTGACTTTGAATAGATGCTTTTTGTTTCGTATTTATAATATTATACACAGGCAGCGCCATCTTTTGAGAATTTTTATTACTAACAACAGTATTGCCAATAACATATAAATAAATAAAATATAAATATGTTGGTACATTAACACACAGCACCATCTAGTTCCATGGTAAGCTACGAGGCTTGTGTTATGGATACCATATAGTTGATACACTACACATATATAACTCTAAATACATACATATTATAAATATAAACACCCATGACTGAAGTACAAACATTCGCACTCATCACACAAATGAATGTCCCCAGCGGGATTTCAACCCGCGACCGCTGGCACAGCAAATAGGGTCGCTACCTAAATGTGTTATCAAATATCACTTCTGGCCATAGTCTATATGTGTATTAAATTTTATCCAAATCGGTCAAGCCGTTTCAAGATGAACTACATTTTATCTCAAAGGTAGAGAGAGCTACATCAAAATCACTAAAAGTAAAATTATTTCGCCTTTAGGTTATTTGTTGAGTTTTTTCTTGAAAACTGTATGGGAATATTTAGGTATAAGCTTGGTATAATATTGATTAAGATAAAAAAAAAACTTGAAAATCAGCTCAAAATTCGCGACGACGTTGTAAAATATTTGTACGTATATAAAATATGTATATATATATATATATATATATATATATATATATATATTATTTCAGCAAATTCCACTTCTCAAAGAGTGAGGTTTCCAAACTGCGCCTTTTAAATTACATTGGTTTTTGTAGGATTTAGAATTTTCTATCTATACCTACATAAAATAAAATTCTGTACTGTAAGATCTGTACATTAAATATTTTTTGGAAAATCTTATTGAAATAGTCATTATTATCGATACAGAGGCCGAATCTATAGTTTTTAGTATTTTTGTCTGTCTGTCTGTCTGTTACCGCATCATTTGTCTGTCTGTCTGGTAATTTATTACGAGAAAACCACTGGAGGGATTTTGATGAAATTTGGTATGGTGATAGCTGATTATCCGGGTCAACATATAGGATAATTTTTACTGCGAGAAAACAACTCATCTGAGTCTTCTTCTTCTTCTCGTGTCGATGGCAAGAATGCCCTCGTGGTGAAAGGATTAGCCAATCAGCGTTAATAAATTTCTGATTGCCCAGGGTGCGCCGGACGTATAGGTTGTATACGTTGTATACGTCGCTCGGGGAGGCTCCTTTCGTGCACCCCGTAATACCCACTCATCTGAGTAATCTATATGTATTATAAACCTTAAAACGTAAGGGACGAATTTGAGCGGGGCGAGGATGAGTCGCTAGTATTATTATAAAATTAAAATACATGAAAAGAAACAGATCAAAAGCTCTTTTATATATTCGACCAACATCATCGTTTTTACAAGTTATTTATTAACTTACAATACTTGTAAGTGTCTGTTGCAAAATTCTCGAACCATTTTTCAACCACTTTCTAGTATCCAATTGAGCTTTTTAACCCCCGACGCCAAAAGAGGGTTGTTATAAGTTTGACGTCGATGTCTGTCTGTCTCTGTGTGTGTGTGTCTGTCTGTGACATCGTAGCTTTCAAACGGATGGACCCATTTCGATGCGGTTTTTTCATTTGAAAGTTTAGTCCAGTTTCCTTGCGGTGGTTCTTAGCAGCTATGTTTGGTTAATATCGGTCCAGCATATATATATAATAGAAAAAAAAAATATGTCAACTCAAGAAGCTTTTGTCATTATAGAACAGTATATCTTTAATCTATCATAATACTCCAATTAGGAAAACCACTAACTAAAACTATTTAAAAACGTAAAATAAATATTACGCGTATTTTACTCATTACGCAAATTGTGGAAGCCATTTAAACATTTATGACTGTACCTGTACTCAGTTCTAGCGGTTCTTTACATACAAATCATATACATTTTACGCGACTTCGATTATTTTTTAAATATTGTTTATTGGAACTTAGATTTTTTAAATAAAATAATGTTAACTTACGATAGGTATTGCATGAATATTTATTTATTTATATCCACAATATTTTTTTGACATTAACACTTTCATTTGGCTTGATTTATTTATTTTCTTAATATGTTATAGACTGTACGTCTTTATTCACTAAGTTTAAATGTTGACAAACACTCAAACATTCATAATTATTATATATACGTAATTATTTACAAAGCGCAAGGTATTGTTTTATTATATATTATTCAGCGATGACTCCCAACCCCTATAAAAGTGCTTTCTTCAGTTTGTAATGACAGTTAGATTTTCCCGCTCTAACAGTAAGTTCACAGATATTTTATAAAATCAAATAGTTTTTTTTTATTACATAATTTATTTTATAAAAAATACAAATATATAAATATTAATATTATTTTGTTATTTCTTTACTTTTTTTAAAGGTATTTATATATATTTTTAATACATTTTTTTAATTTTAGGATAATGTTTCGCATCACAAGTGGTGTTATTTTGGCTGTATGCGCTATATGTGAGTATATTTTTATTTAATATTGATGTTTTGTTTTTTGAAAATTGATTATCTGTACTACATATAATAAAATCCTAAGTCGAATCTGTACATTAAATATTTTGTGGAAAATTTTATTGAAATAGTAATTATTATCGATACAGAGAACGAATCTATAGTGTTTAGAGTTTTGGTCTGTCTGTCTGTCTATCTATCTGGGAATGCATCACGAGAAAACCACTAGACAAATTTCGATGAAATTTGATATGATGGTAGCTGGTTATCCGGGTCAACATATAGGATACTTTTTACCGCCGGAAAATATCTCATTTCTGAGAAAAAATCTAAAGACTGAAATGTAACAGTATACTAATATTTAAACCTAAGAATTTGGTCTTTGGTCATCTGAACGCGGGCGGAGCCGCGGGCAATGCTAGTACTAAATATAATCAAAAAATATAATAAAGTGTACTAAATAGAATTTAACTTGGCATCATGGCTCACATAGTTTGTTAATTACGACCGCTAATTTTATCATATTGGTAGCTGTGATAAGATTTCTTAATAGGTGTATATAGAAGTTATACTTTTCCTATCTGTGCATTTAATTCAATATCTATAACACTTTCTTAGATTTACGCGAATATTTGACATTTTAAATAAAACCATCTTTTCGGGGTTTTTTCGCGGATTTATTTTGTTGTTTTTTTTTAATAAATCCGCGAAAAAATCCGAACAGTTATTTTTTTTTAATATTCATAAACATTATATACTGAATGCCAACTTCTGACTGAGATCTTTGCTTTTTATTCTGATAATCGAAATGAAATTAATAAAATTTACGTTTATCCTGATATAATTTAATAAATAATTATAATTATACTTTAAAAAGCTATAAACATGCTTTATTGATTACCAGAACTAAAAAGCAAAAAATATTTTTTAATATATGTATAAGAATAAAGCTATTAACGAGTAAATTAATGTTAGTGTGAAAAAAGCTTTGTACATTTTTTATACTGACTCTACTTTTAGAAATCGTACCGATGGAATATTTAAAGCAACTAATATCTAATAAATTAAGAAATTTATTTATTATATTGTTTTTGTGCAAAAATTTTACTATTTTTTCGTTTCAGGCGCATCCCAGCCAGTGGAGAAGTTGCCAATTTTGAAAGAACTTCCACAAGAAGTTCTTTTTAAAGAGAACTCCGAGCTCGTGCTAGAATGTGTGACTGTTGACAAAGATCCCGGTGTACAGTTAGTATAAATTACTTTTTAATAAAAAAAATTATTAATTCTAAATTAAGTTCTCAGCGGTTTGTTGTAGTGATAGCCCAGTGGTAAAGCGCTCGCTTGAAAAACCGTGTGGAATGGATTCAAGTCCCGGGTCTCGCACCTCTGACATTTTCATGTGCCAATTATTCTAACATGATTACCACTTGTTTTACGGTGAAGGAAAACATCGTGAGGAAACCTGCATGTCTGAGGGAACTTAGCAAGTTGTCGAAAGAATTTCGTGCTCAGCAGCGGGACGTTAAAAAAAGGCTGAATCCAATTGCTCAATCATTGGACAAAAGTTATAAGGCATGAAGCCACCAACTTAAAAATCTATATAAAATTAATTATTTCACACTGCACTATTTTTTTTTCTTTTTTAGGAACACTCAATTTAAAAAATACATTAAGCGTTCTATTATTTCGATATTAAATGTAACCCCAGCTCTTTTGAACGTCCCACTGCAAGGCGGGACTCCCTTCAACAGACCCCCATGACAATGGCAACTGGCAAGAAAACTGAGTGGCCAAAATGTTTTTTATAATTTTTATTTGTCATGTTTTGGCAACACTCTGGTCATGTTTTGGCCGTCTCCCTATTTGTATCCTTTTATCTTATGAACGACTAAATCTATACTAATATTATAAAGAGGTGACGTTGTAGGGGGTAATCTCTGGATCTATTGAACCGATTGAGATGAAATTTAGTAAGAAGTTAGTTTGAGATCCTGGTAAGGATACAGCTTACTTTTTATCCCGGAAATCTTTCTTTAAGAGGGTGAAAATGGGGATGAAAGTTTGTATTGGGGATCAAGCTAAGGACGAACCCGAGCGAAGCGAGGGTGAGTCGCTAGATTAAAATAAGCCTGCCAGTATATTGTGTAATTACTTATTAGTTATCAGTAAGTGTTAACTTTTACCCGCGGCTCGGCTCGCATGGCAGTTTGATTAAGTTTTATCTCCAAGACGAGTATCATATTAATTATATAAATATATTTTTCCTTTTTTTCCATGTGAATAATTCTTTTCAGGTATTCATGGATCAAAGATGGTAAGCCTTTGGCTCTTAGCTCCAACATAGTCCAACGTGAGAACGAGGGGACCCTTGTTTTCAAAAAACCCTCAACGAAAGACGAAGGAGAATACATATGCTTAGCGCAAACCAATTTAGGGGTTGCCAGTTCCAGAACTGTCAACGTCAGACGTACATACATCGAGATCCCCGACGTCACCATCCAAAAACATAAACCACTTGAAGGAAAATACTACAAACTCGACTGTCACATTCCAAATGCCTATCCTAAGCCAGAAATAGTGTGGTTATACCAATCTATTGCAGACCCAAGTATTTCTAGGACAATTTTGGACAGACGTATAACTCAGTCCCCTGGCGGTACATTATACTTCACGAATGTGACAAAAGAGGATACAAGTCGGGAGAATAAATATGTATGTACGGCCAAGTCTTTAGCAGTTGACAAAGATGTTGTTTTAGCAGAGCATATAATAGAAAGCGTGGTACCAAGCGATGATGACAACTCCGCATTGATGCCTCTGTACGTGAGTCCAGATATGATCGCAAAAGTGAATGACGTTACAATGATTTATTGTATATATGGTGGCACGTGAGTATTCTTTCTGTTTATTTATTTAACTTAAGCTAAAGCTAAATTAATATTTAGTTACATACACAAGACCTAGAATCTAAAGTGAAGCCAAAATCAGATATTTATGGTATTATTTTTGTCATTTTATTTCATTGGAAAGTAATGTATTTAACTCCTGTTACACTACCGATGGGAAAATAGCTAAATATTTTATCCTGTATATCACAGCTCTCTGTTTGTAAAAGGAATGCAGCTAACTTCATCATGTCGCTTTCAGCTAACTTCATCGTGTCGCTTTTTGGCTGTCGGTGTGCGCGCGCATCGTAAAAATTTTACTTTCATATTTTTTCCAAACGTGCCAAAAGAAGTATAACTACAAAAACGTCACTACTATTATAAATGATAAAGTTTGTATTAGTGTATGCTAAATGAATGTAGGGATTTTGATGAAATTGAGTGCACAGACAGACAATGACTCGGAGTAACAGATATACTTTTAGCCTTTAGGCATCTAGAGCGCAGCGAGGGTAAGTCACTAGTCTATACTAATATTATAAAGAGATAAAGTTTGTGAGTTTTTGACGTGGTAGGGGATAATCTCTGGATCTACTGAACCTATTAGATGAAAGGTAAGAATATCGTTTGACACCCTTTAAAAGACATAGGATACTTTTTATCCCGGAAATCATCCCTTAAGCTGGTGAAAATGGGGATGAAAGTTTGTATGGGGAATCAAGCCAGGGACGAACCCGAGCGAAGCGAGGGTGAGACGCTAGTATAACTATAATTTAGAAGGAATTGCTAAGCACGTACAAGGTCGCTCATATAAAACTTATACATACATACATATGTTATCGCATTCTATTATATTATAGTTTAATCATTAAACTTCATTTCTAATCATTTGAACAACGCACTTATCTTTTACGATGTTTTTATGTATTTGCTTACTTATTTTTAAATGTCACTAAGTTGTACTCGTAGATGTAAGCATATTTTTAATTTCAATCTACAATTAGTTTGAAGCTATTGTCTTAGATAAAACCAAACAAGTCCTTAAATATTTTTTGGTATATTATACAACTAGCGACACACCCTCGCTTCGCTCGGCGTCATCCCTAGCTTGATTCTCCATACAAACTTTCATCCCCATTTACACCCCCTTGAGGGATTATTTCCGGGATAAAAATTATCCTTTGTCCTTCTCAGGGTCTCAAACTATCTTCTTACCAAATTTCATCTAAATCGGTTCAGTAGATCCAGAGATTACCCCTACAACCTCACAAGCTCACAAACTTTACCTCTTTATAATGTTAGTATAAACTAGCCATTTACCCTCGCTTCTTTCGAGTGGGAGTAAGTGCTGACCTATGTGTTGCTCCAGGTCTTATCTTGTGTACTAAATTACATCTAAATTCCTCCAGGCCTTTTAGCGTGAAGGAGTAACAAACACACATACAATCTTTCGTATTTATGTATGTAGGTATGTATAAATAGTAATCCGATTTTTCCTCAGTCCACTGGCATACCCCGACTGGTACAAAGACGGTAAGAACACTAACAACAACCCACAAGAGCGGGTGACCCGCTACAACAGAACCAGTGGGAAGCGACTCCTCATCAAAGAAACATGGGCTTCCGACCAGGGAGAGTACACTTGCATCGTGGACAATGAAGTCGGGGAACCCCAGAAACATACCATGCATCTTACTGTTGTCAGTAAGTGATATATTACATATCTGCCTCTGTCCTGTATCAACTAGCATGTACGGCTGCATATCCGAAGGCCGTGGATTCGAGTCCGGGTCGGGCCAAATTTAGTTATTGAGTCTTTCTGTTTAGTAAGCCTCAGTAACAGCCCGGAGTTGGAAGTTGGCGGTGTTTCACCCTCGTGCCTCGGAGAACACGTTAAAAAAAATGCGCCAAAAAAACGCCAAAAAAATGTTTTTGAGTAACTACGAGATAATTTTGTAATAAACAGTTATAAGTTATAATGTATCTCAGGGATTACCGTATAGATTTTTAAGGAAAATAAAAACCCATATAAAAGAGTGAAATGAGTTACATTTAAATTAATTGAATTTGATATACCATTTTAGTTAAAACGCAATCATTTATTTACAGGTTCCCCCCAACTTTTAGAGCACGCTGAACAAAAATTGCTTGTAAAAGTTGGTGACCACGTCTCCATCCCCTGTCACGTGGCTGGGATACCAGCACCAAAAATATCTTTGACCCGAAATAATCAAGCTTTACCTTCTAATGCGGTTTTAAATGAATCCACACATGGCAACATTACCGTATCTGACATTACTATACAGAGTGTTCAGAAAGACAACACCGGTTATTATGGTTGTAGAGCTCGTAATGAATATGGAGAGGTCTATGTGGAAACTTTACTGTACGTGCAGTAAATGCATTATTTTTTTTTAATTTCTTATATTGATGTTTAAAAATAATATTTTAAAAGTATGTGTACTTAATAAAATATTTCAAATGTATTGTGTTGTTTTTAATACTTATAGTATTCGCCCAGTGACCTAAATTTGAACATAATCGTTATTGAAAATTTGAGAAAAATATATAGATAATATATATATTAGTTTACTATACATATAATACTTTTATTATAACTAAGCCAAATTTGTACATTAAATATTTTTTGGAAAATTTTATTGAATAATCATTATTATCGATACAAATGCCGAATATATAGTTTTCAGAATTTTGGTCTGTCTGTCTGTTACCGCATCACGAGGAAACTACTGGACAGATTTTGATGAAATTTAGTATAGTGATAGCTGGTTATCCGGGTCAACATATAGGTTACTTTTTACTGCGGGAAAATGTCTAATTTCTGAGAAAAAATACAAAAACTACAATGTAAGAGTACCTATACTAATATGTAAAACCTAAGAATTTGGTTTTTGGTCATCTGATCGCGGGCGGAGCCGCCGGCAATGCTAGTGATATTCTATAAATATATGAATGTAATAATTATACTATGCCTAATATGCCTTATTGAATTATTTGAGATAGAATAAATTACACAGGAAGTGAAAACTAATAAAATTGATAACTGAATAATATTTAATGTATATTTATGTCAAATAAATGATAAAAGAACTTTTATACTTAATAAAAATATTACAAAAAAAAAACCTTACAATTACCCCGCTCCTGATACTCTATATTCATCTCATTCTCCCGTAGGTTACTTTTATGGGAGTTTCATTTCTACATCTGTGAATTGCGCACTTTTTTATCTTTATGGGTCAATATTTCTAAGAAAACTACAAATAAAACCAAACAAAAACATTACATAAGCTTTATTTCTTAACATCGTTAATACAAGGAAAAGATTATAAAGTAAAAGTATCTTTAAAAAAAACAAAAGTTGGTCTCATGATTTAATAATTCAAAAATCAACAACAAAATGATTTAATGACGCTCAAAATAATATGTACATGAATACATAAATAATGATTCCAAATATACTTCACTTATTCTAACAATTCGCACGAGTAAAGTTTAATCGAAATTGTCATAGTTTTGGGTGCGCGGTTGTGTTTTGGAGAGGTTCGAGTTGCGTATACAAAAAGTATTTATTACAACTTATTTTTTTTTAATTTATTATATTAATAATACTTCGTGCACAGATAAATAATAGATATTTCTTTTTTATTAGCGTGTAATTTTGCTCGCGCGAACTTTGTAAAGGTCACTTAACATACGAACTTTATTCATTACAATAGTTCATTATTTTTTTTCGAAATATTGGAATGAAGTTGGCACTAGCATGGAGGGCATTCATTTCATTTATAAATTTATTATTATTTATTTATTTTTCATTATAAAACTACGCCTTTATTATATTTTGAAGCTCTGAATTATTGAAATCGTTGTTCTAACGCGTCAGACTTGGTTTTTCAAGGCCGTAACGATCCAAAGAGAAAGCGTTCTATTCTAACAATACAATATATTTTAATTTTAATCGATTTTTTTTAAAAAGAACAGCGTTACCGTTTTTTTTTTATTTAATTTCGAGTAAAAACTAACGATCTCTAGGAAATCTAAATCACAATTCACACGAATATACAATTAATATACTTGTATCGAACAGGCACATAGTTGGTTATAAAAATCTAAAAATTTACGTTCATGGGAAGCTTTATTGTACTATAGACAAAGTTGTATTTAAAAAAAACTCTAAAAATACTGTAAAAGAGGCCGAATTCTATTGTCTATAATTAGTTTTACGTCCACTAGGAAAAGTAGTTTCGCTTGGAATAGGACATTCGGTATAATAAATACTGTTAAATATAGTAAGCTTTTAACTTTAAATTTACATTGAGCTATGATATTTAGTCTATTTAGCTTATTTGGTGAGAACGGCCAGTTTCGTGCACGGTTGTGCGAGCCAAGTTCATTTACAAGCGAACTGACCATAAACTACAAATATTTACTCAGCAGTGTTAATAGTTATGGTTTTGCCTTTGGGATCATCAAAGCGGTCCATCGTCCTGATATCCATCATCATCATGATTCCGTAGAAGGTGATGGCGAGGAGGATGAACACAACAAACAGACCGGACCAAATGGGAACAGTAAAGAATCCCACACAGTTCAAAGAGTCTCCGAAGGGCATTGATTCATTTGTTGACATGAAGAAAGGTTGAACCTGCAATAAAATAATGTTCTGTTAATATTTTAATACCATAGAATTAATAAATGACAATGCAACCCTTGAACGACACGTTTGGCGCACTTCGTAGTGACCCTACTTGCTATGCCAGTGGTCGCGGGTTCGAGTCCCGCTGGGGGCATTCATTTTTGTGATGAGCAAGAATGTTTGTACTCCAGTCATGCATGTTTATATTTATAATATGTATGTATTTAATGTTATATATGTGTAGTGTATCAACTGTCTGGTATCCATAACACAGGCCTTCCAACATATTTATTTATAATAATATACTTTCATAAGCATTTAGTAAAACGCTGTTATTTTAACATTACAAACAGACACTTCAATTTTATTAATCTGTATGGATGAATAATTGTAAAACTAATTAGCAAATAGTAAAAAATACTGGATTGACATTAAGTCAGTAAAAGCTTATAATACAAAAAATTTAACATGCAATTAACATTTTTGTTTTTATATAATTCTTTTAGGGTGAATTTTTGCATGAATTAATACACTAAACTCAATATAAAATAAGAGTTCAAAGTCCAACAATATTAGGGCACCATGTTTATTCTTAATTACACCAAGACGTCTTAGAGCAATATATATATATATATATTAGGGTGTGCCAAAAAATGACGATATTTTTTTTTCTTCGGTCTCACTCCAAAATATCCCAGAAAATGTCCCAACAAAGCTTCTGTTAAAAGCGGAGCTCAAAATTCCAATTCTAAGAGGTTCTCCATCGAACTTTAAGTTTTCCCATACAAATTTTGTATGGAAAATATGATTTTTAACACTTTTTTGTCCTGCAAACTGTGACGAAAATATTTTTCAAAAAAATGAATGAATGGACCGTTTTTAGTATTAAATTTACTACAAAAAGTTCCATTGAGTCGAGTTTCTATCTTCAATATTTGATTTGTTATATGGCTTTGAAGATCAAATTTACGGGTTTTTGCATTTTTTAGCTAAACTGTAAGAGTTAGAGAAAAATGTTAGCAAATTTGTAGTATGTTTAAAATCCTATAAAAAAGTCCTTGTCAACTTTTTCATATCATCAATAACAACAAAGTTACAGGCTCACGAATATTTATTTTTAATGATATTTCATGCCCTTTATTAATATATTTTATATAATAATCTATACATATAATAAAATTCTGAGTCAAATCTGTACATTAAATATATTTTGGAAAAACTTAATGAAATAGACATTATTATCGATGCAGAGGCCGAATCTATAGTTTTTAGAATTTTTGTCTGTCTGTCTGTCTGTCTGTCTGTCTGTCTGTCTGTCTGTCTGTCTGTCTGACTGTTACCGCATCACAGAAAAACTACTGGACGGATTTTGATGAAATTTGGCACGGTCATAGCTGATTATCCGGGTCAACATATAGGATACTTTTTACAGCGGAAAAATATCTCATTTCTGAGAAAAATACAGAAACTGTAATGTAAGAGTATACTTATATGTAAAACCATAGATTCATAAGAATTTGGTTTTTGGTCACCTAAACGCTGGCGGAGCCGCGGACAATGCTAGTAAACAATAAAATAGTAGTTTTCATATTAATCTTAATAATAAAGTTACAGTTTTGATACATGCACAAGGAATGCCTCTATTCCTTTCTGATACTACACTCATAGTATTATTTTTGACAGATTTTCATACAGAATGATGCACACTACGGGACTTAAACAAATGAATTCTTAAGTGGCTAAACACCTTATTCCAGACATTTCGATTGAGTTACACCAGCCCAGTCTACCGGTGACCATCGCTGTTGCAACCCAATTGAAATGCAGAGAATAAGGTATTTAGCCACTTACAAATTCACTTATTTAAGTCCCGTAGTGTACATTATTATATTTCATAAAAAAGATATTCAGTTGAACTTGGTCTTTGAGTAAATTTTTTCATTTCAAGAAAAATAAATTTTTACTCTTTTAATAATTATAATAATTTTGATACCTTTAAGTCTTGGAAGACCAAGTGGTAAGTTTGGGTGTCATTGACACTGGTGAAGGATACAGTTTGCCCACATCGGTAGGAGAAACCCGAGATGGCATGCACATCGGAGTCCGGTGATAATTTTTCTGTCCTTGCCTCAGGGGATGTTTGCTGGAGGGTCACAGAGGCTGTAATAGTTAAAAAAAACTTTTAGGAGACATAATTATTTGGGTAAGAAAATATTATGTAATTTAGGAAATATGTATGTTTCATACAAAAATATTAATCATCATATAAAATCATTATCATTATAAATTTTTGGTGTGCTTTAGTTGGTTTCATTTGTATTTCAGTATAATAGTCAGTTTACCTAAAATTATAGCTTAAAAATTACTTATATTTAAAAAAAATATAATTCTTATACTCACTGAAATACCAATAACCAGCTTTCTGCAAAAAGTTCAAAGTGATGTTATTCTCTCCAAAGTTCATAGTGGTGTTCATTTCATTTGCATCTTCGCTAAATTGACTTGAAAAACTGCCTAATTTGTTCAAATTTGTTTTCTGTTCACCAACCGAGAGGACAATGTCTTTAACATATAACCTTAAGCCATCTAGAGTATAGTCATTTTGATCAGCTTCAGCCTGACGACGTACGCGAGAATGGCTTTCAACGATGGTCCATGAGGGATTTTCTGCAGTGTAAATGGCTACAACATTATTGTACTGCTCTTGAAGTTTAGTGTACATGTCTTCCATAAAATCGTTGTGGCGACGAAGTAGGTCAGCCCTGGTCTCACCCTCGTGAGCATCTTTAAGAGTTATAAAGAGCACTTTCCCATTTTTGGATTCCAAATCAGCAGAAAGGCCGTCTTCTGTCAATTTTACATGGTCCACTTCTTCTGGGTTAGCCAAGTCCTCGAGGACAGGCAAAGCGTTCTCCACGGCAGGCAAATATACAGCCTTACCAATGTTAGCATGTAAATAGGGGAATGAGGTATCGCCATCAGAATTTTTACGTGAAAAATCTTCGACGGATAATGTTTCATCTAGAAAAATTACTGTGAATGGGTCCGCTTTTAGTTCTTCCTTCAAAATACCTTCAAATTCTTTCTCCGGGACGTTCGATAAAGGATTCGATTTTATTGATGTTTTCAAATCGCCCCAAAGAAAAACTGGTACATGTATGTTAGCATAACTCGACACGACACTTAGCACTAAAATAGGGAACACTAAACGGCAAAACGCCATTTTTGAAACTACTCCTAGTGGACGTTACGGACTAATTTACCTAGTAAGTTTTTAGCCCAGAAATTGTCATAAAAAGACGAAAAATGGGCGATGACGAAAAACCATTGGTCATGTGAAAAGTGATCATATGATAGGTTTGACGCTTGTCTATGGATTGCAATGTTGCCATTAAAAATTAAAATATATCAAGAAATTGGCAGCATTCATGAATTATGTAACAATTTAAAATTATGAAAAAAATATTCTTTCACTTTGAGGAAATAAATTTTACATTTAAACATTTACTATTAGCCTTCATTGTGTATTTTTATATTAACGTGAGCATTGGAAGCTCAAAAATTAAAATTCTTTTTTTTTTTTATGAATTTTATAATTCTTTAAAAAAATATTATACTTTTTTGAAAGAATACAAACTCTTGTTCAATATAAAAAAAGAAATGAAAAAGAAATTTTACTAGAATTGACTCCTGACGTCAAAGTATTAGTAAAATTCAAGCAAAATGTTGAAAATAGCTATTTTTCTATTACTAATAGCTTCGAGTGCTGCTGAAAGAGATTCTACGCCCGTTTTTATGTTGGATTATGAAATGATTCTATCACATGTACATACTGACACTAATCCATTCACAGAAATGAAATCGAGTGATTTCTCAAAAATTATCGAAGAGGCTGTAAAAAGGAGTAAAGTGGTTATTCTATTCATTGAAGAATTATTTTGTTTTGAAGATGTAAGTTTTAAAGACAGACAAGGTACACCATTTTATCATTTGAGCCAAGGTTTGAGAGAGAACAAAGTAAAATTCTTTCCTGCGGTATCTCAACCTTTTAAAACTTTAAAACAGTACTTCAAACCAGAACATTATAACACATTTTATTTGAGCGATTCGAGCACCAAGCTCAAGATATATGACGGGAGATATAAATACTTCTATGTTTTTTTCAAAGATACTATTAGTGAATCTAAAGCAATCGCTCTAAGGAGACACGATCTGTTAATGCGAGAAGTATACTTTGTTGTTAGACAAATTGCATCAAGTCCAGTAGTGGCTTTTTACACTGGAAAAATGAATCCTATTATTGTGGAAAAATTGAATTTTGTTCCAATTGAACCACAGAAGATACGTCGGCCGCCAGGCGTAACTATAACCAGCTCAGGCGCACTGTTTAAGTTTAGTGGTTAGTAAAAAAAATACGCTTTTTCCCAGATTTGATGGTAATAAATTTTTTGGGCTGTTCCGACATGAATTAAAAAATATCTCCAATAGGTACATCAACGCGTATATTCACCTTTTTTCTGTAGTTTAAGCTGTACGATCAAGATGAAACATTTTTTTTTAATTTATCATTAAAGGATTAGGAGATGTATCTAATAGAATCTAAATAAAACATTTAAAGATTTTGTCCCAATGGATGAACCGTTATCAATGATAAACATTTTATTGCAATGATAGTCTTAAAGTCACAGGACACATTTTATTGTTCGCAACTCTAAATAAAATGGGTGAGGCCACAAGTACTTAGTAGATAAATGAATTCATGGACGCGGGTCATTGAAGAATAACAATGGTTGATTCACTACTATTCTGCTGATATTTTTAGTTTGAATAACCCGGCGTTCGTCGCTAGGTTGACTTGTCCTTTACCCGTACATACTATAAAAAAGGCAGTTTAGCAAAAGATGAATCGAAAAATATATTTCTAACCTTATTAAATACTAGCGACTCTCCCTCGCTTCGTCCAAGTTCGTCCCTAGGTTGATTCCCCGAACAAATTTTCATTCGTATTTTCACCCCCTGGACGATTTCCGGGATAAAAAGCATGCTATGTCCTTTTCAGGGTCTTATACTATCTTCTTACCAAATTTCATCTAAATCGGTTCAGTAGATCCAGAGATTACCCCCTACAACGTCACAAACTCACAAACTTTATCTCTTTATAATATGAATATAAATGAATATAGATAAAAAAGTATTTATATTCTCTATAATACTATAACGAGGTAAACAAGTAAATAAAAAAAACATATGCATAATTACCCCATTATTTCTTAAGGCGTGTACGCAACGGTGGGTACAAGACGATCCATGTTCAGTCAGATACCACTCATAGCGGAGGAAACGTGGAAGAAACATCAGCTCAACACTCGGATGGCGTATTCGGACTTCGAGCTGGAGTTTGAGTTTATTTTCAAAGAGGACGGATGGATAGTTGGTGAGTTAAAAGAACGTTGTATATGTTCGTATTAAAAGGTGGACAGTCTGAAGTAAGCTGCAAATAGTTGCGAAGTGGCTAATGTTTTTTCGCAATATTATTTTCCTAGCAGTCTGAATTCCTGAGCTAAATTGAAATACGAATACATAGATAAAGTAAATAAGGTTTTAAATATTATCATAAAAAAAATTAAATAACTTGATAAAATCAACATCTTTGTACATGAAATAATAAATTGAGCGGTTCAATATTAAACTCAATTTTAAAAAGCTCTTTAGGAGACTTTTTTACTTTTAGAATGTAATAGAAGGTGAAATTATAATTTTTAGAATTTTTATTTGTCTGTTTGTTTGAATTAATGCCACAAAGTAAAAAAAAGATAAGAAAAGTATTTCTATTCTCAATTACTATGTTAATGTAATACATATGCCTAATGACATTATAAGAGAACGTGATGCTGCTCGAGTGGGGTGAAGAGGTCGGTCGCACGGAGATGAAGGTCGGGGCTCCATGGAAGTGGTCCTACGTCTGCAGCGAACCCCTTGTCCTGGTCAACTTGCGGGACGGTAGTGCCGTCACTATATCACAATATCAAGTGAGACATAATATATATATATTTTTTTGTTTCGCTCGGGTGCGCCCATGGGTGCTTAATAGTGTCTTTGTGTTAGTCCAGGTGATAGCTTATCTGGATACTAAGTTTACTAAGCACACAGTCAAAATCTACTAAATCTGAATACTAAATTTCAGTTAAGTCCGTCCAAACAATCTATACAGATAAATCAAATTGAAGTGTCTGTTTGTAATGTCAAAATAATAGCGTTTTACTAAATGCATATGAAATTATATACGGTACTTATAAGAAAAACACTTTATTATTTTTTGTCTGTCTGTCTGTTTGTTATAGATAATCTCTGAAACTGCTGGACTGATTTAACATAGGCTACTTTATTTTAGAAAAAGAATTAGGGTTCCGCTCAAAAAAATAAAACATACCTAGGGACAAACCCAAGCGAAGTGAGGGAGAGTCGCTACTCGCTAGTCCCTATAAAGGAGTAAGTAACAAACGTACAAATATAAAATTTTGCACTTACATTATAGTAGTAGCGTGAAAATAGAAGTATTGTAGCAGGAATTTTAATAACTTTACACAACAAGGCAAATATAAACATATTTCAGATTCAACCATTCCAAGACCAGCCCGGGCCATGGAGAACTGACAGTGGAACTAATAGTAGTGGAAACGACACTCGCAATTTTGGTCCAGCCATTAACTGTGGGCCGTACTTTAATTCGCAAATCCTAGCAGGCCTCATGGTCACCATGTTTTGCTTGGGTATACTGACGTATGGCGTCGTCTCAATGTATAATTGCAAATCTAATGATAGATATGATGACCAAAATGGCAAACCGTTGGTCATTGCGTTCGAAGGAGGCCTATAACTTTTAATACGTACAATAAGACCTTTTTTTCTATAATAAAAATATATTTAAAAATAGGAAATTTGCTTTAATAAGAACTTTTGAATTGTCAAGATAACAAATAATGACTAACAACTGATGATTGTATGTAATTAAACTTATGTTACGTATGAGAATATGCTATGTATATAAATGTTTTAGTTAAATAATAATTTAAAATGATTAATTCAATATGTCAATTTAAGTTTTTGATGTTGTGTGTAAGAAAATATAGATACAATAAAAAAAAATCTTAACTATAATTGATTTACTAACCTGTAAAACGCCATTTTTTATTTCAAATATCGAATATTTATTTTTATTATTATATACATGTATTGCCATTTTTTGGCAAATTTTATACCAATTGTATTCTACATTATCCAAACCTGTCCAGCCGAAGGTGTAATAAACATACAAATATATACACAGTTCGCAATTATATAAAATAGTAATATAGTGTGAAAAGTACACATTTACAGAACTTTTAAAATAGATCCATTGATTTTAAATTAAAAAAAAATGGAATAACAATATATTCGACTTTATGAAAAACGACACCTACTTTTCTATATAATTTTCCTGTAAATACGGCTGTGCGTTTCTGATATACGAAATTATTGTTCGTAAATGTGGCGTTGGTGTGAACTGATGTGACATGATTTTAAGTGGTTCTACAGTTTAAATACAAGGGGCTCACATTAGCTTCGCTCTATCCCACGGGAACCGTACATTTTTTCGGGATAAAAATAGCCTATATATTATTCTGATGTATGAGCTATATTTTTGTAGTTTGATTAAAATCCATTCAGTAGTTTTGGCTTGCATGGCGACATCCACACGTCCTCACAAACTTTCGCATTTATATTAGTAGGATTTAACGCGTAGAAATGTTAATTTAAATTGTTTTCATTATCTATGTAATTACCTGAAATCTGATTAGACTTTCATTTAAATAAAAACATTCTATGTATTTTTAACGACTATTTTAATAATTTTATTATTTCTCAATATTTTAATTATTTTGTAGTAGATATAAAGCAAGTTTTACTAAATAAAAACATAATAAAGTAAATTGATTTCACATGGTTGGAAACCTTCGAATCTCATTAGGTTAAATAAAAAATCAGGCGAATTCTATACTTGTCTATGAAAGTAAAATAGATTATAGATGTGCCTTGCTTTGGCTTAATCTGTGTCAATGAAAACTTTGAGTTGCCAAAATATGTAATTTTTATTTTTTTTATACACTGGTAACATTTGAATATTTCTTGATTTTAGATAGTAGTCTCCATTTTGTCATCCATGGTCTCCATTTTTAATCTGTGTTTAGATTTAACGTATTTATTCGTAGTGGTAACATTCTCTTTGAGACAGTGCCAATTGGCGGGTAAATTACCCGAAAAGGGTAATTTTAGGCGATTTTTGATGGCGGGTAATTTCGACGGGTATTTGCATTGTGCGGTGTCAAAGTAGGTATTTCAGTTTAGCTGATTAATTTGATAGATAAGTTTTTTTAAATGTTTGATTTAATAATTTAAAGCTGTTTAATTGAGAACTGATTACAATGTCTTCTTTTTTCTAGCATTAGTACTTTCTTTTATTCTATATAAAACATTAATTAATTACTGTACAACACTATTTTCGAGTATTGTGCTCGTGGTTGGCGCCGGCGGCATAAACCGGGTAATTTGAGGTTTATTGGTCGGGAAATTAACAACTTTTCTGGCAGCCCTGTTTATGATCGATTTCAACCATGGATGACAAAATTTCAACTTTCAAGGGTAGAGTGTAGACTATACTGTAGACACCAGACTGTAGGTTTTATATATGTAGCAATATACTCTATGCTGTAGGTGTAGATGTAGGGTCAATTTTTTGTCATCAATGGAGTCAATAAAGTGATACCGCCTCGGTGGTGTAGTGGCTAGCATGTACGGCTGCACACTCGGAGGTCCTGGGTTCGAGTCCCGGGTCGGGCCAAGTTTAGTTATTGAGTCTTTCTGTATAGTAAGTCTCAGTAACATCCCGGAGTTGGGAAGTTGGTGGTGTTTCACCCCCGTGCCTCGGAGAGCACATAAAGCCGTCGGTCCTGCGCCTTAACTCACTGGTCGCGTCGAGCAGTCGTCCCACCAGAGTATGAGAGTGACAGGAACAGAGAGTGCACGTTGTGTTTGTGCATACACTTGTGCACTATAATATCTCCTGTGCAGTTGGCTAGTCTCAATGAGATTGGCCGCCGTGGCCGGAATCGGTCAGGAGAACATCATCAGTGAGGTTGCATATTAATTTTTATTTATCATCCATGATTTTTGCTTAACGATATTATTGTCAATTACTAATTAATTAATTTTCATAATATTTTTGTTCAATGAATGTGTTTTGTTTCACTGATCAGTCATCAAACAAACACCTCTCTCACCACACCTCATAGGTATTAGTTCTTTTACTAGCGAGGGTAAGTCTCGTCAGGATCGAATACAAAATTAGTATAAATGAAAATTAACAAAAGAAAATATCTCTATGTGGTTTATTGAAATTGCAAAATAATTGCCATCTTAATATAGTAAAGAAAATACTTATTACTAATATTAAAGATTTCATCAGAATCGGTTCAATTTTTGTTTCTTTGCATATTTCTTACTACTTTTCTAAAAACTTTTTATTAGTACAAGTGACTCACCTTCGCTTCGCTCGGGTTGGTCCCTAGCTGGATTCCCCGTACAAATTTTCATCCCCATTTTCACCACCTTAAGGGATGATTTCCGGGATAAAAAGTATCCTATGTCCTTCCCAGGGTATCAAACTATCGTCTTACCAAATGTCATATAAATCGGTTCAGTAGATCCAGAGATTACTCCCTACGTCACAAAATCTCTTTTTAATATTGTATAGATTAGTATGTTTTATTTGCATGTTATATATGTATGTATGATGACTTTCAGGCAAAGAGCGAGGATCAGAACACTAAAGTGCTTCAAGCTTACACTATACTAACACTAAAATGCTTGGTATTTCAAGGGTGCTTCGGTCCATCATGGAGTCACCCTTGGATCAAGACGAGGATGCTACGGGAGGCGCTGCACTCGCCGCTGTACCAGCGCCTGCCAGCAACAGGCCAGCTTTGGACTTTATATGATTTTAAGGGGGACAAACTTTCCAGATTATCCGATTTCACCAGAATAGAGAGAGAGAGAGAGTAATGTTGGTCCGAAAACTCCACTGACAACCCACCCATATATACCATTTTCTTTGACAGATGGGATCGACAAAGTACCTCGAAGATAAATACGAGTAAATACCAAATGCCATTTTTTCCTGTTTTTTGTACGAAAATCATAATTAAAAAATAAAATGATTATTTCAGAAAGTTTTTCTTTTATTTACATATTTACTCACCCTTGGGTTTGTCCCTGTTTTAACGGCAGTAATTAGTATAGATTTCTCAAGAGATATTTTCCAACAGTACAAAGTATCTTTTAATATGTTGACCCGGATAACCAGCTATCATCATAGAAAATGTCATCTCTATCCAGTGGTTTTCTCGTGATTGTTGGTTTTCTCATACAGACACAAAAATTCTAAAAACTATACATTCGGCTTCTGTATCGATAATAATGACTATTTCAATAAGATTTTCCCAAAAATATTTAATACACAGATTCAACTTAAAAAGAATCTTAATATATGTATAGATAAATAACGCATATAATTCAAGGATTTTCTCAAAATATAATCAAATAAAAACAAAAAATTTTGAAATAATATATTTCACTAAATTTCTAATTCCACATACAATTTCTCATACCGACCGGACCACACAAACAAATGTTCAGAGCAAAAATTATAATGCATATATACATTATCATTAAAACAATATAAATAATAAAACTGTTAGTTTGTCCATTCATTAGAAAAAAAAATATATACAAAAATACTCTACATATTTTGAGACACAAGTTCTAATTTCTTTTAATATATGCACTATAACTTTCTGAGACACAAATTGTGAACAAAAAACAACAAAAACAAGCAACATTCAAAGTTTGTGAGAATTTTATAACATATTAATAATAAACCAATGGAGTGGACGTAATATATATAAATTTAAAACATGGCACAAAAATAAAAATGGTCTAAATATGGGAATATGCGTGTGATTTAAAATAAAGGTGAAATATTTTTACTTTATAATCTTTAATGCTTTTGAATTCCCCGTACAAACTTTCATCCCTGTTTTCACCCCCTTTCTGATTTTAATTTCTGGGATAAAAAGTATCCTATGTCCTTCCCAGGGTCTTAAGCCATCTTCTTACCAAATTTCATCTAAATTGGTACAGTAGATCCAGAGATTATCCCCTACAACGTCACAAATTTTACCTCTTTATAATATTAGTATACATTTACGTCCAAACACCATCAAAATCTACAATAAATGCACTCACCCAAACCTTGAATATGTTATAAAATCGACGCAAACAGACATACATTCAAAATTGAACGCCTTAGGAAATACCAGTCCTTTACAATAACAATATTACAACATATTTTCGTATATATATGAAACATTAACCGATTTTGAAAAGAAAAAAATATATTCCAAATATTATTTGGGGGTAACTTTGAACTAAAAAATGTACGCTAATCTCGCAATTTTAGCATGTATATGGGGAAAAAAAATAATTTCATGCCAAAAATTCATTTATATTGTAGAGATTGCCATTTTTATTCAATATTAAACCTCGACGGTTCAAAATTACCCGAATAAATTTATATTTCATAATATTTGAATGCGGCAAGACGATCCCATATTAAAAAAAATGACAAATTGACAAACAAAATGTATATATGGACCTTATGATATACATAGAAAAAGGTCATATCCTGATTTTTTCAAAAAAAATAGGATCTTGATAATATATCTTTATTTATTGATGGCTTTTAGGCTAAATTTTTTAAGTCATAGACAATTATATATTTTTTATTTGCCTACAACTTAAAATTATACATCTTCAAACTCGATCAAGTGTCATATAAATGAAAACGCTAAAATAAATTAAAACTACAATCTTAAGCTATTGAATCACTACTTTTGGTGCAAAAATTAAAAAAAGAAAAGAAAGAAAAACATTTTTTTCATACTACTGACATTTACTTATACTATAAGTAACTTTTTTATGTATTTAGAAGGTTCTAGATGAAATTTCCATCTTTTTTTCTTTGAAGCAATACGGAGCCAAGCATATTTATTTCTGATCTTTAATTATTTCACATATTTAGTGAAAATTATTAAATATTCAACAAATTTGCACAACAAATTTACATATAACCATTGTATATGAACAGACGGGCCACTATTTGGTTGTGTGTATATATATTATTATATATTAATTAATAACTAACTAAATCAATTCTTCTTTTCCTCCTTCTTCTCTTCCTCTCCCTGCGTTTGATGAGACGATTGTGATGCACCTTCGCGTTCGGCCGCCATCTTGTAAAAAAAAGTCATGTTTACATATATTTTTTTCATACATAAAAATAGGCAGTGGCAGCCCAGTGGTAACGTGGTCGCTTGAAAACCCGAAGCGGGTTCAAATCCCGCGATACTTTTAAATAATATTCTACAAATTTAGCGTTTTTAATTTTTTTTTTGAAATACATTTTTTTTCCATAGCCTATTTAAAACAAATCCAAGCACTTTTTTATAGCTATTATATACATCATTTTCGAAATAAAAAAAAATTAACTTGTAAGACTGAAAAAAATTGTGAAACATTGAATCTTACATGACATTGAGAAAAAAATTTTTTCTTTGTTACTTCCCACTGCATTCCATCAAAATTTAGAGGGGTCAATTTGACATGGAACAACCCCATATATATATAGCCAATGTGGAAGCAGAAATAAGTAAATGATTAGAAAATGAAATCACACTGTATAAGTCCGCTCCGTTGCTGTAGCACAGTTGCTTGACCACTGCACCTAATTTAAATGGAACTGTGGCTCAAATATGTGCAATCTATGTTAATTCTATACAAATCTAATAGTGGTCATGCTTGTAGGGCTGTGGTAGTCCAGTGGTGACGAGCTCACTTGGGGAACCGAGTGAAGCAGTTTCAAATTCTCTGGTCTCGGACCTTTGATATTATTGTCATCATCATTTCTAACATGATACCCACTTGTCTTCCACTTCACTTGAAGGAAAACATCAAGATGAAACTGCATATCTGAGACAATCTAGCAAGTTTTGGAAGGATATGTAAAGTCCGACCCGCACTCGGCCAGCATGGTGGACAATGGCCTGATACCTTCGTATTGAAGAGAGGCTTGTATCCAGCAGTAAGACGTTAAAAAGGGTAGAATACATACCTTCTTGTATGCCTGCTCAAACAGTTTCAAGCTCGCCTGCTGCAGAGTGCCGGTGGCTGATCTGATGGCTTCAGGGTCTGCCGTCTCCTTCTGAGCGAGCAGTTCACGGAGTTTGCCCATCTCCTCACGTAGTTTGTCACACTGGGGATTGAAACACATTTTATTATAGAAATATTTAAAAATAATTAAATATGTTGCCACATTAACACACAGCACCATCTAGGTCTATGGAAAGCTACGAGACTTAGAAATTATGTTTTTCTTTTTTGAATTTCTCTTAAACATGTTTCATCAAAACGAGTCTAGTTTATAATTTTCCCATTCTGCGTGACACTGACAAAGTAATCTTTCACTTGCACGCTTTAAAACTATTAAAAAGAAAAGAATTTTTTAATAGTACATTTTCAAATTCTACTTTAAAATTTATTGCCACAAATCCGTTGATATATAAAAAACATAGATACACATTTCTTAACAAATATCTCTTTAAAAAGTGGCGTCGACGACAAAAATGGCAAGTTCTAATTAACGCAACACAAATTCGAACTTACGCACACCACATAAAATACTTTTTTAAATGAAACAACGTGCGTTTTAATTTTGTCATCCGAAAAACAATAAACAAAAAACACAATTTTGAATTGTGCGCTTCTTTTTAAGCACATTTTGAGCACAAATCTATATATATCTACATACAGATAAATAAAATTGAAGTGTCTGTTTGAAATGTTAAAGTAACAGTGTTTTACTAAATGCATATGACATTATATACGGTACTTATAAGAAAAACACAATTTTTACATTTTTTGTCTGTCTGTCTGTTCCGGATAATCTCCAAAAACGGCTGGACTAATTTTGACGGGACTTTCACTACAAGATAGCCGATGTTATAAGGAGTAACATAGGCTAGTTTTTTTTTAGAAAAAGAATTAGTTCCGCTCAAAAAAATTAAAACGTACCTAGATAGCCCCTGGAATATATTTCTAAAATGTCATAAAAAAACCAATGTATCTAACATACATATATATATATATATATATATGTATGTATAAATGTAGGCCATCGTAAATCGTCTCACGCGTAAGCGACACGTGAGGGGATAACACGACGCCATCACTCTCGCATCCGGCTTTACCCACCAAATATTACATATTTGATTGGCTTATATGGGATGCTGATTGTGTTACCAGATTACCTTTTATTAATATTACTTTTTGACATTAAAGAAAAACAATAATTTGCTAATAATTTTAGTAGAACGTTCAGAGTATAGTTACCAGTTGTATTTTTATTCTTTGCTTTTAATCCAAAAAAGACAAAAATTTATACTCATCTACTTTAATGTTTATAAATGTGAAAAATAACAAAAGAAAAAACCAGTGACTAATCCTTATTATTCATCATCACCGCATCTCCTGGCAGTGAGAGTTGACAATTTCTTGACAGAAATATTCAGTAACTGAACTTGGCCCGACCCGGGACTTGAACTCAGAACATGCTACACTGTCGTACATGCTAGCCACTACACTGAGACAGTTAAAACTGTCATATATAACGTAACCTGATATACAAAACCCACCTAATCCTGTAGTAAACGAGCCCTGTACATCTCAAGCTTGGTGTCACTACCATGGAGGGTTTCATCCGCCTGTTTGTTTGATTTTATTGTATTTTTTATGTAACATACAGCACTGGATTTACACTAGGCTAGGCACTCGGGCGCTAGTGCCCAGGGCGGCAAATTTTTAGAGGAGGCACGGAGTGGGGAAATTTTTTTCTTCGCGTTATCGAAAGTGGTTTTTATGTTTTCCAAAAAATGAATTATTAAAAAAACTAACTAGAACATTTTTCAAAAAATTTTGAATTCATTTGTAAATTAATTTTAAGCATTTTTCAAAAAATCTAATAATATAAAAAATGGAAACTTTATCGAAACTTTACATTTTATGCAAAATTTCGATAATAGGGCAGCATTATTATAGTGCCCAGGGGCGGCGCTAAGGTTGAATCCGGCACTGGTAACATACAACTCATACAGATTATGTATGCATCAAAAATGATCTGATATACAAAACCAACTTCATCCTGCGATAGCTGAGCCTTATACACTCGAAATTTTGTATGTAACATACATCATACAAATTAAATATGTACCGAATGACCTATACAAAACCCACCTCATCCTGCGGCAGCTGAGCCTTGTACTCTTCCAGCTTGGTGTCCGTGTCGTGGAGCACTCCCTCCGCCTGGTTGGCGGCCTCCACGCGCTCGCGCCGGTCCTTGTCCGCAGCCGCGAACTGTTCCGCCGCCTTCACCATGTTCTCTATCTCGTCCTTGGACAGACCACCCGACGATTGGATCACGACTGGAATATGAATTTATTGTTTTAATCTATACTAATATTATAAAGAGGTAAAGTTTGTGAGGTTGTAGGGGGTAATCTCTGGATCTACTGAACCGATTTAGATGAAATTTGGTAAGAAGATAGTTTGAGTCCCTGGGAAGGACACAGGACTCTTTTTATCCCGGAAGTCATCCCTTAAGGGGGTGAGAATGGGGTTAAAAATTTGTATGGGGAATCAAGCTAGGGACGAACCCGAGCGAAGCGAAAGTGAGTCGCTAGTTATGTACATAATTATACACAGGCCTTTTTATAATGCCTCACTGCTGGGCATGAGGCTCGTATCAATGCGAGAGGGAACAGGCCATAGTCCACCACGCTGGCCAAGTGCGGGCAGAGTGAGCATATCTTTCGAAAACTTATTTGGCTTTTTCAGTAAGACAAGTGGTAATCATATTGGAAATTATTCGCACATGATAATATCAGAGGTGCGAGACCCGGGATTTGAACTCACTTCACTCGGTTACCCAAGCGAGCGCGTTACTACTGGACTACCACTGCCTCAAATAAAAAAAATACGTAAAAGTTGAGTAGAAAAATGACTATATTCGTAAATTCTGTAATGTTTTCAAAATAATCCAATCAAAAAAAATAATTTAATGGAAACCAAAAATTTAAATTAATTATTAATTTAAAAAATCAGTGGGCCACCTAAAAATTTTTTTTTTTTTCAAAAATTTTGTTTTTATTTTAAAAACTACACCTAAGAAAAATTTTTTTTTCTCTCCCCCTAGTAGGTACATCCAAACACTGAAAGTTAAATAAAAGCTTACGAAACCATCAAAACTCACTTTGCTGTTCTTTTCCGGTGCCCTTATCCCTTGCAGACACATGCACAATGCCGTTAGCATCTATATCGAAGGTAACCTCGATCTGGGGAACTCCCCTGGGTGCAGGGGGGATGCCCACCAAGCTGAACTGTCCTAGGAGTTTGTTGTCTGCAGCCATCTCACGCTCGCCTTGGTGCACTTTGATTTCCACCTGGGTTTGACCGTCCGCAGCTGTGAGAAAGATAGAAAAAAAATATTAATTTGTTTCCACAAGAAACTGATCTTTGGTAAATATGAAAATAAAATGAAAATTTTAAGTAAAACTATTTTTTCGGTTTTTTTTTGCAATCTGCAAAAAAAATCTATATAATCTATTTTTAGTCCATTGTTATAGACAGTAGGTACCAACCCACACAAAATATATAATGAGCTTTGAGACGTCAAAAACCTAAGTCTAGTAGCATTCGATATAACAAAAAAACCCGAAAAGGTAGTTTTGTTTAAAACGTCAAATATTTACGCAAATCTAAGAAAGTATTAAAATGAAAATTACTGTAATGAATATAATAATAAAATTATATCAAAATATATACATATATAATAAATGAATGTAGCGCGGTTTCTAGGAAAGCCCACGACACAGGTCGCGACCAGCTGGTGCCGCGCGTCTCTCTCGCAGCGCTGCAAAAGCTCAGACATACTCATGTAGGAGCTGATCGGCGATGCGGTAATTAAAACATATATTCAACTAGCATTGCCCGCAGCTCCGCCCGCATTCAGGTGACCAAAAACCAAAGTCTTAGGTTTTACATATAAGTATATTCTTACATTGCAGTTTTTGTATTTTTTCTCAGAAATGAGACATTTTCCCGCGGTAAAAAGTATCCTATATGTTGAACCCGGATAACCAGCTATCACTATACCAAATTTCATCAAAATCCCTCCAGTGGTTTTTCTGTGATGCGGTAACAGACAGACAAGACAAAAATCCTAAAAACGATACATTCGGCCTCTGTATCGATAATAATGTCTATTTCAATAAGATTTTCCAAAAAATATTTAATGTACAGATTCGGCTTAGTTACAATTTTATTATATGTATAGATTATATAGATATAGAAAAAAAGTATTATGTTCTTTTTAAAGTAATAAAACTGGCAATAGTGAATTGAAACACTCATCCAACTCACCGGTAGAGAACACCTGACTCTTCTTGGTAGGTATTGTTGTGTTCCTGGTGATCAGCTTGGTGAACACACCACCAAGGGTCTCTATTCCCAGGGAGAGAGGGGTCACGTCTAGGAGCAGGATGTCTGTCACGTCCCCGGCCAGGACTCCACCTTGGACCGCTGCACCCACTGCCACAGCTTCATCTGGGTTCACCGATCTGGAGGGAGCTCGGCCGAATATCTCTTGCACTGTGCTTTGGACCTATGAAAAAAATAAAAGTAGATAAAAATCTATATGATAATATGCCTCCAAAAAAAAACAAAACTTTTTTTTGATGTGAAACATCTAATGCGGCGTGTTAAGCCGGCTGTTGGCTTGGCGACGCGTCACGTCGCCACGCCCTAGTAAAGAGATAACTCTCAGACCCCCCTTCCCGACGACGATCCGCTCCTCCCTTTTTAATATTGGTCTTATATTACAATGTATTTTTTAATAGATTTTTTCTTTTAAAAAAAAAAAGTGAATATTTTGATTTTAATTATGTCATATTACTGACTTTAAAAACCATCTGTCATACATATGTTTTATGCAAAATAGTTGCGATGTTTCACATCTGCCAAACGTACATCGACGGCTTTAATTTTTTATTCTAATGCTATTTCTCTGAGTAATCTTACTACTACATAAATGCGAAAGTTTGTATGGATGGATGTTCGTTACACAATCACGCCAGAACGGCAGAACGAATCTGGATGAAATTTGGCACAGAGATAGATTATAATCTAGAATAGCACATAGGTTACTTTTTATCTCGGAAAAATGTACGGTTCCCGTGGGATAATGTTTTTGCCTAGGTACGAATGCGAAGCAAAGCGAAGATAAATCGCTAGTTGCTGACAAGTGTAGATTAAAATGTTTACTTAAGACCTATGTTACAATTTGCTATTTAAAATCTTTATATATTACAATTTAATGTCACCAGCCGAATTGGGTTTGTGAGTTTGTAAAAATTTTAAAAACTTATTATATATAAATAAAACTGTTTGAAGATTATAACCCGAGTGTATACAGATACTCTCGGGGAATATGTCGCCATGTTGCTCTCGCACCGGTCTGAGAGACTCGCGACGCTAACCTTAGAGAGGTTGGTGTCGATTTGTGCTTTAGTGCATTAACTTCACATACCCTGGACACTTCACGCTAAATTCCACTTATCCCTGGACTCTCACACCCTGGGCCACACACTAGCTCCCACACACCCTATACACCCCATTCACATACCATCAATTCCACAACCCACAGTATCTGATATACCTGTGACACGACCCGACACCCACACCCTGAACTTACACTATCTCCCCACATACCCTGGACACCTCGGTCTTTCAGACTCAGACACTCCCATACCATCTCTCCATAAATTCCCATGAAAAAAAAAAATGTGCTAAAGGCTATTTATACAATAAATGAATTTACAGAAGATGGCACGCCTTGGGAATGAAATGATCGCCTCCAGTCTACTTCAACTTGATAGAAATATTGTAAATTATAATTTAACTTAAAAAAAAAAGATAATGAGTTAATTTTAGTCCCGCTGAGTTTCTTTCGCTAGTTCTTTTCAGGTCTGAGGCTTCTTCTTTCCGAACTGGTAGTAGACTCATGACGTTCAGTAAAAGAATGTAATTATTTAATGCTGTATAAAATATTTTGAATTTGAATTTATACCCTGGCCACCCCAGTCATTCATCCCCCGCCCCCACATACCATGGAAGCCCCGGTACCTCTTCCTTTACCGTACCTTGGGCATCCTGGTCATCCCCCCCACAAGCAGCACCTCCCCCACGTCGGTGCGCGCCACCTCAGCGTCCTGCAGCGCGCGCTGGCATGGCGCCACCGTGCGCTTGATCAGGTCACCCACTAAAGACTCCAGCTTGGACCGAGTCATCTGAAAATTTGGGGAAAATATTCCATTATTATCATTAATTGCATACATAAAATATAAAGAAATAATATATCAAGGAAAAAAGGAAGAAATGAAAAAAAAAACTAATCCATCATATTATTATAGACAAAATAAATAAAATTAAAGTACAGTACATATTGTAAATATTATAAATCTGTACATATAAAAAATTCCAACTAAGCTGAATCTGTACATTAAATATTTTTTGGAAAATTTTATTGAAATAATCATTATTATCCATACAGAGACCGAATCTATAGTTTTTAGATTTTTTGTCTGTCTGTTTGTTACCGCATCACAGAAAAACCACTGGAGGGATTTTGATGAAATTTGGTGTGATGATAACTGGTTATCCGGGTCAACATATAGGAAACATTTTTTACCGCGGGAAAATGTCTCATTTCTGAGAAAAAATACAAAAAATGCAATGTAAGAGTATACTAATATATAAACCTAAGAATTAGGTTTTTACTCATCTGAACGCGGGCGGAGCCGCGGGCAGTGCTATTTAATTAATATTGAAATCTAAATTCAAAATATAAAACTGTAAACTTAAAACATTCTGCATTTTAAAAAGATACATCAATTATAATTAAAGACTTATTATACACTAGCGACTCTCCCTCGCTTTACTCAGGTTCGTTCTTAGCTTGCTTCCCAATACAGACTTTCATCCCCATTATCACCCCCATTAAGGGATGGTTTTAGGGAAAAAAGTATCCTATGTCCTTCCCAGGGTCTCAAGCTATCTTGTTACCAAATTCTATCTAAATCGGTTCAGTAGATCCAGAGATTACCCCCTACAATGTCACAAACTCACAAACTTTACCTCTTTATAATATCAGTATAGAAGTAATAATGTAACAAAACGTTTTTAGCCCACCATGCCAACTAAGCAAAGATGGGTGGTTTATATTCTGTGCTACTCTGGCACTATTTTGTAGGATCTCAACTATATAGCGCTGAGAACTAAATTTAAACAGTGCATCTCCATTACACTACAATTGTAAATGCGACAATTTGAATTTGTGTATGTATGTTACTTCTTCTTTGATGACATGTTTGGCTCAGTTTGTAGTGACCCTACATACTGTACCAGATACGGTCGCGGGTTAGAGTCTCGCTGGGGGCATTCATTTGTGTGATGATCAGGAATGTTTATACTCCAGTCATGGGTGTTATAAGACTTTTTTTATCATGTTCAAACAAAACTACAAAGAAAAAGAACTAAAAAATATTGAATATGTGACCCCTAATTATCCCATAATCCCCCCACCCATTCTAATATATAAATATATATAAATATAATAAATGTGAGTTTGTGAGTATGGGTGTTTGTTACTCTTTCATGCCAGAATGACTGAACTGATCTGGATGTGATTTGGCACAAGAGATAGATTATAGTTTGGAATAGTACATAGGTTACTTTTATCCCGGAAAAATGTACCATTCCCGTGGGATAGATTTGATTTTATCTTTCGCCAGTCAAAACATATTTTTTGAATAAACATCTTTAATGAACTGATATATTATTTAAGCAAAGTAAATTACCTTCAAATTCATATGCTTAGGTCCGGACGAGTCCATGGTCAAGTATGGGAGGTTGATGTCCGTCTGTAGGGATCCGGAGAGTTCTATCTTGGCCTTCTCCGCTGCTTCCTTAAGACGTTGCATCGCCATCGCGTCCTTGCGGATATCTAGGCCTTGCTGTTGACGAAATAAAAAAATATAATCTACACTAATATAATAAATGTGAAAGCGTGTTTGTTTGTCCTTCTTTCACGTCAAAATAGAGTGACGGATTAACGTGATTATTTTGGGTGGAAATAGTTGGAGGGCTGGAGAGTTACATAGGATTATCTCATTCTCACGGGAAAACACGTTATAATACAACCCACAACAACTCATCTATAATATATATACATACTAATCGTTAAAACGTACATAGGGACGAACCCTAGAGAAGCGAGTGTGTGTCAATTGTTCTTTATATATATTTCTATATAATTCTTCTGTATGTGTATATGTCACTAAGCTCTTTCGGAGCCATGTAGACGACTAGACCGATTTCGATCTTAATGACATTTTTGTGCGTTTCCTAAAGAAAAGCTAATGTTCAGGACCGCTTGTATACTATATATTCTATAATATAATATAAATGAATTATAATAAATGTAGCGCGGTTTCTAGGAAAGCCCACGACACAGGTCGCGACCAGCTGGTGCCGCGCGTCTCTCTCGCAGCGCTGCAAAAGCTCAGACATACTGATATAAGAGCTGATCGGCGATGCGATTATATATACAGATTAATAAAATTGAAGTGTCTGTTTGTAATGTCAAAATAACAGCTATACGGTACTTATAAGAAAATATCAATTGTTATTTTTTTTGTGTTTTTGTTCCAGCCAAAATCAATCAATCAATCGCCAAATCAGCTGGATCGATTTTGAAGGGACTTTCACTGGCAGATGGCCGATATTATAAGGAGTAACTTAGGCTACTTTTATTTTAGGAAAAAAAATAAACATTTCTCAGAATCTAGCAAGTTTTTGAAAGACATGTCCAGTCCACTTACACTAGGCCAGCGTGGTGGACTATGGCCTGACAACCCTCGTATTGAAGGGAGGCCTACCCCAAGCAATGGAACGTTAAAAATGGCTGAATACTTTACTCACATCACGTTTAAACTCGTCCACCAGGAAGTTAACAATGACGTTGTCAAAATCCTCACCACCAAGCAGGGTGTCTCCGTTGGTGGACTTCACTTCAAACACTCCCTTCTGTATCTCGAGAACGGATATGTCGAATGTACCACCGCCAAGATCGTACACTGCAATACTGCGGATCAAAATTGAAAATATAGTCTAAAAATAAAAAACTCAACTGCATAAAAGTTAACTGACAAGTGATAAATTAAAAATGTAGAAAAATCCCTGACCATCTTGGACTGATTTTCATCAAACATAACTAAGAAGACTTCCACCTAATTCACCTTTCAAGCAAAAAAAAAAACAAAATCGGTTCATCCGTTCGGGAGCTACGATGCCACAGACGGACACACACAACATACAGACACGTCAAACTTATAACATCCCGTCGTTTTTGGGTCGGGGGTTAAAAAGATACAAAACAAGTTGACGAAATAATATAAGTACATACATATTACGTAATTTTTTCTTTTTCACAATATGGCGTCTGGTTGTCGCCATATTGAATTTTAGTTACTATCTTGTCTTTAGTGACAGTAGCAAGCGTAAGAACTAAGAATCATCAAAATCGGCCCACGCGTTTGGTCTCTAGAGTGCAACAAAGGAACAAATATACATACATACATAGGCTGATAAACACATTACCCTCCTTTGCCGTGCAGTCGGGTAATAATTTAATAGTTAGTAGTTTATTTTTGTATGATGTACTCCTCTCTTAATGCCCACCACTTTCAAAGTCCACCACGCTGGTCAAGTCCGAGGACTGAGCATGTCTTTCGGAAACTTGCTAGGTTCTCTCAGACATACAGGTTTCCTCGCGATATTTTTCTTCACCGTTAAGACAAGTGGTAATCATGTTGGAATTGTTTCACGCATGAAAATATCAGAGGTGCGAGACCCGGGATTTGAAACCGCTTCACTCGGTTTCCAAAGCGAGCGCGTTACCACTGGGCTACCACCGCCCTCAAAAAACTACTACGAACTAACCTCAACGAGAAATAATAAAAGTGTAATAAAGGTGTATGAACAAACCCACATAAGGCTCAAATATGTGAAGGGATACAAGTAAAAAAATTAAAAAAAAACACACACACACACTTAAAATATCAGTTTGTACCCTAATCCCAATTCCGAGGGATAACACAAGTAAAAAAGTAAAAAAACACATTCAAAATATATGTCTGTACCCTAATCCCGTGGGATAACATATACAAAGACAACTCACACTTTGTCCTCGGTCTTGTCCATGCCGTACGCGAGCGCGGCGGCGGTCGGCTCGTTGATCACTCGCAACACGTTCAAACCCGCGATTTGACCTGACATTTTAATGTTATTTTATATATGTAGTTCAATAACATATAATACATATAATAAAATTCTATGTATTTCGTTTTTTTTTTAAATTTGTTTTTTTTACAGTAGGCATAATAAATCTATACATATAATAGAATTCTAACTGAATCTGAACTGAAATAGTAATTATTATCAATACAGAGGCCGAATCTATAGTTTTTAGAATTTTTGTCCGTCGGTCTGTCTGGGAACGCATCACGATAAAACCACTGGAGAGATTTTGATGAAATTTGGTATGGTAATAGCTGGTTATCCGGGTCAACATATAGGATAGTTCTTACTGTGGGAAAATATCTCATCTCTGAGAAATCTATTGTAAACGTTAAATATGAAATATATATTAATTTTCTTTAATATTTTTCTTAAAATAGCTAAATATAAATACATATATTTCAAAGGCATATTAAAAATAAATGTAGCGCGGTTTCTAGGAAAGCCCACGACACAGGTCGCGACCAGCTGGTGCCGCGCGTCTCTCTCGCAGCGCTGCAAAAGCTCAGACATACTACATGTAGGAGCTGATCGGCGATGCGGTAATTAAAATATATATTCAACTAGCATTGCCCGCGGCTCCGCCCGCGTTCAGATGATCAAAAACCAAAGTCTTAGGTTTTACATATTAGTATACTCTTACATTGCAGTTTTTGTATTTTTTCTCAGAAATGAGACATTTTCCCGCGGTAAAAAGTATCATATATGTTGAACCCGGATAACCAGCTATCATCATACCAAATTTTATCAAAATCCCTTCAATAGTTTTTCCGTGATGGGGTAACAGACAGACAGACAGACAGACAGACAGACAAAAATTCTAAAAACTATAGATTCGGCCTCTGTATCGATAATAATGTCTATTTCAATAAGATTTTCTAAAAAATATCTAATGTACAGATTCGGCTTAGTTACAATTTTATTATATGTATAGATAAAAAAGATTGGAATCATATAATTTACTTTTGTTTTTCACCGAGCAAGGGATCGACTATCAATTCCATACTAACCTTTAAAACTTAGCAGTACATAAAAGTTTGTATTAAAGTTATATATAGAATATGCATACATTTTCATCAGAGGTGGTGATGTTGTAAACGTTACTTTTTTTTTAATTTACCAACCAAAAGAGATCTTTTCAAGACAGCATGATTTATTGTAGTTATACTTCTTTGGCACGTTTAGAAAAAAATACGAGTAAAATTTTTACGATGCGCACGCACACCGACAGCCAAAAAGCGACATGATGAAGTTCCTTTCACAAACAGAGAGTTGTGACATACAGGGTGCAACCTTTAGCTATTTATGTTCTGTTACACCAAAGAAGTATAACTTCTTACGTGCGTACATAAGTACACACACACACACGTCTTCTATATATACATAATTTCGTATATATATATATATATATATATATATATATATATATATATATATATATATATATATATATATATATGACAGCATAAGTACCAGATGAACCAGACCAGAAAAGAAAAACAATACATACCAGCATCCTTCGTAGCCTGCCGTTGGGAGTCATTGAAGTAAGCAGGCACAGTCACCACTGCATTCTTCACACTCGTGTTGAGGTACGCCTCTGCGGTTTCCTTCATCTTCATCAGTACAAACGCTCCTATTTGACTTGGCGAGTACACTTTGCCATCGCTACCTATAAAGAAGAAATAATAATAAATATATATATGTTCGGACATTAACACACATCACCATCTAGTTCCATGGTAAGCTACGAGGATTGTGTTATGGATACCAAGTAGTTGATACACTACACATATATAACTTTAAATACATACATATTATAAATGTAAACACCCATGACTGGAGTACAAACATTCATTCTCGTCACACAAATGAATGTCCCCTCCGGGACTCGAACCCGCGACCGCTGGCACAGCAATTAGGTTCACTACAGACTGAGCCAAACGTATCATCCTAATCAATCAAATATTATTTTTAATTAACATTGAAATAGGCATATATGCATCCTTACATAATTGTGTGACTGAATGTCTGCGTGTATATATTAAAATGTATTATGTATGAGTGTGTATGCACGGACTAACTCCTCCTTACTCCTTCAAAACGACTGGACAGATTTGGTTGAAATTTAGCACACAGATAAGATTATAGCCTGGAGAACTAAAGCTATTCCCACCCATGGAGACTGCATAATGGATAATATATTAATGATTAAACACAAGGGGCAGAGCACTAGCAAAATTCGGAAGATTGAAAAAGAAAATCTTTCCGTTATCCAAAATGTTTTTTTTTTTCGTTTCCAAAAAATGAAAAAGAAAAAAAAAGATTATCTAGTAGGTACATTTTTAAAAAAAAAACAACATTTTATTCAAAATTTCGATAATAGGGCGGCATTTTTTTAAAGTGCCCAGGGGCGGAGCTACGGTTGAATCCGGCACTATTTATATAAAATATTATAAATAAAACTGTTTGAAGATTATAACCCGAATGTATACAGACACTTCCGGGGAATATGTCGCCATGTTGCTCTCGCACCGGTCCGAGAGACTCGCGACGCTAACCATAGAGAGGTTGGTGTCGGTTTGTGCTTCAGTGCATTGTTTGAAAAATCTTAATAATCTATTAATTTTTCATACAAACTTTTTTTTTCTTTGTTTTTTTTTTACTATTTTGTCACTAACGTTTCGAATGCTTTAGGGAAAATATGGTCACCGACAACGATATTGTTATTGACATCTCTTCCGTGATCATGCATTCAGTATTAGAGGCCATTCATTCATTACGTAAGGACATTTTGGCGATTTTTGATCACCCTCCACCCTCATGTAAGAGCATATAAGACTTTCGAACTCCCTCGGGAACTCGAAGAAGGGGGATCTTACCTAATATTTTAATTAGTTTTAGAAAATTGCACTAAAAGTCATAATTTGACGTAAATCAAAATTGTTTTTTTTTTTAAATTGTGTACATTAAAAAAGAAAAAATAGATCTGAGAGTTGTTTTCCCACAGGACCCATATGTAATAGTTGAACAACCCCTAAAGCATTCGCATAAACGTCGTGAACAAAAATGAAAAAAAAAAACCGCACTAAATATATAAAAAAAAACAGTTTTGCCTCAAAATTCAAGATAGTAACATTTTAAATGACGTTGTTAACAGATAAAAAAAACGAACCTTGTACCCACGCGTCTCCATTCGACGCCCTTACAACTTTATATGATAAGTTCTTCATATCCTTCTGTACTTCGGGGTCATCAAACCTTCTCCCAATCAATCTCTTTGTGGCGTAGAAAGTGTTGCCACTGTTGGTGACTGCTTGTCTCTTGGCTGGCATACCAACCAAACGCTCGCCTTCCTTCGAGAAGGCAACGTGAGAGGGCGTTGTTCGAGAACCTTCGCTATTTTCTACCACCTGTGGTAGAAAATGGTATAAATTTAACAAAACGTAAAAAATAAATTTATAATTACAGATACATATATGTATATATCTTTATATATATAATTCTTCTGTGAGTGTGTATGTCACTGAACTTCTCTCAAACGACTGGACCGATTTTGATGAAATTTTTTGTGTGTGTTCAAGGGGATCTGGGAATGGTTTAGATTCACAATTTGAATAATAATTTTCATCAGAAAAATTATTAAAAAAAGTTTGAAATTTTCAAATTAAAGACGTGTAGACAGGACAACGTCTGTCGGGTCCGCTAGTATATTTATATATTTATAAATTTATATTTATTTATTTATATATTTAGAAATATATATATATATATATATATATATATATATATATTTCTTCTTTATAATTCAAAAATGTAGCGCGGTTTCTAGGAAAGCCCACGACACAAGTCGCGACTAGCTGGTATCGCGCGTCTCTCTCGCAGCGCTGCAAAAGCTCGAACATACTGACGTAGGAGCTGATCTGCGATGCGGTATATTAATAATAATAAAAATATAAATAAAATTATTTGAAAATAAGGCAATATATACTTAAAATCGATTTTTCTAATTTAATTTTTTTTTTTTAATAAAAAAAATACCTTTGGGGTCTTTCCCTCCATAACGGCAACACAGGAATTTGTGGTTCCCAAGTCGATACCAATAACAGCGCCTCGTACGCCTTCTGACCTGTAAAAAATATACATGTATGAAAAAGTGTTATTTTAGATTCAAAAATTTGAAATAAATCCTATTTAATAAAAATGCATTTTTATAAATATAATCATAAATGAATAATAATACTTAAAATTATAATGCCATATTTTTTTCTACATATTATGTGATGATAACCAGCTATCATCATACCGAATTTCATCAAAATCTATCCAGTGGTTTTCCCGTGATATGGTAACAGACAGACAGACAAGAATTCTAAAAACTATAGATTCGGCTTCTGTATCGATAATAAAGTCTATTTCAATAAGATTTTCTAAAAAATATTTAATGTACAGATTTGGCTTAGTTACAATTTTATTATATGTATAGATTTTGTCTTCAATAGACAATAATTATTTAATATATTCAAATTTACATAAAATATTATTTCAAGTATATAAAGAATTTAAATATTTTTCTTTTTTATCTGCATTACATAACTAGAAGATAATAATACACAGTAAAATAAAGCCTAATACATAGTATGATGTAATGAAAAAATTGTTGATAAGTCAAATATATGTCAAGTAATATATACTGTGACTTTATAATATGACAAATCGATAATTTTGCACCTCCGCAAAGGTATACAGTACAATGGCACTGCTACCGCTCATGGGTGCATTTTAATAATAATCTATATACTAATATTATAAATGTGAAAATTTGTATGGATGTATGTTACTTTTTCATGCAAAAACTACTGAATTTTAATTTTAATTAAACTTTACAATAACATAGCTCATACAACAGACTAACAACTTTTTATCCTGGAAAAATGTATGGTTCCCATGGGATAGATTTGTTTGTTTGCAATGGGATAGATTAGTAATAAATAATATTTATTATACACACCCCAAAAAAAAACCTGCTCTCTCCCAGGCAATCTTAAGGTGTTGGAATTGGTAAATTATAAGAAAGAGAGGGTGCGAACAAGCATAATAATTACAAAATCAAAAACAGTACTAAAAGCATAATATAATATAGGAATCTTTTTAATTCACATTTTCCAAATAAAGCAAGAACAAAAATTGTGCATTGAAAATGCAAAGTTTCAAGATTACCTATAGCATTAAAATTATGATTTTGGAGCAGACCATTAAATTTTCTTATTATCTGTCCGTCTGTATACCAAATTTTATATGTACAACATACAAGCATTATATGTATATAGCTAATAATATTAAACCGAATCTAATCTAATAGAGGCTTACACAAATTTACTAGAAAGAATATCAACAATATATTTGAATACCAGAGGCAAAGTTACAAAAATATATCATACAACTAAATCTCATTGATAGTCACTCAACTTAGTTCACTCAATTGATACGAAGAAAATATAAATAAATAGGTTATACATAAGTGATATTATATTGGTACAAGTGACTGCAAAATAATATTTAAAATATATTTTAAATTTGTAAGACAGACTAAATATTGTGCAATGTAATAATTTTAATAATTTATAAATTTTTATAAAATTATATAACATACAGAAATAGACACTTATTAAAAGTGTATTTATTTAAATATAATTAATGTTAAAGTTTTTCTTTGAATGTCATCGGTATTTGTATTAATTCTAAAAGATGATGCAATAACAATAGTAAAATAGTATGAGTTAACAGAAATCTATGGTTTTACATTAGTCTTGCAATGTTGTTAATTTTAAAAATGTAAATCATTGATTTTTTAATATTTTGTAAATATAAAAAATAAACATTTTTATAAGATAACAACATGATTTTTATGAGTACTTTAATTTATTATGTAGGTATGTTGTATTATTTCAATTTATGTAGTCAGTATTTTATTGTGCAATTTCGAAAAGGAGCAATTTGGCTGTACATATTTTTTTTGAACTGTAAACTAGCAGGATTCTTGAATTATGACTATTCCATTGTTTTTGAACATAATAATTTGAAATGTCTCACTAGACCAAATTAGTATTTTTTGGGTTTACTTACTTTAACTTATCAAAAAACTTACACCTATCATACAAATGAATTTATATGCATGTACAATATAAAATTTCCATATTTACGGTCCACACCCTACATTTAAGACTGTAAAAATGTATTTCATTTATCACTTATATGTACCGAAGATGCAAAGGTCACATAAGTTAGGTTAGAATAAGGATGATAGATAAATGAATAGCTAAAAAACTTACTTTTGTCTGTATTGAAGTCCATGTCGTTGGTAAATAGGTACTGTGGGGGCTGCAGTCTGTAAAATTATGAAAAAATAAGATAGTTATATAAAAAATTATACGGAATACCGCGACATGTGGCCCCCGGCTAAAATATGTTATTAGCACAAGTATTATACTTGGCTTGGTCTCAAAATTATGCTTAATTAAATATTTTAACTGTTCAATTTATATATTGTGATTTGACAAGCGATATTCATTCGTTTTAATAAAAATGGTTACTTACGGATTTAAGAATTGATGAAAAATTCCTGTGTGTGGAGATGTCTGTTAAACCAGTGCATTCCAAAGCCTTTCGGCTTATCACCCGCGTGGCTGTGAGCATTATTATTTTTGTGTTTAACTAACTTTATGAATTATACGCTTTATTTCCCTTGAGACAAAACCATGTGGATGACGCAACTGCTTTGAAAGAACAATTTTTCGCTTTTTATCACTCGCGAGTCGCGGTGTTCTCGAATTCTTGCCACACGAAAAATGCCGGCGAACTGCGCTGTGTAGAATGTTACCATTTTTAGAAAAAAAAAAACGTCCTCATCAGGAAATTATTTATTACGTATTTTTTCACTATTTTGGGAATACACGTTATAAAACTGAATTTTATTAAGTAAATAAGTTTAGATCCTATTATAGTATGAAATTAACGATTATCTGCTGCAAATATACATGACAATAAAAATGTATATACGTTTACGACAGTAAATTATTATTATTGTTTGGTTACGATTAAATGATTTTATTTTATATTTATGAAATATAAAAATTGTATGATATATTTTAGCATCGCATACTTTTCCTATTCAGAAACTTATAAAAGTTTTTAGTATGGCAGCACAAAACGTAGAAGTTAGAACTAGAATGTTCTCGTTTTCATATTTTTCAGGGTCATGTTTTTTTTTGGGCAAATTTTATTACGTTACAACGCGAATGGCTCATATTTTGCTAGTTTTATTTGCTATTTTTTAAAGTTTGTTGATAAGAAAAAAATATTATTTTATGCGTAAAAAGTTATCCATTTGAATGTATGAAATTTAGATGGCGCTAGTGGTAGGTAAATCAAATGTTAACGGTTACGGTGAATATTTTGTGTATAATTTATTAACTAGTAGAACCGGAGGCTTCACTCGCACTTAAAATACAAAAAAAAACTCTAAAAAGGTAGTTTTCATACAAATTTTCATCCCCTCTTTTATCCCTTATGCGAAATGCTAAAACACATTTATTTAATAGTATTGAAGAACATTACTACTAATTTTCAAGTAATTCTGATCATAAATAATTTCTTGGGTTATATTATAACGTGTTTTCACTTGGGAATGAGAAAATCTCCCGCGGCAAAAATATCTTATGTCACTCTCCTGCCTTCTAACTATCTCCACACAAAAAATCACGCCAATCCGTCAATCCGTTTCGACGTGGAAGAAGGATAGACAAACAAACAAACAAACACACTTTCACATTTATATTAGTGGACTAGCGACTCACACTCGCTCCGCTCGGGTTCGTCTTTAATTCTTAACATCGAAATAAAACAAATAATAAATGTTATGTGAAGCTAACTAAAATATATTAGTGAAAACCGCATCCAAATCGGTTAAGCCGTTTCTGAAATCGCATCGAGAGAAACGCACAGACAAACAGACAAACACAAAAATTCTAAAAATCATTGTTTCGCGTTCTATTGCGTAAATAAAGACCCCCAATAATAGTTTTTACTTTTTCTCAAATATTTTCCATGTACAGACAGCGATCAGTTACACTTTTATTATATGTATATTGTATAAATGTACAGATTCGTTAATTTTATTTATCATGTTCATGATTCAAATATTAGAGCTTTTTTGACAATAAAGTCGACATTTTTCGACTCATAAAAAACTTTACTAGGTATATGGAAGTTTCATATTATAAACTTGTCTTTAAATTGTACACCCTACATTTCACAATTAAAAACAATATTTAATGTCTCCGTTTAACTTAAATAAGATACTATTAAATTCTTTAACATGTTTTTATTTTATTTAAACCCATGTAAGCAGGCGCGGATCCAGAGTTAAATTTGGGAGGGGGTCATAGGCTGAAATATACATATAATAAAACAGTAACTTAGCAAAATCTGTACATTAAATATTTTTTAAAAACAATTGAGACCAGGCGCGGATCTAGTTTTCCGTATGGGGGGGTTGCCAAAAAAATCAAGACCTTAAGTTTTATGGCTTTAAAACTTTAGTAGGTATATAAGGAACAAAAAACCTTGAAAAATAGTTTTTTTTTAATTTCTGGCTTGCTGTGAAATCTTATCGAAAAATATTCTTTATATAAATTTCATCAAAATCTGTCCAGTGGTTTTCTCGTGATGCGGTAACAGACAGACAAAAATTCTAAAAACTATAGATTCGGACTCTGTATTGATAATAATGTCTATTTCAATTAGATTTTCCAAAAAATGTTTAATGTACAGATTCGACTTAGTTACAATTTTATTATATGTATATAAATTTCTGCAAAAACTTTTTGATATTCATGAAACTAGGGGAATATAATCTTCAAAATACATATAATAACCATTTATTTTTAAATTGAAATGTTTATCCCTTTATTCCTTCCTTTCTTAGACTTCAAACTTCTCTAAAAAGTATATTTGGGTTTGGGGGGGGGGGGGGTCATGACCACCATGACCCTCACTCCTGGATCCGCGCTTGCATGTAAGTTTTCAGATTGTTATTTCAGACTAAAGTGAGTACAATATCAAAGGATTTCCAGTAAAAAAAGTGTCTGAAATGAAAAAATACTATAATAATGTAATTTATTTTTATTAACAGAATGGACGGTTTATTTTAATATCACATAAATTCTTATTATTAAAAATTATTACAATAAATTAAAATTAAGTAAAAATATCGTATATGATAGAAATTTTGTAAGCGATTATATAGACAGACTAAATATGCATTTTATCGGTCAAAGTTAGTTGTTCGACTTGCCGTTAGAAAATTCTTTACCCGACACACGCCAATCTACTTATACAATATACTAATTAATAGTGTGTTCAAAAATAAATATAAGGATATATGAAGCTTCAAGGAGGCATTGGTCACAATTTTATTTATATATTGTTAGTAATATTTGTTTTAAATATTTTATTTATAATATTATACTAATATTATAAAGAGGTGGTTTTGTGAGTTTGTGAGGTTGTAGGGGGTAATCTCTGGATCTACTGAACCGATTCAATGAAATTTGGTAAGAAGATAGTTAGACCCTGGGAAGGATTCATCCCTGGGTTGCTTCCCCATACAAGCTTTCATCCCCATTTTCAAACCGTTAAGGGATGATTTCCGGATTAAAAAGTATTCTATGTCCTTCCCAGGTCTCAAACTATCTCCGGGGCAGAGGCTGACTGCTACCGGATGCGTCCCCGGGTGGCGGATAGGGGAACACCACTCGCGACTGTTTGGACCCGACAGGAGCTTGTGGTACCGGAGCAATCCGGCGCGGACCAACAGCCAGGAGGGGAGGGGGGAGCGGCGTCAGGAGGGCGCCGTCTCCTTCTTGGAAGTAGCGCGGTGTCTCCGGCCGTTTCGCGGTAGGAGGCGCTGCGCGGGCCGCGCTGCCGGGGCTAGCCCGTCGGTGCGGCGGCTGGAGCGGGGCTAGTTCGGTGTCGGCAGCCATTTTGGTCCGGAAGTGGGCCGACGGTAGGGGGGCCGCGGGGGAAGAGGAGTGTCGGTATGGCGATGCGCCGCTCGTCCCTATCTCCCGCGGCCTAGCGGGGCCGCCACCGTTTGATGGCGGACGCGGTGGGGCTGCAGGGGAAGAGGAGTGTCGGTGTTTCGTTGCCGCTCTCCCTGTCCTCTGCAGCCGATTGGAGGTGGCCCACTTCGGTGGGCGGAGGTTCGGATTAATGGGGCTGCTCCGGGTACCTCTCTGGTGTAGCAGAGTTGACTGTGGAGCAGCCCCATCAGTGTGGTGGTCAGCCGTTGGCAGACCTGCCGCCGGGGCGCCGTAGTAGTTATGCGCAAGCGATCCTGCGGCGTCCCATTAAGGCGGAGGGGAGGGGAATGTCGGGTTTTAGTGGGTAGTACCGGCTCTTCTAGCCGGTGAGCCCCACATCACCACCTGGGGGATCAGGTGGTATGCGTAAATGCATTTCCCGACATAAAAAAAAAGGTCTCAAACTATCTCCTTATCAAATTTAATCTAAATCGGTTCAGTAGATCTATAGATACCCCCTACAACGTCACAAACTCACAATATCACAATCTCACAAACTTTACCTCTTTATAATACGAGTATTATAATAGATACAAGGATAACATTAACTACACAAAAACTCATTCTTATTCTGATTAAAAAATACTATTAAAATCGATTAATATTTAGAGAAAAATTATGTATCATACGAACAATATAAGTACAAACAAATTCTATCTTTCTGCGTGTATGTATGCGATATTTTCGTTATTTTTATAAATAAAGGCTTATTTTAAAGCACTAAAGATATTTAACAAAAATTAATAAATAATCAACGGACATATCGATTTTTTGAATTGGTTAATTAAATTAATTTAATCAGTTGTAGTAGATGTAGGCGCGGTAGTATCGTCTCTCGCGGCAAGTAGAGCTCTTAAAGCGATGATTTCTTGACGTAGTGCCGTTACATGCGCTCGAAGTGAAGCATTTTCTTGTTCTAAAAGACAAGCTCGCCAGGCTATCTGGAATTTGATAATTATATATATTTAATGTCCCACTGCTGGGCATGGGCCACAATACGATGGGGGTGTGAGTTGGCGGGCTTCAGATGTCTTTCTAAAACTAGATAACTAATGCCCGATTTCACCAACGTCACCTAAGTTTAAGGGATACCCTAAGCATGGTTAGGGGGCTGTTAGGGGACAGTTTCTGTTTCACCGACAGTTAGAAGTCACCTATATGTTAAAATACCACCTAAATATAGGTACTAGAAATACGGGCTCTGACGATGGTAAAACGAAATTTAATTTAGGGGCAGTTTAGGGGACTTTTAAGCTAGGGATCCCATACGTAGGTGGTAGCTTACGGGTTGTTGGTGAAATCGGGCATACGACAGTGGTAGCTTAATGGTAGGTAACGCGCTCGCTTGGGAAACTTAGTGAAGCGGGTTCAAATCCCGGGTCTCGCATCTCTGATAGAATGTGCGAGTCATTTCCAACATGACTACCACTTGTCTTGCGGTGAATGATGAAAACAAAACATCGTGAAGAAATCTGCATGTCTGAGAGAACCTAACAAATAGGTAATGGGTTTCGTGAAATGTATATAGAAAACACGGATATACATCAACACCGCCCCGAATAATTATATGTTTATTCCTATCGGGACTCGAACCCGCGATTTCCAGTGTAGATATTGGTACTCTAACCACTGAGGTACGTGTTCAAGTAAATGCTAAGCTAAGAAATTTATAATATTAGTATAGATTCTTATAAGTGGTTGATTCCCCATACAAACTTTCATCTCCATTTTCACCGCCTTAAGGGATGATTTCCAGGATAAAAAGTATCCTATATCCTTCCCAGGGTCTCAAACTATTTTCTTACCAAATTTCATCTAAATCGGTTCAGTAGATTTTAAATTCCTCCTTACTTTCCCATAAGTTTCCTACTGCCTGGAAAGATGGTCAAGTAATTCCCATTCCAAAAAAGTCTAATCCATCTTCTTTTGCTGACTACCGTCCTATATCCATTCTCCCTTTCCTATCGAAAGTATTGGAGCGCCTTGTGCATCGACAGTTAAGCACGTTTCTTTTTAATCATAATCTTTTAAACTCCTTTCAATCCGGTTTCCGCATCGGTCATAGTACGACTACTGCATTGGTCAAAATCGCTGATGATATTAGAGAGGGTATGGACAGTCAGAAGGTTACCGTGATGGTACTATTAGACTTCAGTAATGCCTTTAACACTGTTGATTTTGATATACTAATTGCCATATTAACTTCTCTTAACATATCTCCTGAGGTGATTGACTGGTTTCGTAGTTACTTGTGTGGCCGCCGGCAGCGTATACGAATTGAGGATTCCTTTTCTGATTGGAATACGATTAATGCCGGTGTCCCACAAGGTGGCGTGTTGTCTCCTCTCCTGTTTTCAATTTTCATTAATTCTATTTGCCATCAAATTTCTTCTCTCTACCACCTATATGCCGACGACCTACAAATTTACGCAACCACATCTCTATCAGACTTACCTCATACAGTTAATTTAATTAATAATGATCTTGCCAGAATCTCTGCTTGGAGTAAATCATATGGCCTTGATATTAACCCTATTAAATCGCAAGCTATTATAATAGGCAGCCAGAAACTGCATTCTAAAATTACTCGGTCATTGATACCATCGGTGATGTTAAACGATGTTGAAATTCCTTTTACCGAAACAGTAAAAAACCTAGGAATCATTTTTGACCAGCATTTATCCTGGGGGCCCCAGGTAAGTGTACTGAGCCGCAAGATGTTTGGAGCTGTTTCCTCCCTTCGCAGGTTGAGAAATTTTCTGCCTGTACCTACTAAAATTGCGCTGGCAAATTCACTTTTATTACCAATACTTGATTATGCTGATATTTGTTTTCTTGACCTTAAAGAGGAGCACCTGAATCGACTTGAGCGCCTTCAAAATCTTTGCATACGGTTCATATTCGGTCTCCGTAAATATGACCACGTTTCTCACTTTCGCAAAAAACTCAAGTGGCTCCCAATCCGCTTTCGCAGGAATACTCACATACTTCATCTCCTCTACTGCGTGCTGTTTAATCCTTCTACCCCTTCCTATCTCAAAGAGCGTTTCGAGCTTCTAAGGAATTCTCATACTCGTTCCCTGCGTTCTAGTGAAACGCTTATCCTCAAAATTCCTTCTCACTCCTCTTGTTTTCTTACCAACTCCTTTTCTGTGAAAGCTGCACGTCTATGGAACTCTTTACCAGTACACATCAGACGGGCTGATAATTTGGACAAGTTTAAGATGATGTTAGAAACGCATTATTTATCTCTTTAGTTGGTCTTACTATAATATATTATGTACAATATATTTGATATTGTATGTATCTTATATGTATTTATTTGAAATACGTAACTTAAATACTGATTATATTTTTCTATTATACTGCTTGTATGCATATATGTTTGTATGTATGTATTTGTGTATGTATTTATGTATGTATGTATGTATGTATGTATGTATGTATGTATTTATGTATGTATGTATGTATATATGTATGTGTATAGGTATGTATTTATACAAGTACACCGCCTACCATTTTTATATACTGATTCCTCTACCCTAAGGTTGCCTGGAAGAGATCGCTTTTAGCGATAAGGCCGCCTGCTGTGCATCTTTTTATTGTTATGTATTTCACTTCTTTATTTATTTTCTTGTGTGGTGTGCAATAAAGTGTTCATTATTATTATTATTATTAGATCTAGAGATTACCCCCTACAACGTCACAAACTCACAAACTTTACCTCTTTATGATATTAGTACCTATAGATTCTTATAAGTTATATGTAGCATGTAAAAGCCTACCTGGTCTTCTCTCATTCTTCTCGCGTCCCTAGACTTCTTAGCAGCTTGGTTATTGCGTCTTCTACGTTCGAAATACTTTTCGTCTTTTAGCTCAGCGGGTATCGGCCGCTTTTCGCCGCGTCTTCTGGCTTCGGAGTCGCAAACAGTCGGCACTGTACTTGCTACTGGGAATGATAAGTAAATGTAAGCCGATTATATGTAAAAAATACAGATATCAAATGTAAGTCGTGGTTTTTACACCTGGTTTTATTTTAGCTTCTCTTATAAGTAAATATTTAATCACTAGCGGCTCACCCTCGCTTCGCTCGGGTTCTAGAAAAGGACAAACAGATCTATCCCACGGGAACCGTTCATTTTTCCGGGATGAATGTTGTTTGACCAGCAATATAAGGTATCAGCATGCCAAATACTAAATTAGGTGCATAAGTTGTTGTGTACTAAACTGTATAAGATACTATAGTTTTTTAACTATCCCACGGGAACTCTTTAATTTTCCGGAATGAAAAGTATCTTAGATGTTGACCGGGGATATGGTACCTTATATCACCATGCAAAATTTCATTTAAATCGGTCCAATAGTTTCGGAGATTAGCCCGTACAAACAGACAAACAGACAGAGAAACAAAATATTTGAACAACATCTGGATTTATTCTACTTGTCTTCTTACATCCCTCTGATTCGGTTTATAGCATTTTTTTTCTATGTACAGACATTCGTCCTCTACAGTTTTATTATAGTATAGATATCTTGGACGTCAAATTTGACTTATTTTTTACTCGACTACGGCAAAGCCAAAAAGCCTAGTTCGCATTAAGCTAGTATTTTAGTCTAGTAGCGAGTAATTTAGTAGCTAAATTACTCGCTACTCACCAAAAATCGTTCGCACTTTGGTCGAGTACAGTTTACAAGTGAGTGTTGTTTTGCAAGATCAACAGCCTACATATATAATAAATACATAAATATGCTTTTGAAATAAAGTAATGAAAAGTAACCTGATGTTTTTAATTTTAATTTTCATTTTAATTTCTTTTTCGCCAAATCCGGGTATAATCATTATTTTTTCCAAATCTAAGTATGCGGAATATTTCATATGCTTGTTTTTATAATGCAAGGACCTAATATTCCACAAGCATTCGTGTTCAACATATTTCGAAACAAATTTAAAAGTCATTTCTTCGCTCCAGCGAAACGACATTATGGCGGCAACTAATGAACTCGACTAATTCGACAGGTTCGTACTTGTTTAGCACGTTCGCTGCATTACGAGATCTATCAGATCTCTTGCAGGACTTTTGTACTGTGCGTTGACTATAATCGTGTTGTTTCACTCCTTGCGGGAGGCTCTAACGTGTAAAGTTCTTTAAGTATGAGTAAGACAAATATACATATTTGCTTCCTACTTAAAGGTGAATTCGAGGACATAAAAAAAATAAATAGAGATGGATTAGGTCTCTAACGCACAGTAGTATAATTATTTTTATTCCTTGCGTTAGGAGACATGTCGATACTCGTGGAATCGTACGCCTCGTAGACGCAAGAAAGGGAGGTTGGGGGGCGCGGGCGCTGTGTGAATCGATTTAGTGTTGTCCTAGTGTCGACGTGGGAGGTTGCGCGCACGTTTCGAAAAAGTGTAAAAAACTTTTTATTTAATATATTTTATTTAATTATTTAATAAAATTGTTTTATTTTGGTGAGATTTCTAAGAATGAAAAATCAACGCTGGATTATAGTGCTGCATCGTCCAGTATAATTACAATTTTGGAAAATATAATGCTTTTTATTACAGAATTCCCCGAAGGAAGATGTACAGATCATGTTTTCCAACGTGGCAACAAAAAAAGACGCTGTGTGGGTTGTTATGAAAAATTACGACGCACATTAAACAGCACTGACGCTTCTAAAAAAAGCTGAAAAAATACCATTTGCGCGCAATGCAAATAATCAATGTGCTTACTATGTTTTAATGAAAAACACTTTGCATCGTTTATAAATAAACTTCTTTAATAAAACTTTTTCAATCGACAACTGAGATATTATTTTATTCCCATCACTACTTACTACACATATTGAACTATCTTCGGTTGCGGTACGAGATACAATCGATATCTAATTTTTTTTGGTATTTGTAGCTTATTCTAATGTCATAACTGCGTGCGAACCTAGCAAAATGTAGAGCAATAGGCTCTCTTGACCCACAAAAACTTTAAAATATATGTCATTAGTTTTTTGGAAGATATAAATTATTTTCAAAACTGTATTTTTAGGAGACTGATTAGGTCTCTAACGCACCAAAGGGTAGGCTAGTTTCGAGATCTTTTAGGTCTCCAAAGCACCAGCTGAAAGTTCTTTCAAAATGATGACGCAGTGAACGTGTTAGCCGGTGAACCAGTGAGCTCGGACGCGTGGTGGGGGCTGCTACTCACCCAAAAAAATAGAATAAAATGGATTGACTCGACTAAATTACTTACTAAACTAATCGACTAAATTTTTAGTGTTCAGACACGTTTAGTTACTAAATTACTCGCTACTAGACTAAAATACTAGCTTAATGCGAACTAGGCTAAAGGGTTAATTTAGCTGTTATGCATGTATTTATATAAGTATGTTTGTATTTATATGTGTTCCACTGTAGCGCCTTAATAAGATATTCCAAAAAATATTTCATGTACAGATTCGGCTCAGTATTATTATATTATTGTTATTATTTATGTTGGGTGTGGTGCCGAGGTCGGCCCTAGCTACGTCGACCAGTTTTGGTCCATTGTAGCTAAATATTATTATATGTATAGATTATAAAAATATCTACGCACGTGGAGAGCATAATGGTAGATGTTGGCAGTATGACGGCAGACACGGCGGCGGTAGAGACGCTAGGAGTGGCACCACTCGACCATCTGTGGGATAAAAAGAACTGGTTTATTTACAACTAGCGGTATACCCTCGCTTCGCTCGGGTTCACCTCTAGACAAACAAAAACAAATTTATCCCACGGGAACCATATATTTTTCCGGGATAAAAGGTAGCCTATTTGTTATTGTGATGTATGAACTATATTATTGTAAAATTTCATTAAAATCCAATGAGTAGTTTTTGTGTAAGCTGTATAAGTTACTATAGTTTTTTGACTATCCCATGGGAACTCTTTAAGTTTCCGGGATGAAAAGTATCTAAGATGTTGACCGGAGATATAAGATACCACTATGTAAAATTTCATTTAAATCGGTCCAATAGATTCGGAGATTAGCCCGTACAATCAGACAAACACACAGAGAAACAAAAAAATTGAAAAAAAAATTGGTTATGTTCTATTTGTCTTCTTACATCCCCCTGACTCGGCTTTTAGCATTTTTTTTTCTATGTACAGACATTCGACCTCTACAGTTTTATTATCTTATATATAAAATTTCCATGTCACAATGTTTGTTACCGTACTCTTCCGAAACGGCTTTACCGATTTTTACCAAATTTTATATGCGTATTCAGTAGGTCTGAGAATCGGCTACTATCTATTTTCCATACCCCTAAGTGATAAGGGTGGTCCTCCCAGACCCCACCCCAGGGACGAACCCGAGCGGAGCGAGGGTGAGTCGCTAGTAGTATATATATTAGACACCATTCGCTCTAATGTATCCATTACCCTCGTTTCGGGTGCGTACGTTTTAAATAGATACAAATAGTTATTGCCAGTGTACTTTAGGAGAAATACTTATGCTATTGCAGATTTTTGCATGTCGATCCATTGCTCTGTGAAAAACAAAAACAAATCTATCCCACGGGAACCGTACATTTTTCCGGGATATAAAGTAACCTATGTATGCTATTCCAGACTATAATCTATCTCATCGCCTAATTTCATCCAGATCCGTTCAGCTGTTCTGGCGTGATTGAGTGACAAACATCCATCCATACAAACTTTCGCATTTATAATAGTAGTAACATTTCAGTGAATTCACTTCACTTGAAGCAATTCGGCCAGATTTTTTTTGATTCCAATTAAAGTTATTTTGATTTCTAACAGTAAACAAATTTTTATTGGAATAAAAAATAGCTTATAGTAATAGCGGTTATATTAAATATAGCTTCCTATCAGTGAAAGAATTTTCAAAATCGAATCAGAACTTTCGAAGATTACCCCGTACATACAAACATACAAACTTTACCTCTTTATAATATTATTATACTAGCATTGCCCGCGGCTCCGCCCGCGTTAAGATGACCAAGAACCAAATTCTTAGGTTTAACATATTAGTACACTATTATAATGCAGTTTTTGTATTTTTTCTCAGAAATGAGATATTTTCCCGCAGTAAAAACTATCCTATATGTTGACCCGGATAACCAGCTATCATCATACTAAATTTCATCAAAATCTATCCAGTGGTTTTCCAGTGATGCGGTAACAGACAGGCAGACAGACACACAGACAAAAATCTAAAAACTATAGATTCGGCCTCTGTATCCATAATTATATCTATTTCAATAAGATTTTCCAAAAAACATTTAATGTACAGATCGGCTTAGTTACAATTTTATTATATGTATAGATAAGCACAAGTGATTTAAGTACCTACTAATCCAAGGCAAAATCACGGGCAAAAGTTAACCAAGCAATATTTGCATGGCTTTAAATGGTGTACACAGCAAGAGGATACAGGCAATTATTGTACCATCAATAAGGACAGGTGTTTTTCACCCTTACAAGTACTGGTGTGGCCAAAATATTTTTCTGAATTTTTAATTTTTGTAACAGATTATATTAGTCTATTTTTTATAAATGGTAATCTACAAAATTTTGCTTTTATCTGTTTTCTTTTTTATCTATCTTAATATAAATAATTCTTCTGTACGTATGTTTGTCACCTTACTACTCCTAAAGGGCTGGAACGATTTGGATAAAATTTTGTGTGTATATTTCAATGGGCTCCTGGATAGTTTAAAACACAATTGGACCCGGTAGGTGGCGCTGCTGTTGGTATGTTACTGATGTTCTCCTAATCGGCAGGGACGATTTTAATGATATTTTTTTGTGTATGTTCGAATAGGTCCCTGCAAGGTTTAAATTCACAAATGGACCCAGTAGGTGACGCTGCAGTCGGTGTGTCAAAGAGTTTGTGGTTTTAGTAGTTTGAACGCGGGCGAAGCCGCGGGTACTGCTAGTGGTTTATAAATAACTTACCCCCGATATCCCAGTATCTAGGAGATCAAATCAAATTGCATTTCCTGCCGGATTTTGAGAGTGAGAGTAATAAACAGTAGGTACTTGTTATTGCACGTATAGGTACCTACTTGTGCACTATATAATATGGACCTTATTATTTGTGATCATGACGATGATCTCATCCTTACCGATTTAGGCCACGGCAGCCAATCTCACTGAGACCAGCCAACTGGGCAGAAGATATTATTGTGCAACGCGTGCACTCTATTTCTTTTACTCTCAAATTCCGATGGGACAATAATTCGACACGACCGATAAGAGTTAAAAAGCAGGACCGACGGCTTTACGTGCTCTCCGAGGCACGGGGTTAAAAAACCGATAAAACCCATCTCCGGGCTGCTAATAGTTTCTTAACAAAAAGACCTTCAAATATGAAGCCAAATATGCTATCCACGGTAGTGTACACCGTGGCACATAAAAATAATATTTATAATAGGCTATACAATGCGAGTGGAATTGAGGTTAAAAGTTAATATTTAATACATAATATTAAGCGTTTTCTGCGCAAGTGTACTTATAAATAACGACCGACCCGACGATTGTTCGACGCACGGCCCTAAACGGTACACGTGACTAATTTACTATTGTAATATTTGTTTATTATTAATTTAACACATCTATACATATAATAAAATTGTAACTACGCCGAATCTGTACATTAAATTTTTTTGGAAAATCTTATTGAAATAGACATTATTATCAATACAACGGCTGAATCTATAGTTTTTAGAATTTTTGTCTGTCTGTCTGTTACCGCATCACAGTAAAACCACTAGAGGGATTTTGATGAAACTTGGTATGGTGATAACTGGTTATCCGGGTCAACATATCGGATTCTTTTTACCGCGGGAAAATATCTCATTTTTGAGAAAAAATACAAAACTGCAATGTAAGAGTATACTAATATGTAAAACCTAAGAATTTGGTTTTTGGTCATCTGAACGCGGGCCGATCCGCGGGCAACGCTAGTTTTGATATATAAAGTCGTAAAAACCACTGAACACATCTTCCCCTTATCAGTTTTAGTTTAATTATTTTGAAGGTCTTCGATAATTTTTAGATTTTTCCATCCCATACTGTGAGAGACCAAAGTTGTTTATAGCTTGAGATTCGTATAATTTCGGAATTATTAGTCTAAATAAAAAAGTTGCTTAGAAACATCTATTTGACGACACGTTTGGCTCAGTTTGTAGCGACCCTACTCGCTATGCCAGTGGGCGCGGGTTCGAGTCCCGCTGGGGGCATTCATTTGTGCGATGAGCACGAATGTTTGCACTCCAGTCATGGGTGTTTATATTTATAATATGTATGTATTTAAAGTTATATATGTATAGTGTATCAACTATCTGGTATCCATAACACAAGCCTCGTAGCTTACCATGGAACTAGATGGTGCTATGTGTTAATGTCCCAACATATTTATCTTATTTTTAATTAATATCTGTAAATACCCTACAAGCTTAATATATTCACTAAAAATTGAACTCTCCTCATTTAGGTAAATGTATAGAGTGTTACTCTTACGTGTATATGTACGCGTACACCATTTAAATATATATTTAAATATAAAAACCAGTGGTAGTAGGAATGAAAGATTTTCCTGCAGTAAAAGGTATCCTAAATGTTGACCCGAGTAATAAGTTATCCCTACACAAAATTTAGTTAAAATTGGTTCAGTACTTTTCGCGTGAACACACACACACACAGACATACAGACAAAAAAATTGAATAACTATTGTTTATTTTATTATCTGTACACAAAACTTTGTAGTCATTGTTTTTATAAAAAATATTTTATGTACAGATTTCGCTTAGTTACTATTTTATTATATTTAATAGGCGATTCTTTAAATTGAGATGACTTTTCCATTTTTATGTACCGATTAAAATAAAACAAATACTAAATGTTTAGTGAAGTTTACCACAAAACGTTAGTGTAAATCGCATCCAAATCTGTTAAGCCGTTTCTGAGATTAGCGCGCACAAACGCACAGACAAACGGATAAAAACTCTAAAAATCATTGTTTTGGGTTCTATTCCGTTAATAAAGACCCCAATAATAGTTTTTCTCAAATATCTTCCATGTACAGACAGCGATCAGTTACACTTTTATTATATGTATAGATATAAGTACAAGATGAATATTTGAATGTATTAAAATGTGATTAAAGTACTCGTAAATTTGTTTGATACCTTTTCATGCTTAAACCGCTGAGCAGATTTCGATAAAATTTGGCAAGGACATAGATTGCATCCTGGGGATGGACTTAGGCTACCTTTATCTCCAATTAGCACGCAACAACAACTAGTAAAAATGAAACTCACAATTCTTTCCATACTAATATTAATATTAAATCAAACTCTTTGATTGCCTCAGCTATAAAAGTTGACACTCTAAAATTACATAAAGTACATCGTAAATTATACAAACAGGGGGTTAAACCTTTCCATTGAACACCATTACACCTGCGGCCGTGAGAATGTGCACACCTGGTTAGGGTTGCCACTACATAAGATTAAATATATCAATTTTCATACTATTTAGTATTTTCATCTAGTATGAAGAGGAATAACTTAAACTCTTTCGACATACTTATAAGAAATGTATAACTATAACTTAGTTCTTACATTTTATGAAAAGTTCTATTTAAACTCCATACTCAACTGATTTTAATGCAGTTTTCAGTAATAGATAGAGTGATTCAAGACTAAGGTTTATATGTATAATGTAAAGAAAAACACAAAAAATTCGAAGATTTGTATTTCATACTAACCGTTAAAACGTACCTAACGAACCCAAACAGAGCTAGGGTGAGTCGCTAGTATACTATAAAAGGCAATTATCTCTATTAAGTACTTGCGATGGTGAAATAATTTTTTATGGTGTTTTAATAAAACTATAAAGTAGACAGCCCTAAACAATTCGAGGGTTGCCACACTGTGACGTCGCGATTGCGCCCTCTCGCCGCTATAACATCGTACTGACCTGTTACTAATTACTAACATAAACTGCAATGATTATGCGCTTTTTGAAATACCAGAAAATGTATATTTACATAATAAAAACTTTATTAAACAAAATAAAAACCGACTTCCAGGCACTAAAATGTAAAAATAACTAAACGGAGGTTTTCATTTAGAATAGATACCTAATCAGATATTTTCGAAGTCGGTGCCAGCCGATGCAAAGCAAATCTAATATATTTCGATACGTAAAATACATATTTATCTATTAGATATTCAAATCTTAAAATATTGTCGAAAATATCTTAATTTCCAAATCGGTTCAGGCGTCTTCGAGTAATCGGTGAACATACATAAAACAAAAAGATTCCGACAAATCGAGAACCTCCTCCTTTTTGGAAGTCGGTTATAAATACTAAAACCCTTTTGGAAATACCCTTAAGACTACAACAGTTTTCAATAACCTGTCTGATAGTTTCCTCATTAAAGATAGAAAGAAAGACAGGCTCCATATAATTAACTAGCATTGCCCGCGGCTCCGCCCGCGTTCAGATGACCAAAAACCAAATTCTTAGGTTTTACATATTAGTATACTCTTGCATTGCAGTTTTTGTATTTTTTCTTAGAAATGAGACATTTTTCCGCGGTAAAAAGTATTATATATGTTAACCCGGATAACCAGCCATCACCATACCAAATTTCATCATAATCCCTCCAGTGGTTTTTCTGTGATGCGGTAACAAACAGACAGACAAACATTCTTAAAACTATAGATTCGGCCTCTGTATCGATAATAATGTTTATTTCAATAAGATTTTCCAAAAAAAATATCTAATGTACAGATTCGGCTTAGTTACAATTTTATTATATGTATAGATTAGTATGAAATACTAGGGGCTCATCCTCGCTTCGCTCGGGTTCACCTCTAGAAAAACAAAAACAAATCTATCCCACGGGAATCGTACATTTTTCTTTTATATAAATAGACTATATGCTATTCCAAACTATAATCTATCTTTATGCACATCCAGATCACAAGTTTACAAACATCCATCCAAACATACAAGCATGTAAACTTTCACATTTATAATATTAGTAAGATTTTCTCATCATTTCAAAGCCATTGTGAACAGTAGTAACTAAAGTTTTGTAAATTAGCCCGGTTTAGTGATGTTCCCGTGTGGTTAGTGTCGGCTTAATGACGGGTAATTATTTCACCCCACGTAATCGTTTTTGTTTATCTGTTAAACAGTTTGCGTTTCATATTGCTTCTATTTGTTTTTTTTTAATATTTATTTTGCATTAGGTACATTTTTTTTTTGAACAGAACCCTAATTCTTTTACTGAACTAAAAGTAGCCTAAGTTACTCTTTATAACATCAACTACCTGCCAGTGAAAGTCCCGTCAAAATTAGCCCAGCCGTTCCGGAGATTAGCCGGGGCAAACAGGCAGACAGAAGACAAAAATTTTAAAAATTAAGTTTTTCTAATAAATATCGTATAAAATTCCATGTAGCATTTAGTAAAAAGTTGTTATTTCGACATTACAAACAAACACTTTTATTTATCTGTATAGATTTTGTTTATATATCCCCATTTTCACCCTCTTAAGGCATAATTTATAAGATAAAAAGTATACTATGTCCTTCTCAGGATCTCAAACTATATTCTTATCAAATTTCATCTAAATCGGTTCAGTAGATCCAGAGATTACCCCCTACAACGTCACAAACTCACAAACTTTACCTCTTTATAATATTAGTATAGATAGATTACTCACCAGGCGGCATAACGAAGTGGTTGTAGCTCCTCAAAAGTCGCAGAGCGGTCAGCGCGTTGTGTTGTGAGCCACAGACTGGGTCCAAATCATATAGCATGTTGTTTTGTTCCATACTTGTTTATTTAATTGAAATAATTTCAGGACTAATATTTTGGGAGATAATACTTTCTTAGATTTACGCGAATATTTGACATCTATACCTACTGTATAAGTACATATAATAAAATTGTTATTAAGCCGAATCTGTATATTACATATTTTTTGGTAAATCTTATTGAAATAAACATTATTATCGATACGAAGACCGAATCTATAGTTTTTTTAAATTTTTGTTTATCTGTCTGTTTGTTACCACATCACAGAAAAACTACTGAAGGGATTTTGATGAAACTTGGTATGGCGATAGTTGGTTATCCGGGTCAACATATAGGATACTTTTTACCGCGGGAAAATATATCATTTCTGAGAAAAAATACAAAAACTGTATTGTAAGAGTAAGTACACTTATATGTAAAAATTAAGAATTTGGTTTTTTGGTCATCTGAACGCGGGCGGAGCCGCGAGCAATGCTAGTTTTAAATAAAACTATCTTTTCGGATTATCTCGCAGATTAATTTTGATTTTTGGTTCCCGGTTTCTTTTAAATTACATATATAACAATAATAATGCTAAAACAAATAATTAATATGTTTAATTTTTTAAATATTTTTTATGGTTATACATAATATAATAATAGCAACACTAAATAGTATTAGTTACGTAATATTTATAATAATAACAGCTAAAATTAAATAAATAATACCTATTGCTATCTTTAATTATACCTAAAACTTATATTTTTTTTTTTCAAATGTTTACAATTAAAATCAACAATTATTGTAAAATACTTTAGTGCCTTTTTTGAATTTTTGAAATTATTTTTGTATAATAGTGGATAGGCACTGTCTGTAACAAGTACATATATAACGTCTTTGAGACGTCTAAAACCTGTCTCTCCCGTGACCATGATTGCTGTAAAGCATTCGAATCACCGGGAACCCAAAAATCAAAATAAATCCGCGAGATAATCCGAAAAGATCGCTTTATTTAAAATTTTGAGAGATATTTAATAATAGCTTTAGTTTTTTTATTTAGTTTATTAATCCCTCAACGACCGCGGACACGCCAGCATGTTAGTTAACAATAGATTTCTTAGAAATTTAATTATTTTCTTGGAAATTTACCTGGAGGTGTTACTCCTCAGATTAAGGACTAATATAGACAGTATGTCACAACTGAACGTGAAGCCAAGCAATAAGGTTTTAAAACAGTATTAGTAGTACAAACAGCACCGGATTTAACCTCAGCGCCGCCCCTGGGCATAGTAAAAAAGGCCGGCCAATTATAGGCATTTTGCTTAAAATGGGTAAAGTTTCGATATAGTTTAAATATATATATATATATAGTTTAAATATATAGATATATATATATATATATATATATATATATATATATATATATATATATATATAAATTTTTGAAAAATCCAGAAAATTAATTTATAAATAATATGAATTTATCGAAAAATGTATAAGTTAGTCTTTTTTTATAAAATAAAAAAAACATTTTTGATAACGCGAAAAAAGTATTCTTCCCGCCCTCCGAATTTTGCCGCCCTTAAAAATTTGCCGCCCTGGGCGTGCCCGTTGTGTAAATCCAGCGCTGAGTACAAATATTAGTAGAAAACTCTTTACTGCGTTAACTTTAATAAATGTTAATAAAAAATGGCTATTGGTAGGTACTTAAAATAAAGACGAATATAAAATAATTATTCGTACTTTAATAGGACGAATAATAAATAAAGGAAGCTGTTGCTATTCGTCCAATAATCGGATGAATAAAAAATATATTATTCGTCCAACTGTTGTCGGTTTGTACGAATATTTTCCAACTTTTTTGTTTTTTTTTTTTATGTAAAATAAGTGATTTTTAGGCGCAGGAGTTTCTATATGCAAAAAATATATTCATAACCTACCGAGCTGTGCCGAGCTACTTATTCTACTTACTTATTTATTAGTCTATTCGTCCTTCTTTATAATTTACATATTTTATAAAGGACGAATAATTATTTTTACTCGTCCTATTAATGGACGAATAGACACTTCGAATTAAAGAAGGAAACGGATTTAATTATAATAAATAAAAAATAAATATTATATAATAAATAAATAAAATAATGATAAAAAATTTTTTTGGGGGGCTCCGTCTATATAATTCTTTAGTCTAAGAATTCAAGTCTGTCTTCCTTAATAAATAGGCTATAAAATCAAAAACATATTTTAAAACCGGTAGTGTTTGCAAAGTTTAGTTTGACAATGATTTAAAGAATAATTATTCTCAATACATAAGTTTTGTAATATTTACATATTATTATAGAAGTAAATTTAAAGTAATTTTTTTATTGTGTGTTCAAAATTTATTTCAAACTACATATATCGGAAAATTACATTTAAAACTTTGAGTAATAGTATGAAAAAAATGTTTTAAAAGACAAAAAAATCGAAAGTGCATACCTATTACAAGACTTCCGCGACACCATTCAGACAAAGAGAGACAATAGCATTCCCAAGGAGGGTTGACGTCAGGCAGGAGTGAGGCGGCCGGTCGTAAAACTTTTGCCAAATCCCATCAGCAGTACACAAGATGTACTGCGCCGACCCCAAGTGACTGGGAAATGGGCAGGGTGATGAAGATTATAGAAGTAATAACGAAAGAGTATTTCTCTTATAAATCAGAAAATAGATTTAAAACATACATATGTCAGAAAAACGTCCCTTCTAAAAGCTTTTTATAGCTTTATAACTATTAAGGCAGGCCAGAAGTAGCGTACTTGTTTGGTAGATCCAAATGAAGCAAGTTCAAATCCCGGGTCTCGCACCTTTGAGTTTTCATGTTCGAATCATTTTTAACACGATTTACCACTGGTCTAACGATAAAAGAAAACATCATGAGGTGACCTGCATGTCTGAGAGAACCTAGCAAGTTTTCGAAAGACATTTGGAGACTGCCAACCCGCATTGCTTAGAGTGGTGATCCTCCTCGTATAGAAGGGAGGCCCTTGCACAGCAGTATGTGTAGGTATATAGGTGGGGAAAAAGGGTTGATTTCTAATCTTTTTTTAATGAGACTAGAATTCTTGACACAATTTCGTGCTGACATGACACATGATGACAGTAATAATTAATTAAGTGTACCTATATTTGTTACTAGCATTGCCCGCGGCTCCGCCCGCGTTCAGATGACCAAAAACCAAATTCTTAGGTTTCACAGTAGGTACGGTACTATACTCTTACAGTGCAGTTTTTGTATTTTTCTCAGAAATGAGACATTTTCCTGCGGTAAAAAGTATCGTATATGTTGACCCGGATAACCGGCTATCACCATACCAAATTTCTTAAAAATCCCTCCAGTGGTTTTTCTGTGATGCGGTAACATACAGACAGACAGACAGAAATTCTAAAAACTACAGATTCGGCCTCTGTATCGATAATAATGTTTATTTCAATAAGATTTTCCAAAAAATATTTAATGGCTTGGTTACAATTATAGTATAGATGTAGGTAAACACATATCATTAGGTATTTTTGTAATTTCAATGTATTTTCGTAAATATTTTTTTATCTAAAAGTATATAATTTATTTGTAGGTATATTTAAGTATAAGCGCACGGAGGAGTATGATAAGTATTAAGCGTAGTTACTTAGATTGTGCCTGTGGCTTATTTACTCATATTCTGCTTATAAAACCGCGATGATACATAACCTATACCTATTATAAAGTTGAAGAGTCTGTTTGTTTGTCTGTATGTGCTAATCGCTGGAATTACTTGTCCAGTTGAAGATTTTTTTTTATTCTATAGTCTATTTGTTGACGAGGGCTAATGGTTTTCTATGTAACGTTCAAAATTAATGATTTATTGTCGATTTTTGTTCACCGCGCGATCACTAGAATATTTTCAAAACTTTAATATTTACATTTTATGCAGTTTGTTTATTAAAAAAAATAACTCTCAAAATTTTATATTGAAAAAAAAGACAAAAGCCGAATAACATAACAACCTTTGTCAATATATTACTAAAAATACTAAACGTCACGTCAACACCATAACACTTCCCGCGAGACTATCCACTAGAAAAACTTACATAACGACTTTTCCGATCTGTGATTGGTCGGTTTTGTAATCGTTAGGTAATTTCCGCGACTCCGATTGGACGATAAGCCCCGCCCACACTTTCACGTTAGCTGACTTATGACATAGTGTAATGAATAGATAATGAAGAGTCATTAGCGATGTGGGTGCTTTTAGGTGTTGCGTTTTTATTATAACATTTTATTTAACTTGTAATTTTTGTATGTATGTTTGTTAGGTTCAAATTTTGTAACTGAATCTTAAAGCAGTTATCCTCAACTGATTGAGCTGAAATTTTGCATATACTTTTAGATTGGACTATGTTTTTTATGATATGATATGGATATCAAATAAAAGGCTGGTATATAGAGATATAGAATGAATGCAAGTAAATACCTAAAAAATAAAAAAAATAAACTTTAAATTAAATTTATTACATTACACAATTTATATGATATAAAAGCTTGTTTTTAAAAATTTTTAATATATTTTTAGTAGGTACTTACTAAATAATGAATGTACTTTTTAAAATATATATTTTTTTGTGTACATAAATACTTACGTACACAAAGAATTCTCCAGTCCGTATGGACTGAATTAATATTTTTCATGCATTATTAATTTATTTGTCCTGGATTTATAAAATAGTCTTTTGCTATTGCTATTTTATCTCATACTAATAGGTAGGTATTTTTTCGTAGCGAACTAAATAGGATAAAAAAAAGAATATGGCAGAAAACCTTATCGTAAAATTACCATTATTAGATATTTGTCGTATTTTTTTGTAACATTATTGTTGACAGGTGTAGTAAGTACCTACTTATCGACTACAACATTAAAGTTTGTAGAGTTACTAAATTATTTTGGAAGAAACTTTCAAAACAATTGCTCTGTAGACTAGGAATCATCATAACATCAATATATTTTTTATTTTATAAAAAAAGTTATGTCATTTTACAGTACAATATCATACTAGCAGGTTGGTATTTTGTAATGTAGTGAATAATAAAAACAAGCCTAGTTGATTCAGTGACTTGTTGACCACGTCTGCAGATCCGAATGTTGAGTGGATTTAAGTTCCGGGTCTTGTCAGGTATAATCATTGGATTTTTCTGTCAAATAATTTTCAGTAACAGCTTGGAGTTAAGTAGCATCGGTCCTAACCCTAGTCTTCTTACCAGTCGTGTCGCATTAAAGTCCGGACTTAGCAGTAAAAGAACAAAATTATAGCTTAAACTGCTTAGTTTGTAACTTTTATTATAAGTATTTATGACGCCCAATTTGTGTCTGAACTTAAAATCAAAATTATGTAGTCAAACTGAAAGCAAGCTAAGAACGGATCGTTTAGAAAAAAAAACATTTTTCATTGTCTGATCCGTGCATTATAAAGAGCTCAAAACAAACATGGCGCCTCGTTGTAATTGGCGCTTATGACGGAACGCGTTACAGGCGATCATTAGTAGCGGCGCGGCGGAATGAACAAAATCAATATGTGTATTATATCGTAAGTTATATTTATGATTATAAAAGAAAATAACAATTTTGACAAATATTTATTTAAACTAGCGATTGTCCCGAGATCGAAATTTGACCACGCCTATTTTATCAAATCTTATCTCATATTTAACAAAATACAAAAACTGCAATTAAAGAGTATACCTACTAATATGTAAATCCTAAGAATTTTGGTTTTGATCATCTGAACGCGGGCCGAGCCGCGGGCAATGCTAGTCTTATATAAGTACGTACCTATTACTATTATTTTAATATATTAATTAATAATTTTTGCGAAAAAGATATTATGATGATTTATAAATAACTAACGGCTTACCTACCCTCGCTGCTTCGCTCGGGTTCGTTTCTAGTTAGGTACGTTTTAACGATTAAGTAGTATAGATTTCTCAGAGATGAGATATTATCCCGCAGTAAAAAGTATCCTATAGGTACGTTGACCCGGATAACCAGCTATCATCAGACTAAATTTCATCAAAATCCCTCCAGTAGTTTTTGTCTGATGCGGTCACAGACAGACAAAAATTCTAAAAACTATAGATTCGATTTCGGCCTCAGTATCCCATTATAATAATATCTATTTCAATAAGATTTTCTGAAAAATATTTAATTTACAGATTCGGCTTAGTTACAATTTTATTATATGTATAGATACACCCAGGGCCGAATTAACCATGCCGGGGGCCCCTAGGCAGTGCAATTCTCGGGGCCCTTTCACCCTTTTCTAACATATTAAAATACATTTTTCGTTATTACGCTATTAGGTACATTTCATCGAAATCTAACTGTTGCATTTGTGTTCATGGTGGAATTTTCACCTCTTTTTTATTTATTTCTTTTTTGTTCAATTTTTACCTTGCAACATTATTATTAATTATTCATTTAAATATTTAGAATCATAAAATAACAAGTGTGAGTCGGATTCGCACACGAAGGGTTCCATACCATCGTACATGTACTTTTTATTAATATGACTTTTAATGTATGTACGAGTATGTAATATATTAACTTCGATGATCGATTACTATTAATTGTATTTTTATTTATTTTTATTTTTTGTTGTTATAGTATAGCGGAAATATAAATGCATACTCTGTGAAAATTTCAACTCTCTATCTATTACGGTTCATGAGATAGGTACAGCCCTCTGACGGACAGACGGACAGCGGAGGCTAAGTAATAGGGTTCTGTTGGCACCCTTCTGGTACGGAACCCTAAGAACTGCAAAGGCTGTTTCGTTATTTATTGACTAGCATTGCCCGCGGCTTCGCCTGCGTTCAGATGACCAAAAACCAAATTCTTAGGTTTTACATATTAATATCTTACATAGAAGTTTTTGTATTTTTTCTCAGAAATGAGATATTTTCCCGCGGTAAAAAGTACCCTATACGTTGACCCGGATAACCAGCTATCACCATACCAAATTTCATCAAAATCCCTCCAGTGGTTTTTCTGTGATGCGGTAACAGATAGACAAACAGACAGACAGACAAAAATTCTAAAAACTATAGATTCGACCTCTATATCGATAATTAAGTCTATTTCAATAAGATTTTCCAAAAAATATCTAATGTACAGATTCGGCTTAGTCACAATTTTATTATATGAATAGATGACGAATAGCTAAAGTGATAAGAGTGTAAATAAAATAAATAATAAAAAAAAGAGAAAATAGAAACATGTTCGATCGGGGTGATAAATTTCATAGCGATGTTGACGGCTGGATTAATAACTGAGGGAAGTAAGTGTACACTTGGCTACTAAAGTTTTGAGATGAACTTCAATTAAGTAATTTATTTATTCACATAAAAAAGAAAGACATTCTCAATTATTGTCGATTTAAATGAGGCATTTTATGATAAACTAGCAACTCACCCTCGCTCCGCTTCGGTTCGTCCCTATTTACGTTTTAACGTTTAGTATAGATTTCACAGAGATGAGATATTTTTCCGCAGTAAAAAGTATCCTATATGTTCACATAGATAACCAGCTGTCATTATACCAAATTTCATCAAAATCTGTCCAGTGGTTTTCTCGTAATGCGTTCCCAAACAGACAGACAAAAATTTTAAAAGTATAGATTTTAACTTTCATCCCCAATTGTACCACCTTATGGGATGAATTCGGAAAAATTCTAAAACGCGTATTTATTTAATTTTATTAAAGAACATTTATACCAAGTTTCTTAGTAATTCTGATCGTAAATATTTTTTTTGGATTATATTATAACGTGTTTTCCCATGGGAATTAGATAATCTCCCTCGGTATAAAGTAGCCAATGTCACTCTCCAGCCTTCCAACTATCCCCACACAAAAAACACGCCAATCCGTCACTCCGTTTCGACGTGAAAGAAGGACAAACAAACACACTTTCACATTTATAATATAAGTATGTAGTATGGATAATACGAACTTGTGTGCTACATTGTACCCACGCCAGGCGCAATTTCTCACGGCGCCAATGTAGAACTCAACGCTGTGTACTTAATTGTTATTAAACACATCGAATCACTATGTCTTCACAAAACCTGACTTCAAATCAGAAGGTCAGAGCAAAATGAGTAAATATGGAAGAAAGAAGAATTTTGCATTTGAAATTATGGTTACATAATATACATACCTATCTATCTATACATTATATGTAAAAAACTGTAACTAAGCCGAATCAGTACATTAAATATTTTTTGGACAATCTTATTGAAATATACATTATTATCGATACAGAGGCCGAATCTATAGTTTTTAGTATTTTTGTCTGTCTGTCTGTCTGTTACCGCAACACAGAAAAACCACTAGATGGATTTTAATGAAAGTTGGTATGGTGATAGCTAGTTCGTAGTAGTAGTTATCCGGGTATACATTCATATATATAGGATACTTTTTACCGCGGGAAAATATCTCATTTGTGAGAAAAAATACGAAAATTGTAATGTAAGAGTATACTAATATGTAAAACCTAAGAATTTGGTTTTTGGGCACCTGAACGCGGGCTGAGCCGCGGGTAAAGCTAGTCATATATAATTATTGTCATCGGAACTGAACCAATATGTATCAACTCGGTAGGATAAGAAGTAATTCAGCTTGCAAGATTTGACCCATACAACATTGCAAGTTAAATAAAAGCTTTTAATAAATTAATATTAAAAAATATATATTTTTAAAAACAAGCTTTTATATCATACTAGCGACTCACTCGTTTTAACAGTTAGTATGAAATACAAAATTTCTCGGCTTTTCTATACATATGTACTATATATATGCATATAAACCTTTGTTTAGAATCACTCTATCTATTAAAAAAACCGCATCAAAATCCGTTGCGTACTTTTAAAGACCTGAGCATACCTACATAGGGACAGGCAGACAGCGGGAAGCGACTTTTGTTATACTATGTAAAGATAAATTGTGTAATGTAATAAATGAGTTTGATTCAATTTAAAATTAACTTTTATTTTTTACAGCAAACCTGTTCCTTTAAAATCCATATCATGGGGGTGCATAAAAACATAGTTTGCCATCGTTGGTAGTCCGCCATGTTGGATTAAGATTGACGTTATTTATCTAACCGTGTATTGTCATCCAAACTAAACGTGTAAAATCGGTTGAGGATTACTGCTTTAAAATTCACTTGCAAGATTTGACCTGGCATTTGGAGGCAGTGGTAGCTCAGTGGTAACGCGATCGCTTGGGAAACCGAGTGAAGTGAGTTCAAATCTCGGGTCTCGCACCTCTGATATTTTCATGTGCGAATCATTTCTAACATGATTACCACTTGTGTTACGGTGAAGGAAAACATCGTGAGGAAACCTGCATGTCTGAGAGAACCTAGCAAGTTTTCGAAAGACATGTGAAGTCCACAAACCCGCACTATGCGTGCGTGGTGGACTATGGCCTGATCTCCCTCGTATTGAAAGGAGGCCCACCCCCAGCAGTGGGACGTTAAAAAAAGGGCTGAATACATTTGACCTGAACAAACATACATACAAACATTGCAACACAATTAAAAGCTTGTAAAAGATACATACCTAATCTATGTAAATTATCATTGACAACAAACACCTGTAGCATTCTCCTTTAATTCTGGCTGAAAATAAAAAAAATATATTGAAGTATTGACACGTTAGTCAATTGCTACAAAAAATTGCGAAAAGACGAAGGAAGAAATTTTTAAAAATGAGTATTTTAATAGAGATTTCTAAGGAATTTCTGAAGAAAAATATCTGTGAGTTTATTAAAATTACATATTTACATAATTTTTAAGATTTTTTTTAAATAATATTCGAAATTTTTTAGATAACTATAAATTATATTCCAACATTGCTGTTGTCCCCAATAAGAAAAACAATTTAAAAACAAGCACAGATAAAAAAAGAACAATTTTGTATGTGAAAGGAAAAAATGAAGCGAATTACGTACAGAAATCTATTAAAATTGGTGCTTGCGCTTTTTTAAATGTACCATCTTTGAAGGTAAGCGTATATATGTATTTAATTTTCTTTTAGTTATCTCGATTTTATTAGCATAACGTTTTTTTTAGCGAAACCCTAATTCTTTTTCTAAAATAAAAGTAGCCTATGTTACTCCCTATAACATCAGCTATCTTTCAGTGAAAGTTCCGTCAAAATCAGTGTAGTCGTTTCAGAGATTATCCAGAACAAACAGACAGACAGACAAAAATTCAAAAAATTGAGTTTTTCTTATAAGTACTGTATATAATTTCATATGCATTTAGTAAAACGCTGTTATTTTGACATTACAAACAGACACTTCAATTTTATTTATATGGTTTATTTTGATAATATGGTCTACCTAATTATCCCACATCTGGACATTCTCAACATAAGGTCATGACCAGCAATCAGGCCAAATCCGGGTTGGCTTCGCTTATAAGTTATAACTATTTAAAATAAAAAGTCGGTCAAGTGCGAGTCGGACACGCACAGGAATGGTTCCGTATCAGAATCGATTTTTTTAAATTTGCATGACATCCTTCTTGAAAATCGCCATCTTGGTTTTTTATTATTTGTTATTATAACAGCAATAGAAATACACACTCTGTGAAAATTTCAACACTAACTACTACGGTTCATGAGATACAGTCTTCTGACAGACGGACGGACAGCGGAGGTTTATTGTTAGTAATAGGCAAGTATAAAAGTTGGCACCCTTCGGGTACGGAACCCTAAAAATGTTAAAGGCACTAGATAGTGCACATAAATCAATTGAATTTATGTGTTTTATTATTATTTCCAGTTAATTTTATCTTCTAATTTTTATTGGTATAAATTACAATATTTAATATTTTTTTGTTCCATTCAAAGTACTCCACAACGTGTAAACAACCGAAGAAGGAAAAAAAGCCAGTAGAAACTTCATCAACTCCACCGAAAGCGTCCGGTGGTGGGGCCCAAGGAAAGATTATAGCAGGTCTTGAATTGATTTACAATTCTAGTACTGGCCCGATTTCACCAACGTCACCTCAGTTTAAGGGATCCCCTAAGAATGGTTAGGGGGCTGTTAGGGGACAGTTTCTGTTTCACCGACAGTTAGGGGTCACCTAAATGTTAAAATGCCACCTAAATATATGTAGGAACTGGAAATACGGCTCTGACGATAGTAAAACAAAATTTAATTTAGGAGCTAGTTTAGGGGATCTTTTAAGCTAGGGATCCCATACGTAGGTGTTAGCTTATGGGATGTTGGTGAAAAAGGGCATAACTCCTTTTGGCTGAAGATCTGGAGTTCCTAGGTTCGAGGCTTAGGTCCGGACTAGTGTAGTTATTGGTATGTGTGAAATGATATTTTAGGAATAAAAAGAGACGTATGTAAGAATTTTAAGAATGGAATGGAATGGAATAGATGAATAAAAGAAAAGAAAGACGTTGTGTCATAATGACGACACGGCGATACGCGTGAACATTGTTTTGTAATATTTTAAAGGAATAAATAGTCAATAGTGATATAAACGCTTTTATTGGTATCCCCGGATCCTACATTAATTGTTAAAACCGAGCCACCGGTGGCTTGGTGATCGTTGACAGGTTATACCATATTGCTGATATTTTTTGTTTGTTTGTTTAAATTGATTTATATTGATTTATATTCTCATTCATCATTCGCCACCGCTGAAAAAAAGGTGGCTACAGGTGGCTAATGCCAGCATCCTTAGAAAAATGTTCTCTCTGAAAATCTCCTGGATATAAGTATATAGGTTTGTTTTAGTAGATGCACAATTGCGAATAAAAAATAATGATGATGATGTTCTCCTGACCGATTCCGGCTACGGCGGCCAATATCTTTCAGACTAGCCAACTGCCTAGGAGATATTATAGTGCACAAGTGTACGCGCAGACACAACGTGCACTCTCTGTTCCTGTCACTCTCATACTCCGGTGGGACGACACGAGACACTCGCGGTGACACCAGTCGGAGACACGGGGGTGAAACACCGCCCACTTCCCAACTCCGGGCTATAATTACTGAGGCTTACTATACAGAGACTCAATAACTAAACTTGGCCCGACCCGGGACTCGAACCCAGGACCTCCGGGTGTGCAGCCGTACATGCTAGCCATTACACCACCGAAGCATTTAAATAAAATAAAAAATAATACTTACCTAATCAATTATAAATTATAATATGTTCAGTGATTGGCGCGGTGGTGGATGTGACGTTTGATAAGCATCTGCCGCCGATACTGAACGCTCTGGAAGTTCCTGGACGAAGTGAGTTGTTTACATATTATTTGGCGGTTTACATATTAAAAGAGCGATTTTGAACCAGTGATCAAAAAATCTCAAAATTCACCAGGAAGCCTCTTTTGAGAGGTACTAAAAATACCAAAATATTAATATTTTTTCTTATTATTTTTTTCCTCTATTTTAAAAACAATTCTTTATTATTATGGCTTATATACATATTTTTTACGTTAAGTATAGATTTCTCAGAGATGAGATATTTTCCCGCAGCTATTATCATACCTCATCAAAATCGCTCCAGTGATTATTCCGTGATGTGGTCACAGACAGACAGACAGACAGACAGACAGACAGACAAAAAAACTATAGATTCGGCCTTTGTACCGATAATAATGACTATTTTAAGAAGATTTTCCAAAAAATATTTAATTTAATTCAATGCAAAGGCGGAATAGAAGAGTTTTTAGAATTTGTGTTTGTCTTTGTTTGACTGTCTGGGAACGCATCACCAGAAATTTGTTATGATGATAGCTGGTTATCCGGGTCAACATATAGGATACTTTTTACTGCGGGAAGATATATCATCTCTGAGAAATCGTTGAAACGTAACGAGGGGCAAAAGCGACAGTGAGTCGCTACTCGCTAGTCTATAGTATACTAATATTATAAAGAGGTAAAGTCTGTGACGTGTGTTTCTGAATCTACTAAACCGATTTAGATGAAATTTAGTAAGAAGATAGTTTGAGACCCTGGGAAGGACATAGGATACTTTTTATCCCGGATATCATTCTTTAAGTGGGTGAAAATGGGGATGAAATTTTGTATTGGTAATCAAGCTAAGGACGAACCTGAGCGAAGCGAAAATGAGTCGCTATTCATTTAAATAGATAGTTAAGTTCTCTATATTATTATTTTGAATGTAAATAAAATATTTTAGAACCGCGCTTGATACTCGAAGTTGCGCAACATTTGGGAGAGAATTCATGTAGGACGATAGCAATGGACGGCACTGAGGGGCTAGTGAGGGGACAAGCGATAGTGGACACGGGCGCGCCCATCACTATTCCCGTGGGAGAGCCCACTTTGGGCAGGATCATTAATGTTATTGGAGAACCTATTGGTAAATTAATATCTTGTTTATTTTTGCTGTCTGTTCTATTCCTTCCAGTATCCAAGTTTATTTCTAGTATAATTTGTATTGTAACACAACATTGATATACAAAAATTCAAAATACACAATTAGCGTCTCAAAAATGTCCTCAAAGAGAAGTGCAAAATTCGAAATTGAATTGCGCTATTTTGAAATGTTTTTTGTTTATTGCTTTTCAGATGACAAAATTAAAGTACCTACACGTAGTTTCGTTTAAAAAAGTACTTTATATGGTGTGCGTAAGTTCGAATTTGTGTTTAGACAGTTGGAACTTTCCATTTTTGTCGTCGAAGCCACTTTTTGAATACATATTTGTTAGGAAATGTGTATAGATATCTTTTTATATATCAATATAATACAACCATGGATTTACACAAATGGTTAATGGACATATTAAAAGTTCATCGAAATCGGTACTCTTATACTTACCTTATGGTTAATTTTAGAAATGTGCTCGAACAGAATTTTTTATCTACGTGGCGTCGGTAGACAAAAATTAAAAAAAAATCTATCTCAAATTTTATTTTTATTCAATTATTATTCCTATTTAATCGTTAAATATGGAATAAATAAGGAAATATGCCAAATTATTATTATTATTTTATAGGTATATTATTCTCATAAAATATAGGATATAATTTTGTTTTAAATTTAATCCAATAGGTATGTGTACCTATAATACGTTGTGCTAATTACATATAGTATCTGGGCCACCGAGCTTCGCTCGGAGTTTTTGGTTCAAAAGTACAATTTTCTTTAAAAAAAAACTAAAAACTTGAATAAATATAAAAAAAAATAAAAGTATTAACTTTGTATGCGACTGAGATTCGAACCTGGACACCTGTGATTGTTGATCTTGCACGTTGGCCGCTTGAACACGACGCTAATGCCCGAGCGTGCAAATTACCGACCATATTTTGCGTGGAATAATGCAAAAGAAAACTGCATGAAAACTCGAAAACACGCGTTTTCTCAGACATGAGACTAATCTAGATCGATTTATAGCCCCCGAATTCCGAAACCCCTTGTGTACTAAATTACATGAAAATCGTTGGAGCCGTTTCCGAGATTCAGTTTATATATTGATATATATATATATATATATATATATATATATATATATATATATATATACACAAGATTGCTCGTTTAAATATATTAGATTTGTATTGAGGAATTCATTAGCTTTAATAAACTAAACTATTAATAAACCTATCGTTAAAAAAGTACTAGATACACAATCAGTGACCAAAAATGTCCATCATCGAATTAGCGCTCATTTCAACATATTTTAATCGCGCCTTTAATTAATTTTTAAATTTTTTTACATTGTTGTATATTAATTCCAACTAAAACAATTACCTAAACACAATTGGTGACAGTTTTAAAGAGAACTTTTGCATGGGATTGTGTATTTAGTACCAACTTTTTTGATGGATGGATAAATCAGATATCTATACATATAATTAAATTCTAACTTAGCCGAATCTGTACATTAAATATTTTTTGGAAAATCTTATTGAAATATACTTTATTATCGATACAGAGGCCGAATCTATAGTTTTTAGAATTTTTGTCTGTCTGTCTGTTACCGCATCGCGGCAAAACCAGTGGATAGATTTTGATAAAATTTGGTATGATGATAGCTGGTTATCCGGGTCAACATATAGGATACTTTTTATTGCGGGAGAATATCTCATCTCTGAGAAATCTATACTAAATGTTAAAACGTAAGTAGGGACGAACCCGAGCAAAACGATGGTAAGTCGCAAGTTTAAAATAAAAATTAAAAAAAAATTACAGACGAGCGCGGACCGATTGAGACGGATCAGTACGCTTCCATTCACGCAGAAGCACCTCCCTTTGTGGAGATGTCGGTTAAACAAGAGATTCTCGTCACTGGCATCAAAGTCGTGGACCTTCTGGCTCCATATGTGAAAGGTAAGTTTGGTGTTGCTTGATCTAAATTTAGCATTGAATTTAAATATATGCATGCATTTAGAATATTTTTTTTTACATTAACACACAGCACCATCTAATTCCATGGTAAGCTTCGAGGCTTGTGTTATGGATACCATACACTACACATATATAACTTTAAATACATACATATTATAAATATAAACACCCATGACTGGAGTACAAACATTCGTGCTCATCACACAAATGAATGTCCCCAGAGGGACTCGAACCCGCGACCGCTGGCACAGCAAGTAGGGTCACTACAAACTGAGCCAAACGGGTCGTCAAAGGTTGCAATAGGGAATATGCATTTTTTTATACAATAGCTAACATCGTTATATAACTGTAAAACAAATATCCAGCTCCAAAAAACTAAAATTTAGTATAAAAAAAATATATTATTCCGATACGGATACCTTAAGCTCCCGCCATTTCTCGCTTGGTGTGACGTCACATTATGATGTGAACAGAAAAATGGCGACTCAATTTGTAGCGACAAAATCGCTAATCTATATATAATAAATAATTTAGAATGATATTTTTTATTTGCCTATGCTATTTTACGTTCTATTCCTAATAAATTACGTGGTGTTGTTGCTTTAGTTATATCAATTTTAATTTTAATTATTTTACCTTTTACATTTAATAAACAAATTGAAGGTATTCAATTTTATCGCTCTGTTATTATATACTCTGACGTCACATTCGGTCTGACCAATGGCGTGCGTTTCAACTTCTTTGAATTTCCCACCTATATTTGCACTTTTTAGTAATTATTTTTTTAATAAAAAAAAATTACTTTAAAAAATATTGATATAGGCTTAATTCAAAAGCAATACCTAATCATTATAAAAAAAATTATTTCGCCTTTATTTAAATCACACGAATATTCCATATTCATGAGTTCCCCAACATTAAAAAAAATGTAAAAGGTCTTCATCCGTAACATGAAATTCGAAAAATAAATACATAGTTTCTGAGATCGGAGTTAAATTGTTTTTATAATATTATATGAGTCTATTTTTAACCGAGTTCAAAAAAAGGAGGTTATCCATTCGACACGTAGGTATGTACATAATGTAATATTATTGATACTGCAAAATATGTAGCGCTTCCAAACAAACATACATATACTAGCAGAACCCGCGGTTTCGCTCGCGCTGAAATTACAAAAAAAACTCTAAAATGGTAGGTTTCATACAAACACACATCCACTATTTTACCTCCTCATGGGATGTTTTCGAAAAATGCTAAAACACGTATTTAATTAATTATATTTATTATATACCTACCCGGTTTCAATGTGATCATAAATATTTTTTCTGATTTAACGTGTTTTCCTGTGGGAGTTAGGTAATCTCCCACGATAAAAAGTAGCAAGTAGACTTCAGATGTCTTTCGAAAACTTGCTAGGTTCTCTCAGACATGCAGGTTTACTCATGATGTTTTCCTTCACCGTAAGGCAAGTGGTAATCATGTTAGAAATGATTCGCACATGAAAATATCAGAGGTGCGAGACCCGGGATTTGAATCCGCTTCACTTGGTTTCCCAAGCGATCGCGTTACCACTGGGCTACCACTGCCTTTATACATAAAAATGTATATTTCGAAGGTGGTAAGATCGGTCTGTTCGGAGGAGCCGGAGTGGGCAAGACGGTCCTCATTATGGAGTTGATCAATAACATCGCCAAAGCTCATGGAGGTTTCTCGGTATGAAGTAGTCTCTGATAGATTTACTTATTATTTTAATTTCTGAAACGGTTGTAGATTCGATTCTTGATTATAAAACAATCCCGATTCAAATATTTTTTTTCTATTTATATTGTTTACATATGTATATATTACATGCGGCAGTAAGCCTTTTTTTGTCGCTGAGAAATACTTTTACACGTAGCACCTGCTCTCTCTCTCTGCTAATGCATGTTGTCTTGTGGAACTCGGGCAATGCCGTAATACTAATAAAAACCTAGTGGCACCCTTATCGCCTTAACCAGGGCTCGGAAACCCGTTCAATTTTTAAACTGGTTTTGGTCATTGAACCCAAAGGTTTCGGCTACGTTCTTTAACCGGTTAAATTCAGGAGAACGGTTTTTAACGAATTGAGGTTCCATTAACAAAATTAACCGGTTTAAATGAGTTTTCAACCGACTTCAAAAAGGAAGAGGTTCTCAATTCGACTGTATGTTTTTTTTTTTATGTTTGTTACCTCAGAACTCCGTCATTAATAACCGATTTGGACAATTTTTGTTTTGTTTGAAAGGGTATACTTCCAGATTGGTTCCATTTTAATTTCAAAAAAAAAATACCACCCCTAAGGGTGGAAAAACAACTAATGATGAATTTAACCTACTTCTAATTGTCATATTGACTTGAAACTTTGCAAGTATTTCTATTTCCGTTGATAGTACAGTGGTTCGGTGTTGTTGACCTGATCTGATGGCAAGGCCAGAAGGTGGATAGGTGGAACTCTTCAACGGCTAATAGTAGATACTTTGAGTTTGGGCTTATTTTGTTTGATTTGACAAGGCTAACACTTTAGAATCCTTACTTTGCTACTACTGTCTACACTAAAAAGGGAAAAATAAAAACTTTTTAACAAAAAAATAAAAACCGACTTCAAACAAAAGCACTAAAAAGTAAAAAATAACTGATTGGTAGTTTTCATTTAGGGTAAGGTTGCTCAAGTCGTACCACGGCCTAACTCGTACCCCGGCAATATCTTGTCTAATAATTATAAATTACGCAATCTAGTGTCGCTAATTTGAACTACTTAGTCGAATGACCGAACATAAACAAGTGGACGACCAGCCGGCTTCGTGAAGTAAAAATATTGAAAAAGTAAGTTTTTTGCACAGTTTTCATTAAAATTATTGACTAATTTGTAAACTATTTATGACAGGAATGAGATCCTTATCTTTTTTCTTTTTTAACATGTGTTTGTGATACTTATCTGGTAATCGTTTCGAATACTCAAACAGTAGAACTTTTTTAGGTTATGTCATTACTTTTAGTTTTAAATTTAGAAAACACTGCTCCTTAAGTCGTACCTGTACAAAATCCCTTACTCGTACTGGTACGACTTACATATTAAGAAATTTGTTTAATATATAATTTACTTAATTTTTATCAGGTACACCTAAAATGGCGAAGAGAAGGTTACAATACTTGGAAGCAAGAGGATATGGACGAAGCTTAGAGAAACACAGTAATGGAGAAAGAAATTGTATTTAGTGAAGTTTTTAAAAGATTTTAATATACCGAAGCCTACTCTGTTATGCCATTTAACGGGTTTGAATGAAAGAACAAAATTTGGGGCACAGCATTTGATGAATTTAGAGCCTTGTTTCTTCGGATTAACGGCCACTGAATTTAGGAAACTTGCGTTCGACCTTGCTGAGAAATTTCAACTACCTCATCGTTTTTAAACAAGGAGAAACTGCAGGCAAAAAGTGGTATTACAGGTTTATGAAAAACCACCCTACTTTGTCATTGCGTGTTCCAGAATCAACCTCAATGGCCAGAACTAAAAGATTTAATAAAGAGCGGAGTAATGAGTTTTTTGAAAAGTATGAAGAAATACTGGATAAATACAAGTTTGCTGCACACCAAATATACAATGTGGACGAAACTGCATTATCTACCCTTCACAAATCTTCCAAAGTTATTGCTCAAAAGGGAAAACACCAAATAGGTGCAAGTACAAGTGGAGAAAGGGGTCTTCATCAGGGATCAAGGGGTTACAAGTGGAGGGGGGGACCACAACAGGCATATGTGCGCTGAATTCAGCAGGCGAATTTATACCACCCATGTTGATATTTAAGCGTAGCAGACTGAATGATGCCTTAAAAAAGGAGCCCCTCCAAACACAGCATTTGGTTGCTCGAAAAATGGATGGATAACATCAAAATTTTTTGGTTAATGGCTTCAATATTTTATTAAATGCACAATATTAGAAAAAAAGTTATCAAAAAACAGATATTGCTTTTACTAAATGGTCATAGCACCCATACCAAATTTATATATATTTGACATTTATACAAATTTGACTTCCAACTTAATAACCAAAATAATGTTTTAAGTTGATCTCAGACTAAATTGTTTGTAATTATTTAGTTGTTCATTGTGATCTGTGGTTATTACGCATATTTCTGTATAGTATTATGCGTTAAATAAAGTATATTTTCTAAGTACGACTTAGGCTATAGGTGGTACGAATTAGGCAACTAGGTGCCTTAATAGTACCGAAGGTATATTTTTGAAAAACGTTAAAATATCTATTTGGATAAAAGATTTTCCAATTTTTGTTATTCTTGATTAAAAGACAATTAAATAAATATTCAATACATGCAGAAGATTTTGTTTTATTTCAATTGTGCTGAATATAACAGAATTATTTCCTTAGGGGTTACGACTTAAGCAACCTTACCCTACTATACATACCTAATCAAATATTTTCGAAGTCGGTGTGCTTTGGCTAAGTAATTAAAGCCTACCTATTAAATAAATACCTAATCAAATATTTTCGAAATCGGTGCTAGCCCATACAAAGCAAAGCACACCGACTTCGAAAATATTTGATTAGGTATGTATAGTAAATGAAAACTACCAATCAGTTATTTTTTACTTTTTAGTGCTTTTGTTTGAAGTCGGATTTTATTTTTTTGTTAAAAAGTTTTTAGTGTGTTTACATTTGGCACGTCTTTGCTAATGGTGAATGACTTAGTAGGAACTAGGACGCATGCACGTTTTTTACTCATGCATGAATTAAGCGGTTTATTTCTGTATCAAAACCGAAAACCAACCTTTCTCTAAGAATAACCGTTAACCATTATTATTTCAGTTAACTAAACCGTTCGTTTTCATTAACCGGTTAAAGTACTAGCTATGAATTAACCATCAAATTACCGAAATAAACAGTTTTTTAAACCGGTTCCGAGCCCTGGTTTTAACGAGGCACCACGGGCTTCCACCACGGTGTAATATCGCACCAATTGTTGAATTGACTCACAACATTGTTAGGTCAACTGCATATCTGAGAACTAAGTGTCGAAAAACATGTAGGTAGTTCTCTAAGGTTATGTACAATTGCATAGCCCTGAAGAGACCTGTGTCCAGATTTGTAACTAAGGGCTAAATATATAATTATTAGTACCTGGGCTACTGAGCTTCACTCGGAGTTTTTGCTCGAGATTCGAACCTGGACACCTATGAATGTTAATCTCGCACCTTGCCGCTTGAACACGATGCTTATGTCCGTGCGTGCAAATTATCGACAATTTTGCGTGGAACAATGCAAAAGAAAACTGCATGAAAACTCGAAACCACGCATTTTCTCAGACATAAGACTAATCTAGATCGATTTATTGCACCCGAAACCCGGCCTGTATTCTAAAATTCATGAAAATCGTTGGAGTCGTTTCCGAGATTCAGATTATATATATATATATGATGATGATGATCATATATATATATATATAATTGCTTGTTTAAAGATATAAGATAATAGGTTTTCGCTGGTGTGGGCGAGCGCACGAGGGAGGGGAACGATTTGTATAATGAAATGAAAGTGGGTGGCGTCATCACGGAAGACTACAAGTCATCTAAAGTAAGTTTTAAAATTTGTTGTATCACGTAGTTTATTTAGGGTTGTACCGTGATGCTGGATAGCCTTTAAGCGTCTTCATCCTATAACCAAATCTAAAATACACAATCTCTTTGGATTTAATTATAATAGTTAATACTCCCGTGACTAATGTTATCACTTGGTCCCATCCGGGATTCGAATTCTTGACTTTCGAACTATATCAGCCGAAAATGCCAGCCATTGTTGGAAGTTTTATTTACGCATAGTAGGAGTATATATACAGAGTGGATTTTTGAGACATGATGCGGTAAGGGCAGGTACCTTAACGGCTATAGTTACAGGAAAACGTTCCTAGGAGACCATCCATAACTTTTTGAGATATCCTGAACTGCATTTACAGATTTTGGAAGAAATGTAGAGTTAGCGAAAAAAATGCTAAAATATTTAAAAACTTGTTTTTATGTCAATCGATCTTATTTCATGTAAGGATCAAAAGACTCTATGGGACCATTTACGTCCAGCTAACCCCAACTCACCACAAGATGAACAAACATACAATATATATATATATATATATATATATATATATATATATATATATACCGGCCATTAGAACGTGGTAGTGAAGAGTTCATACCGCAGGTAGCGTTGGTATACGGTCAGATGAACGAGCCGCCCGGCGCGAGGGCGCGCGTCGCGCTCACAGGGCTGACCCTGGCAGAGCACTTTAGAGACAAGCAAGGGCAGGACGTGTTGCTGTTTGTTGACAACATCTTCAGGTTCACTCAGGCTGGATCTGAGGTTATACTTTTGTTTTATGTGATATTTGATTGTTTTTATGTAAAGCAGGATAATTACCATATATTATTGGTAAACAAACAAAAACAAATCAATCCCACGGGAACCGTACATTTTCCGGGATAAAAATAGCCTATTTGTTATTCTCATGTATGAACTCTATCATTGTAGTTTCATTAAAATCCAATTAGTTCGTTTTTGTGTAAGTACTTTGCTGTATAAGTTACTAAAGCTTAACTATCCCGCGGGAACTCTTTAATTTTCCGGGATAAAAAGTATCTAAAATGTTGACCGGGGATATAAGGTACCACCAGGCAAAATTTCATTGAAATCGGTCCAACAGTTTCGGAGATTAGCTCTTACAAACAGCAGAGAAACAAGAAATTTGAAAAAAAATCTAGATTTGTTCTATTTGTCTTCTTACATCCCCCTGACTCAGTTTTTAGCCAATTTTTTTTTATGTAGGTATAGACATTCAACCTCTACAGTTTTATTATATGTATAGATATTTGAAAATCTAATTAAGTCAAATTTTTGAATCCTGTGAAAAATATAATACGAAAGGGACAAACGAACAAAATAATTCCCAGGTATCCGCCTTACTTGGGCGTATACCGTCCGCTGTGGGCTACCAGCCCACTTTGGCGACGGACATGGGCACCATGCAGGAGCGCATCACGACTACGAAGACTGGCTCCATCACTAGTGTGCAGGTGAGGACATACATACATATACATACATCCATCCATACAACTTACCTGTACGTGCAGTTCTATCATAATTATACTCGCGTCCAATGGTATATAATAAAACTAGCATTGCCCGCGGCTCCGCCCGCGTTCAGATGACCAAAAACCAAATTCTTAGGTTTTACATATTAGTATACTTTTACATTGCAGTTTTTGTATTTTTTCCCAGAAATATTTCGCGGTAAAAAGTATCCTACATGTTGCCCCGGATATCCAGCTATTATCATACTAAATTTCATCAAAATCTGTCCAGTGGTTTTCTCGTGATGCGGTAACAGACAGACAGACAAAAATTCTAAAAACTAGAGATTCGGACTCTATCGATAATGTCTATTTTAATAAGATTTTCCAAAAAATATTTAATGTACAGATTCGACTTAGTTGGAATTTTATTATATGTATAGAAATGCCGTCGTGTATATTCTGTAAATGCACTAATTATAAAAAAATAATTAAACAAAGTTCACTGAATCACATAGCACAGGTAACAATGTACTAGAAAAATTGTAGGTCTTAATGAGGTCTACAGAAAAATCTCCAATAGCATAAGTCTTTCTCCTAAGGTACACTCGCAATAACTATACATATCTATTTAAAACACACCTAGGGACAGAGCCGAGCGAAGCGATAGTAAGTTAGTAAAAAATATTTCATGTTAAATTAACGAGGATCATTTTTTTGTACAAAATGTACTTATATTACAATTATAATAATTATGTGCTAATCCAGTCACACATCATGTCTTTAAAAAGTCAGACAGTCAAACAGTGTCTTATATTTTATTCATCAATCACCACTCTGGACCATTATCTTCTAATACTTCTCCATTTTCTTCATCATTTTCATCACTATTATTGGCAAAAGCAGATACCATCACATTTGAATTGGGAACAACTAAAACTTCAAAGATCCTGTTCGAATTTGCCATGTCTTCATAGACGAAGTAGCAGCACTTGTGTGAAGGCTGCACCTTCCCCACAATAAGGTGCCCCTTGTAGTGCACTCGGCCCACATACAGCATCTCATTGTCAACCTCAAAGCCTCCTTCCACTGCACCCGTTGGCACTTCATTGTTTTTGCTCGGGACCCAGGTACAGTTGTAGCCACATAATATCTGATAAACAATATTTATGTTTTAAGTTTTAAGCATTACAACCAATACACAAACATACATACATGACATGCAATAATGATAAAATATACATATTACATACCTCTACTGTGTCACACTCATAGGTGTCAAACCCCCATGTAATAAATCCAAGTTCTAAACTTGGCACAAATTTCCCTGGAGTCAATGAACATCTGAATGGTGCTCTCATGATGTAAAGGAACTCATTCTCATAGCCTCCGATCAGGGCTCCGTCTGGGAGCTCAGTGTTGTCATCAACCTGAACCCAGCGAGGTGCACCACCTTGTAACCTTCTCAATGGAAGGTTTTCTATTGTAGCAACCGGAGGCACTAGATTAATAATAATAATATACAGTAGATATATAATTTGCATGATTAAAACAATCGGTTCAAATATAATTTCTTAGAGAAATACATCCTCAATATAAAACTTACAATAACACTTCCACTCTGCCATCCCTGAATCTCTGTCACTAAAGAATGTAACATATTTGATGAGATTTTTCACAGCATATTGCCATCTAAGAATTTCAGTACATCCAGATCCAAAGACAATGGTGTTATGTTTCCATAAAATCCAAAGTTTTTTAAATTCATTTCTAGACAAAATATTAGAAACATCAGTTGTAGAACAGACTGCTCGCCTAGTCTTCACAGAACACTTGTATGGTTCTATTGTGAGCTAAAAAGAAATTACTGTTAAATTCGGCATTATCTACTGAAATTGCGCTTTTCTATTTGAATTTTTCTCATTCTCACCTCATAAGCACACTCTTTATTCGGTTTCGTTGCCAAGCCTACTACAACACTTCCATGTGATTTGAGCCAGAATGATATTCCACCACTTGTAACTTCATGAAATAACTTCTGATGTCTTGCCCAAGTTTTGAATTCTAAAAAACATAAATCAATATTGTCAATAATATATTTATCACTGTATTTAATAAATGGGTTTATTTGCTGCCTACCGATTAGATTACCCATGACTCATAACCGCATACGATTGTTGTAATAATATTATATTTATAATTTTAATTTTTAGTCTAAAGGAGTCTGCCCATTACACCGTCTCATACTATGACCGTGCTAAGACCGAGTCAGGCAAAAACATATTCTTTGTATTGAAAAGTATGAGACTCCGCAAACTAGACCGTTCCGTCACCGACCGACACCGTCGCGTACCGTGCAAAAAGCGGTAACGATGGTGCCGGTACCCTACGTGCCTGGCACGCGACGTCGCGGGACCGGTGCGCGCAGGCGGCGCAATGGTGAGCATATGCAGCACTAAAACCGTTATGTACGGGTATGATACGCTGTTGATACGTTCTAGTGGGCATAGTAGTCCGTGCCATGCTCGTTGCCGTGCCTGATACGTTCATAGCACAGTCATGGTATGAGACGGACCGACGGAGTAGTGGGCAGACAGACATCTAAGTGTTATATTATCTTGAGTAATATTTTAGATTATTTATAGCAACAAGTTTTTGATATTTATAGCAACACCAAACGCTTAAAACGAACCATGACGTCACATATTTTTAATTTCGATAAGAAAATAAATCAGTCTGTAGTAACAAATAACAATAACTAATAAGATTAAATAAGAAATTAAAATTGTGCAATTATTTTTTATCAATTTTAACACCGAATTTAGCTGTCACTTGTCAGTTGTCAGACTCAGAGTTCGCCAAAAATTTTCTTTCTAGTTTTATGATTTAAAAAATATTATTAGTAGATTTAATTAAAAAATCTCAAATTTATAAGGGTGGTATGTGACCCTTATAAATTTGAGATTTAAAAATATTTGCACCTCGACTGAGGCATACGAAAAGCTTTATTGTTAATTTAATAGTATAAAGAATCCGCATTCGGATAAAAAGTTTAATTAAAAGTACTTTAATTTTTATTTTTAATTTAATTAATTAGTTTTTATTTTTAAAACATACGATGTCTCGATACTTTTTTGTTTGACATAATAGCGAATTTACGGGAGGAATAAAATGTTTATTTTAGTATCCAATTATAAGAGTTACATAACATAACCACCTTATACAATTTTCGTATCCAATAAGTCTACCGAGTGTATATCGAACGCGACGCGCGTAGGTATAACTCGATTTCCGATCTTTTGTATGAAGATGGAATACTGTGTGTAACATTACCGTGGTAAAAGTGTTCTTGTAAGCAGATCGTTTATATTCTTAAAAGAATAAGGGTACATATGTATAAATTAAATTATTATACCATTTTTGAGAATAAAATATAAATAATTAAATATTTTATTTGTGTTTTTTTAAGAAAAATATTTATTATTAACTAAAAAATTAAGATTATTTAGTGATGTACCAACTCGGAATAAATATGACTCAATTTAACTCGAGTTGAAATTCACGCGAATTGAACTCGAGTAAACTAGATGAAAAATGAAGTAAATGATTTGTTTAGTTGGTACCAATTTAAAGACTCGGCTTCGCAACAATATTAAAAAAAATTGTACATATTCGTAATAAATATATATTGGGACAATTATAATTAATTAGCGACTCACCCTCGCTTCGCTTCGGGTTCGTCCCTGTACAAAAACTAATCTATCCCACGGAAACCGTGAATTTTCCGGTGATATATGTATAGCCTATAGCCTTCCTCAGTTAACGGCCTTTCTAATGCATTAAGAATTTTTCAAATTGGATTAGTAGTTTCTGAGATTAGCACGTTCAAACAAACAAAGAAAATCTTCAGCTGTATAATATTAGTATAGATTAAAGTAGGTGGTTTAAATAAAGGAGAAAAATGTTGTATGTATTTATGTATTTTTTAGGTACTTAAATTTTCCTAACATAAAGTAAATATGTTTATTTATTAACAACAAAACTAGTTATGTAACAGTTTTTATATCGCTGTCTTTCGGTTGATACGCTATGGCGGAAGTACGGACGACAGCGATTTAAATTAAACACTGTGGCATCTTATTCGGTTATAATAGGAGCGATTTTGCAACATAAATTTATAGTCAGTGCTGACGACTGTAGAAAACGTGCACACAACGAACGAATCGCCGCGCTTGTGTAAGAATAAGAGCGCATCAATCGCATACTCGCTTGATACGTTCATTTACCACGCCAATCCAAATTCGAGTCAGAGAATTTAACTCGAGTTAACTCGAGTTGACCATCTTTAACTGATTAGTGATTACTTTATACTACACATCCACTTACGCATAGATGTCATCAGGACCAGACCTAACTAAAGATAAAAACAGTAACTTGGCGAAATCTGTACATGAAATATTTTTTACCCGACTGCCCGACCAAAGGAGGGTAATGTGTTTATCAGCCTATGTATGTGGGTTTGTACCTCTGTGGCACTATTAAGACCAAACGCGTGGTTCGATTTGGATAAATTTGACGTCGTTTGATTTTTCATAACGGCGCGAGTGTCATAAAAAGTATACAAAGTTGCAAAAATCAAAATGACCGATTTTGGAAGTTGTAATGTGAAAAAGAAAAATAATGAAAATAGACGAATTATGTCAAGTGGGATACCGTTGAATAGGTATTTAAAAATCATTTTTAGGTTTCTTTCATCATTTTTCATTTTAAATAACAGTTTAGGTTATATAATGGTCCGATTTAAAGTTGGTTAACAACCATTTTCGGTAATTTTCCTACTTAAAAATACTTAAAAAGCTGTAAATAAATAAATATATTATAAAAATAAAAAAAAACCCGACTGCATGAAAGCTAACTAAAAAAATGAAAACAAGTTGATGAAGGATTATAGTAATATGCAGTAGGAGACATATACGTTTCATCCTTACCGCGAGATGTACATACTCGTATGTATATCTCCGAATGCATTATCTATACATATAATAAAATTGTAACTAAGACGAATCTGTACTTTAAATATTTTTTGGAAAATCTTATTTTAATAGACATTATCGATAGGTACAGAGGCCGAATCTATACTTTTTAGAATTTTTGTCTGTCTGTTACCGCATCACAGAAAAACCACTGGAGGGATTTTGATGAAATTTGGTATGGTGGTAGCTGGATGTCCGGGTCAAAATATAGGATACTTTTTATGGCGGGAAAATATCACATTTTTGAGAAAAAATACAAAAACTGCAATGTAAGAGTTAACTAGGTAATATGTAAAACCTAAGAATTTGCTTTTTAGGCATCTGAACGCGGGCGGAGCCGCGGGCAATGCTAGTACTACATATATTCCTTCGTGAAATTGTTTTCATTTTTTTGGTTAGCTTTTATGCAGTCGGGTTTTTTATTTTTATAATTAAAAACAATGGTCTCTAACGTATACGTATTGTGTATAGAATATAGACCCAAAAACAACAGTTATTAAAAAAAACGTGTATGTGTACTGTATGTACGCACGTAAGAAGTTATACTTCTTTGGAGTAACAGAACAAAAATAGCTAAAGATTTCATCCCGTATGTCACAACTCTTTGTTTGCAAAGGGAATGCAGCTGTCGCTTTTTGGCTGCCGGTGTGCGCGCACATCGTAAAAATTTTACTCTCATCATTTTTCCAAGCATGCCAAAAAAAGTTCAAAAATTTTCTGTTTTTATGTTTCTGTGTGCGTTTCGTGCAAGAAGTACTGCACCAATTTTAACTAAACTTTGTGTAGGCATCGATAACTTATCACTCAGGTCAACATTTAGGATATCTTTTATTACAGGAAAATCTTTCATTCCCATGAGAACACAATAACTTGTTCTACCGTATCATCCTTGTTCATGTCTAACGCTGGCTAATCCTTAAGAGACATCAAAACAATGTACTAGAAAATTGTAGGTCTTAAAAAGGCCTACAGAAAAATAAAATAAATATATTTTATTAATATTAGCCCTTTTTTTGTACAATATATAGCTATATTACAATTAAAATGTTTATATTCTTCTAATCCAGTCACAAATGTCTTTAAAAAGTCAGACAGGCAGTCAAACAGTGTCTTATATTTTATTCATCATTAAACTCATCACTCTGGAACATCGTCTTCTAGTACTTCTCCATTTTCTTTATCACCCTCATCACCTCACGATCACGAAAGCGTCGCATTTGAATTGGGAACAACTAAAATTTCAAAGTGCCTTTCCGAATTTGTCATGTCTTTATAGGCGAAGTAGCAGCAGCTGTGTGAGGGCTGCACCTTCCCCACAATAAGGTGCCCTCCGTATGACACTCGGCCCACATAAAGCATCTCATGGTCTACCTCCGAGTAACCTCCCTCCACCGCACCTGTTGGCACCTCATTGTATTTGCTCCGGACCCAGGTACAGTTGTAGCCACATAATATCTGACGAACAACATTTATAACATTTTACAACAACATACAACAAAATTTTGAACAGCCAATATAAGTACAAACATATAATGTACTTGGTGCATAACAATGATAAAATATACATATTACATACCTCTACCGTGTCACACTTATAGCTTTCATGTCCCCATGCAATAAATCCAAGTCCCAAACTTGGCACAAATTTCCCTGGAGTCAATGAACCTCTGAACGGCGCTCTCATGATGTATAGGAATTCATTCTCATAGCCTCCAATCAGGGCTCCGTCTGGGAGCTTAGTGTTGTCTTCAACCTGAACCCAGCGAGGTTTTCCACCTTGTAACCTTCTCAATGGTAGGTTTTCTATTGTAGCAACCGGAGGCACTAGAATATAATAATAATAATATATAGTAGATATAAAATTTGCATGACTAAAGCAATTGGTTTGATTATAATTTCTTAGAGAAATACATCCCTAATGTAAAACTTACAATAACACTTCCACTCAGTCATTCCTGAATCTCTGTCGCTACAAAATGTAACATATTTAATGAAATTCTTCATAGAACATAGCCATAGGAGAATTACTGTATTTCCAGACCCAAAGACAATGGTGTTATGCCTCCATGAAATCCAATATTTTCTAAATTCATGTCTAAGCAAAAAAATATAGTCATCATCAGTTGTACAACAGACTCCTCCTTCGGTCTTCAGAGAACACTTGTTTGGTTCTATTGTGAGCTAAAAAGAAATTTGTGTTAAAAATTAAAATTGCCATTTTATAACGTTACGCCTTTCTATTTGAATTTTCTCTTTCTCACCTCATATGAACACTCCCTATTTGGTACTTCGGCCAAGCCCACTACAGCGCTTCCATGTGATTTGACCCAGAACGATATTCCATCACTTGTAACTTCATGAAATAATCTCTGATGTCTCGGCCACGTTTTGAATTCTAAAAAAAAGTATATTCAATATTGTCATAAATATATTTATCACTGCAGTTAATAAATGGGTTTATTTGCTGCCTACCAATTAAATTTCCCATGACTCATTACGATTATATTGTAATAATATTATATTTATAAATGTAAATTACAAACTACTAAACAAATTAATTAATTCGGTGGACTATAACGTCTTTTAGTGTATTAGGCTTCTCTTGATATTTTTTTGTGCAAAGTATTTATTATCTTGAGTAATCCCACCACCAGTATATATAATGTACTCTGTGCCCACCACGTTTCAAGTGGCGGAAACAAATACTTTTGGATATAAACAATATCAAATCTTGATAAATATAACCTCAATTCTGCACTATTTTATTATTTTTGACGTAATTTTGACAGAATTGTTGCTATTTTAGAGAATTTTAATTATGTGTTTTGACTTGATTTTGCTTCACTGAGTGTAAGTGTTCTGTGAACAGATCGTTTATTTTGTTCAAAGAATAAGGGTACATATGTATTAATTAAATTATTATACCATTTTTGAGAATAAAATATAAATAATAAAATATTTTATTTGTGTTTTTTATGAAAAAGATTTATTATTAATTTAAAAAAATATTAGATTATAATGATTAGTGATTACTTTATAGTCTGTAAAAATCCGTAAATGGCGCCATATTCTAAAATATTTAATTGTTTATTGTACCTACATAATTTAAATTTTAATGTTTGTCTTGACTCTTGGACTTTAAGTTAATATTAAATATAAATAAATTGAAATATATTAGCTCATGAATAATCATATTTACAATTTTTAAATTACAAATATTATGTGACGATATGGTGTATTTACGGTTTGGTGTTGTAAAATATCAAAAACACCGACGGTCCAAAATAAAATATAAATCAATTATAGACGTTATTGTATAATTGTCATTGGAATTGTGTTTAGTACATAGACTACTATTATATACATAGAGTATATAACTGATTATATACTGATAACTGAGGTTTAGTAGTTTATTTTATAATGATTATAAAATTAAAATCCCTCCACGACCGCGGATACGCTGGCGTTAAAGTTAAAAATATATTTCTTAGAAATTTACCTGGAGGTGTAAAAATTATAAAATAATATTATTATACAATAATATATAAGATCATGGGTAATTTAATCGGTAGGCAGCAAATAATAAACACATCTATTATACAGTGATAAATATAATATTATTGACAATATTGATTTATATTTTTTGTAGAATTCAAAACTTGGCCGAGAAAGCAGAGGTTATTTCATGAAGTTACAAGTGGTGGAATATCATTCTGGCTCAAATCACGTGGATACTCTGTAGTGGGCTTGGCAACGAAACCGTATGAGGAGTGTGTTTATGAGGTGAGAATGATAAAAATTCAAATAGAAAAGTTCAATTGCATTAGATAATGCCGATTTTAATATTAATTTCTTTTTAGCTCACAATAGAACCAGGTAGGTGTGACCTGCTGTCCAACGGAAAAGTCTGTTCTACAAATGCAGTTTCTAATATTTTGAGAAATGAATTTAATAAACTTTGGATTTTATGGAAACATAACACCATTGTCTTCGGGTCGTCGTCGGAAGTCGGAAGTACAGTAGTTCTCAGATGGCAATGTGCTGTGAAGAATCTCATCAAATATGTTACATTCTATAGTGATTTGGGGATGGCAGAATGGAAGTGTTATTGTAAGTATGTATTACATTGATTTGTATATCTCTAAGGAACCATAATTAAACCAATTGTTTTAGTTATACAAATTATATATCTACTGTGTATCATTATAATTATTTTAGTGCCTCTGGTTGCTACAATAGAAAACCTACCATTGAGAAGATTACAAGGTGGACAACCGCGCTGGGTTCTGGTTAAAGACAACACTGAACTCCCAGACGGAGCCCTGATCGGAGGCTATGAGAATGAATTCCTTTACATCATGAGGACGCCGTTCAGAGGTTCATTAACTCAAGGGAAATTTGTGCCAAGTCTTGGACTTGGATTTATTGCATGGAAGTATGAGAGCTATACGTGTGACGCAGTAGAGGTATGTAATATGTATATTTTATATATTAGTTGTTAATTGTTATGCTTTAGACTAAAAACATAAATGTTATCTGTCAGATATTATGTGGCTACAACTGCACCTGGGTCCCGAGCAACGTTGATGAGGTGCCAAAAGGTGCGGTGGAAGGAGGTTTCACGGAGGTGGATCATGAGACCATGTATGTGGGCCGAGTGCATTACAAAGGGCACCTCATTGTTGGAAAAATAGTACCTTCTCACAAGTGCTGCTATTTTGCTTATAATGACAAAGCGATGTTGGAGAATAACTTTGAAGTGCTAGTATCTCTTCACTCAAATGTTGTTCCTAGTTATTGCTAGTGTTAGATTCAGTGTTTGTATTTGCTCATATTGACTCGAAAGTGTGAAAATGTCCTAATTAGTTTTTATACAGATATTATATATAAATATTTTACAATGATATAGTAAAATATCAGGTATTTTTTCTTCTTTATTCCACGCCACGTTCTATCAACACCTGGATGTCCATCTTTACACAGGAACTTATTTCCATGGGATCTTATAAGACGCATGACCCATCAAAAACATAACATGTAAAAAAACGCAAGTCTCGCAACGTAGTTCTTCTACCACAAAAAGTTGTGAGATCCAATTTATGAAGACACGCTACCGCATGTCTAGATAAATTGCAGCACACACACACAGCACAGCACCCGTGTCTTATATTACACAAGCCATTTGAAGTCACTTTTGACCTCTTAAATATTTTCATATGTTTATATTAAAATCTATTTAATATAAACACATGAAATTTGTTTCATTTATTAAATCTTCTGATTAACTGGAACCCCAAATGTCATAAATGCAATTCAAACGGTTATTGAGATATTAACGTCTTAAAATCGGCATTTTTATCACTGACTGACTGACATATAGATCAAAAACCTGACCCACTTTCAGATGACCTAGAAAGTTGAATTTGGCATCCAGTCGGGTAATTGTGTGTATACAAAGAAAAAAATCAGAGTGAATTTTTACGATTTGATTTGACATATTTTCAAAGCAATCAATTTTTCTTAACACCTAGCGCCTAAGGCCTTTAGAGATTATAATAACAAAAACTTTCGTAGGAGAAAAGGTTCCATGATGAAAGGTCGCATTCATCGTTTTGTATACCAGATTATAAAATTTAGACAAGCAATAATAACACAAACTAACTGGCAAAGCCGGCTCAATTATCTGACATCATTGCGAAGAATCATTGTGTTATAAAAAGAAATACATTCTTACACAATCTTGCCACTTATATTTGAATTAAATATGATGATGATGATGTTCTCCTAGCCGATTCCGGCTACGGCGACCAATCTCATTGAGATTAGCCAACTGCGCAGGAGATATTATAGTGCTCAAGTGTACGCGCAGACACAAGTGCACTCTCTATTCCTATCACTCTCATACCCCGGTGGGACGACCACTCGACACGACCGGTGAGAGTTAAGGCGCAGGACCGACGGCTTTACGTGCTCTCCGAGGCACGGGGGTGAAACACCGCCAACTTCCCAACTCCGGGCTGTTACTGAGACTTTCTATACAGAAAGACTTAATAACTAACCTTGGCCCGACCCGGGACTCAAACCCAGGACCTCCGGGTGTGCAGCCGTACATGCTAGCCGCTACACCACCGAGGCAGTTAAATATAACACTCAAATAAAAGAAAATAAATAATAATAATAATCAAAAGAATTGAGATCTAAATGGGTGTATATATATATATATATATATATATATATATATATATACATATATATGTCGTGTTATCCATATACTACGAACATCATCTTTGGTGGTTACTCATCTTGTGGGCGTTATCAGGGCTCAAATAATAAAGTATTCAGTGCTCAATACACAATTTAATCTGGGAAGTCACAATGTTATAAACTTGAAACGGTAATTCTAATGATTTAGAGCTAGCGGGTTCACAGTCACCGATCATCGACTTCCAACTACAATATCAAAGCAAAACTATGATCCACCATGATCAACCGACTTTACTACACCACGTATCTGCAAAGAATGTCGTGATGGCGTCTCGACCCCGCTCGAGACTAAATCTCTGCTCTAAATTCAAAATCAATTTAAAAGCAATAAAAAGTAAATTAAAGAACATAGTGACTTTAAACAATAATAAGGTTTCATAACAGAAAAAGGTAACTAAATCCTCCTCCGTCTTATATATATATATATATATATATATATATATATATATATATATCCGGGTGTCCGGGTTCGACTCCCGGTCGGATACAAAGGTATATATTCCGACTCCGAGCGAAGCTCGATGGCCCAGGTACTTTTATAAAAGCTAAAAGTTTCTGTGTATGTCCCCAATACTGGTCTGTTCCGGTCGTACGAGAAGAACGATCCCATCAATTACGTATGTAAAGCTAGCAAGGCAAAGTAAGCAGAATCGCTTAAAACTTAAATGCATAAATTAGTGCTCATTTAGTGCTAAAAGCTAAAATTTTATACTTTTATATTTTGGCAGAAAATCAGCAAGTTACCTTATAAAAAGTATATATATAATTTTTTTTTTATATTTGTCTTCATGGATGGCCAACACTAATTGAGCACCAAATTAATGCTAGATTGATTTGACGCTGTGTTATGTGGTTAGCGTATTCGGCAGTAACACTGCTAGCTTAACTAAAAGCTGGCAGTTTCTAATTTTCTGCCAAAATATAAGAGCATCAAATTTTAGCTCTTGGCACTATACATATAATATAATATAATTGTAGAGGTCGAATGTCTGTACATAGAAAAATAATGCTAAAAACCGAGTCAGGGGTATGTAAGAAGACAAATGGAACAAATCCAGATTTTTAAAATTTTTTGCTTCTCTGTCTGTTTATCTGTTTGTCTCTTTGAAAATTAAAGAATTCCGAATACCGGAAATTTAAAGAATTCCCGTGGGATAGTTAAAAAATTATAGTAACTTATACAGCTTAGTACACAAAAACTACTACATAATTAGATTTTAATGAAACTTTATAATAATATAGTAACTACATATATCAGAATAACATTTATTGTGTTTTTAAGTGGAAATGAAAGGTTTTCTGTAGTAAAAAGTATCCTAAATGTCGACCCGAGTAATAAGGTATCACTACACAAAATTTAGTTAAAATCGGTTCAGTATTTTTTGCGTGAAACGCACACACTGTCACACACACACACACACAAACAGACAAAGCAGACAAATATTTTAATACCTATTTTTTTAGGGTATACTACATTGTGTTATTTAATACGTTACAGTCATAGTTTTTAAAAAATATATTTAATGTACAGATTTAGATAAGTTACTATTTTATTATAGTATAGATAGTTATATAATAAGAAAAGGCAGTATGTGAGTTCGTGAGGAGCTACCACCGTTTCGGAATGCAGTTCTGTTGAGAAAGAGCTAAAACACGCGCCATGGCCACACACACGCCTTTACTATAATAGAAACTTTAACGGGGACGCATCGAACACTCATTTATTGAAATAAAACTTCTTTTATGCACACTTGACTTGGGGAGTAAGCTGGTGAATGCGTGCCGAGAGCGTTACGAAAAGTGTGATCGGGCGAGGCGAACGTTTGTTGCCATGGTAACCGTTATTATTGTCTGACAAATGATATATAATATATTCTTTCCTTAAATGATATTCTATAAATATGTGATGTGCCTAATATGCGGTATTTAATTATTTTATTAAAATTTATCTTTCCTTTTACAAACAGAGAGTTGTGACATACGGGATGAAATCTTTAGCTATTTTCGTTTTGTTACGACAAAGAAGTATAACTTGTATGTACATAAGTATCCACACACGTTTTTTTAGTATCTCACCTATCCTAATTATTTAAAACAAATAGAATTTCATATAAAGTACCGATGACCTATAGAAGTTTTATCTCCTCCGCGTGTACACATTCATACACGCACTCTTTAATTTTATATACGAGTACTTGTATATTAGATAGAATATGTAGCTATATATATTTCTTAGTCTAAGCTCTATCAAATTTGGTCTAGGCGGTGTACGTACCAGCAGATGACCTAACGGACCCCGCACCCGCGACCACTTTCGCTCATCTAGACGCCACCACGGTACTGTCCCGGGCGATCGCCGAGCTAGGGGTATATCCCGCGGTGGACCCCCTGGACTCGACGTCCAGAGTGATGGACCCTAACATCATAGGGCCAGAGCATTATGGTGTGGCGAGAGGTGTTCAAAAGATTTTACAGGTTATAAACGAAAAATATATTTAGTCATTTTATATTGAAATTGAATTCAAGTTGTTTTATAATATAAAAAATTGTTATATATATATATATATATTTATATCAAAATATTCTTTGATTAAAAATTGAACATTGTTAGCTTGACTTTTAAATACTTGTTTATATAGTGCTTTTTATTGTACAATAAGCTGTTGATGTAAGTATATATAAAAAAATAAAAATATTACAGACTATGTACTCGATATTTTCTACAAAAATATACTTTTTAGTATCTTAAAACAAAGTTATGGTACAGGACTACAAGTCGTTACAAGATATAATAGCCATTTTGGGCATGGACGAGCTGTCTGAAGACGACAAGATGACTGTGGCAAGAGCTAGAAAGATACAGCGGTTCCTCTCACAGCCTTTCCAGGTTAGTACTGCCTCGTTGTCTAGAGGCTGGCATGTACGTCTGCAGATCCGGAGGTCCTAGGTTTAGCTGAGTTTTTCTGTTAAGACATTCTCAGTAACAGCCCGGAGTTGGGAAGTGGGCGGCGTTTCACCCCCGTGCCTCCGACTGGTGTCACCGCGAGTGTCTCGTGTCGTCCCACCGGAGTAGATAGGGATTTTTCCCGTGGGATAGACTTATTTTTGTTTTTTTTGTTTATTTATGTAGTTTTATATTTAATATTTATATAGATATTACTAGCAGTAGGTACCCGTATTAAAATCGTCCCTGCCGTTTAGGAGACGATCAGTGGCACACCGACTACAGCGCCACCTACTGGGTCCATTTGTATTTTCAAACCGTCCAGGAACCCATTGAAATATACACACAAAATTTCAACTAAATCGGTCCAGCCGTTTAGGAGGAGTATAGGTGACTAATGCCCGATTTCACCAACAACCCATAAACTACCACCTACGTATGGGATCCCTAGCTTAAAAGTCCCCTAAATTACATTTCGTTTTACGATCGTCGTTAAGCCCATATTTCGAGCACCTAAATTTAGGGGGCCTATTAACATTTAGGTGACCCCTAATTGTCGGTGAAACAGAAACTGTCCCCTAACAGCCCCCTAACCATGCTTAGGGGATCCCTTAAACTTAGGTGACGTTGGTGAAATCGGTCATAACACACGTACAGAAGAATTATATATATTAAAATATAGTTTTATTTAGCTAGTTTATTTATATATATTTAGATATAATAAATGAATTTAAAAGAGCTTATAAAAGTTCAAATTGTCAGGTCGCGGAAGTGTTCACTGGTCACATCGGGAAAATGGTGAAGCTCGAAGAAACTATAAAAGGTTTTAAACAGGTATTAAAAGTAGAGTTGCATTCTTAGGTTTGTGAATATAATCGTAATAAAGTACAAAACTTTAGAGATGTCGTCATTTTTAGCGCCCGCGGGGTTTTTTTTTTACTATTTTTCTTTTTTTAAACTACCCACACAGATCCGGCCATATTTTTTAAATGGCGCCCCACAGAGGAAGGGACACAAACAAGAGAATTGAATTGTTATTTCATCAAAATCTGTCCAGCCTTCAGCGTGAAGCGTTCACGGAGTCACAAACAACAACAACTTTTTTAATAATTAGAATTCATTATTATATAATCACTTTAATTATAAGTAGATGGCGACTTTTTAGTTTTTAAGTACGTCTTTTAGATTTTGAATGGCGAGTTGGATCATATTCCTGAAGCAGCTTTTTACATGGTCGGTACTATAGAAGATGTCATTGCCAAGTCTCAATCTTTGGCCAAGAACATATGAATTTATTTATTGTTTATTAAATAAATAAAGGTTTTATTATAATTTATAACTGTTTTAATGTTTTTTTTTCTATAAGCTAACCTATTAGTATTTTTGGGGTTTTTAGGTAATAATTTTTCTGGTTATTTGTGTTACATTGTGGTTTGTTTTAATTTATTTTAATAGATTCTTTGTTTCCTTTTTGTTTTTTTTTAATATGAAATTTTCTAAAAGTATACAATAGTCAGTATGTATTTAATTAGGGTAAAGTGATTTTTTTTTATTTTGTAGCTTACAAGATACCTAACAAAATTTTTGAAAAAAAAATAAAATCTTTTACTCAACATTTTGAGGTGATCATATTTGAAAACATTAAATAATTAACGAATATAGTTATTTTCTACTCAACTTTCACTGTAATGTTTCAGTATTGCAATTTAAAAAAAATGATAAAATAACATGTTACTTTTTTTTATTACAGTGAATTATTTATTTAAAAATAAGTCGGCCACATCAATATGTCGAGTAAAATTTTTTTTGAGGTTATACTACACACATATGTAAAATTTTGTTTCTTTTTATGCTACAAATTCTGCCCCCAAGCTAAGAAAATAATTTTTTTTCGCTCCACCATAATATATATTTATTAATATAATTTATTTCATGATAATGGCAACTCACGTATTTGTTTTAACATAACAGCATTGTTGTTAAAACAGGCACAATTGTAATTTTTGTGCACTTCTTACGATTTTTATTTTCGCATTATTCTTTTACGGAGACAAAGCTAGAAACTAGCTAGAAAAAAGAATAAAATAAAAGAATATATTATCACATATTTTAATTAATTCCAAATATTGAAAACTTTAAAGAGAAGTTAAGCTCCTGGCTTCAGGGGTTGAGTTCAGCTCAGTAGCAACACTCGCTCTCTCTCGCCATACTTCAGGAAAGCGGACTTGTGTTGTATTCTCTGGAAAATATATGAAAAAATGTTCTGGAAAAGTCTATAAAGTATATATTTTATTATTGATCAAAAAAGTACTAGATACACAATCAGCGACAAAAAATTTCCTCACCAAATGAGCGCTCTTTTAAACATTTGAGCGCGCTTTTAATTTTTTTTCGTAAAAGCAACATTAAGCATTGCATTTAAGGTTCAATTTACATTGTTGTATATTTATTTCAACTAGAACAATGACCTAAACGCAATTGGTGACAGTTTTAAGAGAACTTTTGCAAGGGATTGTGTATCTAGTAGGTACTTTTTTCAACCGACTTCAAAAAGGAGGAGGTTCTCAATTCGACTGTATGTTTTTTTTTTATGTTTGTTACCTCAGAACTCCGTCATTTATTAACCGATTTGGAAAATTTTTGTTTTGTTTGAAAGGGTATACTTCCAGATTGGTCCCATTTAAATTTCAAAAAAAAAAATACCACCCCTAAGGGTGGAAAAGCAACTAATGATGAATTTAACCTACTTCTAATTGTCATATTGACTTGAAACTTTGCAAGTATTTCTATTTCCGTTGATAGTACAGTGGTTCGGTGTTGTTGACCTGATCTGATGGCAAGGCCAGAAGGTGGATAGGTGCAACTCTTCAACGACTAATAGTAGATACTTTGAGTTTGGGCTTATTTTGTTTGATTTGACAAGCCTAACACTTTAGAATCCTTACTTTGCTACTACTGTCTACACTAAAAAGGGAAAAATAAAAACTTTTTAACAAAAACATAAAAACCGACTTCAAACAAAAGCACTAAAAAGTAAAAAATTACTCATTGGTAGTTTTCATTTACTATACATACCTAATCAAATATTTTCGAAGTCGGTGTGCTTTGGCTAAGTAATTAAAGCCTACCTATTAAATACATACCTAATCAAATATTTTCGAAATCAGTGCCAGACCATACAAAGCAAAGCACACCGACTTCGAAAATATTTGATTAGGTATGTATAGTAAATGAAAACTACCAATCAGTTATTTTTTACTTTTTAGTGCTTTTGTTTTGATCGATGTGTTCTATATATTTTCGTCTATGTATGACAAAAGATATAGTACACCTGTAGTTAAACAAGAAAAGAAAATGATGTGCCTTGATTTTGACATAAGTAATTATAAAAAAATATCTTTTATTAACACCTCCAGGTAAAGGTCTAAGAAATTAATTAAAATTTTAAGAAATCTATTGTTAACTGACACACCGGCGTGGCCGCGGTCGTGGAGGGATTAAAACAGGTAAATCTTGTGACAAGCTTTTATATTATACTAGCATTGCCCGCGGCTCCGCCCGCGTTCAGATGACCAAAAACCAAATTCTTAGGTTTTACATATTAATATACTCTTACATTGCAGTTTTTGTATTTTTTCTCAAAAATGAGATATTTTCCCGCGGTAAAAAGTATCGTATATGTTCACCAGGATAACCAGCTATCACCATACCAAATTTCATCAAAATCCCTCCAGTGGTTTTTCTGTGATGCGGTAACAGACAGACAGACAAAAAATCTAAAAACTATAGATTCGGCCTCTGTATCGATAATAAAGTCTATTACAATAAGATTTTCCAAAAAATATTTAATGTACAGATTCGGCTTAGTTACAATTTTATTATATGTATAGATGGAGTGCCAAATTACCTGAAGCCGTGTCTGCAGAAGTAGGTTTAGAAGTCAGCAAATATTGTTCATCACATACTAGTCCCACTTGACCTATAATATATATATCCTTCAAACGCTTCGTCGTCACGCATTTAGTTAAATTTGCTGATCTCTTCAACATTTTATTTTTTATGACATTTTTAATTTTGACGTTTTATATATACTTTTTTTTTATTATGTCAAAGCAGTAAGAAAGAGTTTGTATCTTTGTGAATTATGTATATGCATGTATGTGCAAGAGTGTAGGTATGTTAAGTAGTTTCTGGGCCGTGCGGTGCAATGATGCAAAAAGGCGGCCGCCTCGGCGGTACTAAATAGGGGGGCAAAATAATAATAATATCACGGTAATGTAATATGTAATATTACCGTGATAATAATAAAAAAAAATCGACATTTCCAAAACTTGCATCTTATTGAGATAAAAACCGACTTCAAACAAAAGCACTAAAAAGTAAAAAATAACTGATTGGTAGTTTTCATTTACTATACATACCTAATCAAATATTTTCGAAGTCGGTGTGCTTTGCTTTGTATGGGCTGGCACCGATTTCGAAAATATTTAATTAGGTATTTATTTAATAGGTAGGCTTTAATTACTTAGCCAAAGCACACCGACTTCGAAAATATTTGATTAGGTATGTATAGTAAATGAAAACTACCAATCAGTTATTTTTTACTTTATAGTGCTTTTATTTGAAGTCGGTTTTTATTTTTCCCTTTTTAGTGTAGACAGTAGTAGCAAAGTAAGAATTCTAACGTGTTAGGCTTGTCAAATCAAACAAAATAAGCCCAAACTCAAAGTATCTACTATTAGCCGTTGAAGAGTTCCACCTATCCACCTTCTGGCCTTACCATCAGATCAGGTCAATAATACCGAACCACTGTACTATCAACGGAAATAGAAACACTTGCAAAGTTTCAAGTCAATATGACAATTAGAAGTAGGTTAAATTCATTCATTATTAGCTATTTTTCCACCCTTAGGAGTGGTATTTTTTTTTTGAAATTTAAATGGGACCAATCTGGAAGTATACCCTTTCAAACAAAACAAAAATTGTCCAAATCGGTTAATAAATGACGGAGTTCTGAGGTAACAAACATAAAAAAAAATACAGTCGAATTGAGAACCTCCTCCTTTTTGATGTCGGTTGAAAAGAGTTTAAGCATTTAGAATTCTGGGTTTTAGCGGTAATTTTTATATAGGTATGTGTTTATGACACTATCTATTGTGAGCTGCAGATTTCAACCTCGTTCTATTGCACATGACCTCTGAATTATATATTTACGTATATTTCATCTTAATTTTTATTATAATAAAAGATTCCAGTATACATGTGATCGTAATTTTTTTTACGGCTTGACTGATTTTGATTAAAAAATTAACTTATGGGAGTATATTTGTATCCGGTGGATGGCGCTGTGTTCGAGATACCAAATTTTTTAAAGATCACAAATGAAATTGAAATTTGAACCTCTGTGGGGTTAACTAGTCAATACTAATATTATAAATGTGAAAGTGTGTTTGTTTGTTTGTTCTTCTTTTAAGTCGAAATGGAGTGACGGATTGGCGTGATTTTCTGTGTGGAGATAGTTGGAGAGAAGAGTAACATAGGCTACTTTATATCGCGGGAGATTACTTAATTCCCACGGGAAAACACGTTATAATACAATCCAAAAAAATATTTATTATCAGAATTACTTGAAACTTAGTATTAATGCTCTTCAATACAATTAAATAAATACGTCTCCGCGAGCGAAGCCGCGGGTTCTGCTAGTTGTAAAAAAATAACATTTTAACTGTGCTAGTTCTGACAAAACGTATATAAACGATGACGTTATCGAATGTTACAGTCATAAAGTCGTTAAATCATCTAACAATAATATGCAGTTCGTATACGAGTATACCTAGACATAGAGTATACCTAGACTGCCTCGGTGGTGTAGTGGCTAGCATGTACGGCTGCACACCCGGAGGTCCTGGGTTCGAGTCGGGCCAAGTTTAGTTATTGAGTGTTTCTGTATATTAAGCCTCAGTAACAGCTCGGAGTTGGGAAGTTGGCGGTGTTTCACCCCCGTGCCTCGGAGTGCACGTAAAGCCGTCGGTCCTGCGCCTTTACTCTCACTGGTCGTGTCGAGTGGTCGTCCCACCAGAGTATGAGAGTGACAGGAATAGAGAGTGCACGTTGTGTCTGCGCGTACACTTGTGCACTATATTATCTCCTGCGCAGTTGGCTAGTTTCAATGAGATTGTCCGCCGTGGCCGGAATCGGTCAGGAGAACATCATCATACCTAGACGTCAAGTCGTTTGGAGTCGTCAATCCGATTAAAGAGGTACCGTTCGTGAAAGAGCTAACATTATAAGGAGACAAAGTTTGTTTGTTTGTTTTGTGAAACCGTAGGGCACAGCTGGTACATACTAATATTATAAATCTGAAAGTGTGTTTGTTTGTAGGTACTTTTTTTCACGTCGAAACGGAAACACCTACTGGCATGATTTTTTGTGCGGAGATAATTGGAAGGCTGGAGAGTAACATAGGCGACTTTTTATCGCGGGAGATTATCTAATCCCTACGGGAAAACACGTTATAATATAACCCTAAAATATATGTATGATCAGAATTACTTGAAACTTGGTATTACACTAGGGGCACTCGGGGCTAGTGCCCAGGGCAGCAAATTTTTAGGTGCGGCAAAATTCGGAGGGTCGAAAAAATTTTTTTTCGCGTTATCGAAAATACTTTTTTTTTCAAAAAATGAATAATTAAAAAAAAGTAACTAGTACATTTTTCGAAAAATTGAATTAATTTATTGAATGTCTTTTTTTTCCTTTTTTAAAAAAAATATTATAAAAAAATTTAAACGCCAGGGGCGGCGCTCAGGTTGAATTCAGCACTGAAAGTAGGAAATAAGAAAATTTGTATGAAACCTACCTTTTTAACCGACTTCCAAAAAGGAGGAGGTTCTCAATTCGTCGGAATCTTTTTTTTATGTATGTTCACTGATTACTCGAAGACGCCTGAACCGATTCGGAAATATTTTTTTTGTTTCAAAGGGTTTACTTCTGAGGTGGTCCCACATAAATTTTATCGAAATCGGTCGAGCGGTATTTTAAAAAATCAACAATTTATTGTTGATTTTTTTTAAATAAATTTATTAATCGAATATGTTAAAAAAACTTCCTTTTTTTACAAATTACCAGCTTATTACGTCTACGTCAAAAATGGAAAAATAAAAGCTTAAAATTATTTTTTTTTTAGTTTTTTTGTAGTTTTAGCGCGAGCGAAGACGCGGGTTCTGCTAAAAATATATGAATATCGATAATAACGTAAAACTATATTATAATTAACATGCATTTTATAACCAAATTATGTAGCTTTAATAATAATTAACCTTTTATCGTAACTAAGGGTATTGAGTCAAACATTTCCCCTAGAAATATCATTAAATAACGACGAGAATAATTAGAAAATCATTTCAAGTGAATTATTGATGAAATATATATTTACTTATGCATTAGCTATTTTTTGTGTTTTTCCTCAGTGTGATGTAATTTGTTGCAAAGGACGGACGGTGTTCACGTTACAAGCAGTTATTTATATTATATGTATATATATTTAAGTTTAAAATTTTTAAGTCTGTGTTCTACTGTTTGGAGAATATTATCTAAAAAAAATTCAAGGTACGTATTGATATGTTTTTTTTAATTTAGACCATATGATGTATTTAACTTAAATAGCCATAGCTATACATTGTTATTTAATCATTAGAATATATTATTATTTAATCATTAGTATTTATACTTATAACTATTTAATCATTAGCTAGTTTTCGTGTTTTCCTCAGTGTGGTGTGATTTGTTGCAAAAGACAGACGGTGTTTATATTATAAGCAGTCATTTTTATATATGTATGTATTTTAATATATGTTTAAAAATTTTTAGTCTGTAGTCTACAGCTAGGAAAATATTGTCTTAAAATTTTTTGAGGTGGGACTGAATGTTTTTTTTTAATATAATTTTAGACCATACGATATTAAGCTAAAAAAATATATATTTACAAAAAAAAAAAACAACTGCGTAAAAAGTGAACTATAAAGAAGAGAACAACTTGACGAAGGACCATAGTATTATACAATCGCAGACATACACACACGCAGTTATCCTAAAACATGTATGTATATAATATGTTTGTATGTCTAAGACTACATAATACTATATTCCTTCGTCAACTTGTTCTCTTCTTTGTAGTTCACTTTTTACGTAATCGTGTTTTTTTTATTTTTATAAATGTTTCTCTTATTTACAGCTTTTTAGTTTTACTCAGACATTTTTATTGACAGAGAATCCGGCATTTTGATTTTTATAATATCTATTTACCCTATGATACTTCTGTTATTAAGACGAATCGAATAACGTATGAATCATCAAAATCGGATAAGCCGTTTAGTAATTACGTTTGAACATAGGGTTGAATATACATTTATATATAATGCCTTAATATTAGGGATTACCATAGTATGATATAATAGCAGCATTAATTATTATAATTTCTGATACCGAAGGTTATGTGTTTAACCTGTATGTATGTAGGTATGTTTGTTATAATCCTATGTTCCTTCGGAATTAGGTACTAAAAGGCTTTACCGATTTTGAGGATTAATACGTCATTAGGTTCGTTTTGATAACGCGAGTATCATAGGGTCATATATCCTACTAGCATTGCTCGCGGCTCCGCCCGCGTCCAAATGACCAAAAATTAAATTCTTAGGTTTTACATATTACTATACTATTAAAATGCAGTTTTTGTTTTTTTTTCTCAGGAATGATATATTTTCCCGCGGTAGAAAGTATCCTATATGTTGACCCGGATAACCAGCTATCACCATACCAAATTTCATTAAAATCCCTCCAGTGGTTTTTCTGTGATGCGGTAACAGACAGACAGACAAAAATTCTAAAAACTATAGATTCGGCCTCTGTATTAAAAAATAGAAACCGACTTTAAAAAAACCTTTGGTGTGTTTTAATTTGTATCGGCACTGACTTCGAAAATATCTGGTTAAGTATCTATGGTAAATGAAAACTACCAATCAGTTATTTTTTTACTTTTTAGTGCTATTTTTTTTGAAGTCGGTTTTTCTTTAGTTTTTTATTTTTCCATTTTTAATGTAGACATACTTACTTAGTATTAGCAAAATCAGAAGAGAGTATTTTAAAAATTCAGTAGATGAAAAATCCATCATCCCCTATTTTCTACAATTAGGATGGAATTTTTTTCAATTTTAAATGGAAACGTTTCGAAATAAACCTCTTTCGAACAAATAAAGAATTTTGTAAATCTGTCTATATATGACGGAGCTATGGGCAAATATACTTATAAATATATAAACATCTAAATTGAGAACCTCTTTATTTATTGAAGTCAGTTAAAAATATCAAAATGGCGGATCCTAAGTGTCAACTTATGTCTTGAAAAATTTTTCTTCGTCCAAATCAATCCAGTAGGGTAACAAAATGCAGGTTTTTAAGAGGCGTTTACCAAAATATGCGTGAATACATGACATATGAATACATACATGTCTTTAGCATTTTTTAACGTCCCACTGCTGGGAGTGGGCCTCCCTTCAATATGAGGGAGTTCAGGCCATTGTCTACCACGCTGGTCATGTGCGGGTTGAGCATGTCTTTCGAAAACTTGCTAGGTTCTCTCAGACATGCAGGATTCCTTACGATATTTTCCGTCACCGTAAGATTCGCACATGAAAATAACAGAGGATACCCGGGATTTGAACTCGCTTTACTCGGTTTCCCAAGCGAGCGTGTTACCACTGTTCGAACACCGTGTTCGAACGCGCGACCGCTGGCACAGTAAGTAGGGTCACCACAAACTGAGCCAAACGTGTCGTCGTTATACATAATTAACCTATAGCACTCGGCGGTAACGTAGCTTCCTATTAGTGCAAAAATTTTCGGAATCAGATCAGTACTTTTAAATTACCCTCTGCAAACAAACTTACATTCTTTTCCTCGTTATATTACTATTAGATATAGAACCATTTATTTTTAAATTGCAACCTATTTTAGGTATAATTACATACTCTCTACAGGAAATATGCGCGCAACAATAATTTAGGCACAGAATATAACAAACGAGTCATTTAGCTAATGAAAAACTGACGTCAGTTTTAATAATTATATATTAGTATATGTATATATATATATATATATATATATATATATATATATATATATATATATATATACATATTGGTCAAATATAGGTCCACAAAGAAACTTCTATTAAACTCTTTGAAATTCTAGCCTTGGAGATATCAAGATAGATATATAATTTTTTTAGCTATGTATGTATGTATTTACTACTAGCGACTCACCCTAGCGCCGCTCGGGTTCGTTCTGTTTTAAAGTTTAGTTTAGATTTCTCAAAGATGACATATTTACTTGTAATAAAAAGTATCCTATATGTTGACCCGGATAACTAGCTATCATCATACCAAATTTCATCAAAATCACGGAAAAACCACTGGCCCTCCAGTGATGCGGTAACAGACAGACAAAAATTCTAAAAACTATAGATTCGGCCTCTGTATCGATAATAACGACATGACTATTTCAATAACATTTTCCAAAAAATACTTATTTAATGTACAGATCCGGCTTAGTTACAATTTTATTATATGTATAGATCAAATCTATTGAATCGCAGCTATTATAAAACATGTACATGTCTGCGACTGCACAATACTATGTTCCTTCGTCAACTTGTTCTCATCTTTTAAGTTTGTTTTTCACGCAGTCGGTTTTTTTTAATTTTTGTATTATTTTTTATATTTACAGCTTTTTAGTTTTGGCCAGTTAGACATTTTTAGTTCTATTTAACAATTTATTATCCTATATTACTATAAAATATATAAGTTACTAGCAATATCCACGGCTTCGCCCGCGTTTAAACTATTAAAACTCTTTGACACACCGACTGCAGCGTCAACTACCTGGTGCATTTGTGAATTTAAACCTTGGAGGAACCTATTCAAATATACACACAAAATTTTATCCAAATCAGTTCAGCTCTTTAGGAGGACTAAGGTAAGAAACACACGTACAGAAGAATTATATATATTAAGATATAGGTATATTTTTATAATCGTCTCTCAAAAACCTATATTTTGATACCTCACAAATTGATTCGGACGAAAAAAAAAATCCGGCTTACATCCGCGATTTTGACTCTTAATGGTATCCATATTACACTCCTATTATTAAGACGAATGGAACGGCGTATAGATTATCAAAATCGGTTAAGCCGTTTATTAATTAAGAGGGTTCATAGGGTCGGACATACATACATACAGATCAAACACATGAACCTCCTTTGGGCCTCGCCGTAGTTGGGTAAAAAACCCTTCACAATTATAGTATAAAAATTATTTATAATAATTTTCTGCAGACCAGACGTGGCTTGTCTCACCTTATTCAGCCACTTTACAACTTCACTGCTTGTCTCCCTCTTCACAAAGCGGGTCCATATTTGAAACATGTCAAAATTTATTTTATTGTCAGAATATTTCTATATAATATAGAAACTCACGGCAGTTGTAGCTCAGAGGTAACGCGGTCGCTTAAACAATCAAGTAAAACGGGTTCAAATCCCGAGTCTCGCACGTCTGATATTTTCATGTGTGAATCATTTACCACTTGTCTTACGGTGACGGAAAACACGTGAGGAAACCTGCATGTGTAAGAAAACCTAAAACTCGTGTTGAAGGGAGGCCAATGGCCAGTAGTGGAATGTTAAAAAAAGACTGAATAAAATAGAAACTCATCAGAGCTTTAACTCTTTATAGGTCGTGATGATGTACAGACACATCATAATATTACAACTCGTTGCGTTTGTGTCAACGCAGACGATAATCAAAGCTGCCGATATAACTCGAGCAATCCATGATATTTTTGGTAAGTCTTTATTATTATAAAGGTATTTTATAATGATGATGTGATGTTCTCCTAGCCGATTCCGGCCACGGCGGCCAATCTCAATGAGATTAGGTAACTGCGCAGGAGATATTATAGTGCACAATATGATGACTATGACTCTCATACTCCGGTGGGACGACAACTCGACACGACCGGTGAGAGTTAAGGCGCAGGACCGACGGCTTTACGTGCTCTCCGAGGCACGGGGGTGAAACACCGCCAACTTCCCAACTCCGGGCTGTTACTGAGACTTACTATACAGGAAGACTCAATAACTAAACTTGGCCCGACCCGCGGGACTCGAACCCAGGACCTCCGGGTGTGCAGCCGTACATGCTAACCACTACACCATCGAGGCAGTTTATAATATTGAACTAGCGACTCCCTAGGATCACCCCATAAAAACTTTCATCCCCATTTTCACCCCCTTAAGGAATCATTTCCGCGATAAAAAGTAACCTATATCCTTCCCAGGGTCTCATACTATCTCCTTACCAAATTTCATCGAAATCGGTTTAGTAGATCCAGAGATTACCCCCTACAACGTCACAAACTCACAAACTGACAATCTCACAAACTTAACCTCTTCAGTTCGTCCCTAATGAAAATTTAGGTTTGTATGTATTTTTAATGCCGAATCATAAAAAAAAAAATATTTTTTTTGTCCAAATTTTTTTTTTGGGGTGGACCACCTTTATCACTTAGGGGTATGAAAAATAGTTTACGTCCTATTCTCAGACCTAACGAATATGCACATAAAATTTCATAAGAAAATATTTGTCATTTTAAATAAAACTATCTTTTCGGATTTTCTCGCGGATTTATTTGGACTTTTAGTTCCCGACGTTTCGAATGCTTTGCAGCAATCATGGTCACGGGAGAGACCACCCAACTAATAGATTGCTCCCACGGTCCACTCTGCTGTCAGAGAAGTACTAGGACCAACCCGCAAGGTACACCGTCCACCGAAGTCGGTCACCTCCCTGTGTGTCTCTTGGCTTCGCGCCCGGCTGAGTTGCCGGACGCTAATGAGTCCCCCACCACGACGAAGTGAACACACATCGGGGGTAGTTTATAGTAACTATTAATACTAAAAACTAATCTATACTAATATTATAAAGAGGTAAAGTTTGTGAATTGTGAGTGTGTGCGTGTGTGACGTTGTAGGGGGTAATCTCTGGACCTACAGAACCGATTTAGATGAAATTTGGAAAGAAGATAGTTTGAGACTCAGGAAAGGCCATAGGATACTTTTTATCCCGGAAATCATCCCTTAAGGATGTGAAAATAGGGATGAAAGTTTATATGGGGAATCAAGCTAGGGCCGAACCTGAGCGAAGCGAGGGTGAGTCGCTAGTTGATTAATATATTAGTAAGAACTAAGAATTTAATGGAAGGTGACATAAGATAGGTATTATATTCGAATTATCCTTCTTATTACACAATAATTTCAGGTACGCCATGCAAAACGACTGATGATATGATGGGCGTCTGTGTGACGTACTACCAGTGCAGCAAGAATGGTACAGTTGTCACTGATGGCACTGACATTATAGACATACGGTGTGTATATTTTATTAACCGGCTTTAAATATAGAGGGTACAGATTACTGAAACAACAACGCTTCTATGATTCAAATTTTCTAAGAATTACGTGAATATTAGATATTTTAATTAAAAATATTTTTTTTCGGTTTTTTTTCGCGATTTTGTAATTTTATTTTTGTTTCTAATATTTTGAAAGCGTTACAGCAAACTTTGTCATGGAAGAGACTAAGGACTTTGACGTCTAATTATAACACACGAGGTCTATCCGTAAAAATTATATAAATTATTGTATAATTTTGGGCAGAATAAATAAAACATACAAAAATGAAAAAAAAAAAACATATTTATAACTATGCTTAAACCATAGACTACTATTATATAGAACCTAAAAACCCTAAAAAGTAATAAACAAAGTTTTTTTTTAATTTCAGAGTCAAGGATGGACCGTGTCCGTCTTACTTGGATGTTTGTTGTCTTTTGGATGATGTCAGCGCTTCAAACAATCCTAATGAAGCAGAGCCAAAAGTAAGGAAAATAAACACTAATCTGTACATATAATAAAATTCTAACTGAGTCCAATCTGTACATTAAATATGTTTTTGGAAAATCTTATTGATATAGTTATTGTTAATACAAAGCCCGAATTTATAGTTTTTAGAATTTTTGTCTGTCGGTCTGTTTGTCTGTCTCTGTGGAAACGCATCACGAGAAAACCACTGAACAGATTTTGATGAAATTTGGTATGGTGATAGCTGGTTATCTGAGTCAAAATTTTATTTTTTACTGCGGGAAAATATCTCATCTCTGATAAATCTATACTAAACGTTAAAACGTGATTAGTAAGTAGTCTATTTATTGAAGAAGAAAAGGAAGAATTGACTATATATCATAACGCTACGGCCTACGAATCTAAGAGCGGAATAATAGAAAAAAAAAATAAACTTTGCGAGTGAAAACGGGTACAAGCTTATTAGTAAATTATGAAAAAAAAATTTCTTTCAGCACAAAGACTGTGGGTGGCGCAACCCGCAAGGCGTCGGATTTCAAACTATCGGAGATAACAACCACGAAGCCAAATTCGGGGAATTCCCGTGGATGGTCGCTGTTATCAAGTAAATTAAACACAATTATTAATTATTATAAATGTTACAGTTTGTATGTGTTTGTGTGTATGCGTGCTTGTGTTTGTGTATTTTTTCGACTGAACTAGACGAATTTGGACGCTTTATTACGATTATGATTAACGATTATACATCGACGACACGTTTGGCTGAGTTTCTAGTGACCCTACTTGCTGTGCCAGCGGTCGCGGGTTCGAGTCTCGCTGGTTACATTCATTTGAGCGATGAGCTCGAATGTCTGTACCCCAGTCATGGGTGTTTATATTTATAACATGTATGTATTTAAAGTTATATATGTCTAATGTATTAACTACCCGGTATCCATAACACAGGCCTCGTAGCTTACCATGGAACTAGATGGTGCTGTGTGTTAATGTCCCAACATATTACTTTAAGATTTTTTGTCAAGTGAATTGAAATAAATATTAAAAAAAATTTTTTTACCGTTTACTGTAATTATGCGATGCACCTATAAGTTATGATGTTATTGTGTATAAGTGTCTATGCAACTTAGTACTTGCTTAGATTTACGTGAAATTTGACATTTTACTAATTAGACGACACGTTTGGCTCAGTTTGTAGTGACCCTACTTGCTGTGCCAGCGGTCGCAGGATCAAGCTCGTTATGGGCATTCATTTGTGTGATGAGTATTAATGTTTGTACTCCAGTCATGGGTGTTTATATTTATAATATGTATGTATTTAAAATTATATATGTGTAGTGTATCAACTATCTGGTATCCATAACACAAGCCTCGTAGCTTACCATAGAACTAGATGGTGCTGTCCCAACATATTTATTTATTTATTATATATAATATTATAAATGTAAAGAGAGAGATAGATTATAGTCTGGAATAGCACATAGGCTAATTTTATCCCGAAAAAATATACGGTTCTCGTGGGATAGATTTGTTTTTGTTTTTCGAGCGAGGGTGAACCGCTAGTTTATATAAACCTACCTTTTTGGTTGTCTTTCTGTAGAGCATTCGGGATGTCGGGAAATAAAGAGCAAAATAAATCTGCGATAAAATATCCGAAATCATAGTTTTATTTAAAAGAAATTCAGATTTGTACTTGTTAACGCTATAATAAGTTTATTTATTACTAGCATTGCCCGCGGTTCCGTCTGCGTTCAGATGACCAAAAGCAAACTCTTAGGTTTTACATATTAATATACTCTTAAAATGCTGTTTTTTTATTTTTCACAGAAATGAGATATTTTCCCGCGGTAAAAAGTATCCTATATGTTGACCCAGATAACGAATCATACAAAATTTCATCAAAATCCATCCAGTTGTTTTACTGTGATGCGGTAACAGACAGACAGACAGACAAGCAAAAATTCTAAAAACTAAAGATTCGGCATCTATATCGCTAATAATGTCTATTACAATAAGATTTTCCAAAAAATATTTAATGTACAGATTTAGCTAACTTACAATTTTATTATATTTATAGATAATATTATGTAAAATTGTTGAACTTAACAAAGACAAATAAATAACCAGACTAGAACCAGTGAACCAGGACAACCCAAGCGCTTACGTTAACCTGTACCTGGGCGGGGGTTCCCTCATCAACCCGAGCGCGGTGCTGACGGCGGCGCACACCGCGCGGGGGCGGCCGCTGCTGGCGCGCGCCGGCGAGTGGGACACGCAGACCGAAAAGGAGGTGTATCCATATCAAGATAGGAATGTGAAGGAAGTTGTTGTCCATAAGGACTTTAATGGAGGTAAGTGATGTGCTAAGCTATACACATAATAATAATAATGACCTGACCGCCAATCATTGGGACAAGCCATATTCGCAGGATATATATATATATATATATATATATATATATATATATATATATATATATATATGTATAGGAGATAGTAGTATAGTGTTGATACAAGTGCACTCTCTTTTCCTGTCACTCTCACCCTCCGGTGGGATGACACCGGAGAGAGTAAAGCCGCAGGATCTACGGCTTTAGGTATTCTGCCTCGGCACGGGGGTGAAATACCGCAAATTTCCCAACTCCGGTTTGTAACTAAATTTCTTGACAGAAATACTATATCTGAACTTTGCCGAAACCGGAACTTGAATCCAGGGTCTCCAGATCTGCGGCCATACATGCTAGTAACTAGACCTCCGAGGCAGTCGAAGGTCCCTAGGAACGACAGTCTATAGTTCTTTTCTTAATTTTACATATACAGTAATAGTGGCTGATGGTGTTCCAACCTTACTCTCAAGAAGAAAGTCTCGATACCAATTTAAACTAAAAAAAACGAATTAAATATTTGTAACGAAAATTAATAATTATTATTTAATGGCATCCTCGTAGAGATTTGTACTTATATATAACGTAAGGTTAAATGCTCGGATTGACAAACATAACAGGGCCAAGTATTTCTTTCGCTGGCCACCATTTAGTTTTTATGCCTGAAATAATTGTCAAATTTTCAATGATAATCCACAAAATTTAATTGTACTTCTTTCTTGAAACCCAAATATACATAGTTTCTCATGCTACTTAAACGTTTAAAATTCCGAGCACTGATTTGTTTACTCACCTACTTCGACTGTTCAACTGATTATTTGTTACAAAAAATGTGTTATTACATCACAACTGATGTTCTCCTGACCGATTCCGGCCACGGCGGTCAATCTCATTGAGACTAGCCAACTGCGCAGGAGATATTATAGTGCACAAGTATACGCGCAGACACAACGTGCACTCTCTATTCCTGTCAATCTTATATTGCGGTGGGACGACACGAGACACGACCAGTGAGAGTTAAGTCGCAGGACCGACGGCTTTACGTGCTCTCCGAGGCACGGGGGTGAAACACCGCCAACTTCCCAACTCCGGGCTGTTACTGAGGCTTACTATACAGAAAGACTCAATAATTAAACTTAGCCCGACCGGGGACTCGAACCCAGGACCTCCGGGTATGCAGCCGTACATGCTAGTCACTACACCACCGAGGCAGTCAACATCACAACTAGAGGAATGGTTATAGAGATTCAGCGTCAAAAAATACTTGGGCTGAGTTTTATTACAGGTCACAGAATTTTTGATGTAAAACGTCTTTAAAATCACACCGAAACATACGGGTACCAGGTCAGAAAAGTGGACCGTAACGAATTGGGATGCATTAGGTTGCCATAGTAACCGTTGCTTTTGTTGAAAAAATGATAATATAATATATGTTGTTCTTTCCGTTGCTATCATCAAAGATTACTATTTTTACTAATTTGTTTTCAAATATGCAAGATATATATAAAAAAACAAAAACATTAAAAAGTGACTCGTCTTCAACGCCTCTGAAATAGACGTTTCACGTTAAGCCAATAGCGGTGTCAGCACAGCTCCACCTGTTTTTTTTTGGTTGCTTCCCTGTTCGACTTTTTTTAATACAATGTTAGCTAAAATACCCTGATATTTAAAAATTTTATCCAGGGAACCTCTTCTATGACATTGCGTTGCTGTTCCTTGAAAGTCCAATGACTTTGGCGCCCAACGTGGGGGTGGTGTGTCTGCCGCCCCAGGGACTGAGAGCGAAGGCCGGCTCGAAATGCTTCGCCTCGGGATGGGGGAAGGATAAGTTCGGGAAAGAGGGGAATTATCAAAATATTATGAAAAAGGTAAAGTATCCGCCATTCAAATTCTAAATATTTTCTTAGATTTACGCGAATATTTGACATTTTAAATAAAAATAACTTTTCGGATTTTTTCCGCGGATTTATTTGGATTTTTGGTTCCCGAGATTTCGAATGCTTTACAGCAATCATATTCACGGGAGAGACTGACCTCTCCCGTGTCTCTTCGGTAGGTTCGGCTTAGTTACAATTTTATTATATGTATAGATTTATTATTATTTATTTATCAGGTCATAGTTTGACTAAATTTCATCCAAATCCGTCCAGCCGTTTCAGCGTAATGAGTAACAAACTCACATACATACAAACTTTTATATTTATAATAGCATTGTAATAAAAATTTCCAGGTGGAATTACCAGTAGTAGACAGGAAAGTATGTCAGAACAATCTGCGTAAAACCCGCCTCGGTAGCAACTTCCTGCTGCACACGTCTTTCATGTGCGCGGGCGGCGAGCCCGGCGTCGATACCTGCGAAGGGGACGGCGGTTCTCCCCTCGTATGTCCTATAGAGGTGAGTAAGGGGTTGATAATTTATATTTAAGCCTAGATGGTCTCATGGTCAGAAATGTCCTGCTGCAGCTCTGAAGATCTTGAGTTCGGGCCTGGAATCGGGCTACTTGGAGTTCTTAGTTCTTAGTAGCTGTTTGGAGTTTGGAAATTGTAGATAATATCCTAGGGATAGGATAGTAAGTTAAGGACATAAAAATCGGTATCTATACTAATATTATAAAGAGGTAATATTGTGACGTTGTAGGGGGTAATCTCTGGATTTATTGAACCGATCTAGATGAAATTTGCTAAGAAGATAGTTTGAGACCCTGGAAAGGACATAGGATACTTTTTACCCGGAAATCTTCCCTCAAGGTGGTGAAAATGGGATGAAAGTTTGTATGGGGAATTAAGCTAGGGACGAACCCGAGCGAAGCGAGGGTGAGTCGCTAGTATCCTATAATTTTGTTAAGAAATAAAGAAGGTTTCGGCGTTTTTGACCAATTAAGGTAAAATAGGGGATGATTTCAAGTTTCCTTAAAACAAAAGTAAAAAAAACCAAATTCTTTTTCCCCGGTTGTAAAGGTTTAAAATACTTACTTTTTTTTCTACACCCATGTATATACATATATACATAATACATATATACATTGTTTTATACAATAATTATTTATCTGTGTCATTGTCAAGTAGTTTTGTAATCTATGGTTGCCCGTCATATAAGCAATAAAAATGGGTTGCTACAATTTTTAAGCAGTTTCAATTATTAAATATAACATACATAATACATACATATATACCTATAGTCTATTCTATACTAACCGTTAAATCAAAAGTAGACTATAAGAGACCAAAAGATTGTATGTGCGTTTTTACAACATTTTCATTAAAACGTATAGAGTTTTATATTTATTTTCTATTTCAGTTCGAAACAGAGCGTTACATGCAAAGCGGTATAGTGTCGTGGGGCATCGGCTGCGGACAGGACGGCGCGCCCGGCGTGTACGTGGACGTGGCGAACCTGCGTGGGTGGATCGACAACGAGATCATCCGGAGGGGGCTTAGCACCACAGATTATACTTTTAAATAATTAATTTATCAATAAATGATTGTCTAAAATAACTTATCTTTATTTTTATATATACAATACTTCATATTATATACACATTTTCTTGATCCTTTTTTGAGAAAAAATATTTGTAATCTATAGATAATAAGTAATAAAGTTCTGAATCGAATCTGCACGTTAAATATTAAAAAAATCTTATTTAAATAATCATTACTATCGAAACAGAGGCCGAATCTACGTTTTTAGAATTAAATTTTTGCCTGTCTGTCTCGCACTGAACGCTTTACGAGAAAACCACTGGATAGATTTTGATGAGTATGATGATAGCTGGTTATCCGGGTCAACATATAGGATACTTTATACTGTGGGAAAATGTCTCTGAGAAATCTATACTAATCATTAAAATGTATTGTATATATGTATTTAGCTCCTTTAATGTCCCACTGCTAGGCACGGGCCTCCCTTCAGTACGAGGGGGATCAGGCCATAGCCCACCACGCTGGATAAGTGCGGGTTGGCAGACTTCACGTGTCTTTCGAAAACTTATTAGGTTCTCTCAGATATGTAGGTCTCCACACGATGTTTCTTTCACCGTAAGACAAGTGTTCAATCATGTTGGAAATGATTCGCACATGAAAAATATCAGAGGTGCGTGACCCGGATTTGAACCCGCTTCATTCAGTTTCCCAAGCGAGCACGTTATAGTCTATACATATAATAAAATTGTAACTAAGCCGAATCTGTACATTAGATATTTTTTGGAACATCTTATTGAAATAGACATTATTATCAATACAGAGGCCGAATCTATGGTTTTTAGAATTTTTGTCTGTCTGCCTGTCTGTCTGTCCGTCTGTTACCGCATCACGAAAAAACCTCTGGAGGGATTTTAATGAAATTTGGTATGGAGATAGCTGATTATCCGGGTCAACATATAGGATACTTTTCACCGCGGGAAAATATCTCATTTCTGAGCAAAAATACAAAAACTGCAATGTAAGAGAATACTAATATGTAAAACCTGAGAATTTGGTTTGTGGTCATCTGAATGCGGACGGAGCCGCGGGCAATGCTAGTAATTAAATAATAAATAATTCTCTAAGAAGGAATCAAACTGGTGGATTTGCGTTACTCCCTCAGTCCACTCTGCTGTCAGAGAAGTACCAGAATACCCATAAGTCCTGGATCGAGTTCCGTGATATCTTGGAGAGCACGTAAAACTATCGATCCTGCGCTCTTATTACTCATCGATCATATCAAATCGTTGTGCCATCGGACTTTGAAAAAGCGATAAGTGTGCACATTGTTTATAGTCTAGGCTAAGCTAGTCTGGATGAGATTGATGTTCTCCCGACCGATTCCGGTCACGGCGGCCAATCTCATTGAGACTAGCCAACTGCGCAGGAGATATTACAGTGCACAAGTGTACGCGCAGACACAACGTGCACTCTCTGTTCCTGTCACTCTCATACTCCAGTGGGATGACCACTCGACACGACCAGTGAAAGTTAAGGCGCAGGACCGACGGCTTTACGTGCTCTCCGAGGCACGGGGGTGAAACACCGCCAACTTCCCAATTCCAAGCTCTGAGGCTTACTATACAGAAAGACTCAATAACTAAACTTGGCCCGACCCGGGACTCGAACCCAGGACCTCCGGGTGTGCAGCCGTACATGCTAGCCGCTACACCACCGAGGCAGTTAATAAAAGGCTGGATGAGATTAGACATTGTGGGGCATAGCTGAGTGATAACCAGACCAGTTACAATATTAAAAAAACAATAAACTTAATTGATATTTTATTAATAAATATTTAATACATAGTTTCATAAATAAACCAAAATATTATTGCTATTCGCTGCCAATTTTCAATTTAGCTTTGATTTAAGAATTAACGGTGAGAGGCGATGACATTAATTCGGTAATAGAAACCTTTTTTTCTTTCACTATCGGGCATTGCTTATCTTTAAAGGTTTTTTGTGTCGTTAGACTTTTACAGCTATCTTTGGGACATACGAAAGGCTTTTTCTTATCAAGTTTGGGGATCTGCAAAGACGGTATCGGGATCCAAGGCTCAAAATCTCTTGCATAAGTGCACGTGGAGTTCATATTGTAAAATCCCGAAATATTCAGAGTATTGCCCAATTTTTTGAACCATTCTATGATATCTTCAGTTAGTACGGCTAGAGTAGGGGTAAGGATTTTGGTGTTGTTTGACGTAATATTTTTGTACTGCAATGGAACCGATAAGTCGAAAGAGACGTCTGATTTGATTACCATGTTTAAGAAAAATGGGAAGAATTTCGCGCATGGATCTTTTTTCTCGGGGCAGGGACAGGGACTGGGTTTTTTTGTTGATTTAGGCTTAGCAATAGGCTTGCAGGGACCAGCTTTCATAGGTTTTTTGTCGGGAGGAGGAGGGCAATTAGACTTATTAGATTTTACTACTTCTGCTTCTGCTTTGGCGATATGCTGACAATATTGTATTCTGCTTTGTTCCCGAATACGCTTTAAAAGCACAGAAAGTGGAACATTATTTTTAGAATCAGAAATTTCTTTAGGATTCGCCAATTCTTCCATATTCTCGGTTGCTTTTTCATAAGTATTGATATCAGAAACCCCCTCTCTTACTTTTGGACTTTCTTTCGATATTTCCAATCCAATATGTTCTAAAAGTACATTTTGGGATACAGTATTTTCTACAATTACGCGGGGGGCATCGTTACGTGCATGGCTGGGGCTAAACTGTACTGGCACCTTCCAATCGTAATATTCTCCAGGGTTCTGATTCGCTGATATCGCGGTGTCCGTTGGTAATTCAAGATTTGCATGACGTCGTCTCTGAGACTGATTTTGTGTGTAAGTACCAGAAATAGCTGAGTTATGAAGCTCGCCCTTCGATGACATTTCTTCCGACCTCCACTCGCCTGAAGACTGATCTGAAGTTGTCAGTAATTGTTGCGTACTGAGGATATTTGATATGTGATCAGGCGTAAAGTTTCTATAAACATAATTAGTGCCTTCAAAGTTTGTTTGTAATAATGGTTCATAAAAATAATTTACAGTCGGCTTCGGATTTAACGGCTCCTCAGTGTCCACATCCTCTATTGTTCTTTGTTCTTGATCAAGGGCATCTTTTCTGATCGTCTCTTCTGGTATTGGATTATTGAATTCAGTCTCTTGAATCGTTTCAGTAAATACTGCTGCTTCTAACTCAGCGTCTTCTTCAAGTATATGCTCTTTGTTGGTGTATTCATAAAATGGTATCGCTTGTTGGTCGTAAGGGCTTAATTGTGATGGAATATCCATTGAAGGCTCCTTAATATTAGCTGTCAAATAAATCGAAGAACTCCTTATAAATCCAGTCTCTTTGAAATCTCTTTTACCGCCGTCTATAGTAAAGTGAGGTAATGTAGCTAAATGTACTGGCTGTAGTTTTTCTACTTTACATTCAGTTAAATTATTTTTATAGTAACATGGCGTAACTTTGTCATAATTAAGATTTTCAGAGACGAGCGGGTGTTTTGGTGGTTTCTCAAATATTTGGTCAAAATATTTTTCTACGCATTCGCTTCTTCTTTCAGAGAGAGAGATCCTTGATTTTGTTTGAGAAATATTTTTTAATTCATTAAGTAAAATATTGTCTATGTCACCCACTGGGGAATCTAGACATCGTTTAGCTAATTCATCTAAAATTATTTTTTGGTCAGGCGTAACTTTTTTCTTATCTGATGCCTCAAAATTAGATGTATCTTGACCTAATATCTTTGGTATTGAATTGAATCCTTCAATTTTAGGGGGATGAGCTTCAACGTGAGGGGTTTCATTGATGACATCGACTTTTTGAACCAATTTTTCTTCTTCTATAGTCGCTGTGGTGGCATGAACTTTTGCAGTTTGAGCATTAATGTTTTTATTAGCTATATTTTCTGCTACGTGTTTTTTAGTTCCAAAAAGCTTTGATATAACAGATTCACATTTGGTACAACGTGGTATTTGATAAAACTCTGGGAAAATTATATTTCCATTTAGCAAATCATCTTTAGCCGTTATCTTAATCTCGTTTTTCGAAAAAAGAGTTTCATTTTGGTCATACGTTTGAGTACTGTTTTCATCTTTTGTTTTCGAATTAGTACTTTTTCTCACCGAGCATATCTGTTCTACAGGACCTATAAAGAAAAATATATTTATCTTATATGGCACCGACTTCGAAAATATCTGATTAGGGATTTATTCTAAATGAAAATCCCCATTTAGTTATTTTTTACATTTTAGTGCCTGGAGTTCGGTTCTATTAAGTTTTTATTTTTTCATATTTAGTGTAGACGTAATAAGCAGGTAAATTTGTAAGAAGAAAGTTTTTTAATAATATATTCAATTAAGCAATTTATTTAAAAAAATAATCTATAGTTTTTTTTTTAAAACCTCTCGACCGATTTCGATAAAATTTAAATGGGACCACCTGGAAAGTATACCCTTCGAAACAAAAAAATATATTTCCAAATCGGCTCAGGCGTCTTCGAGTAATCGGTGAAAACATACATAAAAAAAAGTTTCCGACGAATTGAGAACCTCCTCGTTTTTGGAAGTCGATTAAAAATACGAGTAGGTTTTATTGTACATTTGACTACGACATTACGGTAACCTCATTACCATATCTCACAATGATGGCGTGCAGAAAGTATTGGATGTGTCAACTTAGAGATTTTTATAAAATTAAAAGATTTTTTATTTAACTTAAATCATCCAATTAATGTTAAAGAAACAGAATAAAACTCGACATAATTATACCTTTTAAATAGTGGAAAACAGAATAAAAAAAAAATACTTACAATTGTTAATTTTATTTTTCACACATCTCGATTCTTTTAAAAATAATCGTGGTAGAAAAGTTAAAGCGTAAACTTGCTTAAATTTGGAAAATTTTAATTTCAACATCTTTGATATAATAATGAAAGCTACATACTATTCAAAATTATTTTAAATTAGTCTTCTTTTCTGATGGCTGTGTATTATTTATATTCAGCCAGCGCTCAATGATATTTTCTTAGTCAAATATTAAGTGGGATACACACGTTAGGATATATATATACCTGCGCAGTTTTACACCGGTATAACTTGGTTACCATCAGTGATGTTTTCATTACACATAATTCGGTGATTTGGTATCTTAGAAACTGTGTAAAGATGAATTAATTAGGTGAATTATAGCTGAGCTCTTCAAAAATTACTGGTAAAACCTTTAAATTTAAAACTGTGGTAGGCCTTTAGTAATGCACCCTCAACGTGTGTTCACCTTGTTGTTGTAGGGAAGCTCTTTAGCGTCCGGCAAACTAGCCGGCGCGAAGCCAAGAAACGTGTCGGGAGGCCCACCTCCTGGGCCTGGTCTTGGTAGTTTTCTGATAGCAGAGTGGATCGTTGGAGCAACCCCGTGGCTGTTGTGGTCTGCTTCATCAGACCTACCGTCGGGGCGTCGTAGTTGAGTGCGTAGGTAAGTGATCCTGCGACGCCCCATTAAAACGGAGGGTTTGTTGGGTTTTAGTGGGTAGTACTGATTTTTCTAGCCAGTAAGTCCCACATACAGGACTATATATTACGGGACAGACTAAGGTTATAAACGTCCCATGACGTGACCATGATTGCTGTAAAGCATTCGAAATGTCTTAGCGTTAAAATATTATAATCATTAAAGAGGATTAATACAGGAGGAAACAATTTAATAAAAATACATTGGATGAGACTATAATCATTTAAATATCGTAATAATTATTATTCAACTTCATGCATACTTTAACAATTAACACACATGCATTTTATAATTATACTATTCTAAATGTTGAGGTTAAAATATCTACTTACATTTTTTATATAACTGAATTTCAAAAATAAAAATAATAAAAATATATTTATAAACCTACCCTCGCTGTTTTATCATTTACTAACCATATTTGTTGCTGTTTTTTTTTTTCAAAAATATATTTCATTTTACATAATCAACTTCAGTAATCGGTTAGTATTTTAAGATTTTTTTTATCAAAGTAAATATAGTTTAAAATATGGTTTAGTACTTTTGTTAATTTATTTTAAAATAATTTCATTAAAAATCTGTTTTTCAGATCTTTTTCATTATCTGACATAAAAATATTATTGCTGCAACGGAACGTCATTTCAAATGCATGAAAATAACAAAGATGGCTGAAGAACAGGTGAGAATCAAAATATTACGATTATTAAGTAATTTTAACATAATTATGCGCTCAAAACCTGTGACATATAAATTGAACATGCAAACAATTAATACCAATAAAAATTTCGATGTATATTAGTTTAAAAATCGTGTTATACTTCACAATGTTTTTATGGCCTTACCACTGCGTATTTATAAGATTTTAAGTATATTCTTAATAGGCCTTTTTTCTAATACGAACTATTTAATAAAATAGTAATGTTTAACAAGTTTTTACAGTTTTATTTGTGTTTATTTGCCGGCACTTTGGTTATAATAGTGTGTTGACAGTTTTCTTACCCTTGAAATATTGAAAGTAAACAGAAAAGTGAATTCACATCGATGTGTAAATAATTATGTATAATGAAATAGAATTAACATTAGTATACGCATAAACAATGTCAGCAACCATTTACTAATTCTATTTTGTGAATGTGACATTTTGGATTTACAAATCTATTATTTTGTTAGTATTAAAACCAGTGATCTTGAATATTTTCCTTTTACATGTTATTAATGGAATTATAGTCGTAAATATAGATATTTATATAAAAAAGAACAATAATATTACACAACATATCGTAAACAAAATCAGTGTATGTTAATAAATAATAAAAGAGCAGTGTGTATGCCATAAGGTTAACCCCACTGACAAATAATATTTATTGGTTACTTCACTGTAAACTTTATATATGATTTTTTTTTAGTTTATTTAAAGAGACATTTAAACATTTTAATTATAAATTTTAAACTTTAACTAATTTGGAAATGATGTCAGCAACTGATAAGCCTGTGGATTTCCCAGTATGTAATAGAAATAACATTAATGAATGGTGTAATATGATATCCAATTCAATGAGGAAACATTTTTATATTAAATTATTTTAAATTCAACAAAAATTAATTAAAAATGTTCTATATTCCTTTAAATTATCTTCAACTTTTTTAAAATGGTAAGTCCAATTACGATAAATCAATACTTATGGTAGGCATGTATCGGTCTAGCTGGGATGTTGCCCACTTCGTTGGGTGGTGTAACATGCGGGTTGCACCTGGTACTTCTCTGATAGAAGAGTGGACCATGGGAGCAACCCCTCGGTTGTGCTGTCTGCTTTGACAGACCTGCTGTCGGGGACTCGTAGTTGACTGCGTAAGCGATCCCGCGGCGCCCCATTAAGACAAGGGTGGTTCTGTTGGGCTTAGTGGGTAGTGTTAGCTTTTCTAACCTGCGTGCCCCACATAACCACCTGGTATGCGTAAATGCATTTCTCAACATAAAAAAAGGCATGTGTCTAGCTCTATTTTGCTAAAAGTATCAGATTAGTTATATAATGTTATGTATTATATCCATGAGCTATACAATGGTTTTTTTTAAGTTCTCTTTTCACTCGTCACATTCGGTAGACTGTAAATAACATAAATATTTGCCGACATAGGGAAAGTTAAATGGCTTTCTTTTATATTTTTCTTTATTTTATCTATTTTTATTGAAACTAACTTTAAAATAAACATATTACTGTAACGTTGCTGCAAAAATAAAATTTTTAATAATACAATGATTATGAAAAGGATTTTTTTTCTGAATGGATGATAACAACAATTTTATGATAATAGATATTAAAAAAACTTTTAAAATGATGTAATATTTGAATAATAGTTGTAATTTGAGATATGAAAGGAAATCGTTGTTTTGATTTCTTTTGGTTTTATATTAAGATTTTTATGAAATTGCAATACAAAATTGTACAATCTAATTCTGTATGTTTAACTATTACACATAAGTTTCATAAGGTTAAAAAAACAACACACAGTCACAAGACACAGTTCACACGCCTACACTACGTGTTAAATAGTTTTCTAAGTTTTAAAATTAATATATATGTTTTTAAGGTATATATGTTATGGACCTCTGTTTATATATTTAAGATCTTTTTGTAAATATTGCCTGAAATAAATGATTGAATTAAAATTTAATTAATTATACAGTACAGCATTAAGTTACTCGTTTCAAATTTGTCTTATAAGAAATGCATTATATCCTCCATATTTTATCCTTTGCTTCCAGGAGGTGATCCAAATAGAGCTCTTATGTAAGCAGCTCTACGAGTCCCAGGACCCTGTTGTGCGGGATCAGGCTGAGATTGCTGTAGTCAGATTTCAGGTTAGGATTTATCTAATATCTCCATTGCCTTGTTTTGGTTTCCTTTATAGTTTTTTTTTCATTAGTATGTATTTTTTAATATTAAAATATATTAGTATTTTTTTAATAAAATTATTTTTTTGTTAAAATAAATTTTCTCAAGGAAATCTTTAAATATATTTTTTTTTTTAATTTTTACATTCTCGTAAAATTTGTATTATTAAATCGTAGTGCAATATTAAAAACAAACTGTTAATTTCAGGAGTCACCAGACACTCTAAGCAAATGTCAAGCATTACTAGAGAGGGCAGATTCGAGTTATTCTCAACTATTAGCCGCTACCACACTAACTAAATTACTTAACAGGTTTCAAAATATTATATTTAGTATTAAATTATTCATTATTTTTTACTGAACGTCATGAGTCTACTACCAGTTCGGAAAGAAGAAGCCTCAGACCTGAGAAGAACTGGCGAAAGAAACTCAGCAGGACTAATATTAATTCGTTATCTTTTTCTAAAGTTAAATTATAATTTATAATATTTCTATCAAGTTGGAAATAGCCTGAAGGAGATCAATTCGTTCCCAAAGTGTGCCATCTTCTATAAAATCATTTATTGTATAAAAGCCTTTAGCACACAAATGTTCTTTAACATTTTTTTTAATCTGGCTATAGACATACATATGTAACCCACAATTTCTTTACAATTTTACTAGCGACTCACTTTCGCATCGCTTCGTGTTTGTCCCTAGATGGTCTAAGGCCCTTTCATTGTTCATCTGTCTGTCAAGACCCCTATTCTCAGGAACGCTTGAGGGTTTCAAGTTGAAATTAATATCAAATGTTCAGGTCTACAATCCCTTGGAAATGTGAAATAATTAAACGTCTAAGTCAACGCAATCAAAAGATACGGCTGTTAATGCCGCATATATTGGCATTTAAATTTCTCTAAAGGGATTCAAAACCTATGGGGTATCTAGAATTATGAAATTTGGCAAGAATCAATATCTTTATAGCACAAGTAAAGGAAACAATCCAAAAGCTGTAAATTTGTAGTTTTATTTTGCGATTATAAACTTATTAAATGTTTCATGCTACGGAAAGCTCGTTGTGCGATTCGGACTCGCATTTTTCTGATTGTTTTTGAAGTTTAACTTCTTTACGCACGCTTGACTTGCGGAGTAAACTGGTGAATGCGTGAGGAGAGCGTTACGAAAAGTGTGATCGTGCGAGGCGAACGTTTGTTGCCATGGTAACCGTTGTTATTGTCTGACAAATGATATATAATATTATATTCTTTCCTAAAATGATATTCTATTAATATGTGTTTGTAATATGCCTAATATTTGTTATTTTTAGTATCTCATCTATCATAATTATTTAAAACTTAAATTGAATTTCATAAAGAGTACAGATAACTTACAGAAGTTTTACTTCTTGCATGTGTACATTTATTTTTACACGCATCCTACTATTACATACTATTTATTATTCATACACGCACTCTTTAATTTTTATTACTATAGTTTTTTTTAATATTTGTGCACTAACTTTTGTTTACAGATCAACAACAAGTTTATCTGTGCAGCAACGTCTCGATATAAGGAATTATGTTCTCAATTACCTTGCGACGAGACCGAAGCTCGCTAATTTTGTTGTACAAGTAAGGCCTTTTAAATATTTTTATAAAGGAATAAAGCCCTAATTACCCGATTGCGGCAAAGCCCAAAACGTGGTTATGTGTTTGACTTGTATGTATGTATATATCATTAAAATCGTCTTGATCGTCTCCTTGAATCGCCTTAATGCGAGTATCATAGGGTATATAGATATCATTAAAAATCTAAATGGCGGATCCTAAGTATCAATTTGTGTGTCATGAAAAAAAAAAATTCGTCCGAATATAAATGTCTGTCTGTTTGTTTGTCCTATATATTGTATCTTTGGAACCAACAGATTGTCCCAATCCAACCCAAGACTTCCGAATCTGCAGCCGTACATGCTAGCCACTAGACCACCGAGGTATTAATTAAAATAATATTATCTTTCAGGCTTTAGTAACTCTATTTGCAAGAATAACAAAGCTCGGGTGGTTCGATATGGTCAAAGAGGAGTACGTGTTCCACAACGTCATCAATGACATCACCAGCTTTTTACAAGTGAGTATATTGCACTTTATTTATATTTATTGTTTTTGAAGTTTACTTCTTTTGGTGCGTTACGAAAAACTAGCTACTCACCCCCGCTTCGTTCGGGTCTAGGTTGATTTCCCTTACAAACTTTCATCTCCATTTTCACTCCCTTATGGGATGATTTCTGGAATTAAGAATATCCTATGTCCTTTCCATGGTCTCAAACTATCTTCTTACCAAATTTCATCTAAATCAGTCCAGTAGTTTTTGAGTTTATTCGTTACAAACATACAAAAACACAATAAGCAAAGTGACGTCATTGTAAATCCAATATGGTGGACTTCCAAAGATGGCGAACTGTTTTTAATGCACCCCCATGATATGGATATCAAATGAAAGAGTTTGCTGAGAAAAATACGAAAAAAATATTTAAACATTTAAAAAACAAAGTTTTATTTAAATGTTCTAAATAAAAACAAAGAAGTATAACTTCTTACGTGCTTACACACTAGTAGGTTTTCTTATTTATTCAATCTAATTTCTTAATATGTAATTTGGTTTAATAACAAAGCAATATAATCCAATTTATTTTAATGTTATTTAGAAAATAATTAATTTGAGATTATAAAATAGTAAATTAAAAAAATTACATGTCAAATATTCAAACAACAAAATAAATTATACATTTTCAGGGGTCGGCAGAGATGTGCACGATAGGCATCCAGCTGCTGTCACAGCTGGTTGTCGAGATGAACCAGGTGTCCGAGGCTGATGTGAGCAGGTCCTTGGCGAAACACAGAAAAATTGCAGCGTCTTTTAGGTTTGTTTTTAATGTTTATATGCAAAGTATGATTTTATTTTTTATTTTCTAATCTATACATATAATAAAATTGTAACTAAGTCGAATCTGTACATTGAATATTTTTTGGAAAATCTTATTGAAATAGACATTATTATCGATACAGAGTCCGAATCTATAGTTTTTAGAATTTTTGTCTGTCTGTCTGTCTGTCTGCCTGTTACCGCATCACAAGAAAACCACTGAACAGATTTTGATGAAATTTGGTATGATGATGGCTGGTTATCCGGGTCAACATATAGGATATTTTTTATTGCGGGTAAATATCTCATTTCTAAGAAACAATACAAAAACTGCAATGTAAAAGTATACTAATATGTAAAACCTAAGAATTTGATAATTGGTCATCTGAACGCGGGCGGAGCCGCGGGCAATGCTTTGTCATAACTATGGAACTAGATTTAAATATAATTTTATTTTTACTTTTATTTATGCCTATTTATATAAACTCTTTTGGTAAATTGATAAATTTTCAAATTTTTTGTACAAAATTATTGATTTTAAATGTCTATTCTATTGGTATTAAATATTTTAAATTTAAAAACAGCCGAAAAAAATATATTTAATCTACATATTATATTTCTTACGAAAAAGTCCTGACTGTAAAGTAAAACATATATTGGTTGTTTGAACAAATAAGTAATAAGCGTTGAGATTGAGGCGACATACTGTTAGATATTCAAGTTTCAAGATATTCAAGAGCGTATGTTGCTTATTAGTACTATAAATGCGAAAGTTTGTATGGATGTATGTTTGTCACTCAATCACGCCAGAACGCTTGAACGGATCTGGATGAAATTTGGCACAGAGATAGATTATAGTCTGTAATTGCACATAGGTGACTTTTTATCCCGGAATTTTACAAGGTCTCCGTGGGATGGATTTGATTTTGTTTTTCAAATACCTATATTATTTATAATTAAACTAAACATCACTTTTATTTCCAGGGACGTTCAGCTCCTAGAAATTTTCCGTCTGGCGTGTTCACTGTTAGGTGCAGCTCGGGGCCGCACGCTCGCCTCCAACCCGTCTGAGGGCGAAGCCCTAGAACACGCCCTACTATCAGCCCTACTGCGTCTCGCACACAACTGTCTCACGTTTGACTTCATTGGCACTATAAGTGATGAGAGTTCAGAGGATCTGTGTACGGTGCAGGTGAGTCGGGATTGGTGGGATTAGTGATGTGTATAATATATCATTTCCAACATGATTGCCACTTGTAAACTTTATAAATCATTACAAATATTAATATTATGATTAGACGTTATAGAAACGTTATAGAAACATAACGGTGTGTACTGTAACCGTGTACAGATGCCGACGTCGTGGCGGCCCACGTTCCTGGAGGCGGGCACGCTAGAGCTGTTCTTCTCGCTGCACGCGGCGGCGGGCGCGGGCGCGGGCGCGGGCGCGGGCGCGGGCGCGGGCGGCGCGGCGCTGGCCTGCCTCGTGCAGCTCGCCTCCGTGCGCCGCTCGCTCTTCTCCAACACCGAGCGCGCCAAGTTCCTCAACCGCCTCGCCGCCGGCGTCATGCGCATCCTCGACGACACGCAGGTACACACATACACACGTACGTGCGCGTCCGGGCCGTTTCAAAGTGGATTTATGATGTGTCAAGTTGACAGTCGGGGATGTGCATTCTAATATAAATGAAAAATGTGCATTCAGAAAGAGCAATAAATATAATTGTTTATTGCCAAATATATGTTTTCCTGGAAAAATTCTTCTGAGCTGTTTCAGCACAGGACACGCAAGTGCGCGCGCACGCGCACAAACATACATACGCACGTACGCACACATACACACGCACGCACACGTTATCACGCGTCCATGCTATTTTAATGTTAGTTATAATATAGATGTTATAATTACCTCGTCGCACGCCACACTCGGTACACTTGGTGCACACACACGCATACAAACATACTTACATATATATACACTACCTAGCGACGAACCCAAGCGAGTGAGGGTGAGCCGCTAGTTAATATTATAAATGTGAAGGTGTGTTTGTTTGTTTGTTTGTTTGCCTTTCTTTCACGTTGAAACGAAGTGACGGATTCGCGTTATTTTTTGTGTAGAGATAGTAGGAGAGCTGGAAAGTGACATAGGCTATATTTTACCGCGGGACATTATCTCATTCTGCGGGAAAACATGTTATAATACAACCCAAAAAATTATTTATCATCAGAGTTACTTGAAACTTGGTATAAATTCTTTTCAATACAATTAAATAAATACGTGTTTCAGCATTTTTCGAAATTCATCCCATGAAGGGGTAAAATAGGGGATGAAAGATTGTATGAAAACTACATTTTTAGAGTTATTTTGAGGTTTTAGCGCGAGCAAAGCCGCGGATTTTGCTAGTGTTTTATATATCAATGTCTATTACACAACTGATTTATTTCTTCCAGAGCCTTTCGGATCCCACGAATTATCACGAGTTCTGCAGACTGTTGGCGAGAATGAAGTCGAACTACCAACTTGGCGAGCTGGTGATGGTCGACAACTACCCACGACTCATTGAGTTGGTGGCCAAGTTCACCGTACAAAGTTTACAGGTATGGCTTTAATGCGAGCAATCCCATGCTTTTGCTATGAAAGTTAGGTTTTTATTTTATACATGTTTGAAATAAATTATTATTAACGGGGAAAAAAATTGATAGGTTTATCTAACAAAAAAATTGTGTGTACTTCACATGTGGTAGAAGTGGAACCTTCAAAAAGTTAAATTCGAGATAATGAGACGTATGTAAAAGTTTAGGAGAGAGATATTGTAGGGCTTATTGATGATAATATTCATATCAAGTTTAAAAATTAATATACATTTTATTTACATACTAGCGACTCATTCTTGCTTTGCTTTGGGTTTGTTCCTAGATAGAAACAAATTCATCCACGGGAACCATACATTTTTTTGGGATAAAAGTAAACTATGTGTTATTCCAGACTATATCTGTGTCAAATTTTATCCAGATACGTTCAGCCGTTCTGACGTGATCTATACATATAATAAAATTGTAAATGAGCCGAATCAGTACTGTCTGTATTAAATATTTTTGGGAAATTCTTTTTGAAATAGACATTATTATCGATACAGATGCTGAATCTATAGTTTTTAGAATTTTTGTTTGTCTGTCTGTTTGTCTGTCTGTCTGCATGTCTGTGATTGCATCATTGAAAAATCATTGGCTAGATTTGATGAAATTTGGTATGATGATAGCTGGTTATCCGGGTCAACATATAGAATACTTTTTACTTCGGAAAAATATCTCATCTCTGAGAAATCTATACTAAACGTTCAAACGTAAGTAGGGACGATCCCGAGCAGAGCGAGGGTGATTCGCTAGCTTGATTCCCCATACAAACTTTCATCCCCATTTTCACCCACTTAATGCATGATTTCCGAGATAAAAACTATCCTATGTCCTCCCCAGAGTCTCAAACTATCTTCTTACGAAATTTCATCTACATCGGTTCAGTAAATCCAGAGATTACCCCCTACAACGTCACAAACTCACAAACTTTACCTGTTTATAATATGAGTATAGAATATAGATGAATGGGAGTATCCGTGTCGGCAGATGTGGCAGTTCGCCCCCAACTCCGTGCACTACCTGCTGTCGCTGTGGCAGCGCATGGTGGCGTCGGTGCCGTACGTGAAGGCGTCGGAGCCGCACCTGCTGGACGCCTACGCGCCCGGCGTCACCGCCGCCTACGTCACCTCGCGCCTCGACTCCGTCGCGGTCATCGTCAGGTATATATATATATATATACTAGCATTGCCCGCGGCTCCGCCCGCGTTCAGATGACCAAAAACTAAATTCTTAGGTGTTACATATTAGTATACTCTTACATTGCAGTTTTTGTATTTTTCCTCAGAAATAAGATATTTTCCCGCGGTAAAAAGTATCCTAGGATCGCGCGCTACATCGCCCGGTTTATATAGCTTGAGCAGGCGGTCGAGCGATGCGGGGCAGAGGGGATGGACTCGCCGTAGGCATCTCAATGCTCGCCAAGCATTAAAAATGTTTCGCTACTAATTACTTCTAACAACGATATCTCAAAAACTATTCATCTGATTGATTTAGTGTAAAGAGCAATTTTAATCTGCATTAAATGACTAAGCTAACTAAAATATTCATTTGGATAAGGATTAATACCGAACTAAAGAAAATAACTTTGAAAATAACGTAATGTTTTTAATTAAAAATGTTAACATAAAAGTGGTTATTGTAAGTCAACCGTAAGAGATAGAGATATGCTATCGCGGACTTTTTTGTAGCATTTTTATAGATTTTGAATTCTCTAGTACATTACTTAACTGTATCTTTGCTAGTTTACGCGGCGTTCGCGTGGAAAGTTCCCATTTGGCGAGATTTTTTGCGACCTCTTCAACATTTGTCGCCGTATTTCAGCTAATTTACATAAAAGCATAATAAATTATATACCTAAACCTTCCTCAAGAATTACTCTTTCTATTGTTGAAAACCGTATAAAAATCCGTTCAGTAGTTTTCGAGTTTATCGCGTATAGACAGACAGGAGGACAGACAGGAGGACAGAAAGACGCGGCCGGGGGACTTATTTTTATAATAAGTATAGATATATAATAATAATGTTATTTATCTTATTTGAAAAATAAAGACTTAAATGCGTTTCTGTAATAATAAAAGATTTATTTCATTATTAGAATTTAAATACAAAAAACATTTTAAAAATTACACTTATAATAAAATATTATCTCACCTGTAATGATAAAGAAATAACATTTAAAGCCTCTATTTCAATCTAAATAACAATAAACTAATAAATAAACTCTTCTCGAGGAAAATTTATAATTACATACTATATCAATTATTTTATTAAATGTCAAAATTAAAAACTATAAAAAAATAAAGTATATTTGGAATCAATTAAAAAGTATTTATGTAATGAAAATAAACTTAAAAAAAGCACTCGCATATGGAGTGGTTTTCTTTACATATATATAGGATCCGGGGATACTAATAAAAGCGTTTATATCACTATTAACTATTTATTATATTAAAAATTATAACTAACAATGTTCACGCGAATCGTCGTGTCGCCATTATGACACAACATCCTTCTTTTCTTTTAAATTCTTACATATCTCCTCTTTTATCCTTAAATATTATTCCACGCACACTCATCTCGCAAATTCTACATATATACATACACCAAAGCTCGGAACCTGTTTTAAAAAAAAAACTGTTTAATTCGGTATTGTAATGGTTAATTCGTCGCTGGTAAACCGAAATAAATAATAATGGTTAACGGTTATTCTTAGAGAAAGGTTGGATTTCGGTTTTGATACAGAAATAAACTGGTTAATTCATTCATAAGCAATTCACCATTAGGAAAGACGCGCCAAATGTAAACACATAAAAACTTATTTTAACAGGTTAATTTTGTTAATGGAACCTAAATTCGTCAAAAACCGTTCTCGTTCATCGCGTATATTCATCATTTATATATCAAATTTAAGCTAATTTTTTCTGCGCACGATAAAATACCTCTCACCTATGTGAAAGTGGCCGCAATGGAAAGAAAAGAAGGAAAGGATATAATATTATATATCATTTGTCAGACAATAACAACGGTCACCATGGCAAAGATAAATTAAAGTGAAAGAGAGTTAGCGCGTCAGTTAAATGTTTGTTGCCTTTGTTGTTGTTGTAAAAGTATTTCAATAAAATTATTAATTATTATAATTCGATGAATACTAAACCAGGGACGGGCTGGAGGACCCGCTGGACGACCTGGGCACGGTGGCGCAGCAGCTGGAGCAGGTGTCGGTGATCGGGCGCTGCGAGTACGCCAAGACCTGCCAGCTGCTGGTGGCGCACTTCGACCGCGCCGCCGCCGCCTACGGCGCCGAGAGCGGCGCGCGCCTGCGCGTCGTGCAGGGTCAGTCGGTGCGGCCGGGGGCTTGGGCCCCTGGGGGCGGGGGGCCGGGCCCCGGGGGGCGGGGGCCTCACGTGGGCACGTCGGGGTTGAATCAAAAAAAAATTTTTTTTGAAGTGAAAACTTGTATAGGCTTTGTTTGAATGGGGAGTAAATTCATTGTAGTGCACCGTGAGTGGGGGTTAGGGGTTGGGGGCTGGTGCCTCTTGTGTGCGCGTTGGGGTTGAGTGAATATAATAATTTTGATGAGAAAATTTGTGAAGGCTTTGTTTGGATGGGTGGTAAATTCATATGATTCGTCATCGACATGGTCACGTGACGTGTTAACGCTAACACTCAAGAGTGCCGATAGATGTCAAAACCAGATACATGTAAACAGTTTTAACTTACAAATTTTAATTTAAGATCAAACAATTATTTGAATATCCAAAAATAACAATTGTTTGTTTATAGTTTTAGTTTTTCACTTCTGTCGGCAGTCTCCATCCATGATTGCTTTATTTTATAAGCTTGAGGATACAAATTGTAGCCTTTTAAAAAAAAAATTACTGTACATTTTAAGGTCCACTGATCTTTAAAGTAATTAATATCGGTTTGAATGGGTGCAATGTCTGTCAGTGAAAGTTCCGTTAAAATCGGTCCAGCCATTTCAGAGATTAGACTACAAACAGACTGACAAAACATTTATAAACGTTTTTTTTCTATAAGTACTGCGTATACTTCCATCATACGCATTTAGAAATAAGTCGTTTCACTTTGAGTATATTTTTTTAAACCATAACATACTTTTTTGGATATACCTATATTTATTTCTCTTTTGTTAATTTAACCCAACTTCAAAAACAAATTGATACATGTAATGTCGCCTATTGACATTTATTGTGACGACACGTTTGGCTCAGTTTGTAGTGACTCTACGTTACTACTCATACGGTCGCGGGTTCGAGTCCCGCTCGAAGTCGAAAACACGCGTTTTCTCAGACATAAGACTAGTCTAGGTCGATTTATCGCCCCCGAAACCCCTTGGATGCTCAATTTCATGAAAATCGTTGGGGCTGTTTCCGAGATTCAGATTATATATATATATATATATATATATTATATATATATATATATATATTATATATATATATATATATATATATGTATATACACAAGAATTGCTCGTTTAAATATATTAGATATGTGTAGTGTATCAACTATCCGGTATCCACAACACAGGTCAGCTGACGTGGCTGGTGTACATCATCGGCGCGGCCATCGGCGGGCGCGCGTCGCTCAACACCAGCGAGGACAACGACGCCATGGACGGCGAGCTGGTGTGCCGCGTGCTGCGCCTGCTCGACCTCACCGACTCGCGCCTGGCCTCGGTGGGGGGATGCACACACACACACGCACTTACATATATAACACATACAAACATCACTATATAGTATAAAACAAAGTCTCTTCCTGCTGTCTGTCTGGCCCTATGTATGCTTAGATTTTTAAAACTACACGACGGATTTTGATGCGGTTTTTTTAATAGATAGAGTGATTCAAGAGGAAAGTTTTAGTATACAATTTGTTAAGTTTTTGTATACATTGGCTAAAATATAACAATATTTATTGTTGGAGGTGTCTCAAAAAAATAAAATTGAAACGGAAATGCGACATGAGAAAGAGATAAACATATAAATACATAAGATTAAACCGACGAGAGAATAAGATAGAATACATAAAAAATTATTTTGAATAATAGGTTATGTAACAAAACGTAAAATATCATTTAAACTTGGCAAAACATTTATTTTATCTAATTATCTATACTAATATTATAAAGAGGTAAAGTTTGTGAGTTTGTGACGATGTAGGGGATAATCTTTGGATCTACTGAACAGATTTAGATGAAATTTAGTAAGAAGATAGGTTGAGACCAAGTTTGAGTAATAACTTTACTAAGTTTGACCAAGTAAGTAGTTTGAGGGAAAGGACATAGGATACATGTTATACCGGAAATCATCTCTTCAGGGGGTGAAAGTGGGGATGACAGTTTGTCTTGGGAAAGAAGCTATATCGCTAGTTACATATAAAAATGAGTATTTATTACTGTGGGATGGATGTGCATAAATTAAATTAAAGCTATCATGACTAATGTTGCCATGGTCACCGTTGTTATTATCTGACAAATATGTAATATTATATACTTTCCGTATATGATATTCTATAAATATATGGTTATAATATTATTTCTAATATCCCTTATTTATTTATTTTTTAAATTTATTTGTGATGTTTTCCAAAGAAGTTTTACTTCAATCGCGCATAAAGGTTATTAGCATCCATTTTTTTTTAATCGCAAATTATACTTATTTTGTGCTTAGTGTAAACAATATAACTTAATGCCAATAAAGTTTTATTATTTATTATTATTTATATTTCAGGGTGGTTGTGAGAAATTAGAACTGGCAATGATGTCCTTCTTCGAAGCATTCAGAAGAATATACGTGGGAGAGCAAGTGCAGAAGAATAGCAAAGTGTACAGCAGATTGAGTGAAGTGTTGGGGGTCAACGATGAGAATCAACTTCTCAGTGTTATTATGAGGAAAATGTAAGATATATTTTTTTTTAATTATACTTCATTTGGCACGTTTGGAAAAAATATGAGAGTAAAAGTTTTACGATGCGCGCGCACACCGACAGCTGAAAAGCGACATGATGAAGATAGCTGCATTCCTTTCACAAACAGAGAGTTGTGACATACGGGATGAAATCTTTAGATATTTTTGTTCTGTTACGCCAAAGAAGTATAACTTCTTACGTGCGTACTGGTGCGTATGTAGGTACACATACATGTTTATTTTTAATTTTTTTTATTTAGATCCACATATTTTTAGGGATTTTATTTATAACTAGTATTTTTAGACGACATTTGCATTTATTTTTCCAACTTTCGAGCGCGCTAATCTCAGGAACTACCAATCCGATTTGAAAAATTCTTTTTGCATTAGATAACCTTTTTATTGAGGAAGGCTGTAGGCTATATATCATATATTATATAGTCTATCTATTCCATATTAAAGTTATAGAAATGTTTGAAAATATAATATTATTTTAAATAAAACTATCTTTTCGGATTTTGTCGCGGATTTATTTGTATTTTTGTTTCCCGACGTTTCGAATGCTTTACAGCATCCATGGTCACGGGAGAGACTGAGGTGTTACATGTCTTAAAGATATAGTTGTTACAGACAGCCTACCCACAATTAACAAAATGAAAATTGCACCAACTACATTACAATATTTTAACTTTAAACATTTTTATAATTTTAATTATATATATATATTCAATATAGAAAATTATTTATTTAATTTTTGCTATTATTTTTATAATTATTACAATTTTAAAAATATTAATTAGTAATCTATATTTAGTGTTGCCATTATTATATTTATAACCATAAGAAAAATATAAAATATAGTATTAATTATTTAAGCCACAATTGATCTATGTGTAATTTGAAAAAGTTAAGATTAATTAAAAATAATAATTTTAATTTTAATTTGCTATTATTTAAAAAACAAATTATTAAGCAACACATTACTACATACATTTACAAATGAAAAAGTGAAAAAATACTATTAATCAGAAATGCTATCATTTTGATCTACACAGTAAGAACTTACTACATCTACCTGTCTGTTATGTTTAGATTTATTATTAGATTTTATTATATTAATAACAGGATCCCATGACGATGGTAGTACCCAGCCATCTTCCCTATCATTGTCGAATCAGTCTCAAACCGATATCGCCCTAGAATGTTCGAGAAGCCATAGAAATTAAAAAACATCCTAATTTCAATAGGGAAGATGGCTGGATACTACCATCGTCATGGGATCCTGTTATTAATATAATAAAATCTAATAATAAATCTAAACATAACAGACAGGTAGATGTAGTAAGTTCTTACTGTGTAGATCAAAATGATAGCATTTCTGATTAATAGTATTTTTTCACTTTTTCATTTGTAAATGTATGTAGTAATGTGTTGCTTAATAATTTGTTTTTTAAATAATAGCAAATTAAAATTAAAATTATTATTTTTAATTAATCTTAACTTTTTCAAATTACACATAGATCAATTGTGGCTTAAATAATTAATACTATATTTTATATTTTTCTTATGGTTATAAATATAATAATGGCAACACTAAATATAGATTACTAATTAATATTTTTAAAATTGTAATAATTATAAAAATAATAGCAAAAATTAAATAAATAATTTTCTATATTGAATATATATATATAATTAAAATTATAAAAATGTTTAAAGTTAAAATATTGTAATGTAGTTGGTGCAATTTTCATTTTGTTAATTGTGGGTAGGCTGTCTGTAACAACTATATCTTTAAGACATGTAACACCTCAGTCTCTCCCGTGACCATGGATGCTTTAAAGCATTCGAAACGTCGGGAAACAAAAATACAAATAAATCCGCGACAAAATCCGAAAAGATAGTTTTATTTAAAATGTCAAATATTCGCGTAAATCTAAGAAAGTATTAATATAATATTAGTTATAACATTCATATTAAAATATTAACTGCCTCGGTGGTGTAGTGGCTAGCATGTACGGCTGCACACTCCGAGGTCCTGGGTTCGAGTCCCGGGTCGGGCCAAGTTTAGTTATTGAGTCTTTCTGTATAATAAGTCTCAGCAACAGCCCGAAGTTGGAAAGTTGGCGGTGTTTCACCCCCGTGCCTCGGAGAGCACGTAAAGCCGTCGGTCATGCGCCGACACTCTCACCGGTCGTGTCGAGTGGTCGTCCCACCGGAGTATGAGAGTGACAGGAACAGAGAGTGCACGTTGTGTCTGCCCACACACTTGAGCACTATAATATCTCCTGCGCAGTTGGCTAGTCTCAATGAGATTGGCCGCCGTGGCCGGAATCGGTCAGGAGAACATCATCATCATTAAAATATTATATTTATATGAAATATGTGAAAATTTTCTTCATACTTAAATTTATTAATTTATTTAAAATCTTATGTATATTAATTTTCGGTGTTACCAGTTTCAACGAAGGTTTAGCATAGAAACTATAGAATTCGCTTTGTTATTATCTATACTAATATAATAAAAAGCTAAAGTTTGTTTGTATGTACCATCTACAACTTCACAAACTTTACCTTTTTATAAGTAGCCTAAGTTACTCCTTATAACATCAACTACCTGCCAGTGAATGTCCCGTCAAAATCAGTCCAGCCGTTTCAGAGATTATCAGGAACTAACAGACAGACAGACAAAAATAAAAAAATGTGTTTTTCTTATAAGTACCGTCTATAACTTTATATGTATTTAGTAAAACGCTTGTTATTTTGACATTACAAACAGACACTTCGATTTTATTTATCTGCATATATATGTGTGTATGTGTGTTTGTGCCCGCAGCATCACCAACCTGAAGTACTGGGGCGGGTCGGAGCAGATCATCGCGCGCACGCTGGCGCTGCTGGGCGACCTCAGCGGCGGCTACTCCTACGTGCGCAAGCTGGTCAAGCTGGACGAGGTGCAGTTCATGCTGGCGCACCACACGGTCGGTCCATATCTATACATACACACACACACACACACACACACACACACATATATATATATATATATATATATATATATATATATATATATATATATAAAAGTCGCGTTTTATATTTTAAATTAAAATTAAATGTCAGTGTAGTCAGTCCGTGAGGTATCTATCACCGGCTCAAAAGCAATACCGCTGAGAAGAACCGGCGAGAAACTCGATAGTTGCTCTGACCGTTTGGTAATAAAGTATATTTCGAGTTGATTAATCGTTTTCCCGTACAAAATGCATGGGAAAAGTTTTTGGCCATTTCTATCATTTCTAGTACTCATACCTTGAATGGGTCCCATAGAGTCTTTTGATCAAATACATGAAATAGGATCAAATGACATAAAAAATGTCTCAAAAAGTTATGAATGGTCTCCTAGGAAAGTTTTCTTGTAAGTATAGCAATTAAGGTACTTGCCCTTACTGTCCCGTCTCAAAAATCAACCCTGTATAGTCTATGACGAGCTATCCGAGCGAGAAGCGATAGTATGGTCGTTTGACGACACGTTTGGCTCAGTTTGTAGTGACCCTACTTGCTGTGCCAGCGGTCGCGGATTCGAGTCCCGCTACGGGCATTCATTTATGTGATGAGTACGAATGTTTATACTCCAGTCATGGGTGTTTATATTTGTAAATATGTATGTATTTAAAGTTATATATGTGTAGTGTATCAACTATTTGGTATCCATAACAAAAGCCTCGTAGCTTACCATGGAACTAGATGGTGCTGTGTGTTAATGTCCCAACATTTATTTATTATTATTTATTTATTATTATTTGTAAAAGAAATATTTTTAATGAATTAATTTTAACTTATGAAAATATTTTTGTTTTACTTTTTGAGGTTATTAATTTGTTGTAATTTGATCAAGAGGACAATTGTTAGGATGAAATTGAGTATTTTTTTAAGCTATTGCATAGCTTCTATCGCGGGCCTTGAGCGTGGGGACCGAATCCAGAAATTCCGTAACGAAAAAAACCTGACACCCCCCACTCCTACCGGCACAGCGATGATACTTTTTAGTTTTTCCACCAGATATTTTTCGATAAATACCAGAACTTTTAATGACTTTTTGAAATATCACGCTTGTCTCTTTAGTTCAGCAACCCGCCTTTAGGTGTCATTGGTTGTATTGGAAAACTACCGTAATCAGCTGTTTGTGAGAAAGTATATAGGTGTATAGGTATTTATCATCTATGTACAACAGTGAATATCTGTACTCGTATAATTTGTGTACAAAGTGTTTTAAATATGAATAAACAAAGTGCATTTATTAATGAAGAAAGTCACGAAAAAATAGTGAAAGAAATAGAGTTAGTACTCTATATACATTCATTTTATTATTATTATCACAAATGCAGTATTATTTTTTGTTTTGTTAATTTATATATAATACTGCTATAAAGATAACCAAAATTTTTGATATTAAAATAAGCTTGCATAAGTTGATAAAAAATGCTATGCAATAGCTTTACCGCGGCAGTCTCCGAGTGCCACATTTAATTTTTTTGATTTTATACCTAATAACGATATTAGATACCTAAAAATAAAATTTATGTCTGTATATTTGTGTTTTTTTTTGAAGTCTGTCATAGTATATACTATACTAGCGACTCACCCTCGCTTCGCTTGGGTTCGTTAGATACGTTGTAATTTTTTGAGCGGAACCTAATCCTTTTACTGAAATAAAAGTAGCCTAAGTTACTCCTTATAACATCAACTGCCTGCCAGTGAAAGTCCCGTCAAAATCGGCCCAGCCGTTTCGGAGATTAGCCGGAACAGACCGACAATTTTTTTTTTTAAATTGTGTCTTTCTTATAAATACCCTATATAATGCATATGCATTTAGTAAAAAATTTGTTATTTTGACATTATAAACGGACAGTTGGATTTTATTTATCTCTATATGTAGATATATGTATATATGTGTGTGTGTTTGTGTGCGCGCGCAGGCGGACCACTTCCCGTTCCTGGGCGTGGGCGCGGGCGCGGCGGAGATGCGGTCGCGCAGCATGCTGTACACGGCGCTGGGCCGCCTGCTCATGGTGGAGCTCGGCGAGGACGAGGACCGCTTCCACGCCTTCATGATGCCGCTCACCGGTGCGTGTGGGCCTGGGCCTGGGCCTGGGCGTGGGCGTGGGAATCATTTCCATAATGATCGTCTTATGGGGAAGGGAGATATCGTGAGGAATCGTATGATTGATGGGATTTAGCAAGTTTTTGGAAGATATGTGAAGTCCGTCTGCGTCGGCCAGCGTGGTGGACTATAGTTTGATTTCGATAGAATTGAAGGAAATCCCATACTCAGTATAGGAACTTTAAAAATAGCTTAATAAGTAAAGTGGAATCGGGCCAACTGTTTTTTTATCAATATCTTTTAATGATCATATTCGGATGAGAAAGCCTCATAATTAACATGCCAAAAAAATTAAGTGTGGCGTGATATTAACCAATATTTTTTAAAATTTTAAAGAGTTTCGAGTGTAACGTATATTTGTATGTAAGTATGTATATGTCGGCAGCGGCGTTCGAGAGCATAATCGGCGTGTTGTCGCCGGCGGAGGGCGCGCTGTTCGCGGCGGAGGAGGCGCGCGCCACGCTGGTGGGGCTCGCGCGCGACCTGCGCGGCCTCGCCTTCGCATTCAACACCAAGACCACCTACATGATGCTCTTCGACTGGATGTCAGTGCACACACACACATATACAGACATATGTACTGACACACAGACAAACAATCGCACACAGTGTATATATTCATCTTACTACTTCTTAAGGGAACGGAGCAGTAATCATAAATGTCAACAAATCGGGCAGACTTCCATATATTATTGTAAAACTGATGTTTATTATATTGTTTAAGTGCTTTAAGCTTAGAAACCACTGAGTAAATTTCAAAAATGTTTTTTGTATAAAGCCAAAAAGTTTTTTTTTATGGTTTAAGCGCGAGTTAGTCGCAGGTTTTGTTAGTCTTAAATATATACATATATTTTTCGATTTTTTCGCGGATTTATTTTGATTTTTGGTTCCCGACGTTTCGAATGCTTTACAACAATCATTGTCACGAAACGTCTGGAAAAAACAAAATTAATTCGCAAAAAAATCCGAAAAGATACGTTTTATTTAAAATGTCAAATATTCTCGATAAATCTAAGAAAGTATTATGTAAACCTATATTTACAACCAACAGATACCCAGTGTACATAAAAGTGTTACTCCGCGGAATCGAACTCTGGTACTCGGAACCCACAGTGACGACCCCCGTGCTAAAACTGATGTCGGAACTGGCGCATAATAGAAACCAAAGGCTGCAATTCGATGTGAGCTCGCCCAATGGAATTTTGCTGTTCAGAGAACTTTCTAACACTATTTGTGCTTATGGTAAGTTGTATATACATATATACATATGTACATAACATAATCTCATAAATATTATAAATACAAAAATTTGTGTGGATGGATGTTTGTCACTCAATCACGCAAATTTGACACAAAAATAGATTATAGTTTGGAATAGCATATAGGTAACCTTTTATCCCGGAAAAATTTACGATTCCCGTGGGATATTTGACGAATTTAGGTTCCAGGATCAAAATTAACCGGTTAAAACGAGTTTTTGCGTTTTTGTAAAGATCTTTGATAATGGTGAATTTAGTTTCTCACCTATGAATGAATGGTATGGTATAAAACGGGCTTGTTTCCGCAACTCGACGTCTGCGCGCCTATTTTGCGTGTGTGGGAAATTTTTCCAAATGTTTATTCTTGCCAGCCCAGTTCCTCCAGGAACTTCAGCAGTCTCTTCGTCCTACCGAAGACCTCCGGGAGTGTACTAGGGGTGCCAAGATGTTAAGCCCGGTACGCCGCTACACCTGGACAATGTAAGATTACATGTGCAGCCGTTTCATGCAGGCTCTGCAGAGTGGGCTGTCAGTTATACCTAAGTTAAATAGGTGTTTGTTGTAGGGTCCGTGGCCTGTTAGAGCCGCGGTTATCTGTCTGAGCTGAGATCTATTGAGATTAATCAAACGGTTAGTCGTTTTAGCGTTAATGAAAGGAAGCGATTCCTTCGCCTGCCTACAGTCTGCGACTTCACGCCATATATTTTCGTGTAGTCGTCTTGTGCGTTGTCGTATTTGACCGTTGAGCCAGCAAGAAGGTAGCGCCACGATGGGCTCAGGACCTATTGCATTCAGGTCCGATCCTCTTCTTGCTAGCTCGTCGGCCCTATCGTTACCCCACGAGTTACTGTGGCCTTTGACCCATTGTACTGAGACCTTGTTTTGGTCACTTACCTGTGTCAAAGCGCTATGACATTCATAGATCATACCTGAAGTGGTAGAATTACTATTTAATGCCTGTAGTACTGACATGCTGTCTGATAGTATGCGGATAGAGAAGTCTTTGACGTCTTTATTCGCAATTGTTCTAGCTGCCTCAAGGATACCTAGACATTCGGCTTGAAACACGGTGTTGTAGGTACCTAGGGGTATTGAAGTTTTAATGTTTAGATCGTCAGAGAAGATCCCGCAACCTGTCCCTGATTTAGTTTTTGAGCCATCGGTGTATATTCTAAAGTCCTTGCTGTCGCGACCTTCGTGTTTGTCTACCTCTAGCTCTATTTTGTATTTTTTGTCAAAAATTTATTTGATTTGGATCCCGTCATTCGGTGCTCCCATGAGCGGGATGTCTTTGGCTACGTCTATCAAAATTTTTGTATGTGGCGTGTCTGTTTTTCGTAGCAACTTCAGATTATCTAATCTTGTTGCGGTAGTCGCAGCCTCTTGTTGGATGAACAAGTGCAGCGGCAGAAGGCTTAGCATGGCTTCCAGGGCCGCAGTGGGTGTTGTTCTCATGCAGCCCGTTACTGCCATGCACACCAGTCTCTGCCAGCTTTGTAGCTTGCATTGTGCTGTGGTCAGAAGAGTTCTACGCCACCACACTAGGGCACCGTAGCTGATCATAGGTCGTATAACTGCTGTGTAAAGCCATAGAGTTAGTTTTGGTTTAAGGCCCCACTTCTTACCTAACATTCTTCGGCATTGCCAGAAGGTAATGCTGGCCTTGTTTAATTTGGTTTCTAGGTGTTTGGACCAATTTAGTTTGCTGTCTAGAATAATACCTAAGTATTTTACTTCTGTAGTTAGTGACAGGGTCGAGTTAAAGAGTTTTGGAAGGGAGTAGTTCCCTAGCGCTCTTTTGTTTGTGAACATTATTAGTTCAGTTTTGCGCGGATTGACGGTCAGATTGAATTTTTCGCACCACTTTTCAACTATTAACAGGGCCGATTGTGTTAATTCGCAGACCTTGCTTGTAAATTTGCCCGTTACTAAGATGGCTAGGTCATCTGCATAGCCGGTTGTATAAAATCTGTTGTCATTGAGCAGGGATATGAGATCGTTAACTACGAGGTTCCACAAGAGAGGTGACAGTACACCTCCTTGTGGACAGCCTTTAGCAACGATGGCTCCCTGTTTGTTACTGTTTCCCAGCCTGACTACTCTATTTACGAGCATGTGTTGAATCCAGTTTGATATTACTGGGTTCACATCATGTCTGTCGAGTGCTGCTCTGATGCTGGTGAAGTTAGTTTTATCGAAGGCTCCTTACCTACCATACCTATGAATGAATTAACTGGTTTATTTCGGTGTCAAAATCGAAATCCAAACTTTCTATGTGATGACACGTTTGTAGTGACCCTACCTGCTGTACCAGCGGTCGCGGGTTCGAGTCCCGCTGAGGGCATTCATTTGTGTGATGAGCACGAATGTTTGTACTCCAGTCATGGGTGTTTATATTTATAATATGTATGTATTTAACGTTATATATGTGTAGTGTATCAACTATCTGGTATCCATAACACAAGCCTCGTAGCTTACCATGGAACTAGATGGCGCTGTGTGTTAATGTCCCAACATATTTATTTATACATATGTTATACTTTCTTAGATTTACGCGAATATTTGACATTTTAAATAAAACTATCTTTTCGGATTTTGTCGCGGATTTATTTGCATTTTTGTTTCCCGACGTTTCGAATGCTTTACAACAATCATGGTCACGGGAGAGACTGAGGTGTTACATGTCTCTAAGGTATTATATAGTTGTTACAGACAGCCTACCCACAATTAACATAATGAATTCAAAAAATTGAAAAATGGCATTTAAAGATTAGATAAGATTAATTAAAACACAGACAGGTAGATGTAGTAAGTTCTTACTGTGTAGATCAAAATGACAGCATTTCTGATTAATAATATTTTTTCACTTTTTCATTTGTAAATGTATGTAGTAATGTGTTGCTTAATAATTTGTTTTTTAAATAATAGCAAATTAAAATTATTATTTTTAATTAATCTTAACTTTTTCAAATTACATATAGATCAATTGTGGCTTAAATAATTAATATATTATGATTTTTCTTTATGGTTATAAATATAATAATGGCAACACTAAAAATGTAGATTAATAATTAATATTTTTAAAATTGTAATAATTATAATAATAACAGCTCACATTAAATAAATAATATTCTATATTCAATTATAAAGCTAATTAAAATTATATAAAAATGTTTAAAGTTAAAAGTTAAAATATTGTAAGGTACTTTAGTGCCATTTTTCAATTTTTTGAATTCATTTTATTAATTGTGGGTAGGCTGTCTGTAACAACTATATAATACCTTAGAGACATGTAACACCTCAGTCTCTCCCGTGACCATGATTGCTGTAAAGCATTCGAAACGTCGGGAAACAAAAATGCAAATAAATCCGCGACAAAATCCGAAAAGATAGTTTTATTTAAAATATACATATGTTAATTATGGAGGGTAGAAGTAAGGAGAACATACAAACACATTCCCATTTATATATATGTTTATTTCGCAGGCAGTAGAATTTTGACGATAGATGTATGCAAAAAGGACATGTACGCGATGAAGTTGAAAGGCATATCTCTGTGCTTCACCATATTGAAGGCGGCCCTGTGCGGGAACTACGCGAATTTTGGTGTTTTCAGGTGAATATTCATTGTTGGTCTCACTTATTGGAATAAAATTTCTTATCGCGCTTCGCACTTGACACATGTATATATATATATATATGTCCATTAGTCCAGTTTGCGAAGGGTCCCATACAAGACCCCCCCAACGTGCGTTCACCTTGTCGTGGTGGGGGGGCTCAGTAGTGTACTCGCGAAGCCAAGAAACGCACAGGGAGGTGGCCCGCTTCGGAGGGTGGTGTACCATGCGGGTTGCTCCTGGTACTTCTCTGATAGCAGAGTGGACCGTGGAGCAACCCCATGGTTGTTGTGGTCTGCTTCGGCAGACCTACCGTCGGGGCGTCGTAGTTGAATGCGTAAGCGATCCTGCGACGCCCCATTAAGACGGGGAAGGCTTTGTTGGGTTTTAGTGGGTAGTACTGGCTTCGCCGGTGAGTCCCACACTTCGTGCGTAAATGCATTTCCCAACGTTAAAAAAAAAAAAAAGGGTCCCATACAAGACGTCTTACCTCAAAATTATTTTGCTGTAATTTTACATACATTAAATTTTTTAAATGTATAAATGTTCTTTTGGATATATATATATATATATATATATATATATATATATATATATCGAAGCAACATTAATTTTCTCTATTATTTTCCATTATTTTATCATGAATTATACAGTGGGCGTTATATGGGTTTGTTGGTTCAAATGAAAGTCGATGCAATCACAGTTGTATTTCAAATTAACAATAATCACTTTGTACATAGTTAAACAGCACTTCACTACACAGCCATATACCACTTCACTATTACCACGTATAGACAATACGGAACGCAAGACAGTTTCTATTAGTGTTCACTGTGCGACCGACCAAGCGTAACCCAGCCGAGCCCGGTCGAGTGTCACGACGTAGACTCTGTTGAGCCCAAAAAGGTGGCGCTCGTGTTCCGATTAGTTGTGATTATTACTCGTCTCCGACATATATATATATATATATATATATATATATATATATATATATATATATATATATATCCAAAATTTGAAATAGTCATTATTACCGATACAGATACACTGGAAGGATTTTGATGAAATTTGGTATGATGATAGCTGGTCATCCGAGTCAATATATAGGATACTTTTTACCGCGGGAAAATATTTCATTTAAGAGAAAAAAAATTACAAAAACTGTAATGTAAGAGTATACTAATATGTAAAACCTGAGAATTTGGTTTTTGGTCATCTGAACGCGGGCGGAGCCGCGGGCAATGATAGTTATATATTCGAGTCTTGTAATTGTTTTACTAAACTAGGAATAATTATTGTCAAATTGATATTTAATTCTGTATACTCTTTTAATAAAAAAAATATCTACTACTAAAAGTACATAAAGATATTTATTTCTGTTACTTCTCGCTATTTTAACCCGCCATCTTTCTCCATGTTACAGATTGTATGGCGATGAGGCGTTGGACAACGCTCTGAACATGTTCGTGAAGCTGCTCCTCAGCATACAGCCCAGTGATCTTCTGGTGAGGACTTGGTGTCTTCATCCATCACACCAATCATTCATACCCTTGCATCTTCAGGGTCTAGTGACTGTACGGCAGCAGATCTGAAAGTCCTGGGTTCAAGTCTCGGGCCGGGCCAAGTTGAATTATTGATGTTTTATAGTTGGTGATGTTACCCCCCCGTGCCTCAGAGACCATGTAAAACCGTCTCACCGGTCGCATTTAAGTATCGTCCCACCGGAGTGTGAGAGTGACAGGAATAGAGAGTGCACTTGTATGTATGCACTATATATACTATATAATATCTCCTGCAGTTGGTTAGACTCAGTGAGATTGGCCAACGTGGCCGATATCGGTCGGAAGGGATTTTTTTTTTTATTATTGAAATTTCAATACATATATATATATATATATATATATATCTATATATATATATATATATATATATATATATATATATATATATATATAGCAAAAACATTTATGAACGATAATAATTGCAGAACTTAAGAAACTGCGTCTCCACCAGCAAAATTACATAAAAAATATGTACATCTACAATGTACATTCAAAAATTAATTTAAAAAAATTAATTTATATTATCTGGTATCCGTCTCCTCCTGCAGGACTACCCGAAGCTGTCGCAGACGTACTTCGTGCTGCTGGAGCGGCTCGCGCAGGACCACATGCCCTTCCTGGCGTCGCTGCAGCCCGACGCCACGCTCTACATACTCTCCTCCATCTCGGAGGGGCTCACCGCGCTCGGTATGACATAAACACATACACACACACGCACACGCACGCACGCACGCACGCACACATTCACACACACATACACACACTACGAAATTATTTTCATTCGTTCATTTGAACAGTTAGTTATTAAATTGATATATTTTTTTAGATACGAGTGTATGTACGGGATGCTGCGCCACGCTGGACCACATCGTCACGTATCTATTCAAGCAGCTAGTGCAGAAATGTGAGCTTTTATATTTGTTTCTTTTTAATATATTCATAGATCGATTTACTTTTTGATTCTTTACAGCCTTTTCCGAGATATATGAAGTAAATTTGTATACAAGTATTACTTATTATGAGGACACGTTCGGCTCAGTTTGTAGTGACACTACTTGCTGTGCCAGCGGTTGTGGGTTCGAGTCCCACTGGGGGCATTCATTTGTGTGATGAGCGCGACTGCTTGTTCTCCAGTCATGGGTGTTTATATTTATAATATGTATGTATTTAAAGTTATATATGTGTAGTGTATCAACTATCTGGTATCCATAACATAGGCCTCGTAGCTTACCATGGAACTAGATGGTGCTGTGTGTAAATGTCCCAACATATTTATTATTATTTATTTAATATTATTATATAATTGATTAAATTAACCCGTGACCCGCAGCGAGCAACAAGGTGCCGAACCCGCGCCAGCCGCCGCCGGAGACCAGCAGCATGTTCGTGGAGGTGCTGCAGCGCCGCCCCGAGATCATGCAGCAGCTGCTCGCCACTGTGAGTTGCATATGTTTGGGTTTAGTGTTTAATCCAGTGAGATTATGATTACAAACTAGCACTGCCCGCGGCTCCGCCCGCGTTCAGATGACTAAAAACCAAACTCTTAGCTTTTACATAATATTAGTATACTTTTACAGTCTTTGTATTTTTTTCTCAGAAATGAGATATTTTCCCGCGGTAAAAAGTATCCTATATGTTGACCCGGATAACCAGTTATCACCATATCAAATTTCATCAAAATCCCTCCAGTGGTATTTCTGTGATGCGGTAACAGACAGACGGACAGACAGACAAAAATTCTAAAAACTATAGATTCGGACTCTGTATCAATAATAATGTCTATTTATTTCTATTAGATTTTTCAAAAAAATATTTAATGTACAGATTCGGCTCAGTTACAATTTTATTATATGTATAGATTAAATGTAATAATAATAGCTAAAATTAAATAAATTATATTGCTGTGTTTAATTATAATACTTATTAGATTAAAAAATGAAATATTTAGAATTAAAATCAACAAATATTGTAAGGTACTCTAGTGCCATTATTGAATTTTTGAAATCATTTTTGTATAAAATTGTGCTACGCACTGTCTGTAACGAGTATATAACGCCTTTGAGACGTCGATAACCTCAGTCTCTCCCGTGACCATGATCGCTGTAAAGCATTCGAAACTTCGGGAACCAAAATTCAAAATAAATCCGCGAAATAATCCGAAAAGATAGTTTTATTTAAAATATCCAAACAATTAATTTGAATAACCAAAAATAACAACTGTTTGTTTATAGTTTTAAGGTTTTCACTTCTGTCGGCAGTCCTCGTGACGGTTTTTTTATCTATACATATAATATAAAAACTTTTTAACAAAAAAATAAAAACCGACTTCAAACAAAAGCACTAAAAAGTAACAAATAACTGATTGGTAGTTTTCATTTACTATACATACCTAATCAAATATTTTCGAAGTCGGTGTGCTTAGCTTTGTATGGGCTGGCACCGATTTCGAAAATATTTGATTAGGTATGTATTTAATAGGTAGGCTTTAATTACTTAGCCAAAGCACACCGACTTCGAAAATATTTGATTAGGTATGTATAGTAAATGAAAACTACCAATCAGTTATTTGTTACTTTTTAGTGCTTTTGTTTAAAGTCGGTTTTTATTTTTTTGTTAAAAAGTTTTTATTTTTCCCTTTTTAGTGTAGACAGTAGTAGCAAAGTAAGGATTCTAACGTGTTAGGCTTGTCAAATCAAACAAAATAAGCCCAAACTCAAAGTATCTACTATTAGCCGTTGAAGAGTTCCACCTATCCACCTTCTGGCCTTGCCATCATATCAGGTCAACAATACCGAACCACTGTACTATCAACGGAAATAGAAATACTTGCAAAGTTTCAAGTCAATATGACAATTAGAAGTAGGTTAAATTCATCATTAGTTGTTTTTCCACCCTTAGGGGTGGTATTTTTTTTTGAAATTTAAATGGGACCAATCTGGAAGTACACCCTTTCAAACAAAACAAAAATTGTCCAAATCGGTTAATAAATGACGGAGTTCTGAGGTAACAAACATAAAAAAAAAACACAGTCGAATTGAGAACCTCCTCCTTTTTGAAGTCGGTTGAAAATTGTAACTAAGCCGAATCTGTACATTAGATATTTTTTGGAAAATCTTATTGAAAAAGACATTATTATTGATACAGAGGCCGAATCTATAGTTTTTAGAATTTTTGACTGTCTGTTACCGCATCACAGAAAAACCACTGGAGGGATTTTGATGAAATTTGGTATGGTGATAGCTGGTTATCCAGTTCAACATATAGGACGTATACTTTTTACCGCGGGAAAATATCTCATTTCTGAGAAAAAATACTAAAACTGCAATGTAAGAGTACACTAATATGTAAAACCTAAGAATTTAGTTTGTGGTCATCTGAACGCGCGCGGGCAATGCTAGTATACAATAACTAGCAACCCGTATTATATCCAGGTGCTGAACGTGGTGATGTTCGAGGAGTGCTGCAACCAGTGGTCGATGTCGCGGCCGCTGCTGGGGCTGGTGCTGCTGAACGAGGAGCAGTTCTCTTGCCTGCGCGCCGAGCTGGTGGCGCAGCAGCCGCGCGAGCGCCAGGCGCAGCTGGCGCAGTGCTTCCACGGCCTCATGGGCGGCGTCGAGAGGAACCTGCTCACCAAGAACAGGGACAGGTGTGGTGGTTTTCTTGATTTATAGCTAGAAATACTCTCGATTGAGTCATCTTTGAAACAAAGAAAAACTGAATTAAAATCTGTTCATCCGTTTGGGGATTACGATGCCATATAACTATTATACATACATACATACGTTAAATATATGACTCTTCTCTTTTGTGTTGGGAGTTTAAAATGATTATGGTCGAATTTCAACTGAAACTGAGCGAAGACTACTGATTCTAAAAATAAGTTTTTTTAAATTAATTTTAATTGATGTTGAATATCAATTCAACGTCACGTTTGGCTTCGTTTGTAGTGAACCTTGCTGTGCCAGCGGTCGCGGGTTTGAGTCCCGCTGGGGGCATTCATTTGTGTGATGATCACGAATGTTTGTACTTCAGTCATGGGTGTTTATATTTATAATATGTATGTATTTAAAGTTATATATGCGTAGTGTATCAACTGTCTGGTATCCATAACACAGGCCTCGTAGCTTACCATGGAACTAGATGATGCTGGGTGTTAATGTACCAACATATTTATTTAATGTTTTTTTTTATTTCAGATTCACACAAAACCTATCAATGTTCCGGCGGGACATAACAAGCTTACTAAAGGGCAGCTCGGTCACATCGCCGTCCATGAACGACATGATGACGTCATAACACTGCCTCCAACCCACATCCCACGGGATATAGGATACAGGGCGCGGGACAGGTGCAGGGGAGGCGGGATAGCGGGACAGCGTGCGGGATACACGACTATGGTCAGTTCTGTTAATTTTTTTAAATTTTAATTAGTAATCCTTGTATTTTAATGTTGTTAGCGAAATGGTGTGTTGTAAGATATTGTGACGTCATTATTGTTTATTTTTTTTTCTTAAATTATTTTAAAATTGGATAATTTCATTAGACATTGCTTATCTATATAAATAAAAATGAATTGTATTGAAAATTATTTAATTAATTAAAAAAATGTATTCATGCAAGTTTTTTTTTTAATTATGTATACGAATATTTTATTGTCTGTAGTCGTGTATTCTATTCGCGATGGTGAGTTTTGCTTGGACACCTGTGTCGTGAGCGTTTTGGCAGCACAATGCAGTGCACAATTTTGTGATTTTCCATGTGCAATAATGGCGTAACTCAGAAAAAGCAGTTTTTTATTTGTTTTTTTCCGATTTAAAAAAAACAGCAATAAAAAAGATTTTTGTATTTTTTTAGGTTTGCGAGAATATTTTGACTTTTTAAATATATTTTTTTGTGGTTATATTTTGTTTCTTGTTGTAACGATGGGAAAATTGTTTTTTCCATCGTTACAACAAGAAACAACGGTAAAAAAAAATCTACAAAATATTGTTTTTTTTTCCAAATGTTAATTCTAAGTTTTTACGAATTAAAGATGAAAGGATTTCTTTTTTTTTTCGAAATTTGTTTTTATTGCATGTGTGAGATACGCCATTGTAGCTCTTGTCCTATTGATTAATAAACATAGATAATGTGTTATAGCTACGATAATATTCTTTAAGAAACCGTTGCTGGGGTTTGGGATTGTATAAAGAATTTTACATATATACATACATACAATTTTAATTTTAAGTGCATTTTTTTGTCTTTAAATTCCCTTAAATGTGTTTTTTTTGTTTTTTTTTGATGTGGTTCTTTTAAAAAGTATAATTATATTTAATCATCAAAATATTTAAAATATTTTTTAGAGATAAATATTTTTCATTATTATTCTTTTAATTTTTTTTTGTTTTATTCAGTGATAATAGCACAAATATGAATAGTTTGACTGTTTTAAATTATTGTAATTAAATAAAAGTATTTTTTTTCTTTGGTAATCGCAAAACCTAGCAAAGGTGTCAAGTTGTTTGATTAGAAAAAAAATGTGAATTATTATAGTTGAGAATTATATTTTATGATATATTCATGTAAATATATGTTAGGTAATAACTCGTTGCTGATGACTTCAGAACGTCATGGGTCTTGAGTTGTTTTTCCCACTAGGTTTTATTCGCGGTTTCGTCCGAACATTGTTTAATTTTTTTCCCCTTTAAATATTCTTGGGTAAAAAAAAGTTTGACCTGTTGTTGTAGTGGCTGGCATGTATGATTGCAGATCGGAAGGACCTGGGTTTGAGTCACGGGTCGGGTCAAGTGTAGTTGAGGTTTTCTGTCGGGAAGTTCTTTGTAGTTGGTCGTGTGCTGAGAGGTCATAAAAAAATAATTATTTTGTCGATATCTACTTAGTATGTTTGATTAATTGTATAATTTTTTTTTTCGACTTTCTTAGTTTTACGCGAATGTTTGATATTTTAAATCAAAGTATCTTTTCGGATTTTTTCGCTGATTTATTTTGATTTTTGGTTCCCGACGTCTCGAATGCTTTACAGCAATCATGGTCACGGGAGAGACTAAGGTTATAGACGTCTTGAATGTTATTATGAAGTAGTAGCACGAATTATGAAATATTTCAAAGATAATTTTTCATGGCTTTAACTTGTGGTCTATTGTATCAAAATAATTATTTTTAAACAAGATTTTTTACTTTGTGTAACTTTTTCTTACGTGTATTTTCAACGGAAATAATTTTCAAAGAAACAATACATTTTATATGTTATTCTCTCAAAAGCTGTGACGTTTTTGGACAAGTGTCAAGTTGGTATATCGTTGTATAAAAGATATATGCTGTGTGTGGGAAAGAGAAGGCTATAGCAGCTCATGTTTTTTGTTCCCTTCTAATATAATATGTTTTGGTTATGTTAGAAAGAGACAAATTATGTTTTTCTTTCAATTAACTTTGTTGTATATACTCTTTAATTTTTGCATTCAGCTTTTATTAACGTCCCACTGCAGGGCACGGGCCTCCCTTTTCAATAGGAGGGTTATCAGGCCATAGTCCACCACGCTGGCCAAGTGCGGTGCAGACTGCACATGTCCATCGAAAACTTGCTAGTTTCTCTCAGACATGCAAGTTTCCTCATGATGTTTTCCTTCACCGTAAGACAAGTGGTAATCATGGTTGGAAATGATTCTACATGAAAAAATATCAGAGTTGCGAGACCCGGGATTCGAACCCGCTTCGTTCGGCTACTGGCTATTGCTTCCTTTTTAATTATTGCTCGTGCTTATTTTTAAACATTTTTAATGCGTTTATTTTTTATTTAATTTTTTTTATATGATGTTGCTGTCTCTTTCTATTGCATAGGCATGTCTTAAGGAAGAAAGAGATAGATGTATGCCATTCTCATGCCATTCTCTTTCTCACACAAAGCGGTATTTTTTATAAACAATTGTTCAACAACAAAACAATATTTAAGAAGTTTAGACTTTTCTTTTCCATTTATATATCATTTGTATAAAGTTTCATCAAATATGGTGTATGGTTGTACGAATCGGATTTCTATTTTAAATTTTATGCTTTCAATTGGACTATTGAATATAATTTCTGAACTAAGAATTAGCGATTTTTTTTTAAATTTGCCATAAATTTAAAAATAAAAATAAAATAAATTTGGATTAATAATTTTTAAATTAAATTTAATGTTTTTATTGTTTTATTCCATCTAAATGTATTATTCATTTAGCCACTTTTTTCTGGCGAAACTATCATTTTAGTACTCAACATTGAATCTAAATCGACACTAAATGAAAAGTGACGGTTTTAGATCTACCTAAAGCAAAATCAAAATGGTCTTTTTATGATAAAAATTGAAGTAAATTATTTCAATAACAATATCTTTAATAAGTTTTTAGTCTCGACTTAACTTATATAAATGATTAAATTTTTAAGACTTAAATATTTTCAAAATCGTTGTGTAATAAAACAATTTGATACGACCAAGTTTCTAACCGCGACACTATCGCAGGCATTCTAAAGTATATACCAAGAATGTTCATTCAATTATATTTTATATATTTTATTTATTCTATACCATTCACCATTAAATTATATATGTTACTGTGAAAGTTTTATCAAAATCGCTTCAGCACTTTCATAAATAAGACGAGACAAACATAATTTAGTGTTTCTGTAAATTGGTATACCTAATAGTTAAGCATTTAATTTGCGTTCGACATTTTTTGAAGTTATACTTCTTTTGGCAAGTTTGGAAAAAAATATGAAAGTAAAATTTTTACGATACGCGCGCATACGACAGCCAAAACACGACATGATGAAGTTAGCTGCATTCCTTTTACAAACAGAGAGTTGTGACATACGGGATGAAATCTTTAGCTATTTTTGTTCTGTTACGCCGGAGAAGTATAACTTGTTACGTGCGTACATAAGTACACACACATACACACGTTTTTTATTTATATATTGTTATTTGATTAGTATTATTGTATGGATGGCTACTAGTGATGTTTAGAGCTGGATATTGAATTTTAAGTTTTGAGTTCGATATCGATTGAGTTGAGAATAGAGTTTGTTTATAGTCTTTAAGTTCGCTGGTTCAGTAAAGTTTTACGCGTATGTATTGTAATTTTGTATGATCAAATGTAAATAGTTGAATAAAATGTGATTTGTACAAAGTTATTATGTTTTATTATTTGGTTCCTTTCTGTACTATATGGTTCTAAGTTCTTTATAAGGTAGTTCCAAATCAACTCTTTACCATTCTCTGATGCAATTGTAATGAAAACTTTTTTAATTATATAGATACATAATAGTTAGATACATATAATCTATACTAATATTACAAATAAGCAGAGTTTGTTTGTTTGTTTGTTTGTTTGTTTGTTTGTTTGTTTGTTTGTTTGTTTGTTTGTTTGTTTGAACGCGCTAATCTTAGGAACTGCTAATTCGATTTGAAAAATTATTTTTGTTTTAGCTGGTCCGTTTATTGAGGAAGGCTATAGGCTATAAATCATCATGCTACTACCAAAGGGAGCGGAGCAGTAATCATAAATGTCAACAAATCGGGCAGACTTCTAAAATGTATGAAACATTATTGTAAAACTATATACATGCGACATATCCTCGCTCCGTTCGGGTTCGTCCCTAATTAAGTTTTAACAATAGCTCAGAGATTTTCTCGCAGTAAAAAGTATCCTATGTTGACCCGGATAACCAGCTATCATCATACCAAATTTATCAAAATCTGTCCAGTGGTTTTATCGTGATGTGTTTCCAGACAGACTGACAGACAGACAAAAATTCTAAAATCTATAGATTCGGTCTCTGTATCGATAATAATGTTTATTTCAATGAGATTTTCCAACAAAAAAAATATGTATAGATTCGATTCAGAATTTTATTATATGTATAGATTTTAATGAATTATCTATGTATTTTGATGAATTGCAAATTGCAGAAACATTAAATTGTATAAACAAATTATTATATATTTTTTTTGTGAATCTGTTACGGATAGGTAATAAAAATACAGATTATAAAACAAAATAATTTTAATCTATACTATTTTTACTAGTGATGCAACGAATACGAATATTTTTATTCGCCAAATATCATCACGAATATTAAAAACAAAATATTTATTACTGAACGCAACCCAAATTACGTTTTGGCTGGCACCGTGTATCCGAACGCACCTACTCACTATATACTGTTGACGGGGATTACCCTAACATTGAATGAAAGGAGTTGTTGAGTTCTCAAGTTATTAATTGTCACTTCATTAAACTGCCTCGGTGGTGTAGTGGCTAGCATGTACGGCTACATACCCGGAGGTCCTGGGTTCGAGTTCCGGGTCGGGACAAGTTTAGTTATTGAATCTTTCTGTAAAGTAAGTCTCAGTAACATCCCGGAGTTGGGAAGTTGGCGGTGTTTCACCCCCGTGCCTCGGAGAACACGTAAAGCCGTCGCTCCTGCGCCTTAACTCTCACTGGTTGTGTCGAGCAGTCGTCCCACCGGAGTGTGAGAGTGACAGGAATAGAGAGTGCACGTTGTGTCTGCGCGTACACTTTTGCACTATAATATCTCCTGTGCAGTTGGCTAGTCTCAATGAGATTGGCCGCCGTGGCCGGAATCGGTCAGGAGAACATCTTTGTCACTTGTTTCTTAATAAAAGAAATCGCCTAATGTCTGAGAAAGTACAAATTTTGTGTTTTTAAATAAAAATTTGCCAGTAGTTAATTTCAATTATTAAATATCTTAGTAAAATAGAATAGAGTGTATTATTTATTGCCTTGTTGAATTATTCGTATTCGTATTCGCCGAATAGTAGATTTGATATTCGTATTCGTTAAAGTAGTATTCGTTGCATCACTAATTTTTACACTTACAACTATTGGAAAAATATAAAAGACGTGGCCTAAAGTTTTATATTTGCACAACCTCTTATATTTTTATTACACAAAATATTATTATAAAAAATAAGTAAGTAGGCATGTATCGATACGCTTACGCACTTCTGTCGATACGATACCGATATATCATAATCTCCACTAAAATTCCTTGTATTAGAATAGAACATTCGCGAACCCAATAATCTCATTTGCACATAAAATTTTATTTACAGTAATAAAATGGCATAACTGTGACCAATAAATGACGATCTTCGACTGAAAAAGCTGTAATGGGTAAATAACTCTACAGAGAAAAATCTTTATACAAACGCGCAAGGAGATCATAATATAATATGTGCATTTTTAACAGATTATAAATTAATTTAGCATGTAATTAAAGGTGTCATACAGGTTGCCACTTGGTACCAGATCTACTTGTATAAAAGACTAGCATTACCCGCGGCTCCGCCCGCGTTCAGATGACCAAAAACCAAATTCTTAGGTTTTACAGATTAGTATACTCTTACATTGGAGTTTTTGTATTTTTTCTCAGAAATTAGATATTTTCTCGCAGTAAAAAGTATCCTATATGTTGACCCGGATAACCAGCTATCATCATACCAAATTTTATCAAAATTCCTCCGTTTTTCTGTGATGCGGTAACAGACAGACAGATAGACAGACAGACAGACAAAAATTCTGAAAACTATAGAATCGGCCTCTGTATCTTTCAAATTTTCAAAAAATATTTAATGTACAGATTTGACTCAGTTAGAATTTTATTATATTTTATTAGATAATCAGTAAATTTGTCGTATATGGGAAACGATTTGGCTACCAATGCTAGTGAACTCCGTAACCGGTGCGCTTGCGCATGTTAATACATAAAAGTACTCGAATTAAAGCCTTTATAGGTCATTTCGGTGATGACCCAATCGTAAATTTCTGGGATTTTAACATAGACACCGGGCACATTGTCGGTACCGCACTCCAGGCCGTACGCCACCATCCCCACTACAGAGAACCGAACTTTGTTGTTGGCCTGAAAAAAAGGTATACAAGTCTATAATCTATACTTATTATAAAGAGGTAAAGTTTGTGAGATTGTGAGTTTGTGAAGTTGTAGGTAATCTCTGGATCTACTGAACCGATTTAGATGAAATTTGGTAAGAAGATAGTTTGAGACCCTGGTAAGGATATAGAATAGTTTTTATCCCGGAAATCTTCCCTTAGCGGGTGAAAATGGGGATAAAAGTTTGTAATGGGAAGCAAGGTAGGGACGAACCCGAGCGAAACGAGGGTGAGTCGCTAGTGATATATATTTTTACATTTCACATTTAAGGAAAAATAAATAATATATTTACGATGTGTAAAGGAATCTAAGAGAAACTCTCCCAATCGACCTAACTAAAACTATATGAGATGCAAGAAAATTTTTTTAACGTCCCACTGCAGGGGGGTGAGCCCTCCTTCAATACTCAGGAGATCAGGCCGTAGTCCACCACGCTGGCCAAGTGCGGACGGACAGAGCATATCTTCCGAAAACTTGCTAGGTTCTCTCAGACATGCAGGTTTCTTCACGATGTTTTCAAAATATCAGAAGTGCGAGACCTGGGATTTGAACCCGCTTCACTCGGTTTCCCAAGCGAGCGCTTTACCACTGAGCTACCACTGCCTTCTATATATAGTATAAAATGTTCATTACAAAGTCTCTCTTACAATTTTTCGATTGAAGACCTCGTATGTCATTTATTAAGCTGATATAATTATCTGCCATTAAAATATTGAAGGCGGTATAATTTAATATTAATAAAATTAAAATAGAAGTCCTCGAACAATTGGATAAATATATAATTATACTAACAGCAATAGGGCACACGAGGGGGGATCCCCCGTCCCCTATGCACGTGTCCACCCCGGCGACCCCCCCGGCACAGGTCAGTGACCGGTGCAAAGTATAACCTCTTCCCAGACGAGTGTTACGATATTGATTCTGACATTTCTCTGCAGCCACCAACTGTAACTTAATCTGTGAATATAAAGAAAAAGTCTAATTAGAATCCATACTGTCGCTATTGAAATTAATTATAAGTAACTGGGCGACCGAGTTTCGCTCGGCGTTTTTTGAACGAGATATAAAAATTGCGGTTTTTTTTCAGAAAAGACCTTTTTATCTAAACTTAAAAAGCAAAGCCTTATCTAAATACAAAGTTTGGTCCAAATCGTTAAAGCCGTTTTCGAGATACGTCAAATTTTATATCCATACTAATATTATATATTAAAGTGTGTTTGTTTGTTTGTTTGTCATTCTTTCATGTCGAAACGGAGTGACAGATTAGCGTGACTTTTTGGGTGGAGATAGTTGGAGGGCTGGAGAGTGACATAGGTTACTTTGTACCGCGGGAGATTATCTAATTCCCACGAAAACACGTTTTATTACAATCCAAAAAAATATTTATTATCAGAATTACTTGAAACTTGGTATTAATGCTCTTTATTAACATTAAATAAATATGTGTTTTAGCATTTTTCGAAATTCATCCTATAAGGGGGTAAAATAGGGGATGAAAGTTTGTATGAAACTAACTTTTTAGAGATTTTTTTGCAGTTTTAGCCCGAGCGAAGCCGCGTGTTCTACTAGTAAGATATAAAGCTTGTCCCGCAATGGGCTTGTTTCAGAAAAAAAACATAATATTACTAACCTTCTTAAGTACATTAGCATATTTATTCCCATTCATAAAATCGTCGCCCCAGCCCATGCTGTAGCAAATAGTGCCTGGTGGAGGCAGTTTGAGCTCCAAGCACGCCACCGCTATGTGGGGGGCGTCGTTTAACTCGAATGGTGACTTCAATATCAGCAGAGCAACATCGTTGTGGGTGTGGGCTGGAAGATGAAGGTTTTATGTTACAGAATTTTAAATAAATATGTTGGGACATTAACACACAGCACCATCTAGTTGAATCTCATGGTAAGCCGAGAGGCCTGTGTTATTGATACCAGATAGTTGATACACTACACATATATACAACGTTTTTACGCAGTCGGGGTTTTCTACGATTCCTTTATCATTTACTAGCGACACACCCTCGTTTCGCTTGGGTTCGTTCCTAGGTTGGTTCCCCATACAAACTTTCATCCCCATTTCACCCCTTTAAGGGATGATTTCCGGGATAAAAATTATCCAATGTCCTTCCCAGGGTCTCAAACTATCTTCTTACCAAATTTCATCTAAATCGGCTTAGTAGATCCAGAGATTACCCCATACAACCTCACACACTCACAAATTCACAAACTTTACCTCTTTATAATATTAGTATAGATTTGTTTGTTTTGAGTTTTTGTTTGAGACTTAACAAAAACTTACCTCTAAGAAACTCCGAATGAATGACGATATCATTTACTTCTCGCTCTTGATGTCTATATGCCTCGTCCTCTGTTGTGGTGTCCCATTCCCCAGCGCGACATTTCAACTGAAAACCAATATTTAATCATACATAACAACTTATATGTCCTCCTGATCGATTTCGGCTGCAGCAGATATTATATAGTATTAGCATTGCCCGCGGCTCCGCCCGCGTTTAGATAACCAAAAACCAAATTCTTAGGTTTTACATATTAGTATACTCTTCAATTGCAGTTTTTGTATTTTTTCTCAGAAATGAAACATTTTTCCAGCGGTAAAAAGTATCCTATATATTAACCCGGATAACCAGCGATTACCATACTAAATTTCATCAAAATCCCTCCAGTGGTTTTCTGTGATGCGGTAACAGACAGACAGATAAACAGACTTTCGATAATAATGTCTATATCAATAAGATTTTCCAAAAAAATATTTAATGTATAGATTCGGCTTAGTTACAATTTTGTTTTAAGTATAGATAATATATTATAGTCTAAATTAACCATCAAAATGTACTTAGGGACGAACCCGAGCGAAGTGAGAACGAGTTGTTAGTTTTTATTATATGGATGTAAAAGTTTGTGCGATAAGTGTTTGTATGTTTGTTCCTCTCTTTGGCAATTGCGGCTCAATCGATTTGAGTAAAATCCTTGATGGAGATAGCTTTGATATTGGATTAAAACATATATTCAGTCCTTTTTAACGTTCTAATGCTGGGGGTGTGGTTTCCCTTCAATACGAGGGAAATCAGGCCTTAGTTCACTACGTTGGCCAAGTGCGTGTTGGAGGACTTCACATGCTTTTTGGTGTAATCTCTGGGTCTACTTAACCGATTTTGATGAAATTTGGTAAGAAGATAGTTTGAGACCCTGGGAAGAACTTAGGATACTTTTAATACCGGAAATCATTCGTTAAGGGAGTGAAAATGGGGTAATAAAGTAAAATACCTCATCAGGTTTGTCGACAGTATCGACTTTGTGCGCTGCCGTTATCACAACCGAGGGATGAATTAGAGTGCCACCACCGATGTATTCATCATTAAAGTTTTGACCTTTATTTTTTTTCCTGCAATGAAATGTTTGGTTAAAAGATATTTCCCACAAATTGGCAACACAGAGAAAAAATTTATAAAACTGTGTTTGCACCAAGCTTAATAATTCAATTCAGTCAATGGGTAGGTTCTGGCTTGTGAAAGTTCCAGGAGAGTTCTAATTTGGCATTATAGTTTGGTGTCCAAATTAATGTTCCGGACTTTAACTCATTAAAAAACGGTAGTACAGATTAAGTAATAGATATTTAGTAAAATTCTATCCCCGCATTTATAGAACACTAGCATTGCCCGCGACTCCGCCCGCGTTCAGATGACTAAAAACCAAATTCTTGGGTTTTACATATTAGTATACTCTTACAATGAAGTTTTTGTATTTTTCTCAAAAATGAGATATTTTCCCACGGTAACAAGTATCCTATATGTTGACTCGGATATTCAGCTGTCATCATACCAAATTTCATCAAAATCTGTCCAGTGGTTTTCTCGTGATGCGGTAACAGACAGACAGACAAAAATTCTAAAAACTATAGATTCGGACTCTGTAACGATAATAATGTCTATTTCAATTAGATTTTCCAAAAAATATTTCATGGAAAGATTCGAACTAGTTTGAATTTTATTATATGTATAAATAACAATATTTACATACTGCAACAAAGCAATCATCCACGGGAACTCCCCAAAATCTGCATAACCGTAGGAATTCGTCGTCTCCCTAAAGACATTGGCGCCAGGATTGCTGTATCCACAACCGAGGGGTTTTTGGAACTTCACTGTATGAGTTTCAGCGACAACTTTCTCCAATGGGCAGCATACTTGTAGCCACCCGCATTCTTCGGACCTGGAAAATTATGTCGAACTCTATACTAATATTATACATGTGAAAGTGTGTTTGTTTTTTTGTTTGTTTATTTGTCCTTCTTTCACGTCGAAACGGAGTAACGGATTGGCGTGATTTTTTGTGTGGAGATAGTTAGAGGGCTGGAGAGTAACATAGGCTACTATTTACCGTGGGAGATTATCTCATTCCCAATGGAAAACACGTTATAATACAATCGAAAAAAATATTTATGATCAGAATTACTTGAAACTTGGCATTAATGCTCTTCAATAAAATTAAATAAATGCGTGTTTTAGCATTTTTCAAAATTATTTCTATAAGGGGGTAAAATAGGGGATGAAAGTTTGTGTGTGCACTTGTGTCTGCGTGTACACTTGTGTATTTCCTGTGCATTTGACAAGTCTAAATGAGATTGGTCACTGACGTCAAAGTCGATCAAGATGGCATTATTATTTCAATCCAATTAACCATATTATTATATTGTAAATAGTATATTTTTAATGATTGCCATCATTTTATATGGGTTTGTTAAACCTTCAAATATCTCGGAAATGACACTGTGTTCTATATTTTTTAACCCCCGACGCAAAAAGAGGGGTGTTACAAGTTTGACGTCGATGTCTGTCTGTGACATCGTAGCTCTCAAACGAATGGACCGATTTCGATGCGATTTTTTTCATTTGAAAGCCTTTCCTTGCGGTGGTTCTTAGCTATGTTTGGTTAATATCGGTCCAGTAGTGTAAGAGTATCAGCTCTTTTCCAAAATGATGTAAGGCATTTTGCCAGTGTAATCGTTAAATAACAATTAATTTGCGTAGGGGTTTTTTTTAAATTTTTAATTAACTGTGTGCCCTGGAGTGACTCATAGACTATTGTTAGTAATATAATCTGTCAAAAAGTGGTTTTAACGATGGGTCGTCGACGTATTTAGCGTGAACGAAACTAGACCGTTCATTTTCTTTCGTCGACTAGTCGATCGACTAGTTCAAATCGTGGACTGTGGCTCACGTACGCTTCAATGTAGTTGTAGACGCTGGACAGTCTATAGTTACTAGTTTACGTTGCGAGACGGAACGACCGAATCGACTGTATGGGCTCGTCGCGCCCGCCGTAGTTAAATTAGGCTTTGTTAGTTCCTAATGATGACTTTTTTTACTGAATAAATTAATAATCTTAAAATTAATTTGTAATAATTATGTAAAATTAATACGGATTCTACTACGTATTTCTAAAATAAAATTGCATGTTATTATTAATTTTTATAACTCTCATTCAAATGTCAAACCACTGTTGTAAACATTAAGAGTTGAGATTAATTTACATTCTGTGTTAAAAGGACGACAAACGAACTCCTTGTTGACGTCTATCTCAGTCTATGAATTGAACTATTTCATTTGAAATACGTGAACCGTCGAACCGTCGACGCATTCACCGTTCATTCAACGCCCATCGCTAGTGGCTTTAAATAAAAAACAGCTCAGGACTGAACAGGACAATTTCGCGCGAACCAGGGGTAAGTAGTAGGATAGTCGTAATTAAAAAATATTAGCATTAAATATTACAAGGGCTTACACTTCATTGTTTTTGTCCCCATCGCTCTCCCTGCAAATGAAATACATAAAAATAAATTATTTTATACTAACATATGTATTTAAAACTTTATTTGTATTATAATATGAGTTAGTGAAAAAAAATTACAATCTTGTGCTAGTATAAGTGTTTTCTTTAGTAAACTCAACACGCACTTGACCAATTTTTTTATACATCAACCAAAAATTAGATTATATTTTTAAAAAGGTTCCTTTCGAAGGGTTCAAAGAATCCCAAGTATCAAGTCTCATCAAAGTTAATTTAGTTTTTATATTAATTAAGATTTTTTTTACATTTATCGGGTAATCAAAATTTATTTTAAAATATATCCGAAAATAACATTAAAAATTTAAGTAATAGTGTAAAAAATGTTTTAAAAGACAAAAAAATCGAAAGTGCACATTACAAGACTTCCGCGACACCATTCAAACATTAAGAGAGACAATAGCATTCCCAAGGAGGGTTGACGCCAGGCAGGCGGCCGGTCGAAAAACTTTTGCCAAATCCTTTCAGCAGTACAGAAGATGTACTGCGCCGACCCCAAGCCATTGGGAAATGGGCAGGGAGGGGAAGAAGAAGTTTTTTTTACATACCGCAGAATAAAAGTCGTAGCTGGATCTATTTTGGGCACGTCAATGTTGCACTCACCGCGTTTCATACAAACACCGTTTGTAGTTAGATTTATTGCACAGGTTTTGCCTAAAAAAAGTGTTAAAACTTAAGTACTAAAATATATGCTGTGCCTTATAGGTACACTGTCAGATATATATTATTAAATATTTTTTTGAAAATCTTATTGAAATGGTCATTATTATCGATACAGAGGCCGAATCTATAGTTTTTAGAATTTTTGTCTGTCTGTTTGTGGCGACATCACGGAAAAACCATTGGAGGGATTTTGATGAAATTTGGTATGATAATAGCTGGTTATTCGGGTCAACATGTAGGATACCTTTTACTGAGGGAAAATATCTTATCTCTGAGAAATCTATACTAAAAGTTAAAAAGTAAGTTAGTAAGCGAGCGTGAGTCGCTAGTTTATTTATATGCTACAAATTGTTGCTATTCAATAATTGTAGGGTAAGTAGGGGGAAAGAAGACGTGAATGAGAAAGGGAGAGGAAAATGGGGTGTTAGTACACCGTAACGTATAAAACCTACCACAATATTAAATAATAAATATAAATAAATAAAAATCTTTATTGGGCACGTTTTAAAGATTACAATTTACAAAATTATGTTCGATAATAACTACATTAGTTAAAACTATGTCGTAGTCATCATCGCCCACCTCCAGATTCAAAAAAATATACATTATGTTCCAATATAAGATTTAAAAGTTAAATTAATTTAAGATATTATGTAAGTTATAGGTACTTTGGCATAATATAATAAAACTAGCGACTCACCCTCGCTCCGCTCGGGTTCGTCCCTAACGTGGGCCACCCTTATCACTTAGGGGTATGGAAAATAGATAGTAGCCGATTCTCAGACCTACTGAATACGCATATAACATTGGTAAAAATCGGTAAAGCCGTTTCGGAGGAGTACGGTAACTAACATTGTGACATAGAAATTTTATATATATTAGAAGATACCATTTGTAGCGCCATCTATTGATGACAATTTACAACTTTAAAAATAGTTTAAACTAATAGAATCTATTTAAATAACAATGAATGTTGCTAAGCGCATAACTCGAGAACGGATCGACCAATTCAGCTATTTTTTTCGTATGTTCCTTAAGGTACACGGAAGGTTTTAATAAAGAGAAAAACGTCTATACAGATAAATAAATTTGAAGTGTCTGTTTGTAATGTCAAAATAACAGCTTCTTACTAAATGCATTTGAAAGTATATACGGTACTTATATGAAACACTCATTTTTTTAATTTTTTGTCTTTCTGTCTGTTTGTTCCGGATAATCTCTGAAACGGCTAGACTGATTTTGATGGGACTTTCACTGCAACATAGCTGAGTAACATAGGCTACTTTTATTTTAGAAAAAGATTTAGGGTTCCGCTCAAAAAAATTAAAACATTACTAGGGACGAACCGGGGGTGAGTCGCTAGTATAAAATATGTATATGATAATCTTTATATATATAATTCTTCTGTGAGTGTGTATGTCACTGAACTTCTCTCAAACGACTGGACCGATTTTGATGAAATTTTTTGTGTGTGTTCAAGGGGATCTGGGAATGGTTTAGATTCACAATTTGAATAATAATTTTCATCAAAAAAATTATTAAAAAAAGTTTGAAATTTTCAAATTAAAGACGTGTAGACAGGACAACGTCTGTCGGGTCCGCTAGTCTATCATATAATTCTCAAATCACATATTTTATTAAATGTTTTTACTTATACATACATATAATAAAAAAATAAGATTTTGTGTCATTAATATATATTTTTTAGAAAAAAAAATAGTTCTTTTTACACATTTAGTAAGATTTAATATTGATTATGGTCAAATTTTGACCACTGGGCGACCACTAGTAATACAAAATAGTAAATAAATTAATATTTTGGGATATTAACACACAACACCATCTAGTTCCATGGTAAGCTACGAGGCTTGTGTTATGGATACCAGATAGTTGATACACTACACATATATAGCTTTGAATACATACATATTATAAATATAAACACCCATGACTGGAGTACAAACATTTGTGCTCATCGCCCGCTGGGAGCAATAAATGCCCCCAGCGGGACTCGAACCCGCGACCGCTGGTTCAATAAGTAGAGTCACTACAAACTGAGCCACACGTGTCGACAAAAAGTAATATAATATAGTAAAAAAGAATTAACTTGCCGTTATTCTGAACTAGGGTTGTCGATGGTGTAGTACCTGCGATTGATAGTACATACTTCTCAATATCTGACAGCTCAGCCTGAACCCGACACATCACTAGCAGATACAGAATATACACACATCGAGTCCTGAAAAACAATTATGAACATTTAATGTATACAAAAACAAGTATTTCTAACTAGAGTGTTTATTTTTTATAACCTAAAAATTAAAATAAATCAAAATCGTTACAAAATTGTCTTTTTCATCATCACTACATAGTATAAAAGAAAGTCACTTTCTCTGTCCCTATATCCCTATGTATGCTTAAATCTTTAAAACTACGCAACGGATTTTGATGCGGTATTTTTTAATAGATAGAGTGATTCAAGAGGAAGGTTTTAGTATATTATTTGTTAAGTTTTTGTATACATCGGCTAAAATATAACGATATTTGTTAGAGGTGTCGGAAAAAATAAAACGTCTGGGAGCTTTCAACGAAAACGCTGCCTAAACCCTTTAAGATATAACAAAATAATGTATGGTGGAATTGTGTATCTTATATAGATCTACAGAAAAGTCCGCGATGACATATGTCTTTCTCTTAAGGAACCGACGCCGACGCATAGGAAATCTAATATATTTTGATACGTAAAATACATATTTACCTATTAGATATTCATATCTTAAAATATTGTCCGCTGGCGCCGACTTCGAAAATATCTGATAAGGTATTTATTCTAAATGAAAACCCCCGTTTAGTTATTTTTTACATTTTAGTGCCTGGAAGTCGGTCTTTTTTGAAGTTTTTATTTTTATATTTTTAGTGTAGGCGTAATAAGCAGGTAATTTGTAGGAAGAAAGTTTTTAATAACATATTCGATTAAACAATTTGTTTAAAAAATATATTTATTGTTGATTTTTTTAAAAACCGCTCGACCGATTTCGATAAAATTTCGCCTACCAGTACACCCTTTCAACCAAAACTAAAAAAATTCCAAATCGGTTCAGGCGTCTTCGAGTAATCGGTGAACATACATAAAAAAAAAGATTCGGACGAATTGAGAACCTCCTCGTTTTTGGAAGTCGGTTAAAGAAAACAAGTAAAAATGTGTTATATCGTGCATTGTTTTAGAAACAAGTTTGTGACTCCGATGGGGTTTTCCATCGGCAGTATGAACAGAACCTTGCACACCAGTGTTCCACTTCAAAAATGACGAATATACACACTTTCCTTCCCTATTCAAAAAAATTACTTTACATAGAATTCATTTGTTCCAAAACTAAATAACGACACGTTTGGCTCAGTTTGTAGTGCTTGCTGTACCAGAGGTCGCGGGTTCGAGTCCCGCTCCCGCTGGGGGCATTCATTTATGTGATAAGCACGAATGTTTATACTTCAGTCATGGGTGTTTATATTTATAATATGTATTTATTTAAAGTTATATATGTGTAGTGTATTAACTATCTGGTATCCATAACACAGGCCTCGTAGCTTACCATGGAACTAGATGGCGCTGTGTGTTAATGTATCAACATATTTATATTTATTTATTTAAATAAGGGTTCACATAATACTTTCTTAGATTTACGCGAATATTTGATTTGGGTTTTTTAGTGCTATAAAGGGTTTCCTAGGGCTTTTCTTTGCTGCTCCCCAACGTGCGTTCAACTAGTCGTGGTGGGGGGGGGGGGGCATCAGTAGTGCCTGGCAATACAGCCGGGCGCGAAGCCAAGAAACGCACAGGGAGGTGGCCCACTTCGGTGGGCGGTGGGAGGCGGCCCTCTTCGGAGGGCGGTGTACCATGCGGGTTGCTCCTGGTACTTCTCTGATAGCAGAGTTGGCCCTGGAGCAACCCCGTGGTTGTTGTGGTCTGCTTCGGCAGACCTGCCATCGGGTCGTCGTAGTTGAATGCGTAAGCGATCCTGCGACGCCCCATTAAGACGGGGGGAGGTTTTGTTGGGTTTTAGTGGGTAGTACTGGCTTTGCCGGTGAATCCCACACCTCGTGCGTAAATGCATTTTAAGGAAAGGGCTTTCCTTTGTTATTTTAAGGAAATTATTTTATTAATGAAATCTTGTGCAAAATTTCATAGACCTACATCTAAAATCTATTAATGAGTCAGCGTATAAAAAAAATGTTAACACGCATCATACAAATAACGTGGGTCTCATATAAAAATTGATTAAATTCTAAATAACAAAGACCTCGTAAATAAAGTTTTGAACGCTTGAAAATTGTTTATTAATAAGTTTTATCAAGGTCATTATTTGAATTATTTCGATAATAGTTTTTGCTTATGACTTCATGTACGGAGATACGTCGTTGAAATATGACGTAGATACATATTATGTTAATTTATGATATCTATACATATAATAAAATTGTAACTAAGCCGACTAACTCTGTACATTAAATATTTTTTGGAAATAAACATTATTATCGATAGAGAGGCCGAATCTATAGTTTTTAGAATTTGTGGCGTCACAGGATCGCTTACACACTCAAACAAGATTCCCCGAAGGCAGGCCTGCCGAAGCAGACCACAACACGCACGGGGTTGCTTCAAGGTCCACTCTGCTATCAGATAAGTACCAGGAGCACCCCGCATGGTACACCTGCCACCTGCCACCAAGTGCGTTTGTTGGATTGCCGGACGTTAAAAAGACCAAGGTGAATGAACGTTGGGGGGTTGGATTTAGATCAGTGGGCGAACACTTGTTATATTAAGGGGATATTTTAGTCGAGAAATATGAAAAAAACAACTTTTTTTTTCATATTTCCAAAGTTTAGACATTTTAGAATATGCTCAAAAGGATTTTTCAAAATTACAATTATTATTAGAGATTTTTAGATTTTAGTGAGGCGGCTTTTTAGTAAACTGGTCCGACCGAAATATATTGAACAATATGCGGTAGGCGCTGCCCGACCGCCTGCTGATAATTTCCCCCATAAAACTTTATTATATTCTACACCTAAACCATAAAACTTTATTATATTCATAAAAAAATAAGTTCATAAAACTATTACCCGTCTACGGAAAAATAACTTTCTGGTATAAAAAGTAACCTATATGCTATTACAGATTACAACCCATCAAAATCAGTCCAGCCGTTTCAGAGATTATCCGGAACAAACAGACAGACAAAAATTCTAAAAACTATAGATTCGGCTTCTATATCGATAATAATGTCTATTTCAATAAGATTTTCAAAAAATATTTAATGTACAGATTCGACTTAGTTAGAACTTTATTATATGTATAGATTGAAATAAAATATTCGACCGATCTTCGTCGTGTCGAAGTAATGCATACTCTAAGCTCGTTTTGAAGCCAAAAAAATTGAAGAAACATAATTTTAATGCAAGTGACCCTCAAAAATAGCAATATTCATGATATCTTTATTATTTTCAACATTTTATATGCGAAAGATGATAATGGCTTCTAATGTTTACGAACAAATTGTAATTTTAGATATATTAATAAAGTTTTTTTTACAAATCGTATCAAATTTACAAAAATATATCTATTTTATTAATAAATAAACATAAACATAGCACTTACCCCATTTTTTATGTATAAATATCTCACGAGTATCGTCTTGCATCGGCTGAGCGACGCTAACCGGACTGAGGTGGATAAGGAAAATAATTAATTTATACATAGTTTAGTGATGTGCTCGTGTGTTATCGATATTATTAATTTAAATTCAATATATATGTATATTAATCACACCACTATTGTGAATTAGAGATTTGCCCTCGCTACGGGTACATATGATGGATAATATTATAAACTTGCGACTCACCCTTCGCTCAGGTTCATCCTAGGTACGTTTTGACGTTAAGTATGCAATACATTTTTTTTCCCAATTTTTTTTGTGATTTTTTCTGATTTTAAATAGTTATTCTGCTATTCGGAGTGAAGACAAATCTAACAAAACAAAGATCTTAAAAATCGGTCCAGCAGTTCTCGAGTTATAAGTGTTGTAACAAACCCGACTTTGTTTTATAGATATAGATGTTACAGTCATTGATATACAAACATACAAGATACACAATTAGCGTCACAAAAGTGTCCACAACAAGAAGTTTACAATTCGACATTGAATTGCGCTTGTTCAAATCTCTTTTTTAACCGATTTCCAAAAAGGAGGAGGTTATCAATTCGTCATAATCTTTTTTCTTTCTTTTTTTTTAATGTATGTTCACCGATTACTCGAAGGCGCCTGAACCGATTTGGAAAATTTTTTTTGTTCATTGCTTTTCGCATGACAAAATTAAAACGCACGTTGTTTTGTTTAAAAAAGTACTTTATGTGGTATGCATAAGTTCGAATTTGTGTTTAGACAATTAGAACTTTGACTTAACGTCACATGTTGACACCAGTTTTTTAAGAGGATATTTGTTAGGAAATGTTTTTATATAAATCCATGCTTACAGTACATCTTTTAGACGTTTTGAACGAACGATTTGATTCTATTAACACACAGAAAATGAGTGTTATTATGTAATGTTAAACTGCAGCGGAAATTTTATAAAAATGAATTGTTTTTTTTATAACCCCTATGTCGTAACGTAATCAAAACAATTAGAACGATGTATTAATCAAAAGCGGTTTAGCCGTTTATGAGTTTTAATGGAATATGACTATGCATACATATGTACAGGACAAACACACAACCCTTTTAGACCGCAGTCAAGTAAAAATATAGAATGCTTAAAGCATCAATAGCAGAAATGATCAATATTTTAGTTATATACAAAAGTTCGACGTTTTAGCACATCCCTAAATGCACGGGCGAGTTAACGGCACAGCGGGGTCAAAAGATTGCCAAGATATGTGATATATACGATATACACATAAAAATATGAGCGATTTCAAAATTCTTATTTACATTTTGATTTATATTCAGTGTTTTATTTACATCTAGTTATTGCCCGCGGCTTCGCTGGCATCTCTATTTCTAATTATCCATATCTTTGTCTTTTATCGAAATCTGTTGTTGATGCAAAATGCTGTTTTATTTGTAAGCGGTTTAAGGGTGAAAATGTAACAGAGTTGTTTTAACATTTATAATGTTACTAGCGACTAACCCTCGCTTCTCTTCGGGTTCGTTCCTAGTGAAATACAAAAACAAATCTATCCCACGGGAAGGGTAAATTTTTCCGGGATAAAAAGTAACGTGTGCTATTCCAGACTATAATCTATTTTTGTGCCAAATTTCATCCAGATCCGTTCAGGCGGTCTGGCGTGATTGAGTAACAAACATCCATCCACCCTCATAAACTTTCACATTTATAATACTCGTATTAGTACGTATGGATATACACTAGTGTGTGTTATGGCCGGTTTACACGTGTTAAGTAGTTTAGTAGTTAACTAAATTTTAACTTAATTTTAAGTGATTAATTGCGTGTAAACAGACAATTTAGTAGCTACTAAATTAGAATGTTTCCTATTTTTTCGGTTTAGTTGGTGGGCGGGGCTTGTCACTTAACACGTTTGGACACTTGGACAGTACAATTTAGTTACAAAAGCATAACTAGTTTAGTAAAACGCATAAGTAATGACGAGCTAATTTTAAGTTTTTTTCGTTATTTTTTGTTAAGAAGCACATTTAAAAAAAGAATGCTTATGGAACGTAAAAAGCATGAATTATCTCGCTTAAAACAAATTTAAGCACAGAATTTACGATTTCATTACGTTGTTGATTTTCCATCTTGAATTAAATAAAGAGCTTCAATTCAATTCTTTAATTGAGCACAGATTAGTTCGCCAATGTCACGTAGAATAGAGAAGACAACTAAAGAGCTTAACTACTTAACCGCTAAACACGTTTGGACAGCTCTGCCCTCCCGAACCTAAAGTGCAGTAACAGCAAAAACACGAATTCGAGAAAAACGCGCCTAAAGCTTAGAATCCATAAAAATATATCAAAAAGAGACTTTTCGATAAAACCTTGAATGGAAAGTGAAAGAATATGTACCAAACTAAAATATTAAACATTGTTACGTTAGTTTTTTTATAAAAAACTATAATTATGGCAATTTTAATTTTTTTGCCCCTATTACTACACACACTTTATTTGTATAATCTTTTCAAAAACTGTTTTAAATGCAGTAAATCCTGTTATTACTGCATTTTAGACATTTCTTCCATGATCGTTACTAACTAAAGTGCAGTAATATTATGAAAATACTGCTATTTAATCTGTTTTTTTGAACAAAACACTGATATTCCACACTTATAGTAATATAAAATTACCTTTAATTTTGATAAAAATATGTAATTTCTTAAACAAAACTGGACATGCATTTATGACTATGCTATTAAAACTATTCATCAAAACATTGTACATTATAATCTAATAGTGTAAATTGTTTTATATGACTAACAATATAACAATCTTTACAAGATGTTGATAATCTTAACTAGTTAATCCACCATAAAACTATATCACATGTATTTCTCATGCATGGATCAATAAAATTTACATAAAATCTTTCTTCTGAACATAACTAATTACTAAATGAGTATTCTTGTCTTACAAAAATAATAGTCTGAAAAGATTATGGAAGGGAGAACTAAGGAGAATTAACTTATATGGGAAACAGGTTGAAAAAGTGTCCAGTAGTGAGCAGCAAATTATAGCTCAGAAACTCACCGTTAAGCCTAGTTCGCATTGAGCTAGTATTTTAGTCTAGTAGCGAGTAATTTAGTAACTAAACGTGTCTGAACACTAAAAATTTAGTCGATTAGTTTAGTAAGTAATTTAGTCGAGTCAATCCATTTTATTCTATTTTTTGGGCGAGTAGCAGCCCCCACCACGCGTCCGAGCTCACTGGTTCACCGGCTAAACAAATACGAACCTGTCGAACTAGTCGAGTTCATTAGTTGCCGCCATAACATTCATTAACAGAAAATTTACACAACTTTCGGACATTCTCAAACTATCGAAGTATTCTTTGGGATCTTCCAATGCTAATTCCTTCAGAAGACAATTAGTAGCTCCTAGTTTATCTCGTCTTTCGATCCATTTTCTTACCCATAGCTTCTTTTTATTAATCACACAAATTTCCTCATCAACCTCTTCTAAAATAGCCGTTACGATCAGCTTAATCAGTTTATTTACTTTATTGCGTTTTAGGCTATTCATCTTGCAAAACACCACTCACTTGTAAACTGTACTCGACCAAAGTGCGAACGATTTTTGGTGAGTAGCGAGTAATTTAGCTACTAAATTACTCGCTACTAGACTAAAATACTAGCTTAATGCGAACTAGGCTTTACAGCACTAGCGTAGCAAGTAGATGTGATGTGAAGTTAGTAGTTTTTAACGGAGTGAAGTGTGCTGAATTATTATTACTTGAAAATAATATATAATTATATTGCTGTTTGCCTATGCTAGAACTATTTTGAAAAGTGCGCCACAGCAAAGCGGAAATCTTTCTTTCCTTGTTTAATTCACCTTCTTACTTTTATGACGCTATGTTTTAAACTAGCGACTCACCCTCGCCTCACTCGGGTTCGTCCCTGGATACTTTTTTTTTGAGCGGAACTCTAATTCTTTTTTTAAATAAAAGTAGCCTATATTACTCCCTATAACATCAGTTACCTTCCACTGAAAGTCCGTCAAAATCAGTCCAGCCGTTTCAGAGATTATTCGGAACAAACAGACAGACAAAAAAATTTAAAAATGTGTTTTTCTTATGAGTACCGTTTATAATTTCATATGCATTTAGTAAAAAGGTTTATTTTGACATAACAAACAGACACTACAATTTTATTTATCTGTATAGATGTATAGATTCATATACTTGTTTTCTGTGGCGCCACCAATTTCATGCTTGTCAGCGGTCACTTTTTATACTAGAAATAGTTTTTATACTACAAAACATCCTACAAGTTAAACTGCAGTAAAGTTATTAAATACTGCATGTCTTTTAGTTTTTCACAAGAAATTACAAAATCCCCCACAAGTTAATGTGCAGTATGGAATGTTAATACTGCACTTTAATTAGGAATATAAATAAAAAATATTTTTTCTTAACCTTTGCAGTATAATCAACTTGTATAGAGTCGAATAATACTGCATTTTAATAAGTTTTTTCTTGAATCTCCTAGAACAAACTACTATTTTAAGTGCCACAAAATATGATAAAACACTGCAGTTTAGTTAGGAAACAGAGAAAAATCTTGTGCAGTATTAATTGTACTGCGGTTTAGCTGGTAAACATGGAAAATTTTAACAGATTTGTGATATTTTTGCTGTTACACCTTCCGAAAAAACATTAAAATAAAATACTTTTATTACCGCTACAGAAAAAAGAATTAATTTGACTGATAGCTACTAAAATGGGGATTTAGAATATATATTTAACTCAAAACCGACCAAAATGTCTATTACTGCACTTTAGGCTCAGGTGGGCAGAGCTACTAAAATATAAGTCACTTAAAAATAAGTTAAAATTTAGTTAACTACTAAACTACTTAACACGTGCAAACCGGCCATTAGATCACCATCTACTGTTATTGTATAAATTAATGTGACCATCGATTTTTATGCAAGCTCGTAGGAAATATCTAAGTATACATATAATAAAATTGTAACTAAGTCGAATCTGTACATTCAATATTTTTTGGGAAATCTTATTGAACACATTATTATCAATATAGAGGCCGAATCTATAGTTTTTAGAATTTTTGTCTGTCTGTCTGTCTGTCTGTCTGTTACCGCATCACGGAAAAACCACTGGATGGATTTTCATGTAATATAGCTGATGATAGCTGATATGATAGCTGGTTATCCGGGTCAACATATAGGATACTTTTTACCGCGGGAAAATGTCTCATTTCTGAGAAAAATACAAAAACTGCAATGTAAGAGTATACTAATATGTAAAACCTAAGAATTTTATTTTTGGTCATCTGAACGCGGGCGGAGCCGCGGGCAATGCAAGTTGAATATAAAAAGCATAACAGTTATAATTTTCTTTATTCATCGAATATTGCTTACAGAATCTATAAATACGTATCTATTTATTAGATCATCACTTATGACTCATAATATGATATTGATGAATTTAATTTTCATATTATAAGTTTGTGGAAAACAAGTATTTGTCGGGGCATCATGGTGAAGTGCTTTATCCTGTGACTCCCTATTGAGACGGGGGGTTTCGTTGGGTTTTAGTGGATACTACTGGTTTTCTGACCGGTTAGTATGGGAAAATGCATATCCTAATGTTAAAAAATGGACATAAATAAAAAAAAGATTTTAAGAAGAGTCAATCTGAATGCATCTAAAGCTTTTTTTGAAGTAAAACTTCTTTACGCACGCTTGACTTGGGTGGTAAAGCTGGTGAATGCGAAAATGTACGTACGTTTGTTGCCATTATTAGTATTTTTGTAAACAAAAGATTTGAAAAAAATCTGGATTTGTTCTATTTGTCTTTTTACATCCCCCTGACTCAGTTTTTAGTATTTTTTTGCTATGTACAGACATTCGACCTCTACTATTTTATTATAGTACTAGCACTAATAGAAATCTATTAGTTCCCACGGGAACCGTTCATTTTTCCCGGAGGAAAAGTAACCTGTTGTTTGACCGGCAATATAAGGTATCAGAATGTTAAATTTTACTAAATTAGTTGCATAAGTTGTATAAGTTATAATAGTTTTTTATCTATCCCACGGGAACCATTTAATTTTCCGGGATAAAAAATATCTAAGACGTTGTCCGGGGATATAAGGTACCACCATCGAAAATTTCATTTAAATCGGTCCAATTGATTCGGAGATTAGCCCGTACAAACAAACAGACAGAGAAACAAGAAAATTGTAAAAAATCTGGATTTGTTCTATTTGTCTTCTTACATCCCCCTGACTCGCGATGGCTTATTATTAGCGTATTTCATGTATAACTTTGGTGTTTCTATAACGATTTCTATGATTTTTTTATGGAATAGTTTATAATGTTAATTTTTTTAATTAGGGATGACTGAGAGTGTTATAAACGTAAGAGTAGACAAATATAAATCAGAAAGCTTCAAACTGCTAAGCTATCGGGAGTTACACGTGTTATTGTGAGTCAACCATAAAAGATAGACAGACAAATGCTGTCGTGGGATATTTTTTATATAATTTTAAGGAGAACATTTCCGTCATACATGATTTCTGTGTAGCTTTAACCATTAAGGTTGCACACGCGACGGAAGCTTAAAAAATGGAGTAACTTCTCCCGTTTTCCCAACATTTCCCTTCACTGCTCTGCTCCTATTGATTGTAGCGTGATGAAAAGTTTACTTTAACCAGCTCAGGAGTATGAAAAATAATTGTACAAAGTTTCGTTAAAATCCGTCGAGTAGTTTTTGTTTCTATAACGGTTATACAGACAGACAGACAGACAGACAAAAATTTTACTGATTGCATTTTTGGCATCAGTATGGATCCCTAATCACCCCCTGATAGTTATTTTGGAAATATATTTCATGTACAGAATTGACCTCTCTACAGATTTATTATAAGTATAGATAGATAGATAGCCAAATGTACTTAATTACGGCTGCTTAAAAACGATTGTGTTTTTGATTAAATTAACTAAAAATAGTGTTATCTCACAAACTGACCAAGTCGTAATATATGTATTATGTAAATAGGCAAAGACAAGAGTTCAGTGGCTTTTTCCTCCACTTTTTGTCAATCAATTTTCTTTTTTAACCCCCGACTGTCGACTATCGATGTGCAACACTAGTGCAAAAGACGAGCTTTAATTTCCGATACCCGAACTCTTATGCCCGATTTCACCAACAACCTATAAGCTACTACCTACGTATGGGATCCCTAGCTTAAAAGTCCCCTAAACTAGCCCCTAAATTAAATTTCGTTTTACCATCGTCTTTAAGCCCATATTTCGAGCACCTAAATTTAGGGGGCCTTTTAACATTAGGTGACCCCTAACTGTTGGTGAAACAGAAACTGTCCCCTAACAGCCCCCTAACCATGCTTAGGGGATCCCTTAAACTAAGGTGACGTTGGTAAAATCGGGCATTAGAACGTAACAATATGTAGTGATTATGGAACTAACTTTAAGTATATTCGTTTCGTAAGTAATAAGTGTGGGATAAACTTGAATCTTCCTATCGTTCGTTCCTTTCTCTCCCATACCTTTGTCCCTTTATCTCCCATACCTTTGTCCCTTTCTCTCCCATAACTTTGTCTCTTTATATCCCATACCTTTATCCCTTTCTCTTCCATACCTTTGTCCCTTTCTCTCCCATAACTTTGTCTCTTTCTCTCCCATACCTTTGTCCCTTTCTCTCCCATACATACCTTTGTCCCTTTCACTCACTCTTACGTTCCATTCCCAACATAAGGGTGTTATGGGATCATAAAAAACATATTTAAACATGTCATCGAAGTATATTTTAATAATAAATAATTATAAAATTTTGTATTTTGAATTCAATTTATAGATACGTCATTGTTTCTTGATATTGTTCAAAGTCTTCCGTTTTGGTTTAGGATTTACATAGGTGTCGTAATAGAATTTTGCAAAATGAGTAAAGAAGAAAACACTATAAAATGTACCAAAGAATTTATAAAAAAATGGATAGCTGCATTCATAGAACATGCTGTTTATATTATAGATTGCTATTAAAACAAACTGGACCTGTAACAAAAATTATTTATTAATTTTATGTTCATAAGCTATTTTATACATTAAATGCACAATTATATACATCTATCCATACGAATATTATAAATGTGAAAGTGTGTTTGTTTGTTTGTCTGTTTGTTTGTATGTTTGTCTGTCCTTCTTTCACATTGAAACGGAGAGACGGATTGCGGTGATTTTTGTGTGGAGATAATTGGAGAGCGACATAAACTTTTTACCGCGGAAGATTATCTTATTCCTACGGGAAAACACGCTATAATACAAACCAAAAACATATTTATAATCAGAATTACTTGAACCTTGGTATTAATACTCTTCAGTACAATTAAATAAATACCTACGTGTTTTAGCATTTTTCGAAATTCATCCTATAAGGGGGTAAAATAGGGGATAAAAGTTTGTATGAAACCTACCTTTTAGACATATTTTTGTACTTTTAACGAGAGCAAAACTGCGGGTTCTTCTCGTAAATAATAAAACAACTAGTTTCTAAATTGACCTATTAATATTTTATTGGTAGCGCACTCCATTTAAAACCAAGTGATGCAACTTATTGGATTCCTTATCCCAAATCGGCGAAGGATATATTATATATAATAAGGATATATAAATATAGGATGAATATAGAGAATAAATTAATATATAAGTATTATTGCCATAAAAAAGAGTAAAAAAAGTTAAAAGAATCAGTAAAGCTTAAAGAAACTTATGGCAAAGGGTAATAACTCAGCTGATGCTGCTAAGACCGAAATCTCAAGCAGTGGGAGAAATTTACATTTAGGATTGGATATATCCTGATACCCATTAAAAGAAGAGACATGCCTCACAGTGTAATATATCATATATCCCAAATCGGCGAAGGATATATTATATATAATAAGGATATATAAATATAGGATGAATATAGAGAATAAATTAATATATAAGTATTATTGCCATAAAAAAGAGTAAATAAAGTTAAAAGAATCAGTAAAGCTTAAAGAAACTTATGGCAAAGGGTAATAACTCAGCTGATGCTGCTAAGACCGAAATCTCAAGCAGTGGGAGAAATTTACATTTAGGATTGGATATATCCTGATACCCATTAAAAGAAGAGACATGCCTCACAGTGTAATATATCATAATAGCATTGCCCGCGGCTCCGCCCGCGTTCAGATGACCAAAAACCAAATTCTTAGGTTTTACATATTAGTATACTCTTACATTGCAGTTTTTGTATTTTTTCTCAGAAATGAGATATTTTCCCGCGGTAAAAAGTATCCTATATGTTGACCCGGATAACCAGCTATCACCATACCAAATTTCATCAAAATCCCTCCTCTGGTTTTTCCGTGATGCGGTAACAGACAGACAGATAAAAATTCTAAAACTATAGATTCGGACTCTGTATCGGTAATAATGTCTATTTCAATAAGATTTTCCAAAAAATATTTAATGTACAGATTCGACTTAGTTACAATTTTATTATATGTATAGATTTAAATCTGTCCACTGGTGGTATATGGACATCTACGCTCTACACAGGCAAATAGATAAAAAAAAAAACAGTAAAAGGAGTTTTTATTAGATACAGCCTTTGCGATGTAGAAGCCAAGTATAGTAGTGATGAACCCTCTTTAACATAGATTATTGAAAAATTATTCAATACACGTATCACCTTGACTTTAAAATGATATAAGAGAAATATACTCACTTTTTAAACCATCATCTATACTAATATTATAAAGAGGTAAAGTCTGTGAGTTTGTGACGTTGTAGGGGGTAATCTCAGGATCTACTGAACCGATTTAGATAAAATTTGGTAAGAAGATAGTTTGAGACCCTGGGAAGGACATAGGATACTTTTTATCCCTGAAATCATCCCTTAAGGGGGTGAAATTTGGGATGAAAGTTTGTATTAGAAATTTATATATTTTTATATAATAAAATTATACGTACAAGTTGAACAATTGTTACATATTTTTTCCACCATACGTATTTTTTATATCTGTTACCAAGCCCAGAGATCAGGTAGTAGAAATACATAATCACATGGACGATGCTATTGAGAAACCCAATCAATACCCACTGGCCACCTGGAAAGTTAATAAATTAAGCAAATTACTTAATATAATAATGTAAATCTTTTTAACCCACGACGCAAAAAGAGGAGTGTTATAAGTTTGACGTCGATGTCTGTCTGTGTGTGTCTGCCTGTAGCATCGTAGCTCTCAAACGGATGGGCCAATTTGAATGCGGTTTTTTTCATTTGAAAGCCAGTTTCCTTGCGGTGGTTCTTAGCTATGTTTGGTTAATATCGGTCCAGCAGTGTAAGAGTATCAGCTCTTTTCCAAAATGATGTAAGGCATTTTGGCGTATGATTACTTGATTAAGTACTTCACGCGTGCCAGTGTAATCGTTAAATGACAGTTAATTAGCGTAGGGGGGTTCTTTAATTTTTAATTTATAATTATTTTGAGACAGCCGTTAGAGAGTTACAGACAGCCTACTCACAAATAACAAAATGAATTCAAAAAGTAGAAAAATGGCACCAAGCAACTATATAATACCTTTGAGACATCTAACACCTCTGTCTCTCGTGACCATGATTGCTGTAAAGCATTCGAAACGTCGGGAACCAAAAATCAAAATAAATCGGCGAAAAAATGCGAAAAGACAGTTTTATTTAAAACATCAAATATTCGCCTAAATCTAAGATAGTATTATATTTATTCTTACCAGGATAATAAGTGGTTCCAAACCAACAAGTTATTACCATCAACATGTGATGGTGCAAATGTAATTTAGTTATTTGCCTGAGTGACTTTCTAAGTACAAAGAACACTGTATCTAGCAATTCTGATACTTTTAACAAGTAATATACCCACATGCCGTTGGCAACCTTAAAAAACAGATAAAAATATTGGGTCTTCATAAAATATTTCTATATAATAATGTATACGTATAATATAATATTAAATTATTATCAGATACAATTCTTATATCATTTCTTAATATTCGATATTTAAGAAAAAACAAAGTCACGGGACAGACTAAAGCTTTTGTCGTACAAATTATACAATATTTTGTAAGAAAAGAGAATAGACATAAATGACCCTACAAATTTAAAAGAAATAACTAAATTTAATAAGTATTATAAATTATAACAAATAAAATAAAATATAAATAAAATAACAAATAAAAATAACTGTATTTTTCCTTACATTTCTAAATTATAAAACTTAGAAAATCTTATAGATAAGGTAGGCAACTTATAAAACTTAGACAAAAGCACACATTTAACAGGTAGGTATTGTTAATAATATTATGTGTGTATTATGTATATATAATAAATCAATAAATAAATATGTTAGGCCATTAACACACAACACCATCTAAAGTCTGATTTTTAAATTAAACGGAATTCTGACATTTCAGAAGTGTTGTCAGCTTTGAAATATTGTCACTAAAAACGGAAAGCATTTTAGCAAAATAAAAAAAATAAACCTTTCTTGAAGTTAAGGTTTCAATTAGAAAAACTAAGACTTAAAAAATTATTGATAACTCTAAAATGGTTATTATTTTTTTGCTATCATATTATTGATTAGCATTGCCCGCGGCTCCGCCCACGTTCAGATGACCAAAAACCAAATTCTTAGCTTTTATATATTAGTATACTCTTATATTGCAGTTTTTGTATTTTGTTTCTCAGAAATGAGATATTTTCCCGTAGTAAAAAGTATCCTATATGTTGACCCAGATAACCAGCTATCATCATACCAAGTTTCATCAAAATCCCTCCAGTGGTTTTTCCGTGATGCGGTAACAGACAGACAGACACACAAAAATTCAAAAAACTATAGATTCGGCCTCTGTATCGATAAAAATGTCTATTTCAATAAGATTTTCAAAAAAATATTTAATGTATAGGTTCGGCTTTAACATTAATACTCACCCATGTCGCTATCTTCTCGTCAGTTTCCAACCCTTTACAGCGCATGTCATAATAATTAGAGAGAAAAACGTATCTGATAGCCTAAAACAACAAAAAGGATATTAGTATTATTTTTACCCGACTACGGTGAAGCCAAAAGGAGGGGTACGTGTTTGATCTGTATGTATGTATGTATGTATGTATGTATGTATGTATGTATGTATGTATGTATGTATGTACGTATAACCAATTTTGATGATTCATACGTCGTTAGATTCACGTCATTAGACATTGCTATAGTATCCCTTAGCTAACCTAACCTTAGCCTGATGCTGCAAGGTCACCTACTGTCAGAAGATACTTCAACTCTTTACTAACATATTTTATAACATACTAGCGACCCTTGCTTCGCTGGCGTTCGTCCCTAGCTTCCCAATACAAACTTTCATCCCCCTTTTCATTTCCTTAAGGGATGATTTCCGGGATAAAAAGTATCCTATGTCCTTCTTAGGGTCACAAACTATCTTCTTACCAAATTTCATCTAAATCGGTTCAGTAGATCCAGAGATTACCCCCTACAACCTCACAAACTTTACCTCTTTATAATAGTAGTATAGATAGGTTATTTTGATGTGGCTCTAATGTTGGAGCAGAATAGCGAAATAAGTATAAATGTGGTAATGGATGGTAGGCTTCGATTCGAACTACATACTTTGGAAGTCTTTAAATGATAAACGTATGAATGATTGGGATTTATGTTAATCTTGACATATTGTTGGCACCGAAATAGCCTGCATCAGAGTAAATCTGTAACTTTTTAAAGAAGTTTTTATTGTATCTAAGTCTTCTTTATCACATAGTAGACTTCGAAAATATCTGATTAAGTATCTATTCTAAATGAAAACCCCCGTTCGGTTATTTTTTACATTTTAGTGCCTGGAAGTCGGTTTTTTTAAGTTTTTATTTTTCCATTTTTAGTGTAGACGTAATAAGCAGGTGATTTGTAAGAAGAAAGTTTTTTAATAACATATTTGATTAAACCATTTTATTTAAAAAAAATATTTATTGTTGATTTTTTAAATAACCGCTCGACCGATTTCGATAAAATTTATATGAGACCTCCTGGGAAGTATACCCTTTGAACCAAAAAAAAATCCAAATCGGTTCAGGCATCTTCGAGTAATCGGTGAACATACATAAAAAAAAGATTCCGACGAATTGAGAACCTCCTCCTTTTTGGAAGTCGGTCAATTAAAAGAAAACAAAACTTACCTCGATAATTATATAGAAGTTTACAATAATTTGAACCACATTATAAACTAGCAATACTTTCGCCAAATGAAATGGTTTCCGATGTTTCATTAGACGTGGTCCTAAATTTGTGCAGAAATAATAATAAGCGGTCACGAGACCTATCATTAGATATGGCTTTCTCGTTAGAAACCATCCTTTAGTTATTGGACCTGAAATACAAAAAAAAACATATTGTTGTCTAGTGGAGAGTGTGTAACGTCATTACACCAAAATAATAATTAATAAAAACTTTTTAACAATAAAAGTTTTTATTTTTCCCTTTTTAGTGTAGACAGTAGTAGCAAAGTACGAATTCTAACGTATTAGGCTTGTCACATCAAACAGCCCAAGCTCAAAGTATCTACGAGTACTATTAGCCGTTGAAGAGTTCCACCTATCCACCTTTTGGCCTTACCATCAGATCAGGTCAACGATACCGAACCACTGTACTATCAACGGAAATAGAAACACTTGTAAAGTTTCAGTTCAACATGACAATTAGAAGTAGGTTAAATTCATTATTAGCTAATTTGCCACCCTTAGGAATAGTATATTTTTTTGAAATATAAATGGGACCAATCTGGAAGTATACACTTTCAAACAAAACAAAGATTGTCCAAATCAGTTAATAAATGACGGAGTTCTGAGGTAACAAACATAAAAAAATACAGCCGAATTGAGAACCTCCTCCTTTTTGAGGAAGTCGGTTGAAAAGACAAGTCTGGAGCATGCTTTATACATCCTAAGACAGTTGTCAAAACATTTCGAGAGACACAACGAAATTACTAGACGCTTCTAGATTTAGACAAGGACAGTTAATCGTAAATTCCCATGTGAGAGAGTGAGAGAGGAACAAAACAACAACAACTAGAAAGGTTTCAAATACTAGAATGTTCTTTGTTTATGCATATAAAAAGGTTAGCAGTGTGTCGAGAGATCCGTTGAATTGAGAAGTTAAGTGGAGATTGTGAAGAAGTGCAAAAAAGTGAAGAGTGATGAAAAGTGGAGTGAAGTTATTGTGAAAGTATATCTAGTGGTGAAAATTAGTGTCCAGTGACTGAGTTTAACCAGAACTTTGTATATAATGCGTGTGTTATGAATTTCCATAGGTCAAAGTCACTCTTGTCAACCAAGAGCAATAAAACATCAGTAGTGCATAAAAACTAAAAAAAAACCGACTTCCAGGCACTAAAATGTAAAAAATAACTGAACGGAGGTTTTCATTTAGAATAGATACCTAATCAGATATTTTCGAAATCGGTGCCAGCCGATGACTTCTTGGTTTTTTTTAAGTTTTTATTTTTCCATTTTTAGTGTAGACGTAATAAGCAGATAATTTGTAAGAAGAAAGTTTTTTAATAACATATTTGATTAAGCAATTTATTTTAAAAAAATATTTATTGTTGATTTCTTTAAAAACCGATCGACCGATTTCGATAAAATTTATATGGGACCGCCTGGGAAGTATACATTTAGAAACAAAAAAAAATATTCCAAATCGCTTCAGGCGTCTTCGAGTAATCGGTGAAGATACATGAAAAAAAAACAAAGATTCCGACAAATTGTGAAAATCCTCGTTTTTGGAAGTCGGCTAAAAAGACATGCTTTCCCAAACTCATAGAACGTAACAATATTATGATACTTAATTTCAACTTAAAGAGGGTTTTTTATAAACTTCTACGGTTCAAGAGAATTACCCACTATTCGCATTTCCCTTAGGTATCAGAGCCCTCCAAATGTGCTAACTAAATCCGCGTTCCTTGTTTAGTTCTATATTAATTTTATGCATATGTTTTATTTAACGCTTTGTCATGCTGGATCACGAGTTCGCAACAATGACATATGAAAATATTTCAACATAATAATCCATACTAATATCATAAATGTGAAAGTGTGTTCGTTTGTCCTTCTTTCACGTCGAAACGGAGTGACGGATTGACGTGTTTTTTTTGTGTGGAGATAGTTGGAGGGCTGGAGAGTGACATAGGCTAGTTTTTACCGCGGGAGATTATCTGATTCCCGCGGGAAAACACGTTATAATACAACCCAAAAAATATTTTTGACGACACGTTTGGCTGTTTGTAGTGACCCTACTTGCTGTGCCATCGGTCGCGGGTTCGAGTCCCGCTGGGGGCATTCATTTGTGCACGAATGTTTGTACTTCAGTCATGGGTGTTTATATTTATAATATGTATGTATTTAAAGTTATATATGTGTAGTGTATCAACTATCTGGTATCTGTAACACAAGCCTTGTAGCTTACTATGGAACTAGACGGCGCTGTAATATATATATATATATATATATATATATATATATATATATATATATATATATATATATATATATATTCTGATCATAAATATATATATATATATATTTATGATCAGAATTACTTGAAACTTGGTATAAATGCTCTTCAATAAAATTTAATAAATACGTGTTTTAGCATTTATCGAAATTCATCCTATAAGGGGGTAAAATAGGGGATGAAAGTTTGCATGAATCTATCTATTTAGAGATTTTTTGTAGTTTCAGCCATAGAGTATGTAATCCTTTGGTTTCAGAGAGATATGTAATTGCCGAAACCTGTTAACAGTATTTGAGATATTAGATGTACCGTTGAATGGACATCGTAGTTTAGGAATACGATTACATCTAAGCTTTTTGGGTGGAGAATTTTGCAAAAACAAAATTATAGTAGAATAGATGTTACACGAATTCGGTTCCTCCAGGCTTCTAATTTATTATTTACTAGCGACTCACCTTCACTTCGCTCAGGTTAGCCCCTAGGTTGAGTCCCCATACAAACTTTTCCTCATTTTCACCCTCCTTAAGGGATGATTTCCGGGATAAAATCTATCCTATGTCCTTTCCAGGGTCTCAAACTATCTTCTTACCAACTTAAATCTAAATCGGTTCAGTAGTTTCGTAGCCTACTCGGTACAAACAAACATACAAACAAAAAATCAAATCCTTCCTCTTTATAATATTAGTATAGATCAATTTGTATGTTTATTTTTTTTATGATAATAATATGATTAAAAAAATAAAAATAAATAAATCATGTATAATGTTTATCATTATTTGTTTGTATTTATTTATAGTTACAATATATATCGTCGATTAGTGACACAATTTATATTTATTTTTTTAAGTTTTATTTTTGCACTAGCGACTCACCCTCGCTTCGCCCGGATTCGTTCCAACTTAGGTTTAAATGCTTAGTATAAATATATATTTTCCCAGAGTAAAAAGTATCCTATATGTTGTCCCGGATAACCAGCTATCATCATACCAAATTTCATCAAAATCTGTCCAGTGGTTTTACCGTGATGTGGTAACAGATAGACAGACAGAATGACAAAAATTCTAAAAACTATAGATTCGGCCTCTGTATCGATAAAAATGTCTATTTCAATAAGATTTTCCAAAAAATATTTAATGTACAGATTCGGCTTAGTTACAATTTTATTATATGTATAGATTTAAGTGTAAAAGTGTTAATTGTAAAAAAGTCACTTTTATTAGTAAAACTAAAATGTAAGCTTAGCGCATTGAACTTGTCAAATCAAACCAAATGAGCCCAAATTCTAACCTGTAACCAAGCCGAATCTGAACATTAAATATTTTTTGGAAAATCTTATTTATTTAGACATTATTATCGATACAGAGGTCGAATCCATAGTTTTTAGAATTTTTGTCTGTCTGTCTGTTACCGCATCACAGAAAAACCACTGGAGGGATTTTGATGAAATTTGTTATGATGATAGCTGGTTATCCGGGTCTACATATAGGATACTTTTTACCGCGGGAATATATGTCAACTCTGAGAAATCTGTACTAAGCGTTAAACCGTATGTAGGGACGAACCCGAGCGAAGTAAGGGTGAGTCGCTAGTAAAATATAAAAATACTCACTAGATAATTCTTCAAAAATATAATAATAACTATCTAAAATATATGGTAGAGCTACCATTTTTGAAACACACACGTTGTGACTCAAAAGTGTCCTTTGTACATTTGATGGAACATGTAATGAAAACAATCAAATTAATTCATAATAATTTATTTGCATGTAATTATATATAGTGAGTTGTACTCGTATACTTCACGTGCAAGCCATCTATCTAACTTTACAGACAGCTTAAATGGACTGGCCAATATGAATTTTGAGGCAGAGATCTAGATTAGTATTTAGACTTTGATCTATACTAATATTATATAGAAAGATTTGATTTTTTGTTTGTTTATTTGTTTGTACCGAATAGGCTCCGAAACTGCTGAACCGATTTCGATATTTGGTAAGAGGATAGTTTGAGACCCTGGGAAGGAAGGACATAGGATACTTTTTATCACGGAAATCATCCCTTTAGGGGGTGAGAATGGGGATGAAAGTTTGTACGGGGAAAACGGGTTTGCTCGGGTTCGTCCATAGGTTGCTATGGACCACCGGGGCAGAGGCTGACTGCTACCGGACGCGTCCCCCGGGTGGCGGATAGGGGAAAGCCACTCGCGACTGTTCCCCCAGACAGGAGCTTGTGGTACCGGAGCAATCCGGCGCGGACCAACAGCCAGGAGGGGCAGGGGGAGCGGTGTCAGGAGGGCGCCGTCTCCTTCTTGGAGGTAGCGCGGTGTCTCCAGCCGTTTCGCGGTAGGAGGCGCTGCGCGGGCCGTGCTGCCGGGGCTAGCCCGTCGGTGCGGCGGCTGGAGCGGGGCCAGTTCGGTGGTCCTGCGTCTGGCGTGGGTGTCGGCAGCCATTTTGGTCCGGAGGTGGGCCGACGGTAGGGGGGTCGCGGGGGAAGAGGAGTGTCGGTATGGCGATGCGCCGCTCGTCCCTATCTCCCGCGGCCTAGCGGGACCACCACCGTTGATGGTGGACGCGGTGGGGCTGTAGGGGAAGGGGAGTGTCGGCGTTGTCGCATCCTCTACTCCTGCAGCCGTTTGGGGTGGTTCGGTTTCGGACGCCGTGGAGGTTTGCCCAATTTGGGCAGGAAGGTTTAGGCTTAGGCCGCTTGTTTTTGCAGGTTGCCCACTTCGGTGGGCGGTGTTTGGTTGTGTGGGGCTGCTCCGGGTACTTCTCTGTTCAGCAGAGTGGACTTGGGAGCAGTCTCACGTCTCAGGGTTGCAAGTCTTCCCATAATGGGGTCGTCTCGCTTGGGGCGGCCTCATGGCTTCGGCCAACCGTCGGGGCGTCACGGTTGTATGCGAAAGCGGTCCCGTGGCGTCCCACATGGCGGCTGTGGGGAAAGTTGGGTTTTAGTGGGTATGCCGGTCTCATTAGCCGGAGAGTCTCCACATAACCACCCTGGGGGGGAAGTCGGGTGGTATCCGTAATAGGATTTCCCAACTATAAAAAAAAAAAAAAAATAGGTTGCTATGGACGAACCCGAGTGAAGCGAGAGTGAGTCGCTAGTTCACTTATAAAGTATTTTTACATAGAAATAAAAATTACGCCAATCTGCTATTTGGAAGAAAGCTATTTATTTATTTTAATAATGTCTACAATTATACACATTTATGAGTTACAGTACCTGGGTTACCGAGCTTCGCTCAGAGTTTTTGGCCTAAAGTACAATTTTCTTTATTTCTTTTAAAACTAAAAACTTGAATAAATATTAAAAAAACAAAAGTAAGAACTTTGTATGCGACCAAGATTTGAACCTGGACACCTGTGATTGTTGTTCTTGCAGCTCGGCCGCTTGATCACGATGCTTACTCCAAAGCGTGCAAATTACCGACCATATTTTGCGTGGAATAATGGAAAAGAATACTGCATGAAATCTCGAAAACACGCGTTTGCCCAGACATAAGACTAATCTAGATCGATTTATCGCCCTCGAAACCCCCTGCATGCTCAATTTCATGAAACCGAGATTCAGATTATATATATATATATATATATATTTTAATAATAAGCCGCATTTTATATATATATATATATATATATATATATATATATATATATATATATATATATATATATAAAATGCGGCTTCGAAAAAAATGTAGATTTCATTTAAACTTTCATCTCCTATTTTACCCCCTTATTGGACGAATTTAGAAAAATATTAAAACACGATTTATTTAATTGTATTGAAGAGCACTAATATCAAGTTTCAAGTAATTCTGACCATTTTTTTTGATCGTATTGTAACGTGTTTTCCCGTGGGAATGAGGTAATCTCAAGCGATAAAAAGTAGCCTATGTCACTCTCCAGCCCTCCAAATATCTTCACACAAAAAAATCACGAAGAAGGACAAACAAACAAACCGACTTTCACATTTATAATATTCAGTTATTCATTTATAATATTCAGTATATCAGTACCTATGCTATTTAAATTTGTAATAAGTAAACATGACCGCGCAAAGTCACAATAAATAAATTTATAACGTAATTTAAAAGCTACTCTGTTTTATCGATTTCTTTTTTCAACCGACTACTAAAAAGGAGGAGGTTCTCAATTCGTCGGAATCTTTTTTTATGTATGTTCACCGATTACTCGAAGACGCCTGAACCGATTTGGAATTTTTTTGTTTTGTTTGCAAGGGTATACTTCCCAGGTGGTCCCATACAAATTTTATTGAAATCGGTCGGGTGGTTTTTAAAAAACTCATAAATATTTTTTTTAAACAAATTGTTTAATCGAATATGTTATTAAAAACTTTCTTCCTACAAATTACCTGCTTATTGCTTTTACACTAAAAATATAAAAATAAAAACTTAAAAAAAACCCCGACTTCCAGGCACTAAAATGTAAAAAATAACTTTAGGGGGGGTTTTCATTTAGAATAGATACCTAATCAGATATATTTTAAGTTATGAATATCTAATAGGTAAATATGTATTTTACGTATCAAAATATATTAGATTTCCTATGCGTCGGCTTTTTTATTTTCATAAATTAAATCCCTATATACGAAATGTGTGTTTGTCTGCCTGTATCTGGGATACCTGCCTCTCTGCCACTATCCCGATAGGTAAACAACTTGGTGAAATTAATTTAATGATTAACTATACGTATCCAGAATAAACATAGGGTTAGATAAGATAGTTTTAAGATATAATTTATCCAGAGGATGTCCCAGAGGATTATAAAGAGATAGCAGCTTTTCTATAAAAAATCTTAAAATATGTGTGTGACATACAAACGTTCTCATTTGTAAAAGGTAGTTACGTCTCATCAATTCCCTGCCCATCTCCCAATCAGTTGGAGTCGGCGCAGTACATCTTCTGTACTGCTGATAGGATTTGGCAAAAGTTTTACAACCGGCCGCCTGTCTGACATCAACGCTTCTTGGGAATGCTATTGCGGAAAGGATCCAAAGTGCGATGACCAGCACATCTAATTTAGATTGAGGTATATAAAATTATATGATTACCAGTTGTCTTACGGTGAAAGAAAACATCGTGAGGAAACCTGCGTGTCTGAGAGAATCTAACAAATTTTCGAAAGACATGTGAAGTCCGCTCAACTATATAGTGTACCAGCGACTCACCCTCGCTTGGCTCACGTTTGTCCCTAGGTACGTTTTAACCCATAAAAAATAAACAGTTCTGAACTTTTTGATTTTCCAGCTAACTTTTTTTGGATTTTCCCTATTTTTTATACTTAAACCACATTTGACACACCCCCAACAAAAAAAAAGAATTATTCAAGTACAGTCCAGCTGTTTTTGAGTTTTGACGTGACTAACGAACAACAATTGATTTTATTTATTATTTCTTTTCTGAAGGAAAACGGGCGAAAAACGACCTCATTTTTCACATTTTTTCGATTTAAAAAAAGTTTTTGACTTTTTCAAAACTTATTTTTTGCGTTTTATAGCATTCATCAAGACGCGTCTTTTGACATCCCAATAAGATAGTTAGTCCCCACGACGCCAGGCGATGTCACAATTTCGCAGAAAATCGGGCCTATACCGAAGCGACAAAAAAAACATTTTCAATGTTAATGTTATGTTAGAGTTCTGATTGTATGCAGGGTCTAGACCAAAACATATGAGCGGAGTGCTTTCTGACGGGCATTAGAGATTTTCTGACAGAAAAAATCGTATAATATGCGGCCGGCCCGCGTGAAACATCGCTAGACAACAAATAGTACCTATTTGTAGTTTGGATATATTTTAAACATTAGAGAAACACTATAATATCAACATATGATGAGAACACAAACGGGAAAGTGGGCCAAAAAAGTAACAGAATGGTACCCAAGGACTGGAAAAAGACGTAGAGGGAGACAGGTTAAAAGATGGGTGGACAATCTTCCTAAGGGCTAGAGAAGGACAGCGCTGGATAGGCAAATGTGGAAGGAATTTGAGGAGGCCTATATCGCAAGGCAACCTGACCCGGTAGCTGATAAATATAAATCTTAGTTAAATATATATATATATATATATATATATATATATATATATATATATTAAGAACAAATTACTAAAAAAAATGTAGTTTAAATAACTTTAAATTTGTATGTATATAGAAAGGTCAGAGGAAATAAAGGCTATTTTTTTAATTTTATTTATAATATCAACTCAATATCAACTCTTGAAAAAATCGGAGCTTCCACTAATTCTTATGTTCTGGCATGTAAAATAAAATTAATTTTTTTTTAGAAAATATATATTGAAATACATTAGTATACAAAAGTGCTTGCGTTTAATTTTAATGTCATGTCCATTTGCTTTGCAACCCAGTCGTAAAATTCGGGCACTTTTGCGTAGACGCCGGGCTCGTTTTCCTTTCCGCAGCCTAAGCCGTACGTCACCATCCCCACAACTGAGTAACGCAGCCTCAATTTATCCTAAAAAATATATTATTAATGTGAGAGATTATATATGTGCTTGTTAAATTTAGTAACCCCACACTTAGATTATAACCTGGAGAAACCCATTGGTTACTGTTGGCAACGGGTGAGTAAGGGGTTAGGTTAGTAGGTAAAAAATTGGAAATTCAGAACTGCTTTTCTAAAACCTAAAAGACCTCCTTACTACATTAAATAAGGGAGTAGGTACTTGGTATACTACTCACTGGTATAGGGCAAACTAATGGGGCTCCTCCATCGCCTATGCAGGTGTCGACACCCGCTTCTCCACCCGCACAGGTCAGAGTTTTATGTAACTTGTATCGCTTCCCAAGCGTAGAAGCTCTATATTGCTCTTGACAAACATCCCCTGCTACTAACGGCAGCGTAAGCTGAAATAAAGATTTTTTTTTGTTTAGGAGCCATATATAAATTACGTCACACGAATTTAATAATTTTTTAAACCCTCCCCTCCTTGTCACAGGTGGTCCCCCCCCTCCTCCCCCTGGTGTGGCGTCACATATTTTGCAATCTTACATCCAGAACTGAATAAAATCAGAACAACAGTTCCAAAAATATTTTTTTAATAACTTCAACATCAACAGCGTGGTACAGCGAGCCGCTTGCTGCCCAGCGAAAAATCGCCAACAAAATAATATAAAAACCTTATATAACGTAAAGAAAGATCTTTTTTTTTAATTTTTCGTTTACAGTTAATGTTTTGTATTTTAAACTTTAGACTTTGACGTGTGACATCACGAAGTTTCTGACTCCTTCTGCCCTTTGTTACACAATGTCATGTCGTAGACACAGATTTTGATGAAATTTGGTATGATGGTTATTGGAGTCAACATATAGAATATTTATTTTTATTGCGGGAAAATATTTCATTTCTAAGAAATCTATACTAACCGCTAAAACGTTCCTAGGGACGAACTCGATCGGAGCGAGGTTGATTCACTAGTTAAGAATTTAAATCTGAAGATTGCACGCTCAATGTTTATACAGTTTGGCACAGTCTGTTAGATATCACACATGACAGTATATTTTTTTTGTCATTGAGAAAGCAGAGTCAATAAACCCAGCTAATATTATAAACTTGAATGTCGCGCTGAAATGGCTGGACGGATTTAGATGAGATTTAGTACGTAGATAGACTTTGATCTGGAGAAGTACATAGGTATTTTAATAATAAAATACTAAACCGTAAGACATGGCTTTTATTTATTAATACTAGACATGAAGTTACCTTTTTAAGAACTTTTGTGTTATTAAGATTTCTGGCTGTATCCTTCCCCCATCCCATGCTATAGCAGAGACTGCCAGCGCGAGGCAATGTCTTCTCTAAGCACGCCACACCGATGTGCGGTGCATTTGTTAAGTCAAACGCAGATTTTAAATGTAATAGTGCTACGTTGTAGTGGATATAAACTGTGGATTAAATTTTTATTTACGTATTGGTATAGCAAAGTCTTACATATATTCGTATTTTAATAGGACGAATAAAAATAATTATTCGTCCTTTATAGGCCTAATAAGTAAGTAAGTAGAATAAGTAGCTCGGCTCAGCTCGTTAGGTAAAAGTTATATTATTTTTGAATATAGAAACTCCTGCACCTAAAAATCATTTATTTAACATTAGAAAACAAAAAAAATGGTAAATATTCGTGGAAACCGACAATAGTCGGACGAATAATATACATTATTCATCCTATTAGCGGACGAACAGCCTCCTTTATTTATTATTCGTCCTATTAAAGTACGAATAGCAACAGCCTTAAATAAAACTATCTTTACAGAATTTATTTTGATGGTCACGAGAGAGGCGGGTCTCTCATCAAAATAAATTCGCGTGACCATGATTGCTGTAAAGCATTCGAAATATCGGGAACCAAAAATCAAAATAAATCCGCGAAAAAATTCGAAAAGATAATTTTCTTTGAAATTTTGAAATATTTACAAAAATCGAAGAAAGTATGGTGTTTAAGCATTATTCTATAAAAGCTGAAATAAGTAACCTGCCATTTTAATTTAATTTTTTTGTTTCAAATAAGCGGCGCGAGATGAAGCTGGCATGGACGAAATGAGGACACTCTAATAAACAAATGCAACACAATGTAGTGCCCCAAGGTGTCATGTTTCCTAGATATTTGAAGGTAAAGATTGCTTTTAAGAGAACTTATAGAAGAGACTAGCATTGCCCGCAGCTCCGCCCGCGTTTAGATGACCAAATACCAAATTCTTAGGTTTTATATATTAGTATACTCTTACAATGCAGTTTTTATATTTTTTCTCAGTAATGAGATGTTTTCCCGCGGTAAAAAGTATCCTATATGTTGACCTGGATAACCAGCTGTCATGATATTAAATTTCAACAAAATCCCTCTAGTGGTTTTTCCGTGATGCGGTAACAGACAGACAGACAAACAAAAATTCCAAAAACTACTAACTATGGATTTGGCCTCTGTATCGATAATAATGACTATTTCAATAAGATTTTCCAAAAAATATTTAATGTACGAGTACATATTCGACTTAGTTAGAATTTTATTATATGTATAGATAAGTTATATTTTTTTAAATACAACTGACACATTAATATTTACCTGATGAACTTGATACGTGAAACTTTCGGGCATTATATTGCTAATATTTTTATCTAAGTGCCTCCTATCCATAGATATGTATACGAAAAAATTAAATGGCAGAAGGTTGGCAATATATGTATGTACCTATTATTATATGCAAAAAGCACCCAGGGATTCCCCTGAGCAAAGTGAGTGTAAGAAGCTACTATAGAATAAATAAAAAATGCCACCTTTATCATATTTTTCGTGTATTATAATCCTTGCTACATCTCGTTCTTGATACTGGTATTGTTCATTTTTTGTTGCCCAGTTCCATTCTCCAGCGCGACATTTCAACTGAAAGAAAATAATTTATAGAAATGAAATGAAGTTAAAACTATTATATAATTAAATACATACATATATATGTACTAGCCTTGCCCGCGGCTCCGCCCGCGTTCAGATGACCAAATTCTTAGATTTTACATATATATTTATATATATATATGTAAAACCTAATAATAATATAAATATACATATAGTAAGTATACTCATACATTGCAGTTTTTGTATATTTCCTCAGAAATGAGACATTTTAACGAACGAACGAAAAGTATCCTATATGTTGCCCCGGATAACCAGCTATCACCATACCAAATTTCATCAAAATCCGTCCAATGGTTTTTGTGTCATGCGGTAACAGACAGGCAGATAAAAATTCTAAAAACTATATATTCGGCCTCTGTATCGATAATAATGTCTATTTCAATAAGATTTTCCAAAAAATATTTAATGTACAGATTCGGCTTAGTTACAATTTCATTTTATATATGTATGCTCGTTATACTATAATTTAAAGAAGTCAGTAGCCGGTCCGTGGGGAAAATAAGACAGTTCTGCTTGAATGAACTGGCCAAAAACCACTCTTCTTCCCTCCTCAGTCTACTTACGTAATACTTAACGACCCAATATGGTTGTTTTAGTGTTACCAGTATTTAATGAAATTGTAAAAATACAAACCGTCCCAGGGTCCGTAACTTTGTCAACTTTATGCGCTACTGTCATCACAACGGAGGGATGGATGATTGTGCCTCCTCCAATATATTCGTCTGTAAATGTCGCAGTTGGCGTATTTTTCTTACTGTAAAGAATAGTATTTGTATTAAAAATTATCGTTGAAAACGAACATCGAACTTTGTATCAATTAGACTTGTATTTTATATCTATACATATAATAAAATTGTAACTAAGTCAAATCTGTACATTAAATATTTTTTGGAAAATCTCATTGAAATAGACATTATTATCAATACAGAGGCCGAATCTATAGTTTTTAGAATTTTTGTCTGTCTCTCTGTCTGTCTGTCTGTTACCGCATCACAGAAAAACCACAGAGGGATTTTGATGAAATTTGGTATGGTGATAGCTGGTTATCCGGGTCAACATATAGGATACTTTTCACCGCGGGAAAATATCACATTTCTGAGAAAAAATACAAAAACTGCAATGTAAGAGTATAATCATATGTAAAACCTAAAAATTTGGTTTTTAGTCATCTGAACGTGTAATATGTGTGTAAGTTTGTTACTCCTTTAAAATACATACACCATTAAAGCAACCATCCATGGAAAGTCCGCGTACACCGCAGAAGTAGCTCTGTCATTCATTTCCCTCAAAGAAACAGCTCCAGGGTTGCCATAGCCGCAACCGAGGGCGCTGGGCGGAGGCTTTGCAGATGGTGTTATAACATTTGCAGTCGGGCAGCATATTTCCATCCATCCACATTGATTTTCTTGTCTGAAAATATTCATTGTCGTTTGTACGTCATTCGTTCTTAATAACTCGCTAATGGCCGATTTCACCAACGTCACCTAAGTTTAAGGCATCCCCTAAGCATGGTTAGGGGGCTGTTAGGGGACAGTTTCTGTTTCACCGACAGTTAGGGGTCACCTAAATGTTAAAATGCCACCTAAATATAGTTAATAGAAATACGGGCTCTGATGATGGTCAAACGAAATTTAATTTAGGGGCTAGTTTAGTAGAACTTTTAAGCTAGGGATACGTAGGTGGTAGCTTATGGGATGTTGGTGAAATCGGGCATAAATCAGTCATTTAGACATTTTTGTATCGCTCTAGCTCAAGATGAGATAAAGAGGTTTTCTTTAAAAAACCGAGATAAACTCAAGACACAATTACCGTCTCAAAATTGTTCTCAAAAAGAAGTCCACAATTCGAAATTGTGCGCTTTTTCAGATCTCTTTTGTTCATTGCTTTTCGGATGACAGAATTTAAACACAAGTCGTTTCGTTTAAAAATGTACTTTATGTGGTGCACGTAAGTTTGAATTTGTGTTTAAACTAATAGAACTGTCGATTTTAAATTTCATGCCAACGCCACTTTCTTAAGAAATATCTGGTAGGAAACGTATCTATGTCTCAACCTCAATAAATCAAAATGTTTTATTTACGTAGTCAATTAATAAGATGCTTCGTTTTGACTTGATATCTTATATACGTAGATACATAAATAAAAATGAAAGCTGTTCGTTTGTACGTGCATCACTTGGTCTGGACTGGACTGTGCGGTTATAAAATGTTCTTAATAGGTTGAATAGATTTTTTGGAGATAAATTGGATAAATATATGTGTTCAAAAAAACTCTAGGTCCATTCCCTATAAATAAGCGATGGTCCGTCTACACGATACAGGCTTAGTACAGCCTTACGTAAATTTCTATAGAATTTTGTCTGTGCAACATAGCAGTATCGACAAATATTGGTGTATTGGAAAAGTCGGAGCTATACATAAAAGTTTAAAGTGTGCATGTATGTCTACATATTATTTGGAGCCAATAAAATAATCAGTAAGTAATTATTAAATAATAAAGAAAAGAAATAAATTTAAATATATCTTTTAAGTCCGTACAAGCATTTTGTCGACATATTTGCGATTGCGTGAACTTTTATAGTCAATCACAAATATGTCAACTTTTCAGTCTGTACAGATGTTTGTAAGACAAAAGTTGTATTAAAACTGTATCGTGTGGACGCACCATAATAAAATTAAATTTTGAAGCTTAGCGAACAGCGACTAAAACTCTAGTATTGATTAAAACGAAACTTAAAGAAATATTGAAATAATATTCGGTTTTATCAATTCAATATTAGGTGTAATTAGCCAAATTACAAATGTCTTGGTCAAATTATGCCTCTATTATATGGATTTAAAAAAAATACTTACGAATCGGCTTTGGGGACTACATCTCTTCTGGATCGGGAATTCGTATTTAAAGACCTAAAAGAATAAAACAAAATAAGAATATGGCAATAATATTTATTATCAATATTTTCACTGTCAGTCATTTTAACTGGCGTTAAAGTCTGATTTTTAACTCCACGGATATATGACAGCTGTCATTCTTTGACAATTCAGATATCATAAACCTTTTCTGCTTTGATTTTTTTTATTATAAAATAAACAAAAAATATGAAACAGAATTAGATGAAGTAAACTATATGTATGACATTGTAAATACTTTTTATTTTATGCAATCAATGCACGCTAACTACAATGTAAATTTTTAATGGTTAAATGAATAAAACAGAGTAAAACAAAATATTTTACAAACAAAGGGGTTTTCCTAAAAAAGGCTTGCAACCTATGGATTATTGGACAGGGATTCCTGTAATAGAAAAATAATTTCCTTACTAATTATTGTAACTTCAATAATATGATAATAAAAAAATAATTACCATTTTAGAGTTATCAATAATTTTTTAAGTCTTAGTTTTTCTAATTGAAACCTTAACTTCAAGAAAGGTTTATTTTTTTATTTTGCTCAAAATGCTATCCGTTTGTAGTGACAATGTTTAAAAGTTGACAACACTTCTGAAATGTCAGAATTCCGTCAAATTAAAAATCACACTTTAGTTAATATTCAGTGGCTTTATATAAAATATTGAATTTAAAATGTCAATTCTACTGGTATACAACATAGACTTAGAGAGTGGACGGACTGTTTCTTTACCAGCCGTCAGCTAAAAATGGTGTAAAGGTGCGACAGAGACAAAACGAATGCGCGGCCAGTAGTCTTCTGTATTAATTGAAATATTAGTAAAGTTAGAAAATAGAAATACATACATTCTATTATAATATTATATTTTTTTAATAAATTATAATATTGTCTTAATTCAAACTGGAATAAGACAGGTACCTATTGGCCGCACGTTCGATTTCTCTCTTTCTAGAGAGTGGTCAATTTCGTAAGAGTATTGCTCAGTCGATTCTCTACGTCTATGGTATTCAATAAATAAATATGTTGGGACATTAACACACAGCACCATCTACCATGGTAAGCTACGAGGCTTGTGTTATGGATACCAGATATTTGATACACTACACATATATAACTTTAAATACATATATGTTATAAATATAAATAGCCATGACTAGAGTACAAACATTCGTGCTTATCACACAAATGAATGCCCCTAGCGGGACTCGAACCCGCGACCGCTGGTGCAGCAAGTAGGGTCACTACAAACTGAGCCACCATCCCAGTATGATGGACTATGGTCAGTTCCAATGGGAGAAAATCGTGTCGAACAGTGGGAAACTAAAAAGGCTAAATAAATATAACTTTTATCTATAACTAGCGGCAGATTTTGATAAATTAGGATGGACATAGGCATTTCATCCGCGCCATCAGGGAAGACCTAGTTTTATATAAAGCAGGGTATATCCATATTAGCAATATATTGCTTACAAAAAATCGATACTTTATAATATTATACATGTAAAAGTGTTTGTTTGTTTGTTTGTTTGTTTGTTTGTTTGTTTGTCCTTCTGTCACGTTGAAACGGAGTGACGGATTGGCGTGATTTTTTGTGTGGAGATAGTTGGAGGGATGGGGAGTGACGTAGACTTTTTACCGCGGGAGAATATCTCATTCCCACGGGAAAACACGTTATAATACAATCCAAAAAATTATTTATGATCAGAATTACTTGAAACTTGGTATCAATGTTCTTCAATACAATTGAATAAATACGTGTTTTTGCATTTTTCGAAATTCATCCCATAAGGGGGTAAAATAGGGGATGAAAGTTTGTATGAAACCTTCCTTTTTAGAGCTTTTTTTGTAGTTTTAGCGCGAGCGAAGCCACGGGTTCTGCTGGTATAAACATATATGTAAACTGTAATGTAATAAAAAATAAATAAATTTGTTATCACCGCAATGTAAATGTTGTAACCGGGTCGACGGTTGGAGACGAGCATAATGATTTTTTGACACACACTCCAATTTCACTGCTATCTATCTCACATTCTAGAAAAAAAATATACTCATTAATAGATAGATAGATAGATAAAATAAAATATTTGCGATCTTCGTTATTCAGCAAGTCTTCGTCACCTAGTCAGCTTTTTCGAGCTATAAAACTAACTCTTGGCGTCGGGTCAACATATAGGATACTTTTTACTGCGAGAAAATATCTCATCTCTGAGAAATCTATACTAAACGTTAAAAGGTAAGTAGGGACGAACTCGAGCTGAGTGAGGGTGAGTCGCTAGTCTATACATATAATAAAATTGTAACTAAGCCGAATCTGTACATTAAATATTTTTTGGAAAATCTTATTGAAATAAACATTATTGTCTATACAGAGGCCGAATCTATAGTTTTTAGAATTTTTGTCTGTCTGTCTGTTACTGCGTCACAAATCCCTCCAGTGGTTTTACCACTGGAGGGATTTTGATGAAATTTGGTATGGTGATAGCTCGTTATCTGGGTCAACATATAGAGTACTTTTTAACGCGAGAAAATGTCTCATTTCTGAGAAAAAATACAAAAACTGCAATGTAAGAGTATATTAACATGTAAAACCTGACAATTTGGTTTTTGGTCATCTGAATGCGGGCGGAGCCGCGGGCAATGCCAGTAAAATATAAAAGCGTTGGCTAAGTGTTGACAAAAAATTTAATTTGATTTAATTTGAAGAAGAAAGCTTTATTACATTTTTCTTTACTTATAATATATTTTTTAAATCAAAATTTGCCTTTCCAATTTATTTATTCTTTTCTCAAAATAGACCAAAAATTGGATTCCAAGTATTTTAATAAACTATTTTAAAATATCATATTTCCGAGTGTTAAGAACATTAAAATGACAGCGGTTGGAATTGACACAGAGGTTCTTTCGCTTATATAAAAAAAAATGTTGTTGAAGTTCAATTCGATATCGAAAATAAATAAATAAATACGACGGCACATTAACACACAGCGCCATCTAGTTCCATAGTAAGCTACGAGGCTTGTGTTATGGATACCAGATAGTTGATACACTACACATATATAACTTTAAATACATACATATTATAAATATAAACACCCATGACTGAAGTACAAACATTAATGCTCATCACACAAATGAATACCCCCAGCGGGACTCGAACCCGTGACCGCTGGCACAGCAAGTAGGGTCACTACAATCAGAGCCAAACGTGTCTTCAATAATGTTCAAATACCTGTATATTGAGTATCTCCATTAGTGTTTTGGTCATATTCTTTTAAGATTGCTTCTTCTGCCACAGTCCAGGGGTCGATGACACTGGTATTGTGTGTGTCTGCGCTGAACGCAACTACTACACCTAAGAGAATTTTTGTTTTTAGAATTTTTGTCTGTCTGTCTGTTACTGCGTCACAGTAAAACCACTGGAGGGATTTTGATGAAATTTGGTATGGTGATAGCTCGTTATCTGGGTCAACATATAGAGTACTTTTTACCGCGAGAAAATGTCTCATTTCTGAGAAAAAATACAAAAACTGCAATGTAAGAGTATATTAACATGTAAAACCTGACAATTTGGTTTTTGGTCATCTGAATGCGGGCGGAGCCGCGGGCAATGCTAGTAAAATATAAAAGCGTTGGCTAAGTGTTGACAAAAAATTTAATTTGATTTAATTTGAAGAAGAAAGCTTTATTACATTTTTCTTTACTTATAATATATCTTTTAAATCAAAATTTGCCTTTCCAATTTATTTATTCTTTTCTCAAAATAGACCAAAAATTGGATTCCAAGTATTTTAATAAACTATTTTAAAATATCATATTTCCGAGTGTTAAGAACATTAAAATGACAGCGGTTGGAATTGACACAGAGGTTCTTTCGCTTATATAAAAAAAAATGTTGTTGAAGTTCAATTCGATATCGAAAATAAATAAATAAATACGACGGCACATTAACACACAGCGCCATCTAGTTCCATAGTAAGCTACGAGGCTTGTGTTATGGATACCAGATAGTTGATACACTACACATATATAACCTTAAATACATACATATTATAAATATAAACACCCATGACTGAAGTACAAACATTAATGCTCATCACACAAATGAATACCCCCAGCGGGACTCGAACCCGTGACCGCTGGCACAGCAAGTAGGGTCACTACAAACAGAGCCAAACGTGTCTTCAATAATGTTCAAATACCTGTATATTGAGTATCTCCATTAGTGTTTTGGTCATATTCTTTTAAGATTGCTTCTTCTGCCACAGTCCAGGGGTCGATGGCACTTGTATTGTGTGTGTCTGCGCTGCACGCAACTACTACACCTAAGAGAATGATGTTACTTATCCTGAAAAATTTGACAAGTGAGTGCATATCTTATATCTTATATATATATATATATATATATATATATCACACATAACAAAATGATCCTACATATATATATATATATATATATATATATATATATATATATATATATATATATAGGATCATTTTGTTTACAATAGGTACTGTTGTGAAATTATTAAAAAATTAAATACAATAAAGCCTTAATTGTGGTGGAAATATATATTGTACATAAAAAATGATGTTTACTATTCGTTAAAGGTATGTTTATCTTTAGTAATCACATAGTTAGGTAAAGAAATGTATGGAAATGTATTAGATATGTTGTAATTTTAACTCTCAATAACTTTTTACTGTAACGTTTCCTAAAAATATTTTTTATATATTTTGACTCTCTTTCCCTATCCAAAAATACCACCCACTCCGCCCGTTGGTAACAAAATTAGATATTTTTTTGTAGTTTTATCGCGAGTGAAGCCACGGGTTCTGCTAGTAATGTTTTCGCTTGGGAAACTGAGTGAAGCGGGTTCAAATCCCGGGTCTTGCACCTCTGATATTTTCATGTTCGAATCATTTCTAACATGATTACAACTTGCCCTACGGTGAAGGAAAAACATCGTGAGGAAACCTGCAGTCTGAGAAAACCTAGCAAGTTTTCGAAAGACATATGAAGTCCGCCAACCCGCACTTGTCCAGCGTGGTGGACTATGGCCTGATCCCCCTCATATTGAAGGGAGGCCCACTCCCAGCAGTGGAACGTTAAAAAGGGCTGAATTCATTCAAAAAGAAATTGCCAATTGCATTCAATCCAAACATGCATTAAACTATATAATTTCGCTATATTTATTGCCAAATTTGATAATTTTGATTTGCTTTTTCCCTCTCCCATTTCGTTATCACTTTTGCACACACACAAAAACACGAGTTTATTTTAATACTTAAAAGAAATAACCCAAGGGATTCTTGCGCACGCTTATTTGCAATAAAATTGTACAATCACTTACCACATTATTCAAGGAAATATAATATAATGATGTCCACTAATCTTCCTTTAACATTAAACTTAATAGCAGAAAGCAGTAGAATACGCTTTTATACGATTTTTAGTGTTGTGAACATCATCAGAGAAGTTTTTTATCGAGCAAATATTATGTTTTGTATAACATAAATTTTTATTGATCGATTAAAAGTAGTACAAATGTTTGAAGCAAATATACGGTATTGCTAGTACATTATAATATGTAATATTTATAATCAAAAGTAACTTTTATTCAGCCCATTTTAACGTCCCACTGCTGGTCCACCAAGTTGGCCAAAACAGAGAGAACGTAAAATAAATAAAAGAGTAATTTTATTGAAAATAATTTACAAGTAAGAATAATGGTTTCACTGAGTTTTTTTTTTAAATCGAGTCAAAGTAAGTCGAAAAACATCTATTAAAAAAGTACTACATACACAATCAATGACAAAAATATCCTCAACGAGTAAGCGCTCATTTGAAAATTTGAGCGCGTTATTTTTTGTGAAAACAACTTTAAGCATTGCATTTAAGATTCAACTTGCATTGTTGTACATTTCAACTAGAATAGTTACCTAAACACAATTGGTGTCAGTTTTGAAAGAACTTTTGCATGGGATTGTGTTTCCTAGTACTTTTGTTATCGATGTCGAAAAAAAATAATCTCGTTTCCAAGATATCGAGGTTTGAAATTTTAATTTCTAAATTACATATTTTACAGAAGGCATTGTTTTGTACGCTGAAAACTTAGATTTCTACTTTGTCGATAATTAAAAAAAAAACAATAATAGTACACCTACTTGTAATCGGTTAATATGAATTGTCAGGTTTAGCCACAAAATATTTTGTACTACCAAAGTATCGATATAATTTCCAGGCCTATTATTTATTTATCATACAGTGGTGATGACTTCTTTAAGGTCAGAACTGATAACCCGTTGTTTAAAATGATTTTAATCATAAAGTATGCTGTTTGTAAAAACCCGTCCATTCGCATAATACCCACAAAATAAAAGGTATTTTAAATCAAATGAAATCAAAATATTATATTCAGCATTAAATTATTACAATTTTTTACTGAACGTCATGAGTCTACTACCAGTTCGGAAAGAAGAAGCCTCAGGCCTGAGAAGAACTGGCGAACGAAACTCAGCGGGACCAATATCTTTTCTTAAAGTATAATCTTTTTTTAAAGTAAAATTATAATTTACAATATTTCTTATCAAGTTGAAGTAGCCTGGAGGCGATCATTTCATTCCCAAGGTGTGCCATCTTCTATAAAATCATTTATTGTATAATAGCCTTTAGCACACAAAGGTTCTTTAACATTTTTTTTTGAATTTGGCAACATTTTCTGGGATCCTATTGTACAAGCGTATACATTGTCCATAAAAAGAATTACTGGCTCTGTGTAGACGAGTCACAGGCATTACAAGTTTGTGTTTGCTCCTAGTATTAATGTTATGCATGTCACACTTCTTGGGAAATTCGTGTATATTTTTACGGACATCAATCAATATTTTTATTTCTTTAAACTTATCTCTTAATGACATTCTAGGACCTAGACTATAAATTGCACGAATAGCTCTTTTTGAAAAGAAAGAACACAGATCTTTTTTATACAACAGTCGTTATTAGTATATACATTTTTGTTCTTATGGTTGCCATACACGTACGAACAGGTTCTCGACACCGATAATCAGACTTAAAACGACAATCATCATCTCCCTGCCCATTTCCCAATCACTTGTGGTCGACGCAGTACATTTTCTGTACTGCTGATAGGATTTGGCAAAAGTTTTACGACCGGCTGCCTGCCTGACGTCAACCCTCCTTGGGAATATTTTTGTTTATCGGGGAAAGGCCCCAAGGTGCGATGACCGGCACATCTAATTATGTATCTCTTGTGATATGTATATTCCATATTGTTTTCTTTTAAAATATTTTTACAAGTATTACTTAAAGTTTTAAAGTAATTTTCTGATATATTTTTATGTAGACTTCCAACTACAATATCAAAACATAAATCTTCAATGATCCACCATGATCAACCAACAATACCAATCCACATGTCTTCAACGAATGTCACGGTGGCTTCTTGACCCCATTCTAGACGCGGCCTCTGCTCTTGATTTGAATTTGCTTTAAAAGCAATAAAAACTAAACTAAATAACATAGTGACTTTAAACAATAATATAGATTGTACATTTTACCAGAAAAAAGTAACTAACTCCTTTTTTAACGTTGGGAAATGTATTTAGGCACGAGGAGGACTCACTGGCAAAGCCAGTACTACCCACTTAAACCCTACGGAATCTCCCGCGTCTTAATGGCGCGTCCAGTGTGACAACAGCCATGGGGTTGCTCACAGTCCACTCTGCTATTAAATAAGTACCAGGAGCAACCCGCATAGCACACCGCCCACCGAGGTGGGCCGTCTCCCAGGGCGTTTCTTAGCTTCGCGCCCGGCGGGTTTGCCGGGCACTACTGAGCCTTCCACCACGATAAGGTGAACGCATGTTGGAGGGGAAGTAACTAAGTCCTCCTCCAATAAATATAACAGCATGTGTTCTAGCTGGCCTGATGATGGAACCAGGAAGAGAATAGCGGATATTTTTAAAAGCTACTGAATAGCCATAGCATCGAATTTGACATTTTGGCTCATTTCACTTGATTTAAAAAAAAATTAGACGTTGCACTCGGGCAAAAGTATGTTATTTTAGATTCTAATTATTATTAAATGCTAATCTGTTTGTACCGCATAAAATTCAATAAGAGGTCCATAAGTGTTTCTTACGATTCCGGTAATCCAACGCCGATCATCTGAATCCGATGATTAAAAAGTATTTGAAACAAAGTTAATAAATTCTGAAGAGTACTTCACAACGTCATTAACTTCAAGTTTATTTGTTTGTAGTTAAGGTGTTTGTGTTTTTTAAATCTAAATAGCATTAAAATGTAAAAAATCAAAAATCAAAATTAACATTATTGTTTTAACATAAATATATTGTATTTTTAACCCCCGACGCAAAAAGAGGAGCGTTATAAGTTTGACGTCGATGTCTGTCTGTGTGTGTGTCTGTGGCATCGTAGCTCTCAAAGGGATGGATTGAATGCGATGCAGTTTCTTTCATTTGAAAACCAGTTTCCTTGCGGTGGTTCTTAGCTATGTTTGGTTAATATCGCTTCAGTAGTGTAAGAGTATCAGTTATTTTCCAAAATGATGTAAGGCATTTTGGCGTTTGATTACTCGATTAAGTGCCAGTGCAATCGTTACATGACAATTAATTTGCGTAGGGTTTTTTTTTAATTTTTAATTTATAATTTTAAAAACTGTACCAGCAGTCTGTAAATAGCCTCAGTTCTATAAAGAACTGCCGAAAGAAACTCAGCATAATAGCAAAAAAAACCTACTATTGAATTTCATATTTTTCATTTGGATTTATTTTAAATATGCTCGACTAAAAAAACAGATACCCAAATCGCGGTAAATGCTCAATATTCTTATAAGAATATTGAGCATTTACATTCTTATAAGAATATTGAGCATTTACCGCGATTTGGGTATCTGTTTTTTTAGTCGAGCATATTTAAAATAAATCCATACATATAATAAAATTGACACTAAGCCGAATCTGTACGTAAAATATTTTTTGGAAATTCTTATTGAAATAAACATTATCGATAGAGAGGCCGAATCTATAGTTTTTAGAATTTTTGTCTGTCTGTCTATTACCGCATCACGGAAAACCCACTGGAGGGTTTTTGATGAAATTTGGTATGAAGGTAGCTGGTTATCCGAGTCAACATATAGGATTTAGACTTTTTACCGCGGGAAAATATCTCATTTCTGAGAAAAAATACAAAAACTGCATTGTAAGAGTATACTAATATGTAAAACCTAAGAATTTGGTTTTTGGTCATCTGAACGCGAGCCGGAGCCGCGGGCAATTCTAGTATAATATTCATATATGGTCAGAGCTAGATTTACTAGTATGGGGCAAAAAAGGCCCTTAAAAATAAGTATATCAAAGATTTTTTCCCTAACCTTTATTTGCTAAATTTTACTACTTTATTATAAATGCGAAAGTTTGCATGGATGGATTTGTTACTCAATCACGGTACAATGGCTGAACGGATCTGGGTGAAATTTGGCACAGGGATAGATTATAGTCTGGAATAGCACATAGGCTATTTTTTATCTGGGAAAAATGTACGGCCCCCGTGGGACAGATTTGTTTTTTTTTCACTAGGGTCCCGAGCAAGCGGGCGAGGGTTAGCCGCTAGTATCTTCATATTTGCAAACAGCTGAAAATTTCTGTTATTTGATGGGATCTTTGCAACAAATGGTCCTCTAAATCCGGATCTACAAATAAATATTTATGGATCCGGTTTTTTATTTTATAGATATATTAAAAATTACGGTGATGTCATAACTTTATATATAACGGGGTTACCAGAAGAGAGATAAGGTATGGGGGAAAACCACTCACACGTTTTAAATAATAAACCTACTCTGGGTACAAAATAAACTATATTTTTTTATAGTTATAATCAGTTCGATTTGTGTAGTCGTTTAATTAATACAATAATACAAAAATGGCGCACTTTAGGTAAAAATTATTTTTACTTTTATATAGTATTTTTAACGTTGGATTTTTAACTGCCTCGCTGGCCTAGTGGTTTGTATTTAATGCAGCAGATCCGGAAGTGCTGGATTCGATTTCCGTTAAAAATTTATTTCTGTTAAAAAATACCCAATAAATAGCCTATAGTTGGGACATTGGCGATGTTGTCCCTTGTCTCGGAGAGCACCTAACAATGTCGGTCGTACGACTTAACTCTCACTGATCGTGTCGTGTAGTTCCCACCTTCCTCAGTAAATAATCTTCCTTCTTCTTTGCAAAACTTTCAATATTATTTATGTTGCAGGATTGGAATTTTAATAGCAGTACTGATAGTGATCGTGTCTGCTGCACCACAGGGCGATGATGATGGTAAAATAATTCAATACTAATCTGAATACGATACTAGGGATTTACCCTGGCTTCGCTTGGATGCGTCCTTATATACCTTATATTTATACACAAGCTGCGTCACATTTTGGCAAATTTAATTACTATAGCCTATATGTTACTCTGCGTCTGTTTCTGTACTAAACTTTACCAATATATATATATATATATATATATATATATATATATATATATATATATATATATATATATATATATATATATGGTCGGTAATTTGCACACTTGGGTATAAGTATCGTGTTCAAGCGGCCAAAGTGCAAGATCAACAATCACAGGTGTCCAGATTCGAATCTCGGTTGCATACAAAGTTTTAACTTTTATTTTTTTTTATATTTATTCAAGTTTTTAGTTTTTTTTTTAAGAAAGACGCAAGATTGACAATCATAGGTGTCCGGGTTCGAATCCCGGTCGGATACAAAGGTATAATAAGGTTTTCTTTGTATTTATTCAAGTTTTTTGTTTTTTTTAAAGAAAATTGTACTTTATTAAATAAAACTATCTTTTCGGATTATTTCGCGGATTTATTTTGATTTTTGGTTCCCGACGTTTCGAATGCTTTACAGCATCCATGGTCACGGGAGAGACTTGTACTTTTCAACCAAAACTCCGAGTGAAGCTCGGTGGCCCAGGTACTATATTGTATGTGTATGTATATATATATACATACATATATAGCTCGGGGTTCGGTTATCTCTCTTTATGTTTTTGCTTGTCGTGGTAGCCTTTAAGTAGAACAACCTTCACCAATTGTAAAATTTAGACATGTAGTTTTGGCACGATTTAAGAGTATGTTCTGTTGGCTACCCAAAATAAATAAATAAATATATGATGTTCTTCCCTGGCCGATTCCGGCCACGGCGGCCAATCTCATTGAGACTAGCCAACTGCGCAGGAGATATTATAGTGCACAAGTGAACGCGCAGACACAAGTGCACTCTCTATTCCTATCACTCTCATACTCCGGTGGGACGACCATTCGACACGACCGGTGAGAGCTAAGGCGCAGGACCGACGGCTTTACGTGCTCTCCGAGGCACGGAGGTGACGCATCGCCTACTTCCCAACTCCGGGCTGTTACTGAGGCTTAATATACAGAAAGACTCAATAACTAAACTTTGCCCGACCCGGGACTCGAACCCAGGACCTCCGAGTGTGCAGCCGTACATGCTAGCCACTACACCACAGAGGCAGTCATAAATAAATATATATATAATATATAGACGACTCGTTTGGCTCAGTTTGTAGTGACACTACTTTATGTGCCAGCGGTCGCGGGTTCAAGTTCCGCTGGGGGCATTCATTTGTGTGATGAGCATTAATGTTTGTACTTCAGTCATGGGTGTTTATATTTATAATATGTATGTATTTAAAGTTATATATGTGTAGTGTATCAACTATCTGGTATCCATAACACAAGCCTCGTAGCTTACCATGGAACTAGATGGTGCTGTGTGCTAATGTCCCAACAGATTTATTTATTTATTATTTATTTATAAATAAATCCGTCCAGTGGTTTCATCGTGACGGACTAACAACCATACTAACATTTACTTATAATAGCGGTCCGAATAAAAATTAATTTTATACAGATACGCCTGTTGCCTGCAAAACTCCAACCGGCAAAAGCGGAACTTGTGTACATTACTATTTTTGTGATCCTGGTTATAAAGATTTTGATATCGATCTCGACTGGAGGTACTTATTTTTTATTATACTAGATATTTTTTTAAATCAGCACTATTAATATAGAGGTAAAATTTGTAAGTTTGTATGTAGGTGGTAATCTCTGAAAGTACTGATGCAAATCTGAAAATTCTCTCACTAATAACTACATTACCGCTGTCTGATAGAAATGTGTTTACTCTCAGAAATCATTTTAATTGAATTATTTTAATATTTTAATAATTTTAATTGAATTATTTTAATACTTTAATCATTTTAATTGAATTATTTTAATAATAATTTCATTAAAATTTTAATTTTTTAGCTTCCAATAAGCGATATCGATAATTATGGTCATGTAAAACATCAGTAATAGACTGCTCTCGCTTAGGAAATCTACTAAAGCAGCTCCAAATCCTGGGACTCGCACCTCTGATATTTTCATTACCACTAGTTTTACGTTTAAGGCAAATATCGTGAGGGAACCTACATGTCTGAGAGAACCTATCAAGTTTCCAAAAGACAATTCTGAAGTCCGCTAAGCACTTGTCCAGCGTGGAGGACTATAGCCTGATCCACCTCGTATTGAAATGATGCCCGTGGCTTTTCTCCAACGATTGTAGAGTGACATACATACATATGTCCATACGCTTAAGTCCCCAGATTTGTTTGACACAGAGCATGAGAAAATAGAATAGCTATATTTATTTTTTACTATAAACTTATCGTAAATGTTTTAATTATATGTTTTTTTCTTTCAGACAATGTGCCGACTACCTCGATATATGCTGTCCTGGAGAATTTTTAAAGGATTATAATTTGATCCGAATATAATAATATTTATTAAATAATACTAAAAATGTGTAATTTACATATTTTAAATTGTTTTATATAGTAAATGTATTAGTAATTAATTTTAATGTTTACGCTGCACTTTATTTCTATTTTTAAACTACCAGCGACTCAACCTCGCTTCGCTCGGGTCCGTCCCTACCTTGCTTACCCATACAAACTTTCATCCCCATTTTCATCCCCTTATGGGATGATTCCGGGATAAAAATATATAAATATTCGGATAAAAATATAAAAATATATAATATATAGATTTTCAGTATAAAAAGAGCCCTATGTCGTTTCCAGGGTCACAAACTATCTTCTTACCAAATTTCATCTAAACTTTCAGTAGATCCAGAGATTACCCCCTACAACGTCACAAACTCACAATTCACAAACTTTATCTCTGTATAATATTAGTATATATTAGTATAGATAAAATAAACTAATCATATTAAATATTTGCTTTTATTTCCTTTTCCTCCTTCTTTATCTACACATATAATAAAATTCTGAGTCGAATCTGTACATTAAATACTTTTTGGAAAATCTTATTGAAATATTCACAATTATCGAGACAGAGGCTAAATCTGTAGTTCTTAGAATTTTGTCTATCTGTCTGTCTATCTCGGAAACCTACATTAGAATTACCTAAATTAAAACCTACATTAGAATTAGTTGAAGCCCCGATATTTTCGAGTGTTGATATTATTTTGATTGTCTTATGTTTAAAAAATATCTAAAGTCGAATATTAATTATATATATATATATATATATATATATATATATATATATATATATTATATGGTCCTATTTAAATAATAATTTGTTGCCTAGCCACGTTTTAAATAGGTAAAAAAGAACCGAACCAGATATGTGTTTTCCCGTAAGAGTGAGTGACTTTCCTGTAGTAAAAGGTATCTTGAATGTTGGCCCGATGAATAAGTAATATCATAGTTAATCCATAATCGTTAATCCGTTCAGTACTTTTTGCTTAGAAATAAACAGATACACAGACAAACAGACTAAAATTTTAGTAACTGTTTTCTTGAAGTCTACATTCTAAACACAATACATAAAAGTCATTATTTAAGAAAATATTTGTTGTACATATTTCGCATTGTTACTATTTTTAACCGACTTCCAAAAAGGAGGAGGTTCTCAATTCGTCGGAATCTTTTTTTTATTTATGTTTACAGATTACTCGAAGACGCCTGAACCGATTTGGATTTTTTTTGTTTCAAAGGGTATACTGCCCAGGTGGTCCTATTTAAATTTTATTTAAATCGGTCGAGAGTTTTTAAAACATCGGCAATAAATTATTTTATTAAATAAATTGCTTAATCGAATATGTTATTAAAAACTTTCTTCTTACAAATTACCTGCATATTACGTCTACACTAAAAATGGAAAAATAAAAACTTAAAAAAACCGACTTCCAGGCACTAAAATGTAAAAAATAACTCAACGGGGGTTTTCATTTAGAATAGATACCTAATCAGATATTTTCGAAGTCGGTGCCAGCCGACAATATTTTAAGATATAAATATCTAATAGGTAAATATGATTAGGTATGAACTCTAATTGTAGTTAAAATATTATACATCACTTTGTGACGTTTTTTACGTATCGAAATATTAGATTTGCTCTGCATCGGCTGGCACCGACTCCAAAAATATCTGATTAGGTATTGTTAGCATAGTCGTCATAATTTTACATCTTTTAATTTAATATATCTGTATTTATTATAATAGATTAAAATAAATGAATTAAAGAGACAATAATAATGTTAAATAATAATTATTTATGAATTAGATTTACATAAATACGATGGCATTGATGGCAACATTCTTTTTTTTTTCATTATTAAAAATGTATGTGACACAACTGTCATATTGACAGGGTGAAGAGTGCGAGTAACGGTACGGTGTGTTATTTCATTAATGTAAATTTAAATTATTTAAATACATTAATAAGCGAATGTAATAATTGGGTATTTAATTTTAAGTGCTATACTAATAGTATCTATTCTAAATGAAAACCCCCCTTTAGTTATTTTTTACGTTTTAAATTTTTTGAGCGGAACTCTAATTCTTTTTCAACCGACTTCAAAAAGGAGGAGGTTCTCAATTCGACTATATTTTTTTTTATGTTTGTTACCTCAGAACTCCGTCATTTATTAACCGATTTGGACAATTTTTGTTGTGTTTGAAAGGGTATACTTCCAGATTGGTCCCATTTAAATTTCAAAAAAAAATACCGATACCCTAAGGGTGGAAAAACAACTAATTATGAATTTAACCTAATTGTCATATTGACTTGAAACTTTGCAAGTATTTCTATTTCCGTTGATAGTATAGTGGTTCGGTGTTGTTGACCTGATCTGATGGCAAGGCCAGAAGGTGGATAGGTGGAACTCTTCAACGGCTAATAGTAGATACTTTGAGTTTGGGCTTATTTTGATTGATATGACAAGCCTAACACGTTAGAATTCTTACTTTGCTACTACTGTCTACACTAAAAAGGGAAAAATAAAAACTTTTTAACAAAAAAATAAAAACCGACTTCAAACAAAAGCAATAAAAAGTGATGTTCTCCTCCTAGCTGATTCCAGCCACGGCGGCCAATCTCAATGAGATTAGCCAACTGCGCAGGAGATATTATAGTGCTCAAGTGTACGCGCAGACACAAGTGCACTCTCTATTTCTATCACTCTCATACTCCGGTGGGACGACCACTCGACACGACCGGTGAGAGTTAAGGCGCAGGACCGACGGCTTTACGTGCTCTCCGAGGCACGGGGGTGAAACACCGCCAACTTCCCAACTCCGGGCTGTTACTGAGACTTACTATATAGGAAGACTCAATAACTAAACTTGACCCGACCCGGGACTCGAACCCAGGACCTCCGCGTGTGCAGCCGTACATGCTAGCCACTACACCACCGAGGCAGTTATTAAAGTTAGTATAGTTAAAAAGTAAAAAATAACTGATTGGTAGTTTTTATTTACTATACATACCTAATCAAATATTTTCGAAGTCGGTGTGCTTTGGCTAAGTAATTAAAGCCTACCTATTAAATACATACCTAATCAAATATTTTCGAAATCGGTGCCAGCCCATACAAAGCAAAGCTTCAATTTTATTTATCTGTATAGATTTTAGTGCCTGGAAGTCGTTTTTTTTAAGTTTTTATTATATACGCGAGCTTCACTTCTATCACTACATAAGTTATCAGTACACGCACAGTTCTTCTCAGACTTATTCTTTCATATATTTCAATAATTTTTATATTACAAGGTATTAACATAATGGATTAGGATAAAAATTATACCGCCTTCCTTTTTGTGCCATATACCGTATGTGTCAAAAATCCAAACCGCGCTTTCTAATATTGTTGTATAAAAAGATCTATTTGGGTATATTAAGAAAAAGTCTTTTTTACCTCGTACACACCACGACAAAGTGTGAAAAATTTGGGTTTTTACAAACACATTAATAGTGTATGATTGAAAACATTTCTTCTACAACGGGTTATCAGTTCTGACCCTGAAGTGGGAATCACGAGTATATTGTATAAATAAATAATAGGCCTGGGAATTATTTGGAAAGTAGTCTGACATCGATATTAAATATCGATACTTTAACAATATTATTAGTTTTGTTGACAAAGCGGTCAATTGATGAGTCTGTTAAAAAAAAAGACTTCATGTAGTGTAGGTTGTATAGGCGGATAGGGGAATGCCACCCGCTTAGGGCGGCGGGTGGTACCGGAGAAATCCGGCGCGGACCAAATGGCTTGGGTGGGGCCGCTCGTCTAGGACTCGAGCCAAAGACGTTGCGGCCACCGGTAGTGGGACCGCTTGGTCCCACAACCGGATGATAGGTGCCGGTTGCGGGACTGTGGTCGCAGGCCCGCATCCGGCGGAGGAGTAGGCCGCGGCGGGAGAGGAGTGCCGGTATTTCGGTGCGCCGTTCTCCCTACCTTCCGCGGCCTAGACGGGGCCGCCACCGTTTGATGGCGGACGCGGTGGGGCTGCAGGGGAAGAGGAGTGTCGGTGTTTCGTTGCCGCTCTCCCTGTCCTCTGCAGCCGATTGGAGGTGGCCCACTTCGGTGGGCGGTGGTTAGGTTTAATGGGGCTGCTCCGGGTACCTCTCTGGCGTAGCAGAGTTGACTGTGGAGCAGCCCCATTGGTTTAGTGGTCTGCCTTTTTAGGCAGACCTGCCTCCGGGGCGTCGTAGTTGAATGCGTAAGCGATCCTGCGACGCCCCATTATGACGGGGGAAGGTTTTGTTGGGTTTTAGTGGGTAGTACTGGCTTCGCCGGTGAGTCCCACACTTCGTGCGTAAATGCATTTCCCAACGTTAAAAAAAAAAAAGTGTAGGTTGTATATCTTGCGTGTTCCGATTTACATGATTATTTTGTTTTGCCTCGGGAGCTCTACCATGCGGTTTGTTTCTGGTGGCAGCTTCTCTGATTGCAGAGTGGACCTTGGAGGCAACTCCCTGGCTGTTCTGATCTTTCTCAGTAGACCTGGGCATTTTGATTGAGTGCGTAAGCGATCCTGCGACGCTCCATTAAGCTGTAAGACGGATAAGGTTCCGTTGAGTTTGTTGCAAGTACTGGCTATTTTGGCCGATAAGTCTCCAGATAACCAACTGCATATATGCAGGTGGTATGCGTATATATATACTGAAAGAAATAGAGACTTTCCTTTTTTCTACTAAAACATAAAATGATGATATGCCACTTTCTATTTTGGTTCAATGTAAATCACTTTAGGTAAGGCATTGGTATGTATTCAGCCTTTTTTAAAGTCCCACAGTTGGGCACGGGCCTTCCTTCAATACGAGAGGATCAGGGAATAGTCCTGGCTGCCCAATTGCGAGTTGGCGGACTTTACGCGTCTTTCAAAAAATCTCCTAAGTCCTCTTAGACATGCAGGTTTTCTCATGATTTTTTCCTTTTCCTTGTGTCATATACGCAATAATCGTGTCGGAAATGATTTGCATATAAAAATATCAGAAGTGTAAGACCCGAAATTTGAACTCACTTCACTTCGTTTCCCAAGTTATAATTTGGTAGCCTAATTTATAATATTACAGGGAAATGAAAAACTTAATAAAACGGGCTTAAACTCCAGTCACTCTTCTGATATTTTACGTGCAAATTAATAGTTTCAATTCAATCTACATGATTACCTTGTCTAACGGTGCTGGAAAAAATCGTGAGGAAACCTGCAAATCAGAGGGAACCCACCTAGTTCTCGAAGGACGTGTAAAGTCCACAAACTCGTTCTTGGCCAGCGTGGTGTACTACGTTCTGACCCTCCTTATATTGGAAAAAGGGAAGGAAGTGAAGAAGGTTGGTGGCCAGCGATGGAATATTAAAATGGGCTGAATATGAGTTACTTAAATATTCGATATTCACCAAATATACTAGCAATACCGTATATTTGATACGAATTTGTACTGCTTTTATTCGGTAATCACGGTCGCAACACACTGCAACTCACCCTGGTTCCTGGTTATGAGAGAATCATAAAAGAAATTTGGTTTGCTTGGTATGTTGGTATATGGAAAACAAATGCTATGAAATTCGAAACATTATTTGATAAAACATTTGACTCATGAAATTCACAACACTATAAATCTAATAAAAGTGCATTCTGCAGCTTTCAGTTTGCTAGTCAGTTAATTTTATCCGTATATAATGTGGTAATTGATTCATTGTTTACTTTGTATTTTGTTTGTTTAGGAAACCCTTGGTTTAATTCTTGCATATATTTTTGAACATGTGTGCTTGAGCGCGCGCGCGTTGTATATATATATATATATATATATATATATATATATATATACTTCTGATCTTTGGTCGAAACCAGTAGCTATTTTTCGTAATATGTTCATAAATTATTAATTTCCTCCCCCACGACAACTATACTGCTGGGGCATTACTTGTGTGATGAGCACGGATGTTTGTACTCCTGTCATGGGAGTTTATATTTATAATACCTATTTATTTAAAGTTAACGAGAAAACAACAGGACAGATTTTGATGAAATTTGGTATGATGATAGCTGGTTACCCGGGTCAACATATAGGATACTTTTTACCACGGGAAAATATCTCATTTCTGAGAAAAAATACAAAAACTGCATTGTAAGAGTACCTATACTAATATGTAAAACCTAAGAACTATATACTAATATGTAAAGTAATCTGAACGCGGGCGGAGCAGCGGGCAATGCTAGTGATCTATAAATTATAACCTAACCTGGACGTGATAATCTCTTTTTTATCTGTGATAACTGATAATCATGTGAAAATCTTTATTGTATTTCCTAGCCCGTATAAACACAAACTTTGATTGAGCTTTAATTATAAATTATAATTCTTATATTTTTCAGGATAAATAACATCACTTTCTTAAGTGTAGTAGTTGCGTGTAGAGGTATTTTATGCGCAAGTGTTAGCAACGAAGTTATTGCTGCAGCAGAGAATGATATATTAGCTGAATTAGACCAAAACAATAATAAAGGTATGTGCACATTATTTTCTCTATCGAATTAAACTTTTTTAATAATAATTTATTAATAAAAGTGACTTTTGTAACATGTTCATCAACCGGCATTCTTGGAGTTTACATAATACCGGGTCGATTTCATAATAAAATATATACTATATATATAAAATATATACTATATATATAATATATACTATATATATATACTATATATAATATATACTATATATATATACTATATATAATATATACTATATATATATCAATACAGAACACTTTTTAATCCTGCAGCCAATTATTCTGAACAAATCTTCGAAATATAAAGAGCTCGCAATAGAAGTTAAAACACAAAAACACAATGGCATGCCATCGTTGTACAAATAGTCACCTAGAATAGTCCCGTCTGCCGAAGTAATACCTAAAATTTTGCTTTAAATTTTGCTTTTTTTTAGCTTTAAAATTGCAAATTCACTTAATATATCATCATTCAGAAAGGTACTTGACACTAGCAGGGTAGTTCGTAAAAATTTGATCTATTATCAAATGACACAACCGACAGTGCATCATTTTAATTTTGACCAAAAGTCCGCGTTAATGATTATGTTTACCTAAGTTTAATGTAATGTTTAAAAATATAATAATAATTAAGAAATCCTACAAGTGTTTCTGAATCCTTATTGACATAAAGTTTTGCCAAGTAGAAGATTGTTTCACAGTCGTGGCTACTCAAAAGATATGTACATATCAATGTCTGATATCTAAAACTTTTATAAAAAATTCCGAATCGTAAACCAAATATTCTAACAATTCATAAAGTATATTGTTTTGATTTTTCAGGTGCAAGTGCCATCTATGACATTATTTCTGCGGCAGAGAACGCTATATTAGATGAAATAGACCAAAAAAATAATGAAAGTAAGTATACTTTATCTTTATCGAGTTTTATTCTTTAAATGTAATAATAAGAGTAATATTCTAAATAATATAATAAAATAATACAAGTATGTGCACATTTTAACTTCTTTAAATATAATAATAGTAATTACTATTCTAGAATTTGGTTCTAAAGGAGTTTCTGTATCCTTATTGACCTAAAGGTTTGCCAAATAGTTAAGATTGTTTCACAGTCGTGTCTACTCGAAAGATAGAGAAAGAAAAAAAGAAGAGAGATCAATGATTTTGTTTATTTTTTTATATAAACGTGCAAACGAATGTTGTATTGACTTACAGCAATAATTGTTCTGACCTCAGGAAAAACAAAAACAACACATATTCTTCTTTTAACTAATATTTTCCAATCTTGAATCAAATTTCTACGTTTTTCTATAAAAACCCATAAAGTATTTAATTGTTTTGGTTTTTCAGGTGCACGTGATATCTATGACGTTATTTCTGTGGCAGAGAAGGCTATATTAGATGAAATAGACCAAAATAATAATGGTAGTACGTATAAATTATCTGTATTGAGTTTAAGTTCTTAAATATTATAATAATAGTAATATTCTAGAATTCGGTTCTAAACCAGTTTCGGTATCCTTAATCCTTATTGACCTAAAGGCTTGCCAAATAGTTAAGATTGTTTCACAGTCGTGTCTACTCGAAAGATAGAGAAAGAAGAAACGAAGAGATATCACTAATTTTGTTTATTTTTTTATATAAACGTGCAGACGAATGTTGTATTGACTTACAGCAATAATTTTTATGACCTCAGGAAAAACAAAAACAACATATATTCTTCTTTTAACTAATATTTTCCAATCGTGAATCAAATTTCTATGTTTTTCTATAAAAACCCATAAAGTATTTAATTGTTTTGGTTTTTCAGGTGCACGTGATATCTATGACGTTATTTCTGTGGCAGAGAAGGCTATATTAGATGAAATAGACCAAAATAATAATGGTAGTACGTATAAATTATCTGTATTGAGTTTAAGTTCTTAAATATTATAATAATAGTAATATTCTAGAATTCGGTTCTAAACCAGTTTCGGTATCCTTAATCCTTATTGACCTAAAGGCTTGCCAAATAGTTAAGATTGTTTCACAGTCGTGTCTACTCGAAAGATAGAGAAAGAAGAAACGAAGAGATATCACTAATTTTGTTTATTTTTTTATATAAACGTGCAGACGAATGTTGTATTGACTTACAGCAATAATTTTTATGACCTCAGGAAAAACAAAAACAACATATATTCTTCTTTTAACTAATATTTTCCAATCGTGAATCAAATTTCTATGTTTTTCTATAAAAACCCATAAAGTATTTAATTGTTTTGGTTTTTCAGGTGCACGTGATATCTATGACGTTATTTTTGTGGCAGAGAAGGCTATATTAGATGAAATAGACCAAAATAATAATGGTAGTACGTATAAATTATCTGTATTGAGTTTAAGTTCTTAAATATAATAATAATAGTAATATTCTAGAATTCGGTTCTAAACCAGTTTCGGTATCCTTAATCCTTATTGACCTAAAGGCTTGCCAAATAGTTAAGATTGTTTCACAGTCGTGTCTACTCGAAAGATAGAGAAAGAAGAAACGAAGAGATATCACTAATTTTGTTTATTTTTTTATATAAACGTGCAGACGAATGTTGTATTGACTTACAGCAATAATTGTTCTGACCTCAGGAAAAACAAAAACAACACATATTCTTCTTTTAACTAATATTTTCCAATCTTGAATCAAATTCCCACGTTTTTCTATAAAAACCCATAAAGTATTTAATTGTTTTGGTTTTTCAGGTGCACGTGATATCTATGACGTTATTTCTGTGGCAGAGAAGGCTATATTAGATGAAATAGACCAAAATAATAATGGAAGTATGTATAAATTATCTGTATTGAGTTTAAGTTCTTAAATATAATAATAATAGTAATATTCTAGAATTCGGTTCTAAACCAGTTTCGGTATCCTTAATCCTTATTGACCTAAAGGTTTGCCAAATAGCTAAGATTGTTTCACAGTCGTGTCTACTCAAAAGATAGAGAAAGAAAAAAAGAAGAGAGATCAATGATTTTGTTTATTTTTTTATATAAACGTGCAGACGAATGTTGTATTGACTTCAGCAATAATTGTTCTGACCTCATAAAAAACAAAAACAACATATATTCTTCTTTTAACTATTTTTTTCCAATCGTGAATCAAATTTCTACGTTTTTCTATAAAAACCCATAAAGTATTTAATTGTTTTGGTTTTTCAGGTGCACGTGATATCTATGACGTTATTTCTGTGGCAGAGAAGGCTATATTAGATGAAATAGACCAAAATAATAATGGAAGTATGTATAAATTATCTGTATTGAGTTTAAGTTCTTAAATATAATAATAATAGTAATATTCTAGAATTCGGTTCTAAACCAGTTTCGGTATCCATAATCCTTATTGACCTAAAGGTTTGCCAAATAGCTAAGATTGTTTCACAGTCGTGTCTACTCGAAAGATAGAGAAAGAAAAAAAGAAGAGAGATCAATGATTTTTTTTTTTTTTTTATATAAACGTGCAGACGATTGTTGTATTGACTTACAGCAATAATTGTTCTGACCTCAGGAAAAACAAAAACAACACATATTCTTCTTTTAACTAATATTTTCCAATCTTAAATCAAATTTCTACGTTTTTCTATAAAAACCCATAAAGTATTTAATTGTTTTGATTTTTCAGGTGCACGTGATATCTATGACGTTATTTCTGTGGCAGAGAAGGCTATATTAGATGAAATAGACCAAAATAATAATGGAAGTATGTATAAATTATCTGTATTGAGTTTAAGTTCTTAAATATAATAATAATAGTCATATTCTAGAATTCGGTTCTAAACCAGTTTCGGTATCCTTAATCCTTATTGACCTAAAGGTTTGCCAAATAGTTAAGATTGTTTTACAGTCGTGTCTACTCGAAAGATAGAGAAAGAAAAAAAGAAGAGAGATCAATGATTTTATTTATTTTTTTATATAAACGTGCAGACGATTGTTGTATTGACTTACAGCAATAATTGTTCTGACCTCAGGAAAAACAAAAACAACACATATTCTTCTTTTAACTAATATTTTCCATTCTTAAATCAAATTTCTACGTTTTTCTATAAAAACCCATAAAGTATTTAATTGTTTTGATTTTTCAGGTGCACGTGATATCTATGACGTTATTTCTGTGGCAGAGAAGGCTATATTAGATGAAATAGACCAAAATAATAATGGAAGTATGTATAAATTATCTGTATTGAGTTTAAGTTCTTAAATATAATAATAATAGTCATATTCTAGAATTCGGTTCTAAACCAGTTTCGGTATCCTTAATCCTTATTGACCTAAAGGTTTGCCAAATAGTTAAGATTGTTTTACAGTCGTGTCTACTCGAAAGATAGAGAAAGAAAGAAAGAAGAGAGATCAATGATTTTGTTTATTTTTTTATATAAACGTGCAGACGAATGTTGTATTGACTTACAGCAATAATTATTGTTCTGACCTCAGGAAAAACAAAAACAACATATATTCTTCTTTTAACTAATATTTTCCAATCGTGAATCAAATTTCTACGTTTTTCTATAAAAATCCATAAAGTATTTAATTGTTTTGGTTTTTCAGGTGCACGTGATATCTATGACGTTATTTCTGTGGCAGAGAACGCTATATTAGATGAAATAGACAAAAAAAATAATGGAAGTTTGTATAAATTATCTGTATCTATTTTAAGTTCTTTAAATTTAATAATAAGAGTAATTAATATTCTGGAATTCGGTTCTATAAGTGTTTGTGTATCCTTAATCCTTATTGACCTAAAGGTTTGCTAAATAGTTATGATTTTTTCACAGTCGTTACTACCCGAAAGATAGATAAAGAAAAAAGAACAGATATTAATAATTTTGTTTATTTTGTTATATAAATGTACAGACGAATGCTGTATTGACTTACAGAAATAATTGTTCTGACCTCAGGAAAAACAAAAACAACATATATTCTTCTTTTAACTAATATTTTACGATCGTGAACCAAATTCCTAAGTCTTTCTATTACAATCCATGAAGTATATAATTGTTTTGGGTTTTCAGTTGCACGTGACATCTGTGACGGATTTGATTCGGCAGAGGACGAGAAGGAGGTTATTTTAATTATATAATTTTATTATACTAATTAGATTTACGCGAACATTTGATATTGTAAATAAAACTATCTATGATGATTTATATTTTATAATAAAAGTTTCAAACACCGTACTCAGGTAGTAAGAAAAAGTGGTATCGTTTGACACTTGGACTCCAGTGTCCAACTACTTCAGATAGCGGATGTGTGCGCCATTGTAAATTAATTACGAGTTTTATTTCATATTACCTATCTATAGTGGCCTTAGTATATAATTTATTTTATTTTTTAAATATTTGGGAAACATACAGTACAATAATATTTAAAGTTAATCCGATATATAGTACATAAACCAGCGAAGTTTCCACTTATAAATGTAACATAAAGAGCATAAGTCATGTTAAAACAATAACGAATAATCTCTATTACTGTTTACTATAATATTTATATTACTCTTTATTGTTTAAACATTTCACTAACATCTTTTTCAAACAATCTATGTTCTCAGTTTTAAAAAAATCTACATTATTAAATTTACTTTTGTAGTTGGTGCAGGCTCGATAGACAACTCGAGGGTGTTGCTCCCACCCTCCGACACCGAGACGTGCCGATGGGCAATCGCCGTCGGGGTTCGCGGAGGAGTCTCCGGTTCCCGTGGCCCCGACCTTGAGGCGACTGAGGTGGACACCGTCAGGTTTTAGTGGGTAGGCTGCCGCGCGTTTACCATCTTGGCGCGGCAGGAGCCCCACATAACCCGTCGTTCTTCCCCCGGCGGCGGGTACCCGGCAACAGGGTTTCCTGACGATAAAAAAAAAAAAAAAAAAAAAAAAGGCTCGATAGACAAAAATATTCTGCGCATACTTGCTTCGGGTAATTGAAGGATTAAATAGAGACTGATTGCGTGCCGCTAATCTGGGACATTTAAAATTTATACAATTTAAGAGGAACGGGGAGTCTATAACATTTTTTATTATTTTAAATAGGTACACTTGGTCTCTGATCAGCCTTCTATCCGCGAGTGACATAACATTTAATCCGTCGTTACTTTGATCCAACATTGCGTACTTAAAACGCTTAAATTTAATAAATTTTTTCTGAACACTTTCTATGCGATTTATTTGTTTTTTATAATGTGGGTTCCAAACTGTAGAGCCATACTCAAGTATAGGTCGAACAAATGAATTATAAAGAAGTGTCAAGGTGGTAGGTTGGTAAAAATCTTTAGAAGTTCTAAACACAAAGCCAAGCATACGATAAGCCCTAGGCTATTATTTCGTTAATATGTAAATTAAAGGTCAACTTATTGTCCAGATATATACCCAGGTCTCTCACCTCGGTCACTCGATTTATGGATACATCGTTTGATTGCGTTTCCGCGAAAATGATATGATATTACATTTATTAATATTTAAATAAAGAGAATTATTTTTACAATACAAACATAATCTGTTGAGGTCTTCTTGCAAAAGTGAACAATTTAGTGGAAACGCTATCCTTCTACAAATTTTCATATCGTCTGCGTATAAAAGAATAGAAGAATGTTTAATTGTTTTGGTGACGTCGTTAATATATAAATTGAAAAGCAGAGGACCGAGATGAGACCCCTGAGGTACACCTGATGAATCAGGAACGAAAGAAGAGCAATATCCCTTGACTGTTACAGCCTGACTACGATTCCGAAGGTATGAACATAACCACCGAAGTAGATCACCATGTACGGCGGCTTCTTTCAACTTTTTTAGTAATATATTGTAGGATATTTTGTCAAATGCCTTAGAGAAGTCAGTGTACACGACATCCACCTGGTAACCCTCATCCATAGATGACAACACACGTTGAACCAATTCGCAGAGGTTAGACTCAGTTGATTTGTGGTTTACAAATCCATGTTGTTGTTCGAGTATGATAGAACGTAGTAAGGGATAAATAGAATCATAAATTATTTTTTCAAAAGTTTTTGCTATTACACAGAGTTTTGATATCGGTCTATAATTCTTAATATTATGTTTGTCGCTCTATTTGAATATTGGAACCACATACGATTGCTTCCATACAGCAGGCATTACACCAGTTTTTAGTGATTTATTAAACAATAAATGAATCGGATACGCGAGGGTAGCACAACATGATTTTAAAAACAAGGGAGAAAGGCCATCTGGTCCGTAACCCTTACTAATATCAAGATCTTTTAAATATCTCTCAACCGTATCTTGAGTAACAGTCAGGGAGCTAATACATATATGGGAGTTAGATAATACTTAGTCATCACCTGTTGAACTGCCAGGAACATTCGGTCCATAAACTGAGTTAAAGTATTCACCAAAAAGTTGACATATGGCATTGCCACCAGTAGCGATCGATTCATCATAAAACATTGTTTCAGGAAAGCTATTAAATACCAGTTTAGACTTAACAAATGTCCAAAAATATTTACTATTCTTTTTAATTTGAAGCTCAGAATTATAAATGTAACTATTGTAACAAACGGTTTGTATCTTTTTTTCTCTTTCACGTAACAGATCAAAAGTATCATAGTCACTAAGTCTATTATAAGTTTTCCATTTTTTATGATATTTAAGTTTTTCAGCGACAACTTTTTTAAGAGACTTAGAGTACCAAAACGGATAGCGGTCATTACCTACAATGGTTTTTACTGGGATCATATCACGAATAACATTATTAATAATTTGATAAAACAAATCAACTGCGTTTACAATGTCAGACTCGTTAAGTAAATCAGACCAATCTATATCAGCTAAAACTTTATTAATTGCATTATAATCCGCTATATGAAACAAACGTACAGTACGAGGAGCAGTAGTAATAGATTGAGAAGTGGATATTTTCGGTGAAATAAGTTATGTAGGATGATGTGAGTCCTCAGGAACTAATGGATAATTACATTTCATTACTGAACATTCACAATTACCCATCACTAGATCAAGATATCTATTATTAGCGTTAGGAACAGTGTTAAATTGTTTAAAATTGTTAAAGTTAAGGAAATGATACACTGACCCTATGAGTATGTCATCATCGAAAAAATTCTGAAGTACCATTTTATTTTGACCATATTTCCAAACTGCATTTGAGGTATTAAAATCACCTACTATTAAGAAGTTATCATTGGGATGAAAAATTAATTCGGAAGAAACTAAATCAAAAAACTCACATATCGCTTCATACTGGTATTTACTGTGAGGGAAATAACAACAGTATAAATGTAAAAATTTAGACGACGGAAGCAAGTCAAGTGATAAAGAAACTTTAACCACTTCCGCTGAGGAATTCGTCAATTTAATCACAGATGAAGATTGAATATGTAGATATGATTTAGTAGCAATTAAAACCCTCCACCCAAGTTGTTTCCCTGTGAGGCGTAATCACGGTCGCTTCTGTACACGGAATACAGACTGTCGAAATATTCGGAGTATAGTAGTAGAGTATAAATAACTGAAACTTCACAAGTGGCGACGAGTCTAAGTGTTAGAGAAATCTGTATTCTGTTATGGAAAAAGGAAAATTTAATAAGATAAAATAAATACACAGTAATATAAAGTGCCTTTAGATTTTAAATATACTTGATATTTAACGAAATTTTACATGATTATAATATATTGACATCGAAATTTAAATTTTAGCAAACAAAATTTAAACAAATTGTCGGTATAACCATAATATAACCGTCATGAATCATGTTCATAATCTAATAATTCTATTATTTTCATAACAAAGGATTATAATAACGCTATATACTTTCTTTAAGGGGGTAAAATAGGGGACGAAATTTTTTATGAAACCTAAGTTTTTAGAGTATTTTTTTGGAGTTTCAGCGCGTTCGAAGCCGCGGGTTCCGCTAGTGTAATATATGTATTATATATATTTGTTTGAATGATTAATTATAGCAATACTTGACCTTCAGTGCGATAAGCATAATACAAACTAGCAGAACCCGCGGCTTCGCTCGCGCTAAAATTACAAAAAAATCTCTAAAAAGGTAGTTTCAAACTTTCATACCCTATTTTACCTCCTTATAGGATGAATTTCGAAAAATGTTAAAACACGTATTTATTTAATTTAATTGAAGAGAATTAATACCAAGTTTCAAGTAATTCTGATCATAAATATTTTTGGATTGTATTATACAGTGTTTTCCCGTGGGAATAAGATAATCCCCCGCGGTAAAAAGTAGCCTATATCACTCTCCAGCCCTCCAACTATCTCCACACAAAAATACACGCCTATCTGTCACTCCGCTTCGACTTGAAAAAAGGACAAACAAACAAACAAACAAACATGGATTAGTAGAACAAAAAGCGTGTCTCTCAAAGCAAAATAAATGAAGTTTTGCAATAAATAATGTGTATTTAAATCGGTATTTCCAGAAGAGAGATAAGGAAAACCCACAAACCAAAACATTATTATATAATGTGTTTTACATAAAATATAATTTTGCTACATAATATTGGTATTTATTTTGCTTTGTATTATAATTAGTAGTATCAGTTGGCATTGTGTCGTCGTTGGTTGCTACAAAAATGGACTACGTCAGGTATTTACATTTATTTAATTGCTAGAGATTTACCCTCGCTTCGATCGATACATTTTATATTGTAGATAATAATTATAAATTAACTAGCATTGCCCGCGGCTCCGCCCCCGTTCAGATGACCAAAAACCAAATTCTTGGGTTTTACATATTAGTATACTCTTACATTGCAGTTTTTGGTATTTTTTCTCAGAAATGAGAAATTTTCTCGCGATAAAAAGTAACCCGGATAACCAGCTATCATCATACCAAATTTCATCAAAATCTGTCCAGTGGTTTTATCGTGATGCGGTAACAGACAGACAAACAGACAGACAGACAGAAAGACAAAAATTCTAAAAACTATAGATTCGGACTCTGTATCGATAATAATATCTATTTCAATTAGATTTTCCAAAAAATATTTAATGTACAGATTCGACTTAGTTAAAACTTTATTATATGTATAGATGTATAGAAGAATTTAAAAGAAACCCAAATTAATTGTCATTTAACGATTACACTGGCACGCGTGAAGCACTTAATCGAACGCCAAAATGACATACATCATTTTGGAAAAGAGCTGATACTCTTACACTGCTGGACCGATATTAACCAAACATAGCTAAGAACCACCGCAAGAAAACTGGCTTTAAAATGCAAATAACCGCATCGAAATCGGTCCATCCATTTGAGAGCTACGATGCCACAGACAGACACACACACACAGACAGACATCGACGTTATACTTATAACACCCCTTTTTTAGCAACTGGGGTTAAAAATAGTTATTATGAGCGTAACTTAGGAGATACACACGTGCTAAAGCTGACTTTTTTGAAGGCCTTTTAAGATCTAAAATTTCTAAAATTACTATAATCGCTCGAAAACAGATTTCTTGACAAAGCACCGTCTAGGCTCAGCCATTTTGTAGAAAATATTTACAAATTATATATACACGAATCTTCCTCGTTTATCGCTCTTATTGAAAACCATATCAAAATCCGTGGCGTGGTTTAGAAGAAGTAAGCGGAGAAACAGACAGACCGTCCGGTTTTATACTATGTATAGATAAGATAAGATAGATTAAGAGCCTATGAAAATTATTTTATTTGTTTCTATTTTTCTATATTCTTTATCTTCTTCCTATATCGCTATACTTTCTTCCTGTCTTTTGTTCTTTTAATCTGTACTTTTTTTTGCTGATAAGTGTATTATTTAGTGATTTACTAACAATATTTGCCCTTTTATAATACACTAGCGAATCATCCTCGCGCTGCTCGGGTTCGTCCCTAGTTATGTTTTAACATTTAGTTCACATTTCTCAGAGATGAGATATTTTCCCACAGTAAAAAGTATCCTATATATTAACTCAGATAACCACCATTTTGTCAAATTTCATCAAAATTTGTACAGTGGTTTTCTCGTGATGCAATCCCAGACGAACAGATAGAGCTACAAAAATTCTAAAAAACTATAGATTCGGCCTCTGTATCGATATTAATGTTTATTTCAATAAGATTTTCCAAAAAATATTTAATGTACAGACAGATTCGGCTTAGTTACAATTTTAATATAATATGTTAATGTATATGCTATCTGTAACCTACTCGTATGTGGCATCCAAGATCATACTCTGTGTACTAAATATCATCCTTTCTTCAACTGTTTCAGCGTTAAGGAACAAAAAACACGCACATATACACACACACACACACACTGGCGTACACTCGCGCACTAACACTAACTAAGAACACACAGGCGCACGTGTACGCACGCACGTACACACAAACTTTTGCATATATAAAAATAATATGATAAATCTATGTTTGCAGGTTTGGAGTTCTAATTGCAGTGATTGCGCTCTCGTCTGCTGCACCACAGGGCGGATATGACGGTTATATAATATGATATTAATAATAGTTTAGGGTATTAAAATACCTTCATATATGATGTTCTCCTGGCCGATTCCAGCTACGGCGGCCAATCTTATTGAGACTAGCCAACTGCGCAGGAGATATTATAGTGCACAAGTGTACGCGCAGACACAACGTGCACTTTCTATTCCTGTCACTCTCATACTCCGGTGGGACGACACGAGACAGTTAAGGCGCAGAACCGACGGCTTTACGTGCTCTCCGAGGCACGGGGGTGAAACACTGCCAACTTCCCAACTCCGGGCTGTTACTGAGACTTACTACACAGAAAGACTCAATAACTAAACTTGGCCCGACCCGGGACTCGAGCCCAGGACCTCCGAGTGTGCAGCCGTACATGCTAGCCACTACACCACCGAGGCAGTTACCTTATTAATTATATGTAATTATCTATCTATCTCTAAAACTCCCCGAGCCTCGCGCCAAATGCAATGATAAGTTTGGCGGATGATTAATTGGCAGTCAGCAGAATCCTTACCGACGAGTTGCAGAACTAACTCCGACCGATAAAGTCACTATTTAATCTGTGGCAAATATTTTGAATGTTTATTTGTCAAGTGGCTAGCATGAGCATCTGCAGAACAGAATGAAGTTCTGGGTTCGAATTCGGGTGCTCAGTAGGACCAAGTATATATAGGGGTTTTAAATCAAGGCTCTCTCGGTATTAACTCCGAAGTTGGCCTATCACCAGTTCCTTAGAGAGCATATAAAGCCTTTGGTCCTGTACCTGAAAAGATCAGGTGAAAGCACCGCGAGTGCCTAATTATTATCTCATCGTACTTTGATTTTAATTAGAAATTGCACTTATGTCTGCGTGCAAACTTTTGCAGTATAATGTCTCCCTCATAAGGCTAGTCTCAGTGAGAATGGCTGCTGTGACCGACGATGGTCCGAAAATCATTATCTATACATATAATAAAAATTCTAACTGAGCCGAATCTGTATATTAAATATTTTTTGGAAAATCTTATTGAAATAGACATTATTATCGATACAGAGGTCGAATCTATAGTTTTTAGAATTTTTGTCTGTTTGTCTGTTACCGCATCACAGAAAAACCACTGGAAGGATTTTGATGAAATTTGGTATAGTGATAGCTGGTTATCCGGGTCAACATATAGGATACTTTTTACCGCGGGAAAATATCTCATTTCTGAGAAAAATACAAAAACTGCATTGTAAGAGTATACTAATATGTAAAACATAAGAATGTGCTTTTTGGTCATCTGAACGCGGGTGCAGCCGCCGACAATGCTAGTTAATGAATTAATCAGAATATATGTCATGTTATATAAGCAAAGATGACTCTGTCTATTTTTTTCAAACTTAAATAAAATAGCAAAAGCTCTAAAACAATATTATACTTATTATAAAATAAAATAAAAAAAAATAAAAATAGTTTTTTTTTATTAACACTTATATATTTTTCTTTTGCAGATCTTGATGATTACAATAACGGTACGTATATAGATTTAGTTAATTAAATTAAAATACTCTACAGACATTAAAGGTGCGAATATGTAAATGACGGCGCGCTCCACCCAGTGGCGTAACTAGCCTTTTTGGACCCAAAGCTAGTATTAGTGACTCACCCTTGCTTCGTTCGGGTTCGTTCCTAGCTTGCTTCCCAATACAAACTTTCATCCCCATTTTCACGCCCTTAAGGGATGATTTCCGGGATAAAAAGTATCCTATGTCCTTTTTATTATTTAAAGTAGTAATACATATATGGCATAGTCTATCTTCCCCTCAGCGCGCGTTCACCTTGTCGTGGTGGGGGGCTCATTAGCGTACGGTAATCCAGCCGGGCGCGAAGCCAAGAAACATACACTCAATTATAAGTAGTAGGTAATGTGATATGATCCTCAGTCTGACTCGTCACTGCCTCGGTGGTGTAGTGGCTAGCATGTACGGCTGCACACTCGGAGGTCCTGGGTTCGAGTCCCGGGTCGGGCCAAGTTTAGTTATTGAGTCTTTCTGTATAGTAAGTCTCAGTAACAGCCCGGAGTTGCGAAGTTGGCGGTATAGGGTTCGGAGCGGGATTATAATAAGACAACCACTAGGTTCGAATACACTTTAATAAGTCTCTAATATAATAAGATATAATAGCTTAAATACTAACTTAAAGTAGGTTAATGACATCACCCTATTATGACACCACACGCCCCATCAAAAGGAAAAAAAAAAGAAATACATTGTTTGTTTTTTTTTACTCTACATACAATTTCGTCCTATTCTTATGTATAATTTCTTCCATATTATTACGTAAAATTTTAACATTAGGTTCCATATCCTTTAAAACTTTATAAGGACCAGAGTACACATCACTGAATTTATTTCCTACTTCGTTTTTTACTATGGTAGGGGAGCCCACGAAGCTAAATGGGGATTTACTCGAGCGTCGTAGAGACCTATTGGGATGCAAAGCTTAGATGATAAGAAGAAAAAAATGTTATATGATATATACCTTTACATAGGTGGGGGAAGCGGCTATAGATTTTTAAATATGTAAAAAAAAAACTGTTGCATAGACATCCTCGAGCGCGTCAGATATTGATAGCATCAATGCCCTACGTATTTTTAATAATGTACGTATGTTAATCTGATCGTTTGCATGATGCGGGTGGTTGTATTTAAGGGTTGAAAATGAAAAAAAAAAAAAATTAATCGAGCGCGTCAGATTTTCTAAGGGAGTGTTAATTGCACCAAAAAAAAGCTCTCATTCACTAATCTGACGATTTCGATGGGACGCAAACTCGCAGCCATTTTCATAATGTGCAAAAAAAAATCGCCATTTTGAAATACTCAAGCGCGTCAGATTAAGATATATATGGTTCATCTTTATGTTCTAAACGTACTGTCTCATAATCTGACGATTATCTAGAGGGATTCGCCTGATCTGACAAAAAAAATTAGAAAAACGGTTCACCTTAAAGGCCATACCTGCAACTTCCCGCTAATTCCATTCCTGTGCGCTTAAAATTGTACTTATGGCATTTTTGAGCTCAAAATATAATTTATGTGATATTTTGAGCTCGCAGAGTTCAAAGAAATAATATTTCTATGAATTTGAGCTCTCCCAGCTCGAAAGTCTGATAGAGGTTTCATAGAACACTATTTTTGGAATTTTCAAACCGCAATAACTTTTGAATAGATCAAGCAATTTTCACGCGGTTGACGGCATTCGACGTAGTTTTATTATCCTCATAAGTTATTTTCAGGTTTTAATTGATCGAACCAAAAATTTCGGAGTAATCCCGAAAAAACACTTTTTTTCGGTTTTCTTTCGTTCACGATATCTCTCGAATTGAAGATCCAGAGATATTTCATTAATTCGCGAATTATTCGAAAACTTTCGAATTATTCGAAATTTTTACGAATTATTCGAAATTTTTCGAATTTCGAATCGAATATTGATATTCGATTCGAACGATGTTCGCACACCCCAAGACTCTTTATGATCAGCTGTGATGGTGTCATGGCGGCAGAAACCAGATTGGGGACGGAGTGAGAGAGTAATAGATAGAGAAAGAGTGAGAGAGGAATAGAAACGCGGAGAAGGAAATGTAGGCATCACGCAGCTGCACGCATTTAACTTTATCGACGAATTTTTGTTATTTCGGCTTGCGGAAATCGTCAGATTATATATTTTTCATTATTCTTACATTATTTCCTTCAAAATAAAAAAAAAATTAGCTACGCTCGAGAATGTCGAGATGACGTTTTTTTTTACAACTTTGTTGCCCTCCCCTTTTTTTACGTCACTCTCAAATTGTCAGATTAGTGGAATATACACTTTTTAGGATGTAATTAACTCACCCTACCTTAATCCGACGCGCTCGAGAATTTCTGGTGGTCAATTTTTTTTTACTAATCTGATCCTGTATCCTTCACGGGCGGCCTTATATATGGGCCTCATGTTTTGTGGAGGTACTTAACCGGGTACAAGGTATCCCCCTGTATATTAATCTGCCGCGCTCGAGTAACTACAGAAAATCCCCTCTTGGGCTCCCCTACTATAATAACATATCATTTTTATTATACATCACAGGTTTTAAATATTCATCATATCTATTTTTCCTTTTTTCTTTAGATAAAATTAAATTTTTTCTTGCATCAGCATGTGCTTTTTGAAGTCTAAATTTTAATTCTAGTGGATAATTTTCAAAGTTATATAATGGTTCAATTGTATGATTTCTTAAATTAGAAGGTATATTACATGGTTTACCGAAAACAAGTTCGTACGGCGTAAACTTAGTTGCTGAATGTACAGAAGTATTGTACGAAAAACACCAATATGGTAGCCAATAACTCCAATCTCTAGAATTGTTGTCAGTTTGGATTCTCAAATATGCATTAAGACATTTATGTGAGTTCTCAAGTGAACCAATAGATTCATGATGATATGCGCATGACAAAGTTTGTTTTATATTTAGTAATTTACATACCTCAGACATTGTATTAGAGATAAATTCCGATCCTTTATCGGTGGCGATCTCCCGTGGTATACCATACCTTAGAATGAAGTTATCTACGAAGGCTCGCGCTACACTTACACTATCCTTACTTACTAATGGGAATGCTTCAATATACTTACTTAATTCACACTGAAGAGTGAGTATATATGAGTAATTATAGTAATCCTTATCTAAGGGCCCAACTATATCTAAGAAAACCTTATCAAAGGCAGACTGCGCAGTCGTAGTAATAACCATTGGTTGTTTAGTGTGCAACGAATGTTTCTGTTTTTGACATTTGCTACACTTTTTTACATATTCCGTTATATCTTCTACCATTTTTGGCCAAAAGTAATATTTTTTAATATTATTGAGCATACGACGTATGCCCGCGTGTCCACTTGTAGGAAGTAAATGAAAATCATTAAGAATAACTTTTTTGTCGTCATCGTTTTCTATGCTTATTACATTTTTTATAATATAAATACGGGGACTTTCCCGGTTATTATTAGTTTTATAACTTTTGGTTAACCATTCTATATACTTTTTACTTTCATTATTTTTTATTACATAAATTTCATCGATCGCTAGCTTTTTGCAAATAGCATCCAAATCTCTCACGAAGACGTCTCGCGTCGAACATGATCGAGAAAATGGGTCTATAAAAATCTTATCCTTGTTAGGTACGTATACGAAATCGTTAAAGTGCACGTATTTCACATTTTTCCCTAGTTCATAAGATGAAATAATTAGTTCAGTGCAATGTTTTGGCTTTTCAAGAATCTCAACGACTCTCGGTTGATCAGACCAATTGTCTTCGACACTCTTGTCAACCAAAGTACTCGTATCATTTGGTTTATCGTATAGTTAGTTCGCCATCCGCCGTGTCATTACATTCAAATATTCCGTATTCATGTTTTTTAACTCATCAGATGTTAAAATAATGCGCGATAATGCATCTGCAGCCACATTACTCACACCTTTAACATATTCTATTACGTAATCATACTCATCTAAGGTTAATCGAAATTTTAACAGTCTACTGGAAGGATTATTAATACTAAATAAATAGATTAAAGGCTTGTGATCCGTTTTGATTGTAAATTTCTTGCCAAATAAATAAGGTCGGAAATATTTCACAGACCAAACAATAGATAAAAGCTCTTTTTCTATGGTTGGATAGTTTACCTCGGCTTTATTTAAAGAACGACTCGCATATGCTATTGGTAAATCATTTTTATTACATAATACCGAGCCTATAGCTAATCCGGAAGCATCTGTGCGCAATATAAATTCGTTTTCTTCATCAAAATTCGGATATTGTAAAATGGGTGGATTGATAAGGGATTGCTTAAGTTTATTAAATGAATTTTTGCATTCGGTACTCCACACAAAACTAGCACCTTTCCTACAAAGTTTGTTCAATGGTATAGTTATATTAGCGAAATTCGGGATAAATTTACGATAATAATTTGCGAAAGCTACAAACCGTCTAACTTCATCGACATTCTTCGGAGTTTGATAACATTGCAATACTCTGGTTTTTTCTGGATCAGGTAAGATACCTTTAGAAGATACTACATGGCCTAAATATAACAGTTGCTTAGTTAAAAATTTACATTTTTCGGGATTTAGTTTTAAATTTACTTTCCGAAATCTCTCAAAAATGTCAATTAAATTATTATTATGGGAATTTAGACTCCTCCCAAAACATATAACGTCATCGAGATAAATAAGACATTTTTCATATTGTAAACCAGACATTGCTACTGTCATCATTCGACTAAAAGCACCTGGGCTAATTTTAAGACCCATTGGAAGTCGTTTCATTTGGTATTGCCTGTCGGCAGTAAATGCAGTATACTTTCTACTGTCTGGGCATAACTCTAATTGATAATAACTTTGACTGAGATCTAAATGTGTAAAATAAATAGCACCTGATAAAGAGTCAAGTATCTCTGTTATGTTAGGCAATAGAAACTTATCATCTTTCAACCTATAATTCAATTTCCTATAGTCAATTACAATCCTCCATTTTTTGTTTCCATTACTATCACTTTTCTTCGGAACGAGAAGAACTGGACTAGACCATTCGCTTCTACTTTCCTCTATAATATCGTTATCTAACATTTGTTAATTTGCCTATCGATTTCATGTTTTTGACTTTTTGGTAATCTATAAGGCTTTGTGTACGTAGGAATAGTATTATCTTTTAAATGTATTGATTGCTGGTATAAATTTGTAACTCCTAATTTATCTCCTGGCAATAAAAAAATATCGGAGTATTTAGCACATATATTTTCGATAGAAATTTGTTCTTCTTTGGTAAGATCTTTAAGATTCAAAATAGAAAATAACTTTTTCACACGTTCAGCATTCACGTTACTTTTTTCAAATGAACACAAGGAATAATCACTAAGACTAACTACCTCAGGAACGAAGTAACTTAGTTTTACTTCTTCTTCTCTAGTATTTAAAATTTTCAGTGGAATTTTACCACAAACAGGGCTAACCAAAACACATGCTAAAAATACTCCATCACTCAATTGCTTAGGCATAACTACATACTCATTTTTTAAGTCGGTTCGCATAAAATAAGTAAATTCACACCTTGGCGGAATTTTTATATAATTATTATAGCCAAGTTTACCCATTTGTAAAGGTATTTCAATAGATGAACCTTGTTGAAGCGTTAAAATATTTCGTTCAAAATCTAATATAGAATTAAATTTACTTAAAAAATGTTGTCCTAATATACCATCTGTTCTCAAGTCATAAGCCTCTATCCCATGCTGGATCCATTCGCCATGGCATTTCCGATAATATCGGAACAGGATTATCGCGGCCCCAACAAAAAGAAGAGCACAAATTGCGATTAGAGCATAAGATGTTGAGGTGGCATGCCACAATAATTGTTCCGTGGAGGCAGAGTTCCCAGCTCCGTTTTGAGCGATTATAATTTCTTACTCCTTGGATTGCTGCTTGCCCATATTTTTAATTTTTGATAAAGTCTTTGCCACAAATTCACAGTCACTCTAGATGGGATTTCGCAATATAATAACGCCATAATTATAATTATTGTCTTTAACTTTACATTTCACTTAGTGTTTATTTTATCATTGCCTTATACAGCCGGACACCGGACTCGCGCACGCGCTGGCAGGGTCGCCATATAGGGTTCGGAGCGGGATTGTAATAAGACAACCACTAGGTTTGAATACACTTTAATAAGTCTCTAATATAATAAGATATAATAGCTTAAATACTAACTTAAAGTAGGTTAATGACATCACCCTATTATGACACCACAGCGGTGTTTCACCCCCGTGCCTCGGAGAGCACGTAAAGCCGTCGGTCCTGCGCCTTAACTCTTACTGGTCGTGTCGAGCAGTCGTCCCACCAGAGTAATGAGAGTGACAGGAATAGAGAGTGCACGTTGTGTCTGCGCGTATACTTGTGCACTATAATATCTCCTGCGTAGTTAGCTAGTCTCAATGAGATTGACCGCCGTGGCCGGAATCGGCTAAGAGAACATCATCATCATCATGACCCTCAAAATAAATTACATCCCGTTTTGTTAAGATAATAAAAATACTTTAATAATTCTAAGAACGCCATAGTCAATATCACGTTTTTTAAATTAAATGTGACCATGCATGCCCATGAGGAAGCTACGACCTGCTCGGAAGACGGTTCTGCTGAAAAGAGACGGCGAGAAACTCAACGGTTGCTCTTTTTCTAAAATTTGTAAAATTTCCTACAGATGGCGTTGTATGTGGAACTAAATCTTCGCCAGACAATGGATTATGTGTAAAATATTTCGAATGTCAACCTAATGCTCCGTATATAGTCTTGTTTTCTGAAGGGTAAGCACGGTATTTATCTATACATATAATAAAATTGTAACTAAGCCGAATCTGTACATTAAATATTTTTTTGGAAAATCTTATTGAAATAAACATTATTATCGATACAGAGGCCGAACCTACAGTTTTTAGAATTTTTGTCTGTCTGTCTGTCTGTCTGTCTGTCCGTCCGTCCGTCTGTCTGTCTGTCTGTCTGTCTGTTACCGCATCACATAAAAACTGCTGGAGAGATTTTGATGAAAGGTATGGTGATAGCTGGTTATCCAGGTCAACATATAGGATACTTTTTACCGCGGGAAAATATCTCATTTCTGAGAAAAAATACAAAAACTGCAATGTAAGAGTATACTATGTAAATGTAAATGTATGGTTTTTGCTCATCTGAACGTGGGCGAAGCCGCGGGCAATGCTAGTTTTACTATATTATTCTTAATAAGGCAGCTTGTAAAACGGGTTCAATCCCGTGTTGCACTTCTGATATTTTTATATTCAAATCATTTTCAAATTATTCAAACCTAGAAAGTTTTCCAAAGACATGTAAAGTACGCCCGCACGCAGTGAACCACCGCGGTGGATAATGGCCTGGATCTCATCGTATTAAAGAAAGGCTTGTGTATTCTCTATGTAAAAAAACTAAGGCACCGTAATAGACCGTAAATACAGTAGCAACACCGGTCAAACTATCTCCGGATAATCGGTGAATATATATAAAAAAATACATACATACGAACATAGAGTTTTTATTTTTTTTCTAATTATTCAAAGGACATTTCATTTTTTTTCTTACAGTGCAAAGTGTTCTTCGTACCTTGATGTCTGCTGCCCACGAAACTCGTTAACTAGCGATTGGAAATTTGGCTAAATCTATTCTTCGCATGTATAATATATATATATATATGACGGCGCCTGCGCCGTCGCACGTACCCTCTAGAATTTTGTAAACAACGGGTGCACCGCTCACGCCACCGAGCGCGTCATTTAATTCTCCCCCACTACGCAACACTACGTGTATAAAAGAGTCGGAGCGACCACCGCTAAGGCAGTCTTGGCCATAGAGTATATTGCTATATATACTTGGCTCTGGCGTGACTCGGTGCACTTGTTGTACTAGCTAGCTTATCCTTGACTCTGGATAATTAATTTGTAATTAAATTAATTATTATTCTCAACAACAAATAGTCTCAGTACAATTTATAGTTGATAAGATTGAATCTATGTAATTCTTCTTCTCCCTGCCCATTTCTCAAATCACTTGGGGTCGGTGCAGTACATCTTCAGTGTACTGCTGATAGGATGTATGTAATTAATCTGTTGAAAATATAAGATCTATATTGTTATACCTACCTATCTTTTATTAATCATGTATATATATATATCTTCTCTATATATATATATATATATATATATATATATATAAACAACATAGTTTTATTTAAAATTGCCAAACTTATTTGTCAAAAATAATGTGTATAAAAAGTAAAAAGATAAAAGTGCTTCTCAGTGATCAATTAAATAATAGCGAAATAAAGTGATTGTTTAAATCACATTAATTTTGTGAAAATATGATAAGTGAAGTGACGTTATAAAACTTATAATCGGAGTGTGAGAGTGACAGGAATAGACAAAGCTCATTCTCTATCTCTCCCTCTCCACCTTTCCTCTCCTCCCCACCCTCTCTCCCTCACAAGCTGCACTATAATATCTTCTGCAGTTGACTAGTCTCAATGAGATTGATATGAAATCAGTCAGGAGGATTATTATATATGTAAAATTTGAAAAATTAATAAAGGAAACAACATATTTCTAACTGAATAGTTTTATTCATATAGTATAAGTGGCAGTACCATACTTCTCTTGCATCATGACTTCGTCGACCCACGAGTATATCTGCGGTACATTGACGTATACACCGGGACGGTTTTCCACTCCACAGCCTATACCGTAGGAGACAATGCCCACTACTGCGTATCTTACATTATTTTCATCACTCTAGAAAAGAAAAGAAGATAATATAAATGCGAAATTTTGTGTGTTGTGTGTTGTCGAATCTTTGCTAATGGTGATTTGCTTAGTAGGATACATGTGTGTTTCTTGCTTAAAAATGAACTAGCGGCTCAACCTCGCTTCGCTCGGGTTCACCTCTAGAAAAGCACAAATAGATCTATCCCACGGGAACCGTTCATTTTTCCGGGATGTAAAGTAACCTATTGTTTGACCGGCAATATAAGGTATCAGCATGCCAAATTTTACTAAATTAGGTGCATAAGTTGTTGTGTACTAAACTGTATAAGCTCTTTAATTTTCTGGAATGAAAAGTATCTTAGATGTTGACCGGAGATATAAGGTACTACCATGCAAAATTTCATTTAAATCATTTCAATAGTTTCGGAGACTGAGAATAGCCGGAGAGAGCCGGAGAGAGAGAATAGCCCGTACAAACAGACAAACAGACAGAGAAACAAAAAAATTGAAAAAAAAACTGGATTTGTTCTATTTCTCTTCTTTCAGGATGTAAGAAGAGAACTGACTCGGTTTTTAGCATTTTTTTCTAACCTCTACAGTTTTATTACGTATAGAATAAATAACGTATAATAAAAAAGTAATATATAATAATGAAAATAGTTATAGCGAGTGTACCTTAGGATATAGACATATAATAAGTAGAACTTTTCTATAGACCTTTTTAAGACTTACAATTTTCTGGCACAATGTTTTCATCTATCTCTTAAGGTTGAGCCAACGTTAGCCATATAAATTTCTAAGGACGATTCGATAGAACCAGTTATTGAGTTTTCCCGTGGGAATGAATAATTTGCCTGTCGTAAAAGGTATCCTAAATGTTGACCCGAGTACTAATTTATCACTATACAAAATTTAGTTAAAATTCGTTCAGTACTTTTTGCGTAAAACGCGCACATCGATTTGACTAAGTTAGTTTTATTATAGGTATAGATAAGAATAGATATTGCTTAGGAGATATACATATACTATTTAGAACTTTCCTGTAGGACTTTTCAAGGCCTACAATTTTTTAGTATATTGTTTTGATGTATGTATGTCTTAAGGTTAAGCCAGCGGAAGGTTTCTAGGGAGGACTCGATAAAACCAGTTATTGTATCTTCCCGTGAAACGCGCATACAAAAACAGACAAATAGACATATAGGCAAACAGACAAACAGACATTTTTTTTAATAACTATTGTTTTGGGGTCTATGTTGTGTACATAATACGTTACAAAAAAACGAAAACAACTATCCCACGGGAACTGTACATTTTTCCTGGATAAAAAGTGACCTATTTGTTGTCCTGATGTATGACCTATATTATTGTAAAGTTTCATCAAAATCCAATTAGTAGTTTTTGTGTACTAAGCTTTATAAGTTACTATAGTTTTTTGACCGTCCCACGGGAACCCTTTAATTTTCTGGGATTTAAAAGTAGCCGATTTGTTATTGTCATGTATGAACTATATTTTTTTAAAGTTTTATTAAAATCCAATCAGTAGTTTTTGTGTACTAAGCTGTATAAGTTGTTATAGTGTTTTAACTATCCCACGGGAACTATTTAATTTTCCGGGATGAAAAGTATCTAAGATGTTGCCCGGGGATATAAGGTATCACCATGCAAAATTTCATTTAAATCGGCCCAATAGATTCGGAGATTAGCCCGTACAAACAGGAAACCAGACAAACAGCTCGCTCGGGTTCGTCCATACCTACGAATATGTTGTATTATCTCTTTAACCATTTGTCCAAATTATATACAGTAAAATGAAAAAGTCTTTTGTTTTAAACATTTTAGACGATAAATTTATTTATTTTGATAAGAATTCATAATTGTTGATAATATGACCAATAAACATGACCTACCGATTTAAATTATTTTTTTAATATAAAAAACTACTTTTTGTGACTTAAATATACAAGTTAGACATATGCTGTCGCTGACTTTTTTGTAGGCATTATTAAGCTCTACAACTTTTCTCTAGAAACTTTTCTTCTCTCATCGTTAAGGCAGCGTTCGTAAGAAACGTTTTCGTTCGACCGTTTTTTCTCCGACTTACTTTGCAAATCCGAATACCACGAAAAAGCCTTTTCATTCTTCGGGTTAATATATAGCCTATGACACTCAGAAAGAACGTGGCTTTCTATTGGTAAAAGAATTTTGAAAATCGGTTCAGTAGATCCAGAGATTACCCCCTACAACGTCACAAACTCACAAACTCACAAACTCACAAACCCACAAACTCACAAGATCACAAACTTTACCTCTTTATAATATTAGTATAGATTAACCGGTTTATTTCAGTATCATAAAAACTTTTTAACTCTTCTTCTAACTCACTAATTGATAACATCTATTTTAACTATAAATAAAAACTTATTAACAAAAAAATAAAAACCAACTTCAAACAAAAGCACTAAAAAGTAAAAATAACTGATTGCTAGTTTTCATTTACTATACATACCTAATCAAATATTTTCGAAGTCGGTGTGCTTTGCTTTGTATCGGCTGGCACCGACTTCGAAATTTCCTCCTCCTTTTTGAGGAAGTCGGTTAAAAAACCAAAATCTAACATTTCTTTAAGAATAACCGTTAGCCATTATTATTTCGGTTTATTTAACGAACGAGCGATGAATTAACTATTACCGAAATAAACTGTTTTTTTAACCAGTCGAACCCTATTTTTTTTTTTATGTCGGGAAATGCATTTACGCATACCACCTGATCCCCCAGGTGGTGATGTGGGGCTCACCGGCTAGAAAAGCCGGCACTACCCACTAAAACCCGACATTCCCCTCCCCTCCGTCTTAATGGGACGCCGCAGGATCGCTTGCGCATAACTACTACGGCGCCCCGGCGGCAGGTCTGCCAACGGCTGACCACCATACCGATGGGGCTGCTCCACAGTCAACTCTGCTACACCAGAGAGGTACCCGGAGCAGCCCCATTAAACCGAAACTCCGCCCACCGAAGTGGGCCACCTCCAATCGGCTGCAGAGGACAGGGAGAGCGGCAACGAAACACCGACACTCCTCTTCCCCTGCAGCCCCATCGCGTCCGCCATCAAACGGTGGCGGCCCCGTCTAGGCCGCGGAAGGTAGGGAGAACGGCGCACCGAAATACCGGCACTCCTCTCCCGCCGCGGCCTACCCCTCCACCGAATGCGGGCCTGCGACCACAGTCCCGCAACCGGCACCCATCATCCGGTTGTGGGACCAAGGGGTCCCACCACCGGTGGCCGCAACGTCTTCGGCTCGAGGCCTAGACGAGCGGCCCCATCCAAGCCATTTGGTCCGCGCCGGATTTCTCCGGTACCACCCGCCGCCCTAAGCGGGTGGCATTCCCCTATCCGCCACCTGGGGACGCGCCCGGTAGGAGTTGGCTTCTCCCCCGGGAACCAGTCGAACCCTGCGTGGAGTAAAACATTTTCCTAAAAGCTGGCGCTGTTAAGTTTGTTATAATTATAAAAGACACATGCCCGATTTCACCAACATCCCATAAGCTACCACCTACGCATGGGATCCCTAGCTTAAAAGTTCCCATAAACTAGCCCCTAAATTAAATTTCGTTTTACCATCGTCAGAGCCAGTATTTGTAGTACCTATATTTAGGTGGCATTTTAACATTTAGGTGACCCCTAACTGTCGGTGAAACAGAAACTGTCCCCTAACAGCCCCCTAACCATGCTTAGGGGATCCCTTAAACTTAGGTGACGTTGATGAAATCGGCCAACAGATAGTATTTAGAAAAGACTTATGTCTTACCCCAATAGGACAGACTAGTGAAGATCCCCCGTCTTTGTCGCACGTGTCAACCCCTTTTTCTCCCCCAGCACAGGTTAAAGATGAATGAAGCGTAAAGAAAGGACCTAGTCTACTTTTTCGTAACCTGCTCTGACAATCTTGAGGAGCCACTAAAGCAAGGTTTATCTGGAAATGAAAAAAAATAATTTCGCTCAATACATTATGATGATACTTATTTACAATACCTTCTTAGATATACGCGAACCGGATATACACACACGTAGACTCACAGCGAGTACAAAATATGTACCTATGTCTCCGAATGCTTCTGCCATTTTCCTTCGTCAACTTGTTCTCTTGGCTGTGATCTTTTTAGCTCGTTTTTTTACGCAGTTGTTGCTATTTTTATTCAGTAGCTATTGCCGACTTTAAGCGTTATCAATTAAAAAATTGTAAACGTAACACTTTATTAGATTTACGCGAATATTTGACATCTATATATGTACATATATAAAACAAAGTCGGGTTTGTTACAATACTTATAACTCGAGAACTGCTGCACCGATTTTCATGGTTTTTGATTTGTTGGATTGTTCTTCGTCCATAGCAGAATAACTATTAATATATATATATATATATATATATATATATATATATATATATATATATATATATGTGTATGTATGTAGCTGACGTTGGCTAATAACTATTTATGGTTCTATTTTAAAAACAAAGTTTTATATTTAAGACATATGTCATATTATATGAATGAAATACATTTTTTCGGCTTTTTTTAAGTAAAACGTGTATTCAATATCAATAAAATTTTGATACTTTCTTTGTTCTTATTTGAAAGTCAATAAAGTCTGTATTGAAAAACTCTTTTGAAAAATTGGACATTTGGACAATTAAATGCTGAGACGACGTAACTAAATTACCTTTTTCAAAATGACAGCATATTCTCCCGTTTGATTGAACTTTCTCCCCCATCCCATTGAATAACACTGTGTTTTTGGAGGAGGCAAAACTCTGTTTAAGCACGCTATCCCCATGTGGGGTAGTTGCAGATCAAAAGGAGCGTTTAAAATCAAGAGAGCGACATCGTAGTATAGTGATACTGAAAAATCGATACATATAATAAAACAGTAACGCGAAATCTGTAAATGAAATATTTATTTAAACAATTTATAATATTTATTTTACAGAAAATAGACCCTAAAATAATAGTTATTAAAAATGTTGTCTGTTTCTTTATTTGTCTGTTTGTCTGTATAGACGTTTGTCTGTTTTTGAAAAAAAAACTGTCTGTTTATTCCGGCTAATCTCCGAAACGGCTGGACCGATTTTGACGGGATTTTCACTGACATATAGCCGATGTTATAATTAAAGCTACTTTTATTTCAGAAAATTAATTAAAACCCATAAAGTCTTGAATAAAATCGCGTATCAGAGCAAGGCGATGGTAAGTCACTTTATGCTACTTATATATAATTTGTGCTCAACTGATACGCATTGGAGTAATTAAATAAAGAAATGAATTGTAACGGCTGAACAAACGGATTTGATTGAAATTTGGTACAGGGATAGATTATAGTCTGAAATAAGAGTAGCACAAAGGCTACTATTTATCCGGGATAAATGTACGGTTCCCGTGGAATATATTTGTTTTTGTTTTTCTAGAGACGAACCCCAGCGAAGCGAGGAGGAGCCGCTAGTAAATAATAATTATTATTTTGCTTGAACAAACTTTGAATTTACTACCAAACAAAAACTATACGTACTATTATAGAATTGTGGGTGCACAATTATTTTGGTGACGTCCTGCTCTTGGAATTTAAACATTTCTTTTGTTGTCTGAGTGTCCCACTCTCCTCCACGACATTTGAGCTGAAATACAAAATATATAATAACTAGCAGTATCTATAGGTACTTATAATAAAATTGTAACTTAGTCGAATCTGTACATTAAATATTTTTTGGAAAATCTTATTGAAATAGACATTATTATCGATACAGAAGCCGAATCTATAGTTTTTAGGACTTTTGTCGTCTGTCTGTCTGTCTGTTACCGCATCACGAAAAAACCACTGGACAGATTTAGATGAAATTTGGTATGATGATAGCTGGTGATCCGTGTCAACATATAGGATACTTTTTACAGCGGGAAAATATCTAATTTCTGAGAAAAAATACAAAAACTGCATTTTAAGAGTATACTAATTATATGTAAAACCTAGGAATTTGATTTTTGGTCATCTGAACGCGGACGGAACCGCGGGCAATGCTAGTTCTTATATAAAGATCAGCTTTACAAGAATGTATGGAAGTCTGTTCGATTTGTTGACATTTATAATTACTGCTCCTCTCCCTTGAGTAGTAGCATGATGATATATAGACTGTAGCCTTCCTCAATAAACGGGAATTCTTTAGGGGAAAATGATGAGAATGATTTTTTACGATGCGACAGATTCAGACTACAGTATGAAGTTGGTTGTTATTGGCTACAGTGTGAAGTTAGTCGGTAAATCTCTCTAAATGCTGGCGGCATTTAGGTAAAATTCAATCCAATACGGCGGACGTTATAAAATGGCGATTTATTATTTCCATTGTAACCCTTATGATATGGGTATCAAATGAAAGGGCTTGATCAGCGAAACACAATAAGCAAATTGCCGTTATTGTTAATCCAATATGGCAGCCACCGCAAAATTGTGATTTATAATTTCCACATTAACCCCTATGATATGGATATCAAATCAAAGGGCTCGATAAATGAAATACGATCAGGACCATAGGAATGTGTCGGTCGTGGATTTATATATTATACATATTTTTTATGCACTCCCATGATATGGATATAAAATGAAAGGGTTTGTTGAGAAGAAGACGAAAAAAAATTAAATGTTCTGAAAAAAAACAAAGAAGTATAACTTCTTACGTGCGTACATAAAGTACACACTCACTTTTTTTACGTTAAAACATTTCCAAGCTTTTTTGCGATTAAAAAAAAGAGACAGACAGACGAACATAAACAACAACAAGGCAACTTATAAGGGTTCGGTTTTAGTCATTTGGCTATGAAACCCTAACATACATATACTTCATTATAAATACCTCACGAGGTCTTCTCTTATACACTTTGTGAGCAGCTGTTATTACTACAGATGGATGAATGATTGAACCACCCCCGATATAATCCTCTGAATTCCAAGCTTCTACTTTCCTCTTCTTCCTAAATAAATATTACAGAATATATTAAACTAACGACTAACCCTCACTTACATCCCTAGTTGAGTATCAATAACCTGTGTGTTAGCATATATGTTAGTCTAGATCCGCTATACTCAACCTGCGGCCTGCGAGCCGCATGCGACATCATCAAAAATCGCATTATAACATATCTTTGTTAAAAAAGTAACTACATCGTTAACTTGTAATTACGAGTACGTTTTTATTAAGACCTAAATAATTTTTGCTTGCAGCCCTCGACACCATGACTGAAACGTGTTTGTGGCTCCTATAAAAAAAAGGTTGAGTATAGCTGGTCTAGATCATAGTCAGTTTCCCCCCCAACCTTCACCTCTTCTTTTTTCTTCTTCGAAGTGTTCACCTTGTCGTGGTGGGGGGGCTCAGTAGTGCCCGGCAACCCAACCGGGCGCGAAGCTAAGAAACGCACAGGGAGGTTGCCCACTTCGGTGGGCGGTGGGAGGTGGCCCTCTTCGGAGGGCGGTGTACCATGCGGGTTACTCCTGGTACTTCTCTGATAGCAGAGAGGACCTTAGAGCAACCCCATGGTTGTGGTGGTCTGCTTCGGCAGACCTGCCGTCGGGGCGTTGTAGTTGAATGCGTAAGCGATCCTGCGACGCCCCATTAAGACGGGGGAAGGTTTTGTTGGGTTTTAGTGGGTAGTACTGGCTGTATTACGCCGGTGAGTCCCACACGTCGTGCGTAAATGCATTTCCCAAAGTTAAAAAAAAAAAAAAGATCATAGTCAGTCTCCCCCCCAACGTGCGTTCACCTTGTCGTGGTGGGGGGCTCAGTAGTTCCCGGCAATATAGTTGGACGCGAAGCCAAGAAACGCACAGGGAGGTGGCCCACTTCGTTGGGCGGTGTGAGGTGGCCCTCTTCGGAGGGCGGTGTACCATGCGGGTTGCTCCTGGTACTTCTCTGATAGCAGAGTGGACCTTGGAGCAACCCCGTGGTTGTTGTGGTCTGCTTTGGCAGACCTGCCGTTGGGGCGTCGTAGTTGAATGCGTAAGCAATCCTGCGACGCCCCATTAAGACGGGAGAAGGCTTTGTTGGGTTTAAGTGGGTAGTACTGGTTTTATTACGCCGGTGAGTCCCACACCTCGTGCGTAAATGCATTTCCCAACGTTAAAAAAAAAGATCATAGTCAGTCTATCTTAATCTCAAAGTAAGTCTATCATTATCTCTAAAAAAAATTACGTCAATTTAAAGAGTCTCCTAGGAACGAACCCGAGTGGAGCGAGGGTGAGTCGCTGGTAAATAATAATTATTATATTGCTTGAACAAACTTTGAATTTACTACCAAACAAAAATTATACGTACAATTGTAGAATTGTGGGTGCAAAATTATTTTCGTGACACCCCCGAAAAATGTACGGTTCCCATGAGATAGATTTGTCTTTGTTTTTCTAAATAACTAAAAGGTATAAGAAGATACTATTTTAGAAAAAATGCTCATCTCCCTTAAATCAATTACTTGATAATAGCGACCATCCACCGGAATTGTCCGAAGTCTGCATAAATTTGTGGATCTTCTGTGTTTTTCCGAAAGAGAAATAGTCCAGAATCTTCCCAACCACATTTATCTTTAATCTCGATTGATACAGCTACAGCTTCTTTAGCTTCAGCTGTAACATTTTATTATTGAAGTAAAAATAGACGTGACTGAAGGGTAAATAAATACATTGGAAAAATGGGTATTGCAGAAGCGTGTGTGAAGTCATATATATATCAACATATAGAATACTTTTTACGGCGGGAAAATATCTCATTTTTGAGAAATGATACAAAAACTGCAATGTAAGAGTATAATAATATGTAAAACCTAAAAATTTGGATTTTCGTCATCTGAACGCAATGCAATCTTTTATAGCTTTAATATTCTGAAAAGTTTTTTAGGTATTAAAAGATCGTTCAAGAAATTTAAAACTTATGTTTATATCGGAAGCTATAAACGCGCGCGAAGCCGTGGGTACTGTTAGCACTAAGATTGCACTATTTAGACTGTACGTTCTGTTTCAGTGACAGAAGAAATAAAGTGAAACGAGTGAATGAAATGAATAGGATGAGAATGTCAGTTTAATAAAGTAGGTATTTTAAAAAAGAGACTTTACAATCAGCTATTTGCAAAGATATATTTTTCCTGAATTTTTTTGAATATTTACATCAAAATTGTCAATCAATAAATCCTTGTAAGCGTATTTTTTGTTCATATTTTGAAGTAAATTATGCGATAAGAAAAAAATACATACCTACGGGAAGAAAATTGACTTCCTCAACGGATGGAGCAGCTGTTGAGATATTGATAAATTTAATTATAATAAACAAAACAATTACAAATAGACATCTTGATCTTGATCAATTACAGATAAAATACCTTGAAAACGAAACATCATATCAACATTCTGATACTACGTAACACTAGATACATATATAAATTCCTTATATATAATAAGTCATCAAAGAAATTCGCAAAATAATAAAATACAAGTACTGAAAAACTTACCGGGCCTTAACGGAGATGAAACTGGTTTGGTCCACATTTTGTCTTGTGTAAACTTATCAATTGGGATTGGAGTAGTCATGGTATCCTGTGGAGGTCTGCTATGTTCCATCTTACAGCAGATATCAAGGTATGAAAGACATTGCCCTCCTCTAGAAATAACATGAAAACATCCAAACACTTTAATCAAGTTTAGTCTCTGAAAGTTTTTGACATAAATGCTTTTACACGAAGATGGTTTTTACGCCATAAATTCCGTCCATCTGTATATCACAGCCATTTTATTCTGAGATTATTGGAACTTGGTTAAAATTTGGTAAGTGTCAATGTACGAGAACCGTTAGACAATTATGCAGATAGATTACGAAAAACCAAAAAAAGCGAGCGAGCGATTAAGCGAGTTTAAGTCAATTATAACCTACCATAATTGCTGTAAAGCATTCGAAAGGTCGGGAACCAAAAATCAAAATAAATCCGAAAAAATAATTTTATTTAAATTCAATATATCAAAGCCACGGAACCATCGGCGTTAGTCGTACTCGTACTTGTCCGATTTGTATTTCTCTTACCTGAAATTGATTAATGTAGTACCATCTTGTATTATCTGTTTGGTATCAGAGTCGCATAGATAATAAGGCACGCATACTCCTTGGAGTCCATTAGGCAGAAGACAGGCTTCCGTTGGATCTGATAAGGTAATAAGAAAACGGTATCTATACATACATATAATGAAACTGTAGAGGTCGAATGTCTGTACATAGAAAAAATTTGGTAAAAACCGGTCAGGGGGATGTAAGAAGAGAAATAGAACAAATCCAGTTTTTTTTTCATTTTTTTTGTTTCTTTGTCTGTTTGTATGGGTTAATCTCCGAAACTGTTGGACGGATTTAAATGAAATTTTCCATGGTGGTACCTTATATCCTCGGTCAACTTTTCACTCCGAAAAACTAAAGAGTTCCCGTGGGATAGTTAAAAAAACTATAGTAACTTATACAGCTTAGCTACAACAACTTATGCACCTCATTTAGTAAAATTTGGCACGCTGATACCTTATATTGTCGGTCAAATAATGTGTATCATAAAGTTTATAAATCCCATAAAAGTAATAGGTATCCGCGGGAACTTTCGAACTCGAACACGGGTCTTTCATACTAAATCAATTATGTGTGACGGACGTTATTTTGACCTAAGGCTTTTTATCCCGGAAAAATGTACGGTTCCCGTGGATTCCCTTGTTTTTGCCTTCGTAAGGCTATAGGTTATATATCATCATGCTACTCCACAAGGGAGCAGAGCAGTAAATTGGGCAGATTTCCATGTATTATTGTAAAACTGATGTTTATATCGGAAGTTTTAACTCGGGCGAAGCCGCGGGTACTGCTAGTACTCAGCTATGGCTATTTAGGCTGTTCGTTGTCTTTCATTGACAGAAGAAATAAAGTGAAACGAGTGAACGAAATGAAATGAACAGGATGAGAATGTCAGTTTAATTAAGTAGATAGGTATTTTAAAAGAGTGACTTTAAAAGCAGTTATTTAAATTTTAAAGCGATATTTTTCCTGAAGATTTTTGAATAAATACATCAAAAATGTTTATCAATAAATCCTTGTAAGCGTATGTTTTTTGTACATATTTTGTAGTAAAGTATGCGAATAAGAAAAAATTACATACCGTCATCTGTGGGATCTAAATCGACTTCCTCAATTTCGGATGGAGCAGCTGTTGAGATATTGATAAATTTAATTATAATAAACAAAACAATTACAATATAGACATAAATAAAATCATTATATCATATACGTATAATAATATTCTTTTAACGGATTTCCGCCAAGGCGCGGCGGCTAATCTCATTGACACTAGCTAACTGCGCAGGAGATAATATAGTGCAGACAAGTCTACTCTCTATTCCTGTCACTCTCATACTCCGACGGGGCGATATATCGACACGAACGGTGATATCAGGCGCCGTACCAATAACTTTACGTGCTCAGACAGGAGAGTGTAAACATGGTCAGCTTCCCAACGAGATATTACTAACTTGACAGAAAAACTCAATCAATAACTAAAATTGGACCGATCTGTGACTCGAACCCAATACCAGATCCGGACTGCAGCTGTACATGCCACCGTGGTCATTAGACAACCGATACAGTTAAATTTTAGTCACATTCGATAACACGCCGACTTCAAAATCAATTTCAGTATTTTTAACTCATTAGAATATCATCCCATACACTTTAAAATTACCTCCTGCCAACTAAATGCATCGTACACGCAATAAGTCCATGGTTGCAGACTGCAGTTGCGTTACCGTTTACCGAGATTTTATTATTTATAATGAATGTATATCCCGAAAGTATCGGGATCAGGATAGATTTTTATCCCGGGATAGATTTCAGGATCCCGTGTGATGACCGTAAATCCTGAATAGCTAGTACTACGTAAGTATTATATGCGTAATCATATTTCCCAACATTAAGAAGGTGCATTACATACATTTTTTTTTAATTTAAATAATAATTTATAATATTATTTAAATACCTGTAGTAGTACTTCTAGAATTATTATAAACTTTTTGTGCCCAAGTCCAAGTCTCATCGTCAGCTGTTAAATTAGTACAAGACGAGTGATAAACTAACAGAAGAATCACTCCAAATCTGTAAAATATTTTGAATTACTTATTACTATTAATAAAATAAGTCACACAAGACAGTTGATATATAAAAATACTAGCCGAACCTAAACTACAAAACATCTCTAAAAAGTTAGTTTCATACAAACTTTCATCCCCTATTTTACCCCCTTATAGGATGAATTTCGAAAAATGCTAAAACATGTATTTATTTAATTTCATTAATACCAAGTTTCAAGTAATTCTGATCATAAATATTTTTTTGGATTGTATTATAACGTGTTTTCCTTTGGGAAGGAGATAATCTCCCGCGGTGAAAAGTAGCCTATGTCACTCTCCAGCCTCCCAAATATTTCCACAGAAAAAATTACGCCACTCAATCACTCCGTTTTGACGTGAAAGAAGAACAAACAAACACACTTTCACATTTATAATTTTAAGTATGAATAGCAACACATTTTCTAATAAAAATCTCTTCAAAAAGTGGCGTCGACACATTTCGTTTGACTTAACGTCGAATGTGAGGTCGCTATAACTATTTTCATTATTATATATTACTGTTTTATTGTACGTTATTTATTCTATCTATAAATATAATAAAACTGTAGAGGTCGAATGTTTGTACGTAGAAAAAAATGCTAAAAACTGAGTCAATTATCTTCTTACATCCCGTAAGAAGAAAAATAGAACAAATCCAGATTTTTTCAATTTTTTTGTTTCTCTGTCTGTTTGTACGGGCTAATTTCCGAAACTATTGAACCGATTTAAATGAAAATTTGCATGGAGTAACTTATATCCCCGATCAACATGTAAGATACTTTTCATTCCGAAAAATTAAAGAGATCCCGTGGGATAGTGCAAAAACTATAGTATCTTATACAGGTTAGTAAACAACAACTTATGCACCTAATTTAGTAAAATTTAACATTCTGATACCTTGTATTGCCGGTCAAACAACAGGTTAATTTTCATCCCGAAAAAACTAACGGTTCCCGTGGGAACTAATAGATCTCTATTAGTGTTTTTCTAGAGGGGAACTCGACCGAAGCGAGGGTGAGCCACTAGTTCCCAATATAACAGTAGGAATTCCCAATATATTAAACAGTAGGAATTCCCAAGAATTCTAGAATATACAGCATTATCGGGTTATTAGGTTATCAGTCAGAGTGTATGGGCATTCTCGAGCGTTGATAAAAACATAGTGACGACACGTTTGGCTCAGCTTGTAGTGACCCAGTGCCAGAGCGGCGATCGTGGGTTCGAGTCCTGCTAGGGGCATTCATTTGTGTGATAAGCACAAATGTGTGTACTCCAGTCATGAGTGTTATATATGTATAGTGTATCAACTATCTGGTATCCATAACACAGGCCTCGTAGCTTATCATGGTGCTGTGCGTTAATGTCCCAACGTATATTATACTAGCATTGCCCGCGGCTCCCCCCGCGTTCTGATGACCAAAAACCAATTTTTTCTCAAAATTGAGATATTTTCCCGCGGTAAAAAGTTTTCCTTTTATTTCATCAAAATCCCTCCAGTGGTTTTTTTGTGATGCGGTAACAAACAGACAGACAAAATTTCTAAAAACTATAGATTCGACCTCTGTATCGATAATAAAGTCTATTTCAATAAGATTTTCCAAAAAATATTTAATGTACAGATTCGGCTTAGTTACAATTTTTTTATATGTATAGATAGATAGAATTATGAACAAGGTGGCGTAAAAAAGTATTGTTATATATAAAATTATCTGTGATATCAAACAGTCGGATGTTGGGTTTTTTTCATATTTGCTGAGCTATATGGCTGTGCTAAAAATAAATAACTTTATGAATAACCGTTTTTTTATTATTATTAAATAAAAAATATATTATTAAATAAATCAAGATCATATCGCATAATTGACTCTATTATTAAATCATGTATATCTAAGATACCTAATACGAACTGAGTATTTTTTTTCTTAAATTTTTTAACATATTTAAAGTCATTCAATAAAAACCGAACCCACGGTCCTGGTCATATGAACAGCAGCAGACATGCCACTTCGTAACGTTGGTCATCTATACATATAATAATATTGTAACTAAGCCGAATCTGTACATTAATTATTTTTTTGGAAAATCTTATTGAAATAAACATTATTAACGATACAGAGGCCGAATCTATAGTTTTTAGAATTTTTGTCTGTCAATCTGGCTGTTACCGCATCACAGAAAAACCACTGGAAGGATTTTGATGAAATTTCGGTATACTGATTGATAGCTGATTATCCATGTCATCATATAGGATACTTTTTATCGCGAGAAAATATCTCGTTTTAGAGAAAAAATACAAAAACTGCATTGTAAGAGTATACTAATATGTAAAACCTAAGAATTTGGTTTTTGGTCATCTGAACGCGGGCGGAGCCGCGGGCAATGCTAGTATCTAACATACTTAGTATAAAATATGAATCATAAAATTAAAAAACCACTTTGCAAAATAAAATTACTTACTTTAAATACCTTCCATGATAATTATTTCCTATAAACAAAAAATATAGACGCGAATAACCTACCAGATTTGTGAAAAAAAATCAACTTACCTAATCAACATATTAAATATAATTATTAATATGACATGAAACACTACGTCTGTGACCTTTGCAAGTAAACACTACACTAGCGGGTAGCGATATATGTAAGCTCGATTATATTATTATGAGGTCAATATAATAAAAACTTTTTAACAAAAAAATAAAAACCGACTTCAAACAAAAGCACTAAAAAGTAAAAAATAACTGATTGGTAGTTTTCATTTACTATACATACCTAATCAAATATTTTCGAAGTCGGTGTGCTTTGCTTTGTATGGGCTGGCACCGATTTCGAAAATATTTGATTAGGTATGTATTTAATAGGTAGGCTTTAATTACTTAGCCAAAGCACACCGACTTCGAAAATATTTGATTAGGTATGTATAGTAAATGAAAACTACCAATCAGTTATTTTTTACTTTTTAGTGCTTTTGTTTGAAGTCGGTTTTTATTTTTTTGTTAAAAAGTTTTTATTTTTCCCTTTTTAGTGTAGACAGTAGTAGAAAAGTAAGGATTCTAACGTGTTAGGCTACTATTAGCCGTTGAAGAGTTCCACCTATCCACCTTCTGGCCTTACCATCAGATCAGGTCAACAACACCGAACCACTGTACTATCAACGGAAATAGAAATACTTGCAAAGTTTCAAGTCAATATGACAATTAGAAGTAGGTTAAATTCATCATTAGTAGTTTTTCCACCCTTAGGAGTGGTATTTTTTTTTTAATTTAAATGGGACCAATCTGGAAGTATACCCTTTCAAACGACACAAAAATTGTCCAAATCGGTTAATAAATGACGGAGTTCTGAGGTAACAAACATAAAAAAAAAAAAACATACAGTCGAATTGAGAACCTCCTCCTTTTTGAAGTCGGTTGAAAATGGCCTAACCTCAAGAGATATCTTCTATCTCTGAATTATTTATTTATTTTTATTGTACTTTTTCTCTAAAATGATGACGTAACAAACGTCTGTTTGTTCCGGCTAATCTCTGAAATGGCATGAGAATGAAATATTGACAGACAGACAAAAATTATAAAAAATGTTGTTTTGGTATATGTACCGTGTATACATACACGTATATACATATACATACTGTGTACATATACATATGCATTTAGTAAAAAGCAGTTATTTTGACAATTTAAACAGACACTTCAATTTTATTTATCTGTATAGATTTATTTTATATTTATAGGTTGCTACCCCGTGCAAATTTTCACCCCCATAAGATTTGATTTCCGGCATAAAAACTATCCTATGTCCTTCCCAGGATCTCAAACTATCTTCTTACCAAATTTCATCTAAATTGGTTTAGTAGATTACCCCCTACAACATCACAAACTCACAATTCACAAACTCACAAACTTTACCTCTTTATAATATTAGTATAGATAGATTGACGTATAGTAATTAGTATTGTATATGATAAAAATCCATCGTATAGAAATATCATTCAATAGATAACGACGCGGTCGCGGTTCCATACCTACGAATATGTTGTATTATCTCTTTGACCATTTGTTCAAATTGTATGCAGTAAAAGGTTAAAGTCTTTTGTTTTAAACATTTTAGACGATAAATTTAATTATTAGGATAAGAATTCATAATTGTTGATAATATGACCAATAAACATGACCTACCGATTTAAATTATTTTGTAATATAAAAAACTACTTTTTGTGACTTAAATATAAAAGTTAAACATACGCTGTCGCTGACTTTTTTGTAGGCATTATTAAGCTCTACAACTTTTCTCTAGAACATAATCATATATCTCTCATCGTTAAGGCAGCGTTCGTAAGAAACGTATTCGTTCGACCGTTTTTCCACCGACTTACTTCGCAAATCCGACTACCATGAAAATTCATTTCATTCTTCGGGTTAATTATATAGCTTATGACACTCTGAAATAACGTGGCTTTCTATGAGTAAAAGAACTTTCAAAATCGGTTCAGTACATAAACTCACAATCTCACAAACTTTACCTCTTTATAATATTAGTATAGACTAGCGGCTCACTCTCGCTTCGCTCGGGTTCGTCGCTATACACATACGTACATACATACACATACGTTTTAAATAGATATAAATAGTTATTAGCCAGCGTTAGGGATAGAGATTTTAATTTTTTTTTGTTGATTTTTCTGATGTTTTAGTTTTCTTATTATCCTATTCTGGACTAAGAGAAATCCAAAAAATCAAATATCATAAAAATTGATCCAGCCGTTCTTGAGTTATAAATGGTGTAACTAACACGACTTTGTTTTATTATTACTATACATAGATACATATACAATATTTCTGAGTCGAATCTGTACATTAAATATTTTTTGGAAAGTCTTATTTAAATAGACATTATTATTGATGAAGAGGCAGAATTTATATTTTTTAGAATTTTTGTATATCTATCTGCCTGTCTGTCAGATTTTGATGAAATTTGGTATGATAATAGCTGGTTATCCGGGTCAACATATAGGATACTTTTTACTAAAGGAAAATATCTCATCTCTAAAAAATCTATACTAAACATTAAAACGTAATTAGGCGTGCGTCCTTAGTTTTAGATAAAATTTTAAATTAAGAAGGTTAATTTGTATTCCTATTAAAAGTTATAAATAATGTAATTAATTCTCTCTTTAATTTACGCGAATATTTGACACTTTGAATAAAATTATCTTTTCGAATTTTTTCGCCGATTTTATTTGGTGTTTTGTTCTAGAGTCAAAACGTTTCGAATGCTGCGTCTCTCCCGTGACCATGATTGCTGTAAAGCATTTGAAACGTTGTTGCTGTAAAGCAATAGAATTCATTTTTTTATCTGGTCGTATATATATCTATACATATAATAAAAGCGTAACTGATCGCTGTCTGTACATGGAAGATATTTGAGAAAAACTATCATTGGCGGTCTTTGTTTACGCAATAGTACCCAAAACAACGACTTTTAGAATTTTTGTCGGTTTGTCTGTGTGCTCGTGCGCGCTAATCTCAGAAACGGCTTAAACGATTTGGATGCGGTTTTCACTAATATATTGTGGTAAGCTTCACTTAATAGTTAGCATTTGTTTTATTTTAATCGATTCATAAATAAAAAAGTTACGTCAATTTCAAGAATTAAGTATTATAAATATAGTACCTGGGCCACCGAGCTTCGCTCGGAGTTCTTGGACAAAAAACATTTAAAAAAAAGACAAACTAAAAATTTGAATATATACAAAAAAAAAACAAAAGTATGAACTTTGTATCTGACCGGGATACGAACCCAGACACCTGAGATAGTTACACTTCCGTCTTGACCGCTTAACCACGATGCTCATGTCCTAATGTGCGAATTAGCGAACATATTTTGCGTGCGAAACAAAACCAGCATGAAAACTCAAAAACACGTGTTTTCCCAAAATTTCATGAAAATCGTTGGAACCGTTTCCGAGATTCAGATTATATATATACAAGAATTGCTCGTTTAAATATATTAGATATATAAACCCAACTAGTTCAATAAAAAAATGTTTTGAAATTTTTTGATTAAGCGTTTCATCACACATTTTTTTTCAAGCAGCCATTTTCAAAAAAGATGTCTGTTTAGGTCTGCACAAGTATTACATATTATTAAAAAAACGCAGCCATGAGGACTGCCGACAGAAGTGAAAACTTAGAACTAAAAACAAACAGTTGTTATTTTTGGATATTCAAATTAATTTAATTTGATCTTAAATTAAAATTTGTAAATTAAAACTATTTACTCTTTCTTTTAGTTATATCAATATTTTAGTTAAATGGTATTACAATTATATTATATTTAGATTTATATTATATTTTAGTTATATATAGTATAATTTATATACTGTATGAGTAAGATCCTAAAGAAACTGTTTTTCTTGGTATAAGTCAATTATTAACAAGAACATATCATTTCATTCTTTATTTTTATCAATTAGATGGGTTTTTACTACAAGAAACACGAAATATGTATTTACAAGAAAAGTGTGACGGGTGATGTAGTGTGAACATGTAAATGTTCGGTTCAAATCAAATTTCACCAATGTTATTTGTTTAACCACTTGAACCCCGCTGGTGCCTATAGGCACCACTTCCGGCGTTACCGTCAAACCCCGCTGGTGCCTATAGGCACCACCTCGCCCGCTGCAATTTTATCACTTATTACAAGACGAAATCAGTGTATTTTATGCTAAATGAGTGATACACGCAAACTTTAGAAGTTTTATTAACTATATAATAAAAATAAATTTTAATTAAATGCCGACAACGTTAAAAACAAACGCGTCAAAAATTGTTTAAATTTCAAGTGAAAAGCGTGCGACTCGCTATGGTTTTTGTGTAATTTAAAATCTTTAAACTAGTGAACTTATGCCGTAAACGTATGAACATTCATTGTTAGTATTCTTTGCCACTATTGAGATACTAATAAGTATACAATCACGTTATAAAATTAGTTTTTTGGTCCAACAAATTTTGATGTATAAATTTCGCAAAATAAGTCGCCATTATATAACATGAATTTTGACTATTACTCTCTGATTCCGTGCCTGATAAAGGTAAATCACTAAAGAAAAACTAACATAATTGCATATTTTCAGTTGTTTGTAGCATATTTCAATAGTTTTATAATATAAATTATGTTTATTTACAAATAATACCTATGAGCTGTCAAATTTGTCATATTTGAACTCTCATCAAAGACCAGTTAGACATTGATTCATGTCGATATGTGCTATCGGTATTATCGATATTTTATTATAAATATATGTTGAAAAAGTAAGATTGCTTTTTTTTATTTTTCAACCGACTTCAAAAAAGGAGGAGGTTCTCAATTCGACTGTATATTTTTTTTTATGTTTGTTACCTCAGAACTCCGTCATTTATTAACCAATTTGGACAATTTTTGTTTTGTTTGAAAGGGTATACTTCCAGATTGGTCCCATTTAAATTTCAAAAAAAAATACCACCCCTAAGGGTGGAAAAACAACTAATGATGAATTTAACCTACTTCTAATTGTCA